AAACATGATCGCTGTGGGCTCACACCAGAACAGGGCGACGTCGTGGTCTGCAACGTTCTAAATTCGGTACCTCTACCAGGCTCAAACCTTGAGTGCGCAGTGCCGACGGTGTCAAGATGTGGTATGGAAATAGGAGTTGCTCCGTTGGCTGCATTTCTCAATTGCAACTTCCTCGATTGCCTCGATTCCCTCGATTTGAGCGATGCGAGCGATTCGACGTCGATGACTGGGCCACGGGGTTGCTGGGTTTCCCAGGTCCTGGGAGTGTCGTGGGTCTCTGCACTTCACCAATTTCCCAGTTACGAGAAATTATAGAACTGACTGGAACATCTGGTCCAGCCTCATCCACTATTATGTCCGAGGTTGATGACATTGTATCCTCGTATACCGAGGCGCAAAAATGAGACTGGCTTGCGAATTGATGTGAGTGAACTGAACTGGCAGGAATTGACAGCCGTCGAAAAGGGCAACCATGTCGTCCGTCTGGTCCTTCTCTGTGACACCACTGGAGTGGACACAGTATCACAGCTACACAGCATGTGACTCTATTCACAGGTTGACGGCACGCTGCTTCGGGTTACATGGACTCAAGCTTACCAGATATCCTTTTATAGCCCTGTCTGGCCCGGCGACGGCAAAGGGTACGTACATATCAATTCCTGCCCCAGGGGGAAGGGAGGACCTAGAACCGATGCGCTGTTTGATGCTGGGTGCCCGAGGCCAGCCCATTTCCGAGCATTGCGGCTACTTGCTTCTTGCCGACATACAGTTTCTATAGAATGGCGACAGACGACTCTTTTTGGTTGTTGATGCCTCCCAGGTCGTTGACGGATGTCGGTCGAACAACTAAAAAAAAGCCACAAATCGTCAACGGGCCACGGAAAACTGTTTGGCCACAATGCATGCATACACAAGCGGCCGGATGGCTCCTACGACTAATTTCCCATACCAGGCGTGCTTGCATCGACGATAGTTCCAAATGTTTTATGTTAACTTGGCCCCGCCCTCTGATGACGGCAGCGGCATCAACAATCGGCCGCTAAAATGGCCGACTTCTTCAAATTTCGGCCTGACTTCTAAGTCCAGCAGACCGCGTCCAACACACCGTCATGGTTGATTCTGGGAGATGTACCGCTGCTGTAAGGGTCATCATGCGTGCGGCGGGTGCGTAACCGTTGTCTCAGCTTTGGGGAGACAGGGAACTGCTTGGTTTTGTACGCTTCGTCAACCGTCGAGCCACGAAACGCGATTTCAGATTTCAAGATGGGAAATCGGGCACCATGTTGCTGGATCTCGCTAACCGCATTGACCACCTTTTTGCATGCACCCCCATTTTGCAGGGTCTAACTGAATCAACCTAAATACTTCGTCCATATTATTTATGTACAGAACATACTTAATTTAAGTGTCTGAAGACTTAGATATATTCTTTCGAGCCCTCTTTTTAGGAGGGACCCTTCCTTCGAGAAAAGTCTCATTTTCTAACTGCTTATCCGGTAAAATAGGCCATATTCGCTTATTTCGCTTGTCCTGGGCTGTTCGGATCGCTGATAAGTTAACGAATACAATTGCGCACAATCGTGCTATCAATTACCACCATACCATCATGCCATCGTACCATGAACCATTAGTGCACCACCGGCCCTGACAATTGTGTCAAGTTCAGCCACCCGCGCTGCGAGACATTTTCTGACATAATTTTGGTCAGATACCTTATCGAGTCTAGCAGTAAAAGGCAGACTGGTGATTGGCGCCGCGGCACCTTGATATGCAGGTACGTCTCTCTACTATTATTAAATTGCACTTGCAGGTCGCGTTCCGCTTTCTTCAATGTTCAACTGGGCCGAGGTGCCCAGGTGAGTTAAAATGATTGGCAGCCTGTGCGCGAGCCGCAACAAGGCCCCAAAGGTGCCCCAAACAATTTAGGGGCAAAAAAGTGGCATCACACTTGTAACGGTGCCGAAGACCGATAATGCTCAATTCTTCATTCGTACTTCCCGTCAGTGGACAAGCTGTCATCCCAATTATGCATTGTCTCTGTGCGCTGAGCGAAACCCCAACTGCCATGCATACAGCAGCAGCATGACCCGAGGATGACTCGTGGTCGCCAAAGGGGAGATTGTCTTGCGTCGAAGGACTCGAACGGTATCCACAGAGCCATAGCTGCGAGAAATGCACACCTGCGATCCTCCAAATCTTGTATCCTGCGCCCCCGAGGCACAGCTGCAGGATTGGCGGGCAGACCGGTGCGTAGGGCGTCTGGGACGTTTATCCTTGGAGTCATCATCAACTGACTGGGTACCCCGGCGCCCCGTTCAGGGCTGTTCCCCTGATGAAACCATAGCAACTGTTGACATCCCTGCTGCAGAAGGCTGGTATGGGTATGGAGCAGCTTGGAGCACAGACTCTGGACGTTCCGTTCTGTTCTCCAAGCGACGAAGCCCTCAATCATCCCGACCCCACCGGGGCCTTCTAGTTTGTCTTCGAATCATTGTTCCACCGTCCTGGATCTTGCTACGGTTGCATTATACACGTGCACCGCGTACCGTCGCTACGGACCGTCTACGGACACTGACCAGATACCAGGCACCACACGTTGCGGGCCTGCCTTAGCCACGGCACTACTTACGACATTGCGACCTCGCTACCTCGCATTCCTTACAGTCGCACCAGCCCCACCAAGGCTAAGGAGGTAACACATCATATCAGCCTACGGCTCGTTCGGCGCAGATTCCCCTCGGCCCATCAGCCTGGGGTTGCTTCAGGACAACCAAACGCCGCTACATGTTTATCCATCTCCATCATCATGACCGTCCCTCATCCCAGGGCCGGCACGAAAGAGCGGTTTGACCGCACCAAGTAGCGCATGACACGACGTCACTGCCGCCTGCGCTGTTTTGGCAAGCCGGCCTTGTGCAATCTAACTGCGAAATGATCGCTGTCGAGCCTGGCCCATGAAGCGACATTCGACATGTGGCATGACGGAGAATGAGAGTGTGAGCGAGCGAGCGAGTGAGTGAGTGAGTATCTAATAACCTTGGTTGGCGAGCATGAGCCAAGCGAGCCAAAAGTGACTACTACAAGCAAAGTGCTACTACACTACAGCCGGCCGCCACACGCGTGCGTGTGGACGACAGTGTGCGGAGCTGTTCGCATACTACGCAGTACGCGCCCCCATCACATTATCGACGACTCGTCAGAATGGGTACGTACGTTGTACCGGTCGTCGGCAGGGAAGATCTTTGTGATCTTCCCTATTATTCCCTGTCGCCACTGGCCAGGGGTTTCCCCTTGCTCACCACTTGATTCACACCACTTGCGGGTCTGCCTCGCTACCAAATTCATAGATATGCTTTCCCTCACACGTAATGTCCACCCCGCAGAACAGCAGGACCACACCCATCTGCACGCGTTGATCTTCCTATTGGACTTTCCCACTACAACGGTCATGCGTTCATCCGCAGCATCCACGCCGGACTAGCGTAATGAAGGACCAATGGGCACCTTCTCAGATGGCCCAGCCGAGATGTTGCCCTCAACCTTGTCAACTCTCTGCTCCGAACTTGCTCTTGCTGGCCGTCCCCCTTCGGTATGCTGCGGGCTATGGCAAGTTGAAGGATGAATGCGCTCAACGCCATGGCGAGTCAGCGACGTTTGGTCTGTCAAGGAGATGTCGGATGAACAGGTTTGCTCTTTCATGCTTTTCTTCTACTTTTAGATGTGTCTGTCATGAAAGCTTAATGCTTCGTACCTGGCGTGGCATCAATGGGCTAAGGGGCTTGTCTCTTGAGCCGTCATATCAATGCATCTCAACTCTGAGATTCGCTCCGTCTTTCTCTCTGATACCGGGGCCCGTAACAGCAAGGGTGTTGGCTTTTGGTGTTGGTTCTCTATGGCAGACCACCATGACACGGCATTAGCCATTCAGCCGAGGACCCCAAAAGTCAATGGCCCGCTCGATATACAACGCTTTACTGCCCTTATCCATGGCCAAAGAGGGCAGTGTGGCTCAGCAAGTCAAAAAGACGTTTACGGCATTCTCCTTTGAATTGTCTCGCTATCACAGCTGGCACCCGCTAAAATGCGGCTTTTGTCATGACGAAGGGCCTAAAACGTGCATCGGTACCCTTCTCAATATCTAGACCGTATCTGGTCAGGCACACCGTACAGGAAGGAACCCCCCCTTTCCCCCCCCCCCCCCCCCCCGGCTCCCCCCACCCAAGGCCATGAGCAGGTCGCCCACCGCCCGTGCGGGCCCTGTCGTGGGTTCGGGTCCAGCCTGGACATTTCTCCGTCAAGACATGCGGTACTGTTCGGTATTAATTCCACCTCTGTCGTCCATAAGAACAGGGGTTTTCCTCCCAGGGCCTTGTTACGACCACGGATAACCTTCACACTGCAATACATACCTGGGCCTGTCAATACAAGGGCCTCTGAGGCGATCAACCCCACTGGAGCATCGGTCGACCCTCTTCAAATTTATACAGATCTGGTCCCCAATCAAAGGAGGCTCAAATGTTGGAAAGCGACTACTTCATCTTCGCTTATTACCTCGCCGCTATTTGACAAAGTCGACTCGCATGTCTTACTTTCACCTTCGTTCTTCATATTAGTCGACAGCACCTGAACTTGACGTCACCTTTTGTCCAGTACAGTATTCACAAGTCTGATCTTCGTTTCGAAGGGCTGGTCTCGATCTTTATAGGACTCTTCCTCTTCCACCGGCAGGCCTCATCACTCTCGTCCCCGTCTTCAACACAGGTCCCTCTCGCATACGTTTTGACAGGAGAATATCTGCTTTAATACGCGGAGAGCTTCTAGAACCGACAGCTGGACGACTCAAGGACTCATTCATTCACTTCACGTTAGGGTCCATATACCAATTTTCTGCTGCAGTATCTGTTGAGCAGAGATCGATTCGAACCCGTTCAGGATTGACACTACTACACCACCAAGTTCCTTCGTTACCTCTCCACACACACATTCGTACCTAAAAGGCCTCCATAACAAGTCCAGAGTCTAAGCACTTCGACATTCGTTAAGAAAGGAGCAGTTTCTAGCCAACAGCGCCTTGTTCAAAGCAGCTGTTACCTCCCGCCATCGGATCTTACCAACTCCCGAGAAATCCCCAATATATACATTCCAATGCTCGTTTCCAGGCAGTTTGACTCGGAGAACCACTGGTCCAGCAAATACGAGACCGTTTTCCACAAGCCTACAAGCCCACGCATGTCGAACTTCGAGGGTCCGTTGTCAACACAGCCTGAGTGGCAGGGGCACTACTCGTTCCTTCCTCCTGGGGAAAACAACCTGTTTGCACAACCATTCGACCAAGTGTCTGGCTCCAGCAACAACAATAGCAACAGTAACAGCAATGATGCCTCAGCACAACGGCGCCCAACAAGCGCTCCGAACAATGCTCTAGAGAACCCCAACCAGCCTGGTGGACAGTCACCCATGGTACAGAACCGTGCCCTGGACCCCCTGGGGCTACGGGCCCCCAAGGCAGAGTCTCCTACACGGGAACAGACTGCGGCACGAAGGGGTTCGTATGGAGTCAAGGCCGAGTCTACGCACGAAGACTCGCTCGCTTCCACAGTTACTCCACCAATGTCGCTGGCTTCTAACCCGCTGAGTTCTGTTTCTTCAGCAGGACAGACGGACATGACAGCAAGTCAGAGTGGCAACGAAGAAACCATGGTGGAGAAAGACGAGGATGACGATGTGTTGGACGACGACGAGATGCTCGAAGGAGATGGCGAGTCGACACAGCCCCAAACGGCAGCAGAGCGAACAGCTGCGAGACGGAAGATGAAACGGTTTAGGTGGGTGCCACAAGCAGCTTGCGAAAAAGAAAAAGATGCGCGATTGCTAACGTTTGGCAGACTTACGCACCAGCAAACTCGGTTCCTCATGAGTGAATTCGCGAAGCAGCCTCATCCAGATGCTGCACATCGCGAGCGACTTTCGAGGGAGATCCCTGGTCTGAGCCCAAGGCAGGTCCAGGTATGGTTTCAGAACCGGTAAGGATACTACAACCCCACATCCCATTATAGTAACAATGTGATACTAACAAGGATGATATAGCCGTGCGAAGATCAAGCGGCTCACAGCCGACGATCGTGATCGCATGATCAAGATGCGCGCCGTCCCTGACGACTTTGACAACGTGCAGGCTCTTCACTCCCCCTATGGCGCCGTTCACGCGTTGGGCACACCCATCAGCTCGGCTGTGGATTTTGGAAATGCCTCGTACGCCGAGCACATGATGCGTCCAATGATGGTGGATCCGATGCGGAGAGAAGGCGAAGATCATATGTCCCCATCAGCGTTAAGCCCCGCATTCGGGTCCATTGGTTTCGCGGCGCCCGGCAGCATGGGCACTCCGGATATCCTATCGCCCATGTCGCCTCCAGGAAACGAGCGGGGGTACTACTCTAGCCACGTTAACAACCCCTTAGGCAGCGGTCCACGGACCTCGAACCCCTTTGCGCGCCAGGGCGGCAGCATGGACACGGGGATGCAGATGCACAGCCACTCGCGTCAACAACCGATGCGTCCTCTGCAGCCGCTTCAGCTCAGGGAGACTATGTCAAGGTCGAGATCGGACCAGCTACAGTCGCCCTTACGATCCAGCATGTCGTGGAAGGGCGATGCCATCAACTACAACTATCAGGCAGGAAGTGGCAGCCCGGGAGTAGGAGGCCGTCAACAATCTCTGTACCAACCAGAGATGACCAGTACGCCGACCAGCATGAGCTATGAACCTGGTTCTTACTCTAGTAAGCCAATGCATTTCTCATGCCGCTTAAGTACAACATGCTTATAAGTCCACAGCCACCGGTGTCCAGTCACCCCAAAGCCACATGAGCTACTCCACGCTGCAGCAGCCTCCACGAAACAACAACTCGCGGTTGCGAGCCGCCTCGGCTACGTTGCCCCTCGGCCTGGATCTGCGGACTCAGTTCCGATCCGTTTCCTCAGGTCATAACCTCCAGCCGCCAGCTCACTCATCGATCCCTAGGGCAGCCTCTACTGCTCCTTACTCGTCCGCCTATACATCAAGCTACCCTTCGGCGCCCTTGACTGCGCCCGTCGAATTCTCCCTTCCGCGGACGCCAGGCGTGAGACACGATTACTCAATGCCCCAGATGAGCGCCCCGATTGCGCCCTCCCAAGACTTCTCTCAGGCCCTCCACGGGAACATGGGCCAGAGCATAAGAACCCCTATGCGAGATGCCTTCGGCGGTGGACCTCTGACGACTCAGAGCCAGGGGTCTGGTGAAAGGAGTGAGGATTACTTCCACCAGGATGGTTCAGCACTGGAACGGAAGCGCAGCTTCAGCGTCTCTCAAGGCGGCCCTTCTCCCCCGGGACCTTCCCCTTACCACTCCACATAAACCCAACCGACATACGAGAATTGTTAAGAGTTTTTACACTTATACGCATACGCATTTGGGCCGGCATCTTCGGTTCGCGATTTCTTCGATTCTCTCCTCGAAACAATGCCCATTTAGTAGTCTTTTTTTTGGGCACTCTGTTACCCTGTGTTACTGTATACTTTCTACGCCACAAGTTCTTCTTGGATTGGTATTTTTTAGGTTTTGTTTTTACAGATGCATATTACGGTGCGAGCGTGTCAAATGGGTTCTGGAAAGGGCTGGCTGGTTTCTCTATGAATTGATCGGAACCGGCGGCGTGTCTGCAGAAAACTGACAGACTGATAAAACTGTCGAATATGTCTGGAAGTATACTTTTGAGAAGCTCATACGAATGACGCGACATGGAAAGAAACAAGTTAAAACGGGGGCCGTGTTGGCTACTATTGCATATAGCTCCACGACTGGAGTGGGAGATTCTCCATCGGCGCCAATCTCTTTGGGTTGCGCTTTTCAGAGCGCTGGGAGGCTGATGAGAGATACTCAACTCCTCCCACCATGTACAAAGTCTTCATTTCACTACTTTCTCTCTTGAGCACACAACATACATAACATAGCATAGTGGTGCTGATGGGATTGCACATTATTATAACTTACACACTGCTCGGTTCCCCCGTATTGGTGATAGTTAAGACTTGAGCTTTGAGCACGCAGTATTCTACCCACAGGATCGTAGAGGTTGACCAATAACAACCGATGGCTAGGTTCCAAAGTTTGACTGCGCCTGCTATCGAACTCGACGTCAAATTAGGCGTCACCTGCCATCTCCGCAGAACCAGTCCCACAACCCAGTTCGACGCGGGATCGTAACTAACCTCTCTGTGTTACGGTATGTCAAATCTCTCCGAACCGCGTCTTCCTCTCTTGTGTCTGGTTTCTACTTACTAACCAATATCTGGTCACGGGCATTTTTCCTTCTGTCCTTTTCTTGCTTCTACATACATACACCTTCACAGTTCGGAATGCAACGCCGATAGATGGGGAGCAATATACTCTGGAGATCTCTTCACCCGACCAGGGAAGAAATGTCCGATGGCCGAACACGCTTTTGGCTCTCTCCCAATACGACGGTCTGCGTCTAGCTTTTCTAGCGTCCTACAGTCTCAGACAGATACCTGTACAGCCACGTCATGAGAGCAAGTCTGTCTAGCCTGTCGGCCAGCCAGCGGCTCATGGCCGTCGCCGAGCGTAGAAGCGAAGGGGTGGCCTCGGATTAGGTCACAGGTCTAACCGGCAGGCCGACAATACTGTTGCTACCGCTACGACCTACTGCCGCTTCCTGGCCCATAACCCGTGCAGCCCAGAGAGTTATCCTAGGGCATCGACGCCAGTAACTTATGTAATTGGGAATTCCCTGTATTGGAGTGCATATATACTATGCATCGTGGGGTCAACGCAGTGTGTACCTAGACACACAAGAAAGGGGTGGGGAGAGGGGGAATTGATGACTGCATTGGGTCGCACAAAGGCCGACCACCACCAGCAGCCGCAAGACCACAGAGCAGAGACCAGAGACCAGAGAAGTTTCACAGCGCGCTGCGTTGTGTGTTACTTACACTACTGTCATCAGTCATCAGTCTAGCTAGGAAAATCCCTGACCCCGGGCCTTGCGATGAAGAAGACATGGACACAAACGCCCAATTGCTCGCGCCCAGATCACAGAGATGCATTATTTGGCCATGTACCCGCGGTAACAAACACATTTGCAGAAAAGATCAGAGAAAGAAAGGCTGCTTTCGCCACTGCCGTCTGGTTCTCCCTAGGCCGACAGACGAACGAACAATGAAAACCCAAATTCAAGCCCCGTTGCTTGGCTTTCCAGGATTTCCGGCCGAAGCATCTTACCTCGCACACTGCCTGACAGATGCACTACGACGCTGAGGGATCTAACGGGCATTTTGGCTACAATTAGGACATATTACGGGAGTACAGCAATACTAGTCCAAACAGCCAGCTAGCCTACTATCCCCCCCTTGCGAACGGTATAATGGTGAGCGGCCGGCTGATGATGATGGGTTGGTTCATCAGTGGGTGGGTGAGTGGGCTGTTACCTACATCATAGTTGGACCACCTGCCGCTCTTACCTCCTCCTTCATAGGAAATGGGGTGGTGGGCAGCATGTCAACGCAGGTCAGAGTTGCATTCCCCACGAGGTTTTGACATTGAAGACACCACTACGACTCGACCAAGATATTGGATTGTCTGCCATGCAGACATCACCAGCACCGTCCGCATGGGCTACCTGATAGGCACTTGGCTCTGTTGAGGGTCGCCAAGCAAGGTCTCAACAACGTCCGTCATGATGAGCCCGGATACAAGCAAATCGATGTATAGCCAAACAGAGACAGAGAGTATCTGGGCCACCGGATCGTATTAATACCAGTTTCTTCAACGGCAATTCCACACGGCTCGGCCCCCGGAGGCCCGTCAAGGCACAAACAGGGGAGCATTGTACGATTCGTTTGCCTTTTTGCAATTTTACCATGAAACTGACGGACCTGGCAGATGTGGGCGCGTGTATGAGCGAGCCACGCTGCCACGGATCCGATTGAAACAAAGTTTGGTTCGTGTTATGCAACTGGCCGTACAAGCCGAAAAGGGGAATTAGGAGGGGCACGGGGAAGGCTATAACATGTCCTTTTAAGACACAAGTACAGCGAAACCCGGGCCCACCATCACCTTTCTACGGTACCATTCCTTTCCTCCAGCTGAAAAAGAATCCCAGGGAACGGTTATTCTCCTTGCTTTGGAGATGTTTCGCTCCAAGCTTTGGCTCATACCACGGTGTTATACGGGGACGTATTTGTCTGTGTGTCCGTAGATATATGCTCGCTCGGCCACGCTGAGATTATTTGCAATCCCTGACACTACAATACCTACCCGATGATGACACTGGCCGTGCCCTTGCCGGTCTTTGCCATCCTTTGCCGATTGCTGGGCCCGATTGCTGGGCTGCCTATCAGTGCTACCCGATCACATCACAACTGGGGTTGGTCATGGGCGTGCCGTTGCATTGATGGAGGCCCAGCCAGTCAGCCCAGCCTAGCGCGTAGCCAGCCTGCTGCGATCCGCCCTGGGGGCGAACGGGGCGGTCCACGGAAAATGTTGGACTCAGGTATCATCAACAATAAACAAGTTGCCGTTGACACAAACTCGTGCTGTGCGCAGTTACCAGCCAGACACCTTCGACCCTTAGGTAACGCGCACAAGAAACGCCACCCGCTTCTTCCGCTGCCATGTGGTCTTATTAGACTAAGACACAGACACAGACAAAGCCACCGGAAACGTGACGCGACGCCAGCCCAGCCAGCCACCGCGAAGCCGGAGATGAACGTCCTGGCTTGAAGCTTTGCATTGAGAACAAGCAGTTGGGGAAAAAACACAAAGCAGAAAAAAAGTGCCGAGATGTGGCTGACAGTTATTACTAACGGACACCCACCCCCCTGATCCCTGCTCTTCTGCCAGGGATTCTTTATTCATTTCTAACGCTTTAAACTAACTAGGCTCTAGGCTCTGAGGGAGCGCGATCCGGTACTAAGCCCACTAATATCTCTAACACTAACTGTCTTGGGCGGGCTCGGGAGTGTGGTTCCTTGATGGCGGCAAACACACAGAGATCCATACCAGAAAAGCGAAAGAATTACGACGAGAGAACCGCCGGGTTCCTGGCTCACTCCTTCCCACGGCCTCATTTTTCTGTTCACTTTCCCCCACATGCAGTTTAGTACTAGCCCGAGTATGAGCCAGATACGGTAGTAATCCGTGAAACTCCCATCTTGGTTCTCGCAGTCATGTCATCCTGTCATCTTATTAGCCTTTTGCCTAAATAAATCATTTCCATGTCCCTCGCCTCCCCCAGCCGCCCGGCTGACCCCCAGTGTTATGCTGGACAGGGGCTCTCTTCACCAAATGACCTGTATTTTCCTGGGCTGACCATGCCGCGAAATGATATCAGCGTTGTCGTCATAACTTTCTTTGCGGTAATCATATACATAAACATACATACCTCCAAGTGGCGGCGCCTTCACGGCTGCGAACCCCAGGCCCCGACTAACTGCATGGACGAACGGCGCAATTTGCAGGCTTGTGCAGATTTCCTCTGGCTAGCTTCCGGGTTCTAGTCAAATTGTCGGGATTTATCGACGAACAATCCGCCGCATATGTGCTGGGGGATATACGTGGGGAAAAGCTTAATTTCGCACTGTGCTTGTGATTAGTTCTGTATAAGTTACCATTTAATTTATAAAATCCAGATTCGTGCGCGCATGAAAGGAAAAGCTCAAGGAAAAGCTCCTTGATTATTCGTAATGATTTAAGCGTAAGCCACTGTTCAGTTCACCGGTGAAGTTATCCGATGGTATATGGTGTATACTTTAGCGGTGGTGTTCTTATTCGTAGTTTTCTCGTCCATGTGAACGTCCACTACTCCCAAAAGAAAGACAAAAACTCGCCATGCTCTGCGGATTGAATGGAAAAAGGCAAGAAAAATGTCAGGAGGCTAATAATAGTGGCTGTACATGCAAGTCATCGATGATTTCTCCCCGAGCCCGCCTGTCGACAAGCAGGTATCTATCTCCGTTCGTCCAGAAGGCCCTTTTTTCGGGCCTCAATTACCTGACGGCTAACTAGACGATGGCGTGTCAGAACGGGAGGGGAGTCTCCACGCAGTAGCAGCAGCCACTGCATAGGCCCGATCTGAGGGGGAAGTGTTCCATTGGGGGCAGGCCTAGTAAACAAAGTTTGGTAAGACGGAAATTTGGTTGGGGCCGGTGGGCTTCGAGACTAGACCTGCTGCCCTGAGGCCATCATCATCGCCGTGGCCTGGACGTCTTGGATAGCAGCGCCTCTTGGCTGCTGAAGATTTCTGGATGCGGACCGACACGGCAGTTGGGAGATACCACCCAGGAATACTAGTAGAAGACAGTCGGGTAGAAGACGAGACGGAGACGAAACGGTAGCGTTGAGTCTCTATGGTTCTTTAACCGTTCGTGATGTGTGACTTGCCGTGACCGTCTCCAAGGAGCTACGCGAGGGCGGGAGAATACCTCTCCTGGCCAAGCGTACAGCTTCTTCCATTCTACAACTTCAGATAAGCCCGACACGTAAACAAATGCTCCCTTCTCTACAAAAGCTCCTCGTAGGGGAGAAGGGCATGGAGAAACCCCAAGTTGTCGTTAAAGCCTCTGATCTATCGTTGTTAAATGAGTAAATGCTTGTAATTCATCTAATCTGGAGTTCTGAGATGTTGGATGGAGCCCCTTAATGAAGCGATATTGAGACTTCATTTCAACCACGCGATGTGAATATGAACATGTTCAAAAGTCGTATGGGTAAAGCTGGAGAGCACATGGCCAAGCGGTGACTTTCATAAGACAAGCAGTCAAATCCAAATTGATACTAGTAATTAAGAGCCTTGAATACTTCTCAATGTGAAATCCGTACTCTGGCATTCCTGGCTCTTCGGTTCGCGTCGCCGTAAGACTGGACTCGCGCTATCGGACGGCTCCCCGGAGCACAGGAAGGAGCTGCGAATAGCCTCAGTTCGAAGCACTACTTGCGGGCTCGGTCAGTCAGCCCTATGATTTTTTTCTCAATCGCTACACTGCACGATTTCACACCAAGGCATATCGCTCTCGAGCATCACAGACATATCAACAGCTTTAGATAGCCTTGAATCGCTCGATACACCCCTTCGTCGCCCCCTAAATTCCATAGCATATGAACGACACCACCAAACATTGCGATGGCTTCACAGGCATAGTATGATCAGTGAGTCTTTCACCTTGCAGGTTACCTCATTATCTTTATCTATCACTTCTCTCTTCTGTCTTGGCCAATGCATACCATCCTCCTCGCCACTTGCATCCTCCATGCGGTTTCGTGCTTCCGTTTCGCTGCGACTGCCAGGAACCTAAGGAAATATACAGTTGTTGTCTTCAGGCTTCGGGCCGTGGTAATTTAAGCTTGACCGTGCGACTGCAGGCTGTATACACTCTAGTAGTTGGACAAGCTCAAGTTAACTTCTCTGAGGCCGTCGCAGATGACATTTCCCGGTGTACAATGCTACACCTCCTGACTAAGGTATACCACAGCTGCGTCTATACCCTTCGATCACGCCGTAGCGCTTTCGACGACCGATATGGCCTTGGTTATCCCTTCTCAGGAGGCGTATAGGAGGCGTATAATACAACTCGATCGACGTTTTTGCGGCGTCTCAAAGATTTCCGAGCTCGACCTACCTTCTAATCGATCGATTCGACACCATCGTAATATAGAGTGTAACCCATGGAGGCAACATCGATTATGAAACGCCCTCTGACGTTTCGTACAGTCGATGCCGCACGCTCGCGTGTAAAACACGATGCGTTTGGAGGGCAGCTTTTCACGGACCTCTATGCGCCCAGTTAGCCTTGCTGTGGGTGTCATGGCTTGAGCATAGCCGCTGGGTTTCCTTTGTATCACTATGCGCCGTTGAGACACCTTTCCAGAGCTCTCTTTTGAAGCTTGTCTACATCAACACCCTTACATTGAAGAGAGCTCCAGTGAACGTGCTGCCTATCTCCTAGCCGAGAACCTGACTCGCGGCAGGGAGGGCTCAATCCACGAAGTCTTGTGCGAGATCAAGACGAGCATCAGGTTGTTTGAATAGAGGCATTGTGGTCGGTTGCTTCATGTTATGCTGGCTACTGTCATACTTGACACCAACTGGGTTGCTACGAATACACCGATAGAATACCACCTTTCATGAACTTCTTTCGAGTTAACGTTTTGGGCAAACACATCTCCCACCTGTTAAAAGCAACATGGGGGAGTCTGTGTTGTATCGGCAGATCTAAGCAGTGATCTGAGCAGTAACACACCACCCATCAACTGAATATGGGCCTCGGCCTGGTAATATTACATGTCTTTGGCTTGCTTTGGTTTGAATGGCTCAACCCCGAGTCCCAACTGGCAGCGGTTTTCGACGACTCAACCACCGTATCCCTTTGTGGATTTAAACCGTCAATGCCCCTACAAGAATTGAATCCTTTAGGTTCAAAGCGGTGATGAACAATGTTTCGGTCTGACCGTCGATTACAGCTAAACACACCATACCGTTACAGTCTAATAGTCGTAGAAGCCCTTGCCACTCTTCTTCCCAAACCAACCCGCATCAACCATCTTTCCCAACAGGATACTCGGTCGGTACTTTGAATCGCCTGTTTCCTGGTACAAGACCTTCATGATGGCCAAGCAGGTGTCCAAGCCAATAAAGTCAGCCAGCTGGAGGGGTCCCATGGGAACATTGGTGCCATTCTTCATCATGGCATCAATGTCATCCCGCGTGCCAACCCCAGTCTCGAGACAGATGATCGCCTCATTGATATACGGCATCAGAATCCGATTAGCAATAAATCCTGGCGAGTCCGCAGACACGGAGGGAATCTTCCCCATTGCCTTGCAGAACTCGACCGCGGTGTCGACAGTCTCCTTGCTCGTCTGAAGCCCGCTGATGATCTCGACACCCTTCTGCACAGGCACCGGGTTCATGAAGTGAGTCGACACCACACGCGAGCTTGCAGACAGATCCGTGGGGTCCTTGGTCGTGGAGGCTGCTATCTTGGTGATGGAAATCGAAGACGTATTGGTCGCCAAAATGGTATGCTTGGGGCACACCTTGGCCAGCTTGGCGAATATGTCGAACTTTAGGCTGGAAATCTCAGGAACAGCCTCGATGACGAAATCAACACCGGAAAGATCCTCAATGGCGGTACTGGGAGACAACAAAGATCGGGCCTTGTCGGCCTGGTCCTGGGTGAGACGTGATTTGGACACGTCCTTGGCTAAGAGTTTCTCTAGACGAACAGGTCAGTATGTTGCTCGACAAACAGCCCACCGGGTTAGAGACAGGATGACCAACCTGCAAACCCCAATCCTTTGTCCAGAGCAGCCTGAGACTGGTCGATAAGTGTGACAGGTATTCCAGCTTTCTGTGCGGCCACAAGAGCTATCCCCAGGCCCTGGATGGGTGTAAGCCTTCTTGATGTGTGGTGGTGATCACATGGAAATCCACTTACCATCTGTCCCGCCCCAATGACACCCAGGCTCTTAACTTGGGCTGCATTTCGGGCAGCACTTGAGCTGAAGAGCCTGGCCTGAGTTGCAAGCTTGAAGGCTTGTCTTCTTCCAATCGCACTCGCCATCTTAGTTGGAAATACCGAGTTTCTGGCAATGTCACTGTTGTAATGAAGTCACGAGGAATCAAGGGAGATGCTGGTCTAGTTCTCCGGCTAACCTCGGCCCCGCATAACTGTTCTAGGCCAGCTGCAAGCTCCTATCGATAAGGTACTTGGAGCTTGGAGTCCTAGTCTACTTCATGCAGATGACCTTTGGGTTTCTCAGTTCTTGTGGCAGTCCAAGTCTCTAACTCGATATACTTCGTTGTGATCTTGAATTAATCCATGGATTGTAATGACCCAGAGAGTCTACAAGCAAGAACAGGCCAATCATGGTGGTCAATTGGTTGCTTTAGGTGCTTCAAGCAGAAGGATGCAATAAACGGGGCAACCATTAGACGGTGGGGATGGGGCATGGTGATATCGCTAAACGCGTCGCGAGTCCTTAAATGGGTGAGCTCTCAAGCGGAACGCGCTCGACGCGTCTCCATCCAAATTTCTGAGTCACCCGTATCTTCAACTCGCCAAACCTCGCAGTCCATGTCAGCGAATTGAGTCGCAAACCGCCCCTGGCTTACCAGAGAGAGCCTCTCTCACCCAAGATGGAGTCCTCAGAGGGTACCTCGGACATCGTGCACCCCGAAGTTCGGGCGCATATCAACAGTCTCGTCTCTGCTGTAAGTGAAGTGCGGGTTGCTGACGTGGTTCTCTCGTGTACTGATGCTGCCATTTAGCTCGGTGGTTTCAGCGCCGAAGATGACGGACGATATGTTATGGGCGACTCGGCCCTCGAGGTCCTCCGAGATATCAAGAAATGGATCCGATTTTACGATGAGAAGACGAACCGAATGGACGTTGCACGATGCTTAGCCGACGCGAACTTGGTGGACGGCGACTTGTTGCATATTCTGGCTTCCTGGCCACAGAACGCGACCGATAACAGGTTCAAGGCTCGGGCTGCTTTGGCTTGCTTCGAAATCATGGTACCGTTGACATGGCCACTCGAGCGCAACCACGAAGAGATGACCGTCAACCACCACCGGCACATGCCGGTCCTGCAGCTTGCTCAAGTGGCCTACAAGCGCTCCATCATCAATTTCGACGCCGCCCAGATTTTGCATACCGCTGTTCGAGTCGCACTTCCGTCAATGGCCTTGCCACGCAACAATCGAACCCCCCGAGACGAAGGCATCATCAAACTAGTTCTGCTATTCCTTCGCAATATGGCCATGATCTCGCCTCCTCCCAATGTTCAATACGATGGCGACGAGTCGCACATTTCAAGATCCGCCTTGATCGACGCTTTCTCGTTCCAGGATATACTGTTGACTATTTTGACGCTGGCTTCGAATATGGGTGAGGACTTCAATCATGAAGGTGTTATAGTCATGGAGATCATCTTCCATCTTGTGAAGCGTGTCGATGTCTCGAAGCTCTTCATGGACGAAAAGCAGCTCGGCAAGACAAATGCGAATGAACTCACGTCCTTGATGAACAAGGAAGCTGCAATGCACCGACCCCACAACAGGAAAGCCCCAACGAGACACAACCGCTTTGGCGCCATGGTATGGGTACAGCGTGGAGATGGTAAAATGTCCACCATATCTGGTCAGGACGCCCTGTTGGACGCTGCGACGCGGAAGCAAAAGATGGACGACAGCAAGACCTATCGCCCACCAAGAAGAGCCAGGAAGGACATGGAACCGAAAGATCTAGGACCAGTGGTGTCTTTGAACGCAAGAGCACGCCAGCAATTACGGGGCTTCGTGGAAGAGTTCTTGGACTCGGGCTTCAATCCCCTTTTCCTGAACGTCCGAAAGAAGTTGGACGATGGGAAGGAGTACGTTTTCGGGTACCATTACCAGCAATTCTTTTACCTTGTAGCGTGGTTTCTTGAAGCTCAGAGAGCACGCACAAAGGCTACAAAAAGCAGTCAAGTCGCAGGTGGTGACGATGTCGGGAGCTACAACCTTGTGGCTACTGTTCTGAACCAGGAGATGTTCATTACCCTCAACCGATCCATGTCCACCTCGCTGGAAGGCAAGAACTGGCAAGAGCTTTGCGCCGCCATGAGATGCTTCACCCAAATTCTCCTTACCGTCCAAGATATGTCAGAGTCGGGAAATGAGGATGACGAAGAGATCGCCGAAAACATCTTGAGCAGAATTTTCTACGAAGAGGAGACGCACGACCGCGTGGCAAACATTGCCAGAAATTACAAGGACCAAGGATTCGAGTATCTCGATAGCTGTACCGAACTCGCGCATACGTATCTTCGCATCCTGGAAGCATATGCCAAGCAGAATGTGGACATGCAAGTCCGATCTCGTCGGAGGATCAGAAGGAAGAAGGCAGCGAAAGCGGCGGTTGCAGACGATGCGAACCCAGCCGCCGACGATGAATCAGAAAACGACCAGGCAAGCGCAGAACGAACAACGAAGGAGCGCAAGTTTGATTTCAGTCGCTTTGCAGCTCGTTTCATCCCTCAAGGTGTCATAGATACATTTGTGAAGTTCACTAAATATTATCAGGATCTGAACGATGCTCAACTCAAGCGAGCCCACCGGTTCTTCTACCGAGTGGCTTTCAAACAGAACATGAGTGTCATGCTCTACAGAGCTGACATCATCCACTTATTCTACAGCATGATTAAAGGTCAACAACCGCTGGACAAGGGCTGCGGGATGTATAAGGAATGGGAGGAGCTGGTGAAACAAGTGCTGAAGAAGTGCATTCGCAAAGTCGAAGAGCGACCAGCTCTGATTATCGAAATGCTCTTCTCCAAAATCAACGCAACGGCCCATTATTTGGAGTATGGATATGAGAAACAGACGATTGCCAAATCCACGCCTAAGCCAGCTGCCGAGCTAGAATTTCGGACTATTGTCGAGCGCGACCAGCAGATTGCAGTTGCAGTTGGGGCGCTGCTGGACAAGAACCTGGCTCATCATATCACATGGGTCAAGGATCAGTTATCGTCGGCAGAGACCGAACGGCGAGCGTGGGAGGCGGCCGAGAAGGCGATGCCATCCGTCGAAATAACCGGCGACGAAGGTGTGGATCAATCTATGGAGGCTAACATGACCAAGGAAATGCCCTTGATCAGTGAGTTTATCATTCAGTTCCTGTCGTCAGTGAAGCTATACTAACCAACAAAGCCGTGCGTCCCGATGATGATGTGCGCCGGACGGCCATGTTCAAGAACTCACACCTCCGACTTCTCATGAAGTTGGTTGGGTTCGAGCGTCTAGCACCTACGCTTGATGAGACACCCGAATCGGCGTGGATAATTCCGTCATCTCTCAACGCAGACCATCTTCAAGAATCTTTGGACTTCATCAAGAGGGCAGAGTTTGACCCTCCAACCTTCGACGATGGCAGGTTAGCCGAGGATCAGCTGAGAAGGAAGACGGCGCCGCGGAAGACCGCAGTATTTGACGATGATGACGGAGAAGACGAGGACGAGGAACTGTTCCCCGCCAATGTACCTTCAACCCATAAAGCTGCAGCAAAGCCATCGGACAAACCTAAGAAAACAAGGCGTCGCCGCCGCCAAGACCAAGATGCAGAACTCCTAACGGAAGACCAGTTAGAAGAGCGCGCCAGGAAACGCCGCGATCACGAGAAGGAGAAGGCTCGCCGATTCAAGAGTGAGCTCTACATCAACTCCGATGATGATCTCACGGATGAAGAGCGAGACCGTGAATTCTTCGAAAGCGAGGAGAGACTTCGCCAGAAACAGAGAGCAGCGATACTCGGCATCAAGCCCCCGTCACCAAAGCTCCTAACGGCTAAGCGGAAAGCCATTGTGCTTGCCGATAGCGATAGCAACGATGACGATGATATGGTCTTGACACAAGAATCGAAGTCGAGCCGGGCGAATGTTGCGGAGAAGGATGGAGATACATCCGGCACAGACGACACACCACCTTCTTCCAGTCCACATGCGGACTCGGCAAGCGGGGCAAAAAGGAGGAGAGTATCGAAGGAGCCGAGCCCCGCTCAAGTTGATGGTGAGCCCACAAGTGCCGACGTTGATATGGATGATGCGGATGACGAGGATACACCGGCAGCGAAGCCGGCACGGGGACGGCCAAGAGCCAAGGCTGGTTTTATCATTGACAGCGATGATGAGGAATAATGATGGAATTTGGCCTCACGAGAAGGCGTTTAGGTTGGATTATACGGGTTACTGTACGTTTCTGCAACATGAGGGTCAGAATAACCCTATAGTCCAGTTGAATTTTCAAAGTTGAGTTGATGCAGCATGTATACTCTGGAAGTGGGCCTGGTACCGAAGTTTGTATACCTATGGCTACCTGAACCGAGCACTGGTGAGTTCTCAAAGCCCCCTGAACCAACGAGGGCCCATCTCCTGACTATGCGATTAAGATTGACCTATCGAAACGGAGTGAACCACTACCAGTTTCGCAACAAAACCGATATCCCACTCGCACAGTATACCGAAGACGTTTATCTTGACCCTCAACAAGCCCGAGACGCACGAAGTGCTTAAAGATGGCGTGGGCTACACAGGCAAGAGAGCTGTGTTGATGATGGTAATGAGGATGGGACTAAACCCCAGGAGTCGTCTGCAGCTACCGAAGGGCTATCTATGGGCAGTTGGCCCGAGCACTACATCCAGTACACGTCCGGTGTGTCTGGGATGCGCAACAGGTGGAAAAGAAGAGTACAAGCGAATGCTCATTATCTCGACATTGATTATCATATCTGTCTCAACCCCTGAAGCCACCCAATCCAGCCCAGCTGTCTATCCCGACGACAACATACCTAACTGCCGATTACCATTCTACTTGATTTACAGACTCGAGAATACAAGCCCGACAAGCGAAGCCGCCAGCAAGACACAGTTCATTCTCCCGGATGACGCGCCCGATACCGCCACGGGAGCCTGGCTCGCCTGAACACCAGTTCCAGTTCCAGTTCCAGCTCCAGTTCCAGCGCCAGTTCCAGCGCCAGTTCCAGCTCCAGTTCCAGCGCCAGTTCCAGCTCCAGTTCCAGCGCCAGTTCCAGCGCCAGTTCCAGCTCCAGCCCCGGCTCCAGGCCCAGCTCCAGCCCCGGCTCCAGCTTCGGTTCCAGTTCCGGTTCCGGCCCCAGTTCCAGCTCCGGCCCCAGTTCCAGCATTAGTCCCCGTCGCCGAGTCCCTTGCCGGACCTGGATTCGTCACGACAAAGAAATTCCCAGCCATGACCTTGTCCTGCAACCCGGCCTGGGTCAAGACCTGCTGGGCATTAAATCCCTGCCGATTCTGCGCCGCTTCCATCATGGAGTTCATGTTCTCCTGCGTAGCGGTCGACGTGTCGATAACGACCTGCGTGTATCGATGCGCGAGCGGGGTGCGCGCCGGCGGCGCAGGGCCAAAGTACGGGGCGGCCGCTTGCACAGCGCCCGGCATCTCGAGCAGGAATACGTTCTGCGTGCCTGCCGTTGTGTTCATGACGGCGGCCGTCTGGCTTTGCGTCATGCCAGTCTGCATCCAGTGCAGGAGCGTGTTGGTTTGCGGGGGGCTGTTGGTTGGAATGTCCAAGTCGATCATCATGACTGCGAAGGAGGAGCCGGCCATTTTTTCCATGGTGCCTAATTGGGGTGCTTGTGCTGACACTGTGACGAACGTGGTGTCAGAACTCGCGGCTTACGGTATAGGGGTAGCAACGTTGTCCGCTCACCTTCTTTGGCGATTTGCTTCCCGCCAGTCGCGTCCATCGCGTTGAAAGATACCATCAAGGAGTTCTGAGTCGTAGGCTCAAAACCAGAAGGCGTGGCCGCCAGCGACACTGTCGCCGCCGCCAGGACGGTAAGGTATGGAAAAATCATGTTGGTTGATTAATCCAGTTGACTTATTATAATGACAGACAACGGTGCACTAGAAACCAGCAGTGCGACAATAATATGTATTCAACTGTATAAGTATAGTTAACAACTCCCTGGACTTCTCTGAATATCAAAGAATACACCCTCTTTTTGTTTAAATCTTCTTGATGGCAAGTCGCAGACTGGAAACCGAAATCATCAGATGAAACTGGGTCGTGATAGCTGCTACATGCCGAGCATCATGCATGGACCGTTTCACCTCTCACCAAAGTCGTCATTGGCTTGAATCTCGAATCACTTCAAGTGGTTGACGTGTGCTTCACCTGCAAAAGCCCAAGTGTACGTTCTGTTTGCATGAGGTTTGCTGGCGTGCCTTCATCGTCTTGGCAGGAACCAAACATCCGCAGATGTTTTGGCGGGGAATGGGACTTCTGCGGCGTGGCAACCGACCGGCCAAGCGGCTTCGGTTTCTGAGCTTCTCAGCTTCCGGGCAAGACAAGGCATGGCAAGGGTCCTCACGACGAGATGTGCCTGTCCTTCAAGTATAATTCGTGGTGAACATCTGGTCTTCAGAATCAGGTGTATGCCACGATGTCGCCCGCCATGAGGTGGAGGTCACGGCGGTGACGCTCAACACTGCAACCACGCATGAGCGTGCAGTACGACACTGGTATGCATATCGTCAGGAGCTAACGCGAACGTTGTCAACTTCAGGGTGCGGCTCACGAACTAGGTTAAGGTTGACTAGCTCCATGGTGGATACATACAACCTTAGATCTTCCAGTCGTAGCAGGTGGGATGACAGCAATGCGGGGAAGTGGTTGCCTCCTGTAGGCAATCTAGCCGGGGCCGCCTTTGTGTGTCGTGCAGTACTCCATGTACGTGGTACTTCGTCTCTGAGAGGTGCGCGATATTTGACAAGCTCCCTGCCTCTCAACTCACGCTTGGAAAGCTTGGGGTTCCGGAAGCTCGGGAAGGGCCGAGTTCCGTTTCAATCCAGCTTGATGTTTCAAAACCTCTACTGGTTGATCTCTGGACCTGCTAGAGTCGGTTGGTCGGTCGCCTTGGGAACCGCGCTCGGTTCTCTCTGTAATTGCCACAGAAAAGAGAAACCGCGAAGGGACGATGGCAAACACATTTGCTAGAACATGCCAAAGGCATGGTCATTTGGGGTGGCACCGAGTCGTCGAAGCTTTCTTCGTGGTCTTGGTTGTACGAAGTCGAGTCTGGGCCATAAATAGCCCCTGAACAATTGAATATCTGACGACGTGGATGGTCATGACCCGACTTCGACATTAGGTGAACCAGTCTCGACTTACTTATATCAACTGGCGGACTAATACAATGATCTCATCACAAGTTGGCCTGGCCACTTTGTGGCTGAAGTTCCAGAATATAAAACCACGTAGACGGCTTAGAGGACGTGCTCGAACCACTTTACCAGCAGTGGCACACCAACGTGGCAGATCGGGAAATGAACAACATCACTATCAAAAGCATCAGTCTCATCGATTTTATATCAAATCAAACCACAGCTAAGCCTGTTGTTCCCGGCTGCCCTAGTGTACGGAGGATATGAGGATAGTGAGGATTATACAATTCACGGAAACCGACCACCGGGGTCAGGTGTCGATGCATGCTTTAGTATGATTCTTAACAATAGTCGGGGAAATCTCACACGAGTTACACGTTGCCCAGTGCAACGGGAGATGATGGCTTGGTGCCGTTCGGGATTTCTGCTCTCCCATGTGCATCTTTTCCCCATAACAGGCATCGCCTATCGATAGCCTAGCATTACCCATTGTAGATACCGAGATATCCCCAACCCGCTCCCTCCCGGATCTCACCTACCAACAACCTGACCGTAAGGACAGGAACTTCTCTGCTTGTCTTGGGTTGGGGAGGAAGAGAATGCCATGGCAGTTAGGTCTGTCCGAGCCCAGCTAGACTAGCGGATCGCCATCACTCGTTGTATACTGGGGACGAAGAACAGTATACCCCACTCTGGCATATTAGTGCGAGCTCGAGCTGTTAACGTATGACGCGAAGTCCAGTATTGGCCATGTGCAGTTCGGAAGTGACCTCGGGATGCTACATTAAAGCGTTAAAGTCCTGAGCGCCAACACGAGCAGCATTCAATAGCAGAGAGACGCTGTTTGATTATCTCCATCTATTATACTGCAGCAGACCGTTACCAAACTGCCGGTTCGCCCCTCGAATCCATCAATCTTCCTTACGAATCACCCATGGTGGATCGGCGTCAACGCACAGTGGAATTTGGCAATTTCCTGTTCACAAGATCGATCCGCTTATTGTCGTCATCGTTGATGCCATGCGTTGCCAATGTGTGCGGACGGATAGCGTAACTGTTCCCCGCAAAATTGTGAGCCCAGTATTAGTAGTATCAGATCAGACTGAACCAACCCAGCCACCGCAGCTGCCCAGCTCTTGAGATGCAGATAGCCGGAAAGACGACACTCGGGGCAGTTTATTTCGATCAATTACGACTGATTGAAATGACGTCTCAACTCGCTTGCAATCCACATATAGCCAGACGAAAATTACAGATGCGCCCAGGTGCTGCATGATCTAGACCCAATATTCATGGTGAGGCAGAATGGGTCCCGCAGCCCGCTACAGCTCAATCAAGCTTCGCCAAGCTCAAATAGTCGCAAGGCGGGGCCGAGGGGTCCGACTCCGAATCATCCCCGAGTGGACTCCGGCGAGATGCCGAACCCACTCTCCCGAGCATGCTCCAGATGAAGTAACTGCCTTGGTCTTGGAACCAATAGAGGGCCGCCGCAAGCCGAATAGCGGATTGCGGGGTGTTCCATGAAGTCACGTTGACAACATGTCGGGTCAAGCGTGTTTTTGGCATACTTTCTTTACCGTCCAGGCCGGACGACCTTAGCCAAGAAGGGACGCGCCATCTATCGAAGTGCGGGGCTGGCTGTGTGTGTAGCTACGGCTCCTCAAGCTTCTACTACTACGCGACATCACCAAAGCCGCCTTCGAGCTTGCCATTGTGTAACAGGAATGAGGTTGAATGGCGGAATGGCTGGATGGATGGATGGATGAATGCAGGTCCTCCCAGACATCGGGCCATTAGATCATGGAGACGCAGCAACAACGCACGCCAGAGCGCCAGAGGTTCCATTGAAGACGCTTGCATCTGCTATGCGGGTTTTATTATACCACCACAGACCGCATCTCTCTCCATCTACCCATAGAGACCCCCGCCGTAACAACCCTTTCGGCCAAAGTACCCTTACTTGCCCTCCTCGCAGGCTGTGTGTGATCCATGATTCCCTGGCCCCTTCACCCTGACCACATCGTATAAAGACCGTCACGGGTTCCGAGTCTGATTCAGCCTACCTGCCAACCTCGGAAACCTTGCCTGCTCTTTACAAATACCTTTCTACGCCAGTGCCTCGAAACGGCGTCTCCTCTCGACTCCGCGTATTCATCATCAACAACAACAACAACAACAGCAACAAACCTGTTCAACGCACCACTCGAAAGCCTACTGCTTCTGTGTTCAACTCTTAATTCATAAAACCGTCAAGATGGTACGCTTATTATTATCCCATTCTCTCCGGCCTGTGACACGTTGTCCCGTGGCATCCAAACGGGGGTTTTCTTCAACTTCATCTTCTCTTATCACCAGCACCCGAGCCTCCTCGTCGTCGTCGTCGCCGCTGCGGGCTAGTGTGACGTTACGCCCAGCTCTGGCATCCAAGGCCACGACGAGCTGCTCGCCCCTCTCGCGGTCGCCATTGGCATTGGGAGGAGGAGGAGGAGGTCCGTCATCGATTCGCTTGCTGACTGGTCAACGTGAAAAGGTCAAGGTTCTGCTCGTCCTGTATGACGGTGGCACGCACGCCGAAGAGGTACGTAAGACACTTACTTCCAACCCGCTCTCCCATCCATCCAATCATGCGCTCGCAACCGTCAACCACCAACATTTGCCCCTCCGCACCTCGTTGCTGCTGCTGCACGGTTGCGGCCCAATGGCGGGGGTTCGGAAAGTTGCATATTGGAGAAAAGCAGTTAGAATTGAATGACGGCAGATGCGTGCGCTGACGTGTGGGGTAAATTGACTCTAGGTCCCCGAGTTGCTGGGCACCACTGAGAACGAGCTTGGCATCCGCAAATGGCTCGAAGACCAAGGCCACACGCTCGTCACCACATCGGACAAGGAGGGCGAGAACTCGACCTTTGACCGGGAGCTGGTGGACGCCGAGGTCATCATCACAACGCCGTAAGCATTTACCCTTCGCTGGTTCCATGACCACAACACGCTCGACGAACCCCCCACCCCGGACTAACGTGCTATTGAATTGAACAGCTTCCACCCGGGGTACCTCACAGCCGAGCGTCTGGCCAAGGCTAAGAAGCTCAAGCTGGCCATCACGGCTGGTATCGGATCAGACCATGTTGACCTCAACGCAGCCAACGTAACTAACGGCGGCATCACCGTGGCCGAGGTGACGGGCTCCAACGTGGTGTCGGTGGCAGAGCATGTCGTCATGACGATCCTGATCCTGGTGCGCAACTTCGTGCCCGCGCACGAGCAGATCGAGGCCGGCGACTGGAACGTGGCGGCAGCGGCCAAGAACGAGTTCGACCTCGAGGGCAAAGTGGTGGGCACCGTGGCGGTGGGCCGGATCGGTGAGCGCGTGCTGCGCCGCCTCAAGCCCTTCGACTGCAAGGAGCTCCTCTACTACGACTACCAACCGCTCAAGCCCGAGATCGAGAAGGAGATCGGTTGCCGCCGCGTCGAAGACCTCGAAGACATGCTCTCCCAGTGCGACGTCGTCACCATCAACTGCCCCCTGCATGAGAAGACCCGCGGTCTCTTCAACAAGGACCTCATCTCCAAGATGAAGCCCGGCTCCTGGCTCGTCAACACGGCCCGCGGTGCCATCGTCGTCAAGGAGGACGTTGCTGAGGCACTCAAGTCGGGTCACCTCCGCGGCTACGGAGGTGACGTCTGGTTCCCCCAGCCCGCGCCCCGCGAGCACGTCCTCCGCACCGCCAAGAACCCCTTCGGCGGCGGCAACGCCATGGTCCCCCACATGTCGGGCACCTCGCTCGACGCCCAGAAGCGTTACGCCGACGGCACCAAGTCCATCCTCCAAAGCTACCTGTCGGGTAAGCACGACTACCGCCCCGAGGACCTCATCGTCACGGCTGGTGACTACGCCACTAAGGCGTACGGCCAACGTACCAACAAGAAATAAGGGGTCAGCAATGATGAGGACGGTGTTGAAATGCTAATGACTTGGACAAAGCGGGATCGAGGGAATGTCTGTCACTAAGGCATCCCTCTTGGGCTTTTATCCCTCGCGTGTGCGCATTGCAACGGGCGTCGTGACGGGAACGAGATGAACTTTCAAGTATCCAGCACCCCCGGGTTTAGCGCTGTGGCGAACTGTATGACAGATAGCTTAGCAATCAGATGTTTCCAACAGAAATCAAACCACATCTTTGATATGGGGTGGACGCCAAATCAGTTGATCCTACTTGTGAATAGAGGAAGGAGATGTCTGACTGACACGCCAGTTTAACCCTAGTTATTTTAGCTTAGCCGCCGGCCTCGCACGTACTACGTCGTCTCGCCCTTCCCTTCTAGGGGCCTCCTACATTTTGATCTCGGCTCGCCCTACCTTCAACGCTTTCTTCACCGTCCCGAGATATATCACTCAACTAGCAATGTCCGTTCCGCGATGTCGGAGTGTGACCACGGTCCGGAATCATCGCCCACAAAGTATACCCACTTATACCAGAAGCGGTACAGTCACACCATTAGAAATCCAACTCGGAGACTTTCTATTACCCGTGCCACACCCCACTTATTTCGGATTCGCTTGAGCTCACCAACTTGGCCAGTTTTTCGACGGATTTCAACCTTCAATTAGAATCTACGTAATAACCGCCAACCAAGGCCTGTCTCGAAGACATCTGTAGGCTGTAATTGGCCTGTCAATCGACGTCTTCTAGCTTCTTTTGCGGCATCAGAAAAGCTCTTTTTGGCTACTCTACGTAGTCCTTCATGATACTTGGCGAGAACTCTCTGTGCTTTAGCTACCTCATCTTCAACCTTCCTCTTCACCATCTCTCTACCTTCTGCAACGGATAAAGCTCCACCAGATTGAAGATGATAGTTCTTCGTAGCGCGCCGTTGTTTTGATATACGTTCGGCGTACTTTGTACGACTAAGATCGCGCTTAGTCTGTATAAGCTCGGTCGCATTAACGAGGGACCCTTTAACAAAGCGACTAAGTCGATAGGCTAGATCTGGACTAATACCAAGCTCTGGATCAGTAAGACAGTTCGTAATCTTGCTAACTACTTTATTAATTTGTCACTTCGCTGGTAGATAAGTCCCGATTTGAGCCTCGCCCACTTGCGTCGGTGACGAGTCGCGGGTTCGAATCCTGCAGCTGACACACAAGGGGGTTTAGTCAACCCTTATGGCGCGCTGCCCACCTTGTTGACTTCGCCTACCTAGCGATAATAGGGAGATTGGTGCAGTTTAGGATTACGAGCATCCTAGCCAGTCGACCGTCAAGCACTACGTCGGCGGAATATAACTCGACAGCCGGTCCAGAATTCGAATCGTTAATCCGGCCCCTTATCGGACCTCGCCTATCCGATAACGCTCGTCGGCGAACCCGTCCCCTCACGATAGAAGGCGCGCAGCACGCCCTCTCGCCGCGATTCTTGCGAGCGTCTAGACCACGTTACGGTCTATCCACTTGAGCGTATGGTTGAGATGTATACGCTCGACGAGAACCCCAATTAGCAGATACTACGACTTGTCGCGACAAAAAAAATAGTCGAGCATCTTCTGCACATCAGCAGCATCCCACCCCTGAGGACGAATTTAAGTGCCACGTTACCACACTTATCGGTAGTTCAGGCAGGGGTTGTAGCACAGACTTAGGGAGGGACAGGAGGTTTAGTAGTCGTTTGGCTACAAGTTTACCTGTATAACCGCCCGACGCGGCTTAAGGGCCCGCTATATCATCTATAGCCCCTTAAGGGAGTACTTGTAGAGGTACCGAGGGTTAACACCTACGGCGTATTTAATATTATTTTTTTATTAATTTGTCGAAAAGTAGTAGGTGTGCCTTCATATGACGAAGATGAAGGGGCTGGTGATGGTGATGGCGTCTTTGGTATACGTTCTTCAATCTCTTGTAGTATTGGATGAGGGTAAAATGGATATATACCGGTTTTCTTGAAGGCTGACTGAATAGTACTCGCTTTGAAGGTCTTTTTGCGTACATCTTCGATAATTGAGAGGAACTCTAGCTTGGTTATATTGATACATCCATCCCGTACTAGCTGATCGAGGGACTTCGCATGCCAGTGCTTATATGGCTGAAAAACAACCACATCTAGTGGCTGTAAGAGATGAGTAAGATGGGGGGGCAAGCCGAAGGGTATAATATCGTGGTCGTTGCAGTACTGGATAAACTGCTTCGTATGGTGGCTGCCGTGGCCGTCTAAGATCAATAGTCGCTTTTGACCTTTCTGCGTTTTCTTAGAGTGTTGTTCGAAGTGCATAAGCCACTCGAGAGAGATCTCGTCATTCGAATAGCCTGTATCGACCGGCCGTAGCTTCGTATCTGGATGAAGGTCTTGCGCGTACCACTGAGCCGAGTGGATAGTCCCCGTGAGTATGAGGAAAGCTGGTATTACGTCGCCAGCAGCAGAGATAGCTTCAATAGCTGTCGCTGTGTCTCTATTTTCTGGTAGGCCGAAGTAATGGGCCCTCTTGCGCTTAGTGATGATAAGTTGATCCTTACCAACACCAATCCGGAAGCCAGTCTCGTCCATATTCCAGAGATCAGAGGGATCGATTCCTTCTTCCCGGAGGACTCTCTCAAGCCGTGTAAAATACTCCCGTATAGTGTCGAGATTTTCAGCAGTCTGGCGGTTTGAATGGAGCTTCCGCTGGGAAGCGTGGAAGTAGCTATGGCGCTTGAGGAAACGTGTAGTCCAGTTTGATCCGACTGTTGTTGGTGGCTGATTTGGTAGAACCTTGACTCTCTCACGTAATATCGTATTTGCAGCGTCGGTAACGAATTCTACGCGAACCGCAAGATTGATCCTATCAAGGCGGTCGATGTAATTACAGAGGGCCTTTTCTTCGGCTTCAGATAGTAGTTTGTTGAGTCCTCCGTGGTTCTTAGTCTTCCCAGCTTGCTTGACGCGGTATCGGAGGGTCTCGCGTTTTACGCCGCTTTCTCGCGCAATCTTGGCAATTTTGGCTTGAGGATGCTCTTGCATGTAGAGGACGGCTTCCTGTAGCTGTGAGTCCATTGCGATTGGAAAAATCTAATGAATTGACGAAGATAGGATAGGTTGAAGTTGAAAGTGTCGAAAAACTGGCCAAGTTGGTGGTGAGCACCAACTTAGGTTGGTGAGCTCAAGCAAATCCGAAATAAGTGGGGTGTGGCACGGGTACTGCAGGCCTCAGAGTCGCGCAAACACTAAGAAGCTAAACCCGCCATGACCTTTCTAGTCCGAGGTTGCTCTGTAAGCGAGGTCGAGGTTTGATATTCTTTTTTGTGCGTTTCTTTTCTTTGCTTTGTAATTGAGGTCGAGGCTTGGAATTATCCTGTCTTATCTCTCTGCGTTGCATGTTAATACTTAAGTCTTGAAGAATATGGCTAACAAGACGAAAATGCATCTCCATCATCCACATCAACATTGCATGGAACCAATACCAGGCTCTCACGAAAGTACATTCGAAAACGCTTCGGTCCTAGTCAACCAAGCAGCATTGTGAAAAGGGAGAAAAAAACTTGTCATAAGCAGCCTCGCCTCACTTGATATCAAACATCTACACTACTACTCCTGAACCCCCTTGATCTTCTGATCCAGCCACAACCATGACAAAAACCGTCGTAGTCCTAGGTGCTGGACTGGCCGGGTTACCAGTCGCCCACTACCTCCTTAGCCAAACATCCAAAACCGTCCCCGACCTGCGCGTAATCCTCGTGTCCCCCAACGACGAGTTTTACTGGAACGTAGCTAGCGTCCGCTTCACCATACCCGGCCTGATACCAGACTCCAAGTACCTCTTCTCCATCCCCGAGAACTTCGCCAAGTACCCATCCTCCAAGTTCGAATTCCTCGCCGGCAAGGCCGAACGCCTCGACCCGGGCAACAACTCCGTCGTGGTCGCTTTGAACGACGGCTCACAACGTGCTCTCGGGTACCACACCGTCGTCGTGGCGACCGGATCCGACGCCAAGGACGACATGCCCTGGAAGAACGTCGGCACTAGCCAGCAGACCCGTGCCGCCATTGCACAGCTCCAGGAGGGTATCAAGAACGCTGAATCCATCGTCGTCGGCGGCGCAGGAGCAACGGGCGTTGAATTTGCCGGGGAGCTGGGATCCGAGTATGCCAAATTCGGCAAGAAGAGCGTAACGATCATCTCAAGCGAGTCTCTCCCGCTCGAGTTGCGCCTCAAAGACGGGGTGCGCGAGGCCGCCAAGAAGGAGCTCGAGAAGATGAAGATCAAGGTCATCACCGATGCCAAAGTCACGCACGTCTCCGAGTTCGGGCCCGACGGACAGAAGATACTGGAGCTTACTGCGAAGGACGGCAGCAAGACAACGCTCAAGACGGATTTGTATGTCCCCACGCACGGGGCCACGTATAATACCCAATTCGCCCCCGTCAGCATGCAAGATGCCAACAAACGCCTGCACCAAAATACATTTCTGCGCGCGCCAGGGTACGAGAATGTATTCGTGCTAGGCGACGCAGGGAATCTCGAGGTTGCGCAGGCCACTGCGTCCGAGGCGCAACTCAGGCATCTCGTCAAGCAGTTCGGGACGTACTTCGAGTCGGGCAAGGTGGAAGAGTACAAGCCCAAGGATGGAATCATGATGGGCGTCACGGTTGGACGGGACCGAGCCACCGGGCAAATGGGGAATTGGAGGGTCTTGAGTCTGATGATTTGGTGGTTTAAGGGACGGTATTTGGGGACGGATTACGCTGTGAATTATGCGGCAGGGTTGAGGACTGCCATAGGCGAGTGGGAGTAGAGTAAGGGTTGCCCAAGGCAACAGGGGCGGTGATGACGATAAAGGCCGGGATGGCAGCATTCCTCGAAGGGGGTTTCAAGGGGGGTGTATGTTTGATTTGCTTAGATTTGCTTGCACCAATTCCGCGCGTTCATATTGTTTTTGCTTTGACTTTGACTACTAGTTCTGCTTGTGCAGTATATACCAATTTCTTGTTACTCATTGCCAAAGAAACTTGGACTTATGCTAGCAACGTGCTACCTGTACCACGGCGTCTCGAACTACCTTAGCTAGGAAACAAGACACTCGTATACAACATAGTTCCGTCATGGTAGACCCAGGACAAATGTAGTGACAGAATGCCGGCATGATTACACGACAGATCACAGAAAAGAAGAAGGGAAAAAGGAAGTGAGCCACACTAAGTTTGCCTGCATGTCACTTCTCTCCTCTCTTTTGTCAACTCACTCATGCTCTTTCCAACAATAGCATATGTGAAGTTCATGAAAAGATAAGTCGGGTTGGCAATGGCTCGATCAATTCCATTATCGCTATGCGCGTCGCTATTTTCGGATGAACTCAAAACTTAGTATCTATCCTTAGCCCCGCTCCCACAGTCTCATACCCCCTTTTCAGCAGGGGCCTTGTGGCCATGCACCCGTAGGCCCCGGCCCCCATTCTCCCTCTATACTCTCGACTACGCCAGCATCCGGCCAGTTCACTTCCAATTTCTCGAGCTCGCGCTTGAAGAAATCCTGTTCCTCCTGCAGCGCCTCTCTCACATCGGCAGCCATCTTCTCGGGGTATCTCTGCACATTGCACCAGTGCGTCAGACTGCGGAGCGCTTGCTCCAACGGCAGCGCCTCCTCCACCTCGGCATCGACGTCGCTGCCGGCCAGCCACTCGTCACGCAGTTCGGGGCGGCAGTGGAGGTATACCGCCGTGATGACGCGCATGTTGCTCTGTCGCCACTTCCGGCCACAGTAGGGAACCTGGTTCTTAAATAGCTTCAAGGTGTACAGACGCAGTTCATCCTGGGGCACTTTGAGCGATTTCCGGATGATGTTGGAGGATTTGTACTGCACGAGCAGAAGATTCCGATGCGCTTTGTTTTTGCAGATCTTCTGCAGGATTCGGAGGTAGTTGATGAGGGAGAAGAAATTGCGTCGGGAAAAGTCAGTGATGGGTTCTTTTGGAAGTGGGTTAACGGGATATCCAAGCTCGTCAACTTCCGGACGAAGTGGTGCCTGGGCGTCTGGGTTTGACCCCGGCTCACTACCCTGGGCTGTGGCAGGCGTGGGCCTCGGGGGCGATTTCCGGCGTTTGATAGGTGGCGGCATGGCATCATCCTCACTTTCATCATCTGGCCCGTCTATTTCTGTTGGTTCGACGGGCTTATGGTTTGGAAGAGCCCGGAGATTGCAAAATTGAAAAAAACTGTCTTGTATTAGCAAAGAAGTCGCTGGAATGGGGACCAGCACTGCACCTGTGTTCCAATCGATCGGTCTTGCTGTCCACCACCTGCTGAACGTCTTGATGCGCAAACAGCTTGAGAACCAGAGGCAGGTAGTTAGAGTCCAGTAATAGCTGGGTCAAGTATTCGAACTTCAAGATGTCTAGGGGCTGCTGTTAGTAAGGTGCATTGAACAGGGGCATTGAATAGGGATCGGCCACTACTTACGTGAAATTTTGAACCACTTCAACAGGAGAAGAAGGGTCCCCGTCAGTGCCTTTCCCTCGATCTCACGTGCTCTCGCCTGATCGAGTTCCTCCAACGACATATCAGCAGTGTCTGTAGGGCCCAAACCGTTTGTCCCGGCAGGAGCGTCCTGGCCTCTGAACATAGGTTGCCCGCCTTGGCCCATGCGAGCATTGTTGCCCATACCGTCAGGCATGCGACCCTGCGGCATGGTAATGCATGCAGTAACATTGTAGAGAACGGCCTTCATAAGGACCATGACTACAGACTGCAGTTGGGGCAGAGCATTATCCTGCTCGATGCGTTAGCACATACTACTGCCATCCGGCTCTACAAAACGACTTACGTAAAACTTTTCGACAGCCTGAAGACGCCATTTGATAGTCTTATCGAGATTCTCGTTCGGACCGTAGTCTATATCAGGCTCTTGCGACTTCTCTGTCCTTTTCTCGATCACAGCAAGAAGCTTGTCGTCATCTACGTCATCATCGTTACCAACTGACAGAGCATCAAGATCAAGACTGTCAAGGTCGTCATCAGACGGGTCCCAGCCCCTTTCAAACTTTAGAAACCGTTCTCGTTCTTCCCAAAGTTGTCGGATGGCTCTAGTCATTCGTACTCGTTTGGAGAATAGTTCTCCGGCCTCTTTGATCGAAGTAGGGATATCGCTCCCTTCCCACTTACGACCAACCAGAAAGTCTTGCAAGCCCGCACCGCCCTTGCCACCTGCGCTGTTACTTGTGGCATCTAGAGGCGGATACATAAACGGAAAATTTTGGTTTGTTTGGTAATTCTGCTTCTTGCCACCCTTTCCGCCTACATTCGGTGATGGTGGCGGAGACGGTGCAGGGGTGGCAATATGTACTGGCTGATGCAGGATAGAAGCTCCGCCGCTTTGTGAGTTCGGCGGCGCAGGCAAAATACCGTTGGAGCCATTGTTGCGCGTGGGATGATTGGGCAACGGGGGCAAGAGCGAGGTTTTATCTGCTTCTAGTGGTAAGGGCAGCTGTGGTGGAACATACGCTGGGTATTTCGAAGATATTTCCTGTCGGAAGACATGATAGTCTAACGGAGATGCAGTGATGATGTCGTTGTCTTTATCATCAGCCGAAGTCTCACTAAGCGCCTTCTTGGTTTCTGCGATCTCTTCGGTTCCTCCAAATACCACGAGAATGCATTTCCAGAGCAATAGCAGGGACTGGCGGGCATCAGTAAACTCAGCCCCTCGATAGTTGGTAGATGTACTTACCTGAGTCATAGGTATCAAAGTACCGTCCATCCACCTCATTTTAGCCACGACATCCAACATGTAAGACGCAATGTTGGGGTTCAATTCTACTAGTACACGTTAACCGGGGCCGGACTGTGATGGATTACGATACTCACGTAATTTTTCCCGCACCCAAGCCATACCCTTTCGATCATTCAATACCTCCTGTATGGTCATATACATGATAGTCATTAAGTTCATCAATTCGTCCTGGGTTTCCTGGATATTATCGGGCGGCGATCTCGGCGACTCTACAGCCCTGTTATAATTGTCAGCATATCAGACGAGAAAAGGGGCCGGTAGTAGCATACCACAATACGTCGAGAGCATTCTGCATAGCCGTCCACACAACGGGCAGGCCGTCTAGTTGGGCAACCAACTTGATGCCAGCCTTCATTGCCGCCAGCTGGTCGGGGGCAGCAGCGCTCCGAAGCTTCGACTTGTCACCGTAAGGTGGGGTGCCGGCGGTATCACTCCATCGTCCCAAGACAATATACATGATCCTGCCCACCGCAGCTGCGCGGGGGGCATTCTGGTTCGTCTTGATTTGCTCGAGAGCGCTGCGCACGAAGGTGGATCTAATGTCGTCGGTTGCCTCATCCCATTCCATGTATTCGTGCTTAGATCCGACATCCTGCTCCCATTGAGCTTCAAAGCCTCGTTGCGCCGTGTTAAGTCGCACCCATTGCCAGAACTGATAGACGAACCACTCGTCGATCTCTTCAGCATGCGGCCCCGTGTCGGAATAGACGAAGTCGTATGCCACTGCCTCGGTGCGGGGGAATTCTGAGACAATGAGGCGGAGCTGGGCCAGAGACAGAGAATCGGGCAGCTGGTTTCCCTGCGGAGGTTGGGGCGGCGGGATGGACATGGAATTCCTCTGTAGGCCCGGTCGAACTGGCGGTTGGCCTGAGGTTGGATGGGTCGGTCCGGATGTACCTTCGGCGGCGACTCCTGTATCCGCTACATCCACAGGCCCTTTAGACCCATCGGGCATGTCGCTGCCGGCTTTCGATGTCCACAGCGAATTCATTGTACCGATACCGGGTGGTGGGCAGCTAGCTGGTACGACTTGAAGGGTGCATTTTAGCGTCTGTAACTGTACAACCTCTCCGTATGCTGTTCAAAGCTTCTCGGTAGGTATTGCGCGATGCGATGCCGTGTTGCGAATTATAAGGAAGCTTTCGGACTACCATGCCAATCAATTGTTGGTGGGATGAATGTCCACGCCCGACGCGCAACAGCTCTCACCTAATCGATAAGTCGGTCCGGTCCAATTGGCGCCGCCCAAGCTACCTACGAGTGCATGTGCACAGACCAGGAGAGCTTACGCCCGCCCAACAGATCCGTACGTGTAAAGCAAGGAAGGTGCCAGCTAGCCGGGGGGTGTTTTTCTATTTAGATTGTCTAGTCATCTCAAGCATTCATGGACAGACACACTTCATTGGCCCAAGGCATGAGTATTACAAAGGAGCCACCGTTAAATTTCGAAGGGTTCTCACTTTAACTCAGTCTCTCTTCGTCTCCACGCAGGGGTGGTTTCCCGACTGCTACCTGCCTCCGACACCGCCTCACCTCTGGCCAGCTTCTTCTCCCTTTCCTTCGCTCTGCGCTTGAGTTTCTTCTGCCGATTCAGCCTCTTCTTCTTATCCTTCAAGTGCTCCTCCTTGACCGCTAATTTCAGCTTGACAGCTTCCTCTTTCTCCTTCCATTCCTTCTCGCGAGTCCGCAGAATTATCCTCCGTTTCTTTCCCGGCCTCTTCCTCTTCTCATCCGTTGCCCCGTCATCGCCGTTCTTGGATTTTGAAATGGGCCTTTGGCTACGATCATCCTTGAGAGTGATGCTCGTGACCCTCCACGGCTTCTCCAGCCCCCATCGCCTCCGCTTGGCGTCCTGCAAAATGTAGTCCGCACTCACAGAGGTCACCCTGAACCTCCTCGCGGCCTCGTCATCCGGTCCGTCGGAGATGTAGTATGATTGCGGTCGCCTGGGAACGACAAACCCGCCGTCTGCGCCGTCTTCGCCTGGCACATTTCGACGCTTGAGCAGCACGGTCTGACCAGGTTCCTGGTTACGAAAGAGACGAAATTCAAATATCGTTTCAGGCTCTTCAGCATATGCCCTCTTGCCTTCTGTATCTTCTGCGGGAGCCTCAGTCTCTGCAGGTGCGATTTCTTCAGATGGTGAAAAGTCAAAATCCATCAAGCCCACCAACTGCGCGTTTAATTGCGCTCGCAGGTCTGCTTCGGCCTGTTCGTCTTGACTGATATCATCTTCGGATGCCGAATCGTATAGATCCTCACGGCGAACCCTGTTCCTGGTCAGTTGAGGTCTTGTTCATGAGTTGGTCGCGGGGACTCACCGTTTCGCATCAGACACCACCTCAAACATGATTGAGTGCGGAACAGGTATCACCAATGATATATCATGTAATCTTCTAGAAGGGAAAATTAGGAGCTTTACGCTGTTCAATGTGCAGCGAAACACCAAACGTATTTGGTTTGTGCGACGTTGTGAGATGGAAAACTGACCGGCTAATCGTCGTAAGAGGTAGGTTCCACTCGAGCTGAAGTACAGTTCGCAGGCAAGCGCGAGCGACTGCAAAGGACGTTGCCAGCTGTTTGGCAGGCCATTACCGGCCGCGCCGGCCAGCCAGTATGAATTTCAGCTCATAGCTCCTCGCACTCACTGCTTGCATGAATGAAGGAAGTGGCCGCAGCTGAGCTGTGCCGTCTTGCGTGACCCGAAGAACGTTTGATTGTTTCAGTCTTATGAAGAGCCATTATCTTCGTACACTTTTTTCCATTTCAAAACATATGCTCAGCAGAACTCGGTAAAAGTTGCCTTGTGATCGGATCGCGGCACGAAGATTCATTCATTCCACCACCTCGACATGGGACCCGAACTAGTCGGCTGCGGCTGATACTTGGATGGGACAGTATTCGGATTATATATGTCAGATAATTTCCTCTTCTCGTGCTATGCACATCCGCATTCGTTCATGCAAGCCATCCATCCTCCATCTCACCGCGTCGAAATACCACACTCCCTCTCAACAACTTTACCGCCGTCAACCTTTCTTCACAGAGCGCCATGAGAGAATTCCGGTGAACATCTCACGACGACAAAAAAAACACAATCAAAGCATAAGCGGAAAATCAGCTTGCGCTGGGTATCTTACAACTGGATGTTGCACTCTCCGAATGATACAACTCTTCCAAACGTCAATCCCAAGAAGGCAAAGAAGGGGGCTACCAAAACAGCAAAGTGCAGGTGAAAATCATAATTTCGAAGGATTCGTTCGGGATTTACCCAACAGACACACAATAGCTGCTCTTCTGGACTACTACACTTGTCTCGCTTTTTCTTTTACAACAACGAAACAACGAAACCTTTTCTCTCCCCGCAAAACAAAATCCAATACAGATCAGACACCGCCGCCGCCACCCAAGCGCACACTAAACCACACGGTATTTGTGACTTTCAGTCAGAATTGACATAATTGGGGGATATCAGAGACAATGATGCTTTCAACCAAACGACACAAAATACAAAAACAAAAAAAAAACAAAAAAAAGGAAGAAAAACGAGCCTCCTAACTCCACCTTTGACGCCGAGCTCCTAGGACACTGCTGCTGTTGCTGTGGTCATCAGCCATGCTTGCTCCTCTCACGCTGATCCCAACAGAATCGTTGTGGTTACAGAGAAACACAACAGGTGACAGGGGGGTAATGGATGGCAACAAAACAAAAACAAAAAAATTACAAAAAAGCAGATGTCCTCCCTCCTCTCTTGATCCCCTATAAGCGACCCATGGTACCCATATTTGCAGTTTCTCCTCCCAAATTTGTTCCTTTGTTCTTTCCTCGTCTTCTTCCGGCCACAGAAACTCGTTTATTGACGGTATTTCTCTTTGGACTCTTCTGCGGTATCGTGGTGGTTGGTGAATTGGTCAATATTATACAGCGACCAGACAATATTAGACTAGTCGACGGCGTGGTCCTATCGCGGTTTCGAGACGATGCTCGTTTAGTATCTTCGTGTCGCATTTGACAGTCGAGGAACGGTTTCTGTCTCCTCTTCATGTCGGGTTCCAGTTGTAATGGTTCAATGTGTTGGCGTAACCCCCTGCAGCTTGCGAGTGCTCGCCTTTCAGGGGAGGCATGCTGTGGCTGGACTTGTATTGCTCGGGATAGCCGTACGGCCTGCTTTCTGAGCTGTGGTACGTGGCACCCGGCTCGCCGGCGGTGGTAGTCCATGAGTTGGTCGGCGGGTAGTAGTCGCGAGGGGGCGGAGGTTGCGAATGTGCGGCTGAGCCGCTGTCGGCCCCGCTGTAGGTTGAGGAGCTCATCTCGTTGTGGTTATTACTATTAACAGGGACGTACGACGTCCCGTAGCGGTATTCGGAGGTGTCATTATTCGTCACCGAGCTGCTGCTGTGCACAGACGGGTGGCTGTTATGTCGAGGGCTTTTCGACGGCCTTGGGTTGCTGTCCACGTATCGCGGCACGTTCAAATTGTGGTCGGATCCGCTGCCGACTGAGGTGGCAGATACCGACATCTGCGGTGGAGCGGACGTGCCTTGGACGTAGGCATACTGCGTTCGTATCGCCGGTTGCTGCTCGTTGCCCACCAAGGAGAGTTGTACCGATGGCATGGAAGTTGGAATCGGCATCTCTTGGGGCTCGGCCGTGTAGTTGGAGTTTCCTGAAAGTGGCATTTTCTGGTAAGAATCTGCGGCCATGCTCGACGTCGGGTAGCTTGTTGTTGTGGACGTCGACATCTGCGACATGGGAAGCTGACCAGGTGGGCTCCAATTCGGGTAAGAACTGACAGGCTGTCAGTTAGGCTTCTCGGCCATGGGAGGAAAGGGAAGTAACGTTGGGTGGCTCTAGGAGAAAACATACGTGGACCTCATCGCCATCGGACTGCCCGGTAACTTGGAGGCGTTGAAAGTGAAAGCCGTTCGTGGGAGCTCGAGGTTCAACCCCCTCAGCTTGGAGTCTTGGGGCTTGACCGCCAACGGTCCAGCGACAATTCCGAGTCCTGTTTCCACGAGAGCTTGCCCTCTTGATCCCGCGCTTGAGCCCAGCAGGGGGATTTCCTTGCGCGCTTGGAAGTTCCTAGGACTCCGACCCCGAACCACAATCGGTGCGGTTTGGGCTTCCGTCAACACCACTTTGGATCCGTTTGCCAATGTCCCGACAACCTTCAAGTGAAGTACAAAGTGCTGCTGAAGTTCCTTTCGTCGGCCATTGTTGGCGGTCGCACTGGACTATGATTAGCGTCGTTTCACACGCAAGTCGAGATTAGCCACATACATTCTGAACTGCAGCCGCCGCCAGCCGATGGGGTACACGGCATATTCGCCTTCTGCCTCGGCTCCGTCGTCCTGGAAGGGGATTAGGGGTAGTGAAGGCGGCTCTTGGTCTGGGCTTTGGGGCATTTCTGGGGAGTTTGGCGGTGGCGTTTTCCACGGAATCACGATGAGTCGCACAGGGTGTCCGTCAACCGACTCGATTGCCGAAATGGTTACTTCGGTGCTGCTCACTGGCACCGTCTCTCCCGTCTCGGCCAGCACAACCGACAGCTGCCCTCGGGGCGTTATCAGGGAGCCACTAATTTGAAACAGGTTGCGCCGGTAGCAGGTAAGCTCTGGTTGCAGGATGGACCCATCGTTGCCGCTCGAGGGCATCTCGGAGAGGAAGAACATGCCGTGAAGTTGCGCCGAAAGCTCCAGCTGGTGCACACGGCTGTGCTGGTCGACGATGGTGTGCTTGTCCTGGACCCTTCGGAAGGAAAGCAGCTTGTGGTCATGGTTGACTGTGAGCTTGGAGCCATCGTCTCGGAGGTCCTGGACGATCTCCTGGTACGGAGGGTGGTCGTTTTGTTGGTACGGCCGCTTTAGGTTGGGGAAACTGTGGTGTTGTGTCAAGGACGAATGCGGGTGTCTATCGAAAGCATCGGGTTCCTCCTGGGCATATCTCTGGTATGGATGCTGGTGTTCTACGGCTGGGTGGCTACTACTCCTCCGGTCTTGATAATGTTGCTGTTGCGATGACGCGGCCGACGAGTGCGGCATGGCGGATTCCATAGTGTTGGGAAAGCGAGTTGGCAACGGCATTGTTGGACCGCCATAGTTGGGCCAGATACTAGTATGCGCTGGCTCCGGCTTCAACTCTGCCATGGTCGCCGTTAAAGTCGCGGTGGTTGACATGGGAACATAGCTCTCCAGGTTCGGCCCCCAGTATCAAAAAAAGAAGAGAACCAAGACCAGCAAGCTAGCAATCAAGCGAATACTCCTCTGATGACAAGCCGTTGGGTTGGTGTATTTGATGGATGTGACGGCGGCAGAGGAACAACCCAAGACTTAATTCCCTCCCGTGTGAGTTATGCCGTGTTATTAGAGAATGAAAGGTGGTGGCGGGAAACAAATGATGGAATAGAGTGAGCATAAGAATAGCTAACGTTGCAGGGCAGAGTGTACTTGTATGTGGGATGATAGGCTCCGGTAGATGGCCAATCGGAGGAGAGTCTTCGTGCAATCCGCGGCACTGAAAACTAACATTGAGGGGCCTTGTTAAAGGCGGACGGGTCGACAGGCCAGGGGGTGCAGGCAAAGAGACCAAGCCAAGGCCCAAGTGCTAAGAGAAGCGACTTGGGGGTCTGGCACAGACTCTGGTCGACTGGAGTGACTTGAGTGACTTGAGTGACTTGAGTACCTTCTGCAAGTTAGAGTACAGTGCATGCAACCCGAACTGGGAAGGAGACGGAGGCAATGGCGATCTGGCAGGGGACGTGGTCCAGATAGTTTTCGGTAGCCTGCCAGGGAGTGTGAGTGACGGACCACACTTTCAGGACCTTCGATATCGCCTAGGTACACGGTCGACGATCGTTTTTCCTGGTCGGTTGGAACGCGAACTTGAGACCAGCAGCCCGTAGCAGATGACAGAGGTGCTCGAGAGTAGAGGTCTCGATATTATGCAAAAGATGAATGGGCAGATCAGGAACCTCAAGCGGCTATCATGTGTTTATTTGACTTTTTTAAGGCAAGAGAGGATACGGGGGGGGGGGGTTTGCAACTCCACGTGAACGGAATATCTCTCCACGGTAGAACCCACCACCATCGAGTTATCGTCCTCTCACGGACGAAAGTACAGCAGTACCTGCTTACCTCTTCCAGCACGATTACAGCCAGGGCCCCAGTACCAGTGTGTGAAGCACTTTCAAGTGACGGGCAATATGTGGAGTGGTGAGAGAAAGGAACATGCCTAGAGAAAGGGCATGGCATGGATCATCTAGAGACCACCCCCAGCAGCAGCTTTACCTAGCTTCTCGCTGCTAGTCAAGATTTGGCCCGCAAGACCCCTTGCCCACCCTCGGCAGCTTCTGTTTTTTGCACTAAGCCAATGCCTGTCTGCCTGCCCTGGCCCCCAACAGGGTGCTCTGATTAGTTGGCAAATCCTCCGACGGCTTTGCCAGCGTCCAGGCCCGCAAATTTGTAGAACAGCCGTTGGACAGACGCGCCCGCTCCAGAGTGCAAAGGGAATGGTGTGTGGGCAGGGGAGCAGGGCATGGGAGCCTGGCCGCAAAAAATCGGTTCACGAGATTGCCATTGACTAGGGTCAGGGGTGTTTTGGCGGGGATCCAGTAAGCTCGCTTCGAGAGAGTGAAGAGCAGAGGAGAGCACAGCAATTTGTACCGAGCCGATAGAAATAAAATAAGACAGACAGAAAGACGGAGAGATGCTTAAACTCAACCCCGTAACGAAAGAAAGCCGCGAATTACTATCATGTAATTTTCTCTTTTTCCTGCTTGGTTGATTATTCAATCTCAATCTCCCTTGACTATTAGGCTTTGCTAAGTGATATGACCATTGTCGGCTCTACGAACCCAAACTGGGAACAAAAAGGCTTTGCGAATCTCGCTTGGCCTGCTAATGGTGCGCCTAGGCCTAAGGGCAAATAATTCAACACCATTATACCTGCCGTAACGATCAAGAGTCGCGCGCGAGCTTGTCGCACGTGTGGAGTTGTAAGTGACCGTCACTGACTCAATGCTGAATGACCAAAAAAAACCAAATGGCATGATAGTTGCATGCCATGTTTGGTGGAGCAAGGGGGAATTGCGAACAGTCAAAGCAACAAGGCACGTATTGCCGTTACGAACATGATATCCTCAAGTAGATTTTGAGAAAGACGTATTTCTTTAGGAGTAATGACGAAAGCCGGCTATCCATCCAGACGGAACATGGCATAGGGCTGACTGCAACTCAACCACGCAGCATTGAAGACGACATTCCCAACTTTGTTTTCCGTCGTCGTAGTAATGGTACCTATGAGATCAGATCCCGTCTTTGGTGGTAGTCGAAACGAAATCCGCCCGCCACTTTTGTGAGCTCACATAAAAGCTTGGGTGGGAGGGGGTCGGGAGAAGAACACCACGTATCAACAACCATGGCGGGCCCACGAACAATTCACTGTGTGGAAATCTACTGCATAGGGAAGAGAGACAAATCATGCAAATGTAGCATACAAGTAGCCGCAACGGGCGAGACAGAACCACATCGCATGGAACATATAACTGCACAGCATGCATGGTTATGATTGTGAGAAGGGGTACTCGACGGTTCGACTGACTACTTGCTATGTAAGCTTGCATCCCGGCACCACCTAGCCAGTGTAGCTTACAGACTGAAGGACTTAGCTACTTGTACTTGAATAGCAGGCACACCAATCGACCGCTCATCTTTTCAGCAGGATGAAACGCGAAACTCGTTCATCATCACATTGTTGTTCTGACTGCAGGCTGACGCATATAAAAGAGCTCTCGAGCGGCCTTCAGGAATTCAAGGTAGGAATTTGTTTCTAAAAACAACCCTGTCTTCGCGTGGTATGATGCAACCAGAAGAGTGTTGGCTGTGGCCATCATCGTGGGTTGTGCAATGGCCGGCCGCAGCCGGAAGGAGCCCCGCCCATGTCCCTCGGTCTGTCTGCAAAAATACAAGGCTCCGTGGAGGTACTCCGTACATACCAAACAAACTCCCCTTTCCCGGCCGAGTCGCTGGCCCAAGGTCCACGGAGCTATGGTTATTGATGAATCAGGCATGTGTCAAGACTGTGTCAACATGGTAGGGTTACTACAAAGAGCGAGATGCGAAATGAGAATCGGTTATCGACGTTGCTTCGCACTCCACAAGATGCCCGAGAGGGTACCGCCGTACGTATCACAGGGGCCTTGTCAGGGGCATGGGCCGGACATTTTCTTTCCTTTCGAGCAGATCTCCCTGGAGCACCGTTGCAGTCTACAACGCCTGGTGGATTCGCAACGGCAGTCGCGATCCACCAACCCTATAGGCTCACGCCGCAAAGGGCCAGAGGTGCCATCGGCCGATTGGCCCGTAACGGGCAGGATCAAACCAAAAGCCCCTAGCCGTCCGATGTTTGGTTCGTCGTATCGTCCAGTTTCAACGACATGCCTCCCTTCTTGTTAACGACAAACAAAAAGCCCCGTCAACCTCCGAATAATCATCTGGTATATGGGTTGGGATGCCCAAACCGCAGGCCTCTCAAGACGAGGCACATGGACGGCAAGTGAAGAGCTAGCGTTTGGCAAAAGCTGCAAAACTGGCATACGCGCACAAAAAGCCACATTGGCTCTCATGGACCGCACTCGTACTCGGTCGACACAACTTACTCCGTCACAGAAAGTCCACCGGCCGCAAATGAAGTGGTGGTGGCTCTGCGTGCTTGCTTAAAAATCAAGGTGGATGTGTGATATGGGATTGAATCTGCCCAGTCTCGCAAAGCTTCGCGCGAGTAATGCAAGCCGAAATTATCCCCAGCTCTGCCATGGTCATAACGGTTCTATGGCTATATGTGGTTTAAATATAGTTGAGCCAGAGCAGTACCCCTGTCAATAGGAAGCTTGCTCAATGCCCATCACGACTCGACAAAGTTGCCGTGAACGAAACGCCCTCAGTGACAGATCATGCCATGACGACCTTGACAGGTAAAGTGGCTCTCGGCCGTGTGGTGTAATCGAGCTTGAACGTGACTCAGAACACATACATTGCTGTCGCTGCCGCGCTCTGACAATCGGCACAGGCTTTGCTAATAAGGCGCGTCCGACAGACGGCATGTTGATAGTGTGTAGGTATATGCGAAGAAATGGATCGAATCTTGCTTCCCTAGCGTATCCCGCACGTCTTGCCGTCATGGACAAAATTAGCGTCCGCGTGCGATTTTCCGTCTTCTCATGTTACTCTGGCACATTCCGAAGCGGCCCGAGGCGTGGAGACCAAGGACGAGCACGCAGACGACCTTGGAGCGCCTCTCCATATTCGTCAATAGACTCGACTGTCTGGTAATCACAAGGTTCTGGACCCCATGGCAGTCTGGCCTGGTGACGTTGGAAGACGGTTGGGATCAACAGGTAAAACGAGTTGGGGAGGGCTCCTAGACGTAGCCTAGTCCATAGGTCATCTCAGATCACGGCAGATAGAAAACGACCGGTTCGGGAAGGGGGGAGGGGGAGGGAGTCAAACAAATGAGACACACGAAACGAACAAGACTCGATGGATGGTGACAGAAACATGTTGCCATGCTGAATCCCAGTTTGTCATGGGCACCGTCGATAGTCGACAATATGAATTCTGGTTCCCTTTTGCCGATATACCCTTGACCAATCTTGTCCTCACAAGCGCTGCTGTTCGACGCCATCAGCAGCGTGTTTGGACAATAGCCTGCATACCTCCACCTGACCTAGCCCGTTTCGAGCCAGCACGACCGGCCGGAAGACTCCATTCGAGCGAAGATCCCCGGCTCTGCGGGCTGAGCGTGACTAGATGGAGAAATAGCTGCGATTGTGCAATGCCCAAAGAGAAACGCACATCTCAATCGCGTCTGCTCCTTATATTACCCGTGGTCGATACGCGGGTCCTTCGGCGTATCGAATCACATGCGAAGCCAATGCGCCATTTACAGAAATCACACCGCATAGCATGGGCAGCATGTCATTGCAGTCGACCAGAGCAAACACTGGGCGTGCCGTCCACTACGGGTATTAGCATGGTGTAGACTCAACTCAGGTACGGATGCACGAGTGGACAGCTCGTCCTTGTTCCGAGTTCGCTAGAGACCAGGTACAGTAGTACCTCGCAGTAATCCAGGTCTCGAGAAGAGGTGATGGAATCTCCGGTGCGAACTGTAACGCTAGGCACAAGATGTTCCGCAGCGCTTGTTCAGGGATCAAGGATAATTGTAGCCGGGCCTAGTCATACCTCCGTAGACGACAAGGCTTAGACACATACAGGCCGGGAATGGGGGCCACATTGGTGAAGCGAGCAACCGAGCATGACGAGCTTTCAGGCGCGCGCTCCTCGCCAGCTCGCCGGGGTCACCGTATCATCGTGGACCGGCGAGCATTCCGAGATACAGATTCGATCATCTCGGTGGGATGGGTGGGAGTGGTACCTTCTTCGTATCTGGGACCGAGGCGCAAGCAGAATGTAGCTTTGCAGCATCAAGTGCCGTCAGTCGCACAAGACATGCAGCAGCAAGCAGATCATCAATATTCCTGCACAATAATCCTGCCGCTGAATAATACCCTCAATTTTCTGCATTGCATCGAGAATAGGGGGGGCTACGGGGCCATCCGCTTTGGAACAGACAGCTCGACAAGATGCAGCTCTAAGAGAGAAGTCGGCTCAATATACGGCGGCCGGTGTAGCCGTCAAAGAAAGAGGGACAAAAAGGCCTGCAATACAAGAAACAATGCGGGGCACTGGCAGGGCAGGGCTTCACAGTCGGTTCCCGCGTATTGCCAAGGCAGTCCAATGGTTCAAGGGAACCGACTGGGTATTGACCAGGGTAAGCCCGCCTGTGTACTCCGTATGTCCATACTGGTACTTCATACGTCTGATATTTGACGCACCTTACCAGGGCCAACTAGGATGAGGCTGTTATCCACCCCGTAAAGGTATGGAAGGTGCGCGCGATCGCGAACAACTTCACAATACGGAAGGTGTTTGTTGATAATGAATCAGACATGATGTGTGCGTTGCCAGTTGTCGTCGTTCGTGGGTCAACTTTGGGCTGCACAATATGCAACAACGATACCAAGTGGTTGAATATCAAGCGACGATAGGAGGAATAGAGTTCAGACGAAACCACATCGAGCAACTTGCACACGAGGCCCCCAACTAGAGTTTAGTCTCCTGTCGTTATTCGGTGCAGGGTCCCAACAAGGCAGTTGCCAGGCAGCAAACGCCTACTAGCGCGCCAGCTAGTGTGCCCCAAGGCTGCTCCCGTGTCACTTACCTCATTACTGTGTACGCACATAATCACTTCCTCTTCATTAGTTCAATGCAACGGCTAAGAACCACGACCCAAGCGGGAGCGCCCCTGATTACGTGAGGAATATCTCCGAACACGACCTCGAGAGCAGATATGGTCAGTACAGGAAGAGGCAGGAGGCACAGGTCGGCAATCCATCCATTCCCCAACGCATCCGAGAAGGAGGGAATGCCAGGCAATGGAATAACCATCCGAATAGTATCCAGTATGAGAAGCTGGTCGTGTTATCACAGTCCGTCTGAGATCAATGTTGTCCTCGTGCCAAGCTCGGCAAACAGGCGAGCCGTTCTACCCGCTGCCCAAGTTGCATTCCCTCAGCCGTCGAACACCACCATCTCGAACTGCGCTTATTCTAAATATGGAAAGAAGTCATACTGAAGAAAGGGTTGGATCGTCCCGTCTCTGGCTGACGCGACCCTATTCGGCTCCCCAGATTCTTCCAATTCTCTGGGAACCGTTTCCGCGTTTCGCCCAATTTGATGTAATCTAGGTAGAGTATCCCAACCCAAGAAACTCGACCTCGGAACCGTCATTACTGAAGAATTTTCCATGTAAGATCTATATCCGACATTAAGTGTCCTCTTCTAGGACACGCCGAGTTGCGGTGAAATGCTCATGGCCACCATTCAATGCAACAAGAACGGCCCCCAAAGATTGCGCAAGCGAGGTCGTAGCTTCAAATGGTAAGTGCATGTAATCAATTGTCCAGCCGCCCGTCGTGCATTGCATCTGATGGCTGCATATTTGCTGGGCGCTGGTATGGAACTACTAGGCACAATCTTGGGACCAAGTTCATAACCTCCAGCGGACTGATTTACATGCCTTGCCTTCGACTTTAACCTCAATCTCCATCTTGTTTCTGCCAGTCACAGATGCCGGCGGGACCGAAAAGTCGCCCGTTACTTACCCCGCAAGGTACCCAAACCTACAGTAGCCTGTCGCTCTCGTCAATTTCGCCGTACCAAACTTTCCCCCATCTTCATCTTTTCATCACCCACCCGCCACAATAAGACATTCATCCCCTCCCCCTCGCCCCGCCCCCAAAAATATCGATATTTTTGCATTGAACACGCATTTCGCACTGCCCACTTGCGCCAAAAGGCCTGCCGAGATGAGTGAATCTAACCCTGTAGGACGAACCTGATAAGTATATATGCAGGCTCAATTTTAGCCTGGAAGGCCCGATTCGCACGTCGATTCTGTTTAACCTGGCCAATCTCCACCGCCAATTGAGCCTTCATTCGTGGGAAACAAGTTGCGGCTTGCGCTGATCGCTTTTGGCACGAGCGAGGCACGCATGCACACATAATATCCATAGGCCAACCCATACACGTTCTTTCTTCTCACAACCATTTGCTATATGCCCATGGTACTAACCGTTACCCGCCGGCGCAGCCGCTCTGGCGATCGATACCTTATGCATAGTGATGATGGTCATTATAGTGGTGTTGGTGGTGTGGGTGTCCTTTGCCGCATGCTGCTAGCTACTGAAGAATGGGCGGCCACGAGGCCGGGCTCCAATCTCGATATTGTCGGTCCCCAACGAAGCCACTACAGAGTTGCACTCTCAATAAATTTCTTGCAGAATCCTGTCTAATTATACCCACGGGCACAGCACCCATTGGTGAAAAGCCTCCACGTGTACTATAGTATGTACTTGCGTAGAGAAAGAAAGGACGACGTCGATCGTGTGGTATGCGCCCTTCGACAAAAAAAACCCCCCACATTATTCATTCCCTCCCCATCACACAACGAATAATGATGATTACTACCTCCCTGTTGCTGCTGATGCGGGCTCGGCCCTCTCTCAGACAGTCATACATGGCAAGTCTTTTTGCGTGTAACCTCAAGAACATTTGCCACCAGTCTGACCAAACGGCCCCTTTACACATGTCAGGCAGACACCTGGAGTTTGCAAGGCATTTATTTACTGCGCAGTACTTGCTCATTCGGCTCACCGACTATCCGCAAGGACACGGACTGATATCTCCTACTTTTTTTTCTGTCAGAATTTGGTGATTTTACAAACTTCCTGAAGCCTAGGGTCACGCACATGAGGGGGCCGCATCCAAATTTGATGGTCGGCGATGTTGATGCGCGCCCCCTTGTCGTTCTTGTCGTGTTCATGTGCTCTAGTAACTCGATGGTACGGCAAATATTTTTTTTCAGGCTTTGCTGGATAAAAACCCCCATGGTCCGAGAGCCACACCCAAGGGAATGCGAATGGCGAAATGGGGTGAGGCAATCGAGGGTCTGGCCAATGCAAATCATCATCAACGCGTTCTTGGGAGGAGGGGTCACGCCAAATGTTTCAAGGGCCGCTAGCAAAACACATTATGAAGACATGACTGTAGTCCGTGTTATTGAAGTTTGTGGGTTCAGGCTGCCTCGTTTCCTGGCTATGATCTCCCGTGACCCTGTGCTAATCAAGGGGTTGGTCTGGGTATTGTTCTCCTGGATGGGATGTTTCCAAGGTTTCCATTTGGGGTCGGCGAGATCTACCTGTCTCGTATGTCATGCAACGGGGCTTGTCTAGGATGGGGGGTATTGTCCGCGCGCTCAAATGTAATCACAGTTAGACTACTGCCGTGAGCCGTGAAGAATGCAACCCCACCCATGTTGCTACCAAAGAAGTCTCCGTTCTGGTCTGCCCCTTTTCGGAAGTTAAGTAGTGGATTGTCTGATATGGTCGAAATTGGTGTCTACTGGTGTTAATGCCGTTGCCATATTGGGAAGCTCGACTACTGCATTGGACCGATTCGAGCTATCGTGCCATGTAGGGTCCACCACTCAGTCCTCATCGCTATCCATCTCCACCAGATGCTCCTGGTCGTTCAGGGCAAGCCGTACGAAGTGGCGAACCCATGCCTCGTCGTTGTCATTCAACCTGCCATCCTCGCGCGGGCCGTCATTCTGCACGCGCTGGCCATTCCTGTTCACTTGCCGGTTCTGTCCTGGCATCCGGCCATGGTTTTGCTGGTGTGCCCCTGGCCGTCCCTGACCTCTAACACCACGTCCTCCTCGTTGGCCTCCGTTGACCACTTGTGGACGACCACGACCAGCTGCGGGACGATACTGCTGACCTCTGGCTTCAGCCGGCAACCCCTCGATCCGTAGCACGAGCGGGCCTTCGCGAGCGACAGCAAATCTGGCGTTGTTAGCCTGTTGATCTTGTTGGCCCGGTTGACCTGGTTGCGCCTGAACAACTCGTTGCCGCCGTTGCTGCTGAGGGACGGCGCCGCGAGCTTCTTCTCCGAATGCCACTTCAAGTTCGGCGGCTTGCGCCTCTTCGCGACGATGCTGAGCACCTCGACCAACCTCGATGTCATGACCGTCGCCGTCTTCTAACTCCCAAAGCCTCATGAAACAAGCACTGCGTTTCCCCGTGGAATCGGTATTGAAATGCTTATAAGGATTCTCGGGGTCTAACCAAGAAGAACATAAATAGCAGAAGTGTGTTTGGCAGCGGAAGCACCTCATGTGATTGCAACCATGGCTCTTCTGACAAGGAGCATCACATGTTGGGCAAGGCGAGGAATGTAACCGGAGGTACTCCATCGAAGCCTTCTCTTCCTCGGAGATCTCTTCCTTGCGCTCCTGAGGTACGCAGTACTGAAACTCGCCATGCCACGACTTGCGACAACGTGTGCAGAATGCGAAACTGCAGTCCTCGCAGATGGCGAGTAGATCCAGGGGTGCGACTTTTTTATCGGTACCCTCGCCGTCTTCGCCGCCCTCGCCATCTTCGCCGCCCTCGCCATCCTCGCCGTCCGACTCTTCCTCCGCATCCGCAGCAAATTCAACTCCTTGGGGCTTTTTGTATTTTTTAGATCGAGCGGCACCTTGACAAGATTCGCGGGGACAGTAGACTGTATTTTTGTCGGATTCAAGCTCAGCCTTGTACTTGAGCATCACGTAACGTTTGACGACGTCGTGGCCAAGCGGGATCTGTAACAGCTCGCTGGGGTTTACGAGGGTCTTAGGCTTCCGTCGCTTGCTTCCAGAAGCTTTTCGTGCGGCAGCATCCCTTTTCTCGGCGCAGCCCGGCTCCAGGCATCGAACCGTAGAAATATCACCCTCACTGATGGCATTGTTGTAGAAGTCCTGTAAACACCGGACACAGAATACGTGACCACAGTCGAGCATTCGGTGGCAGACTGAGCCCTTCTTTGGATCTGTACAGAAGCTATGAATTACGATTGGAGAGCATTGGCGGGCGCACGGTATAACTTACCTAAACAGATATTGCAGTCGAATGTTCCCTTGTCGAAGGCCGTCTGTTTCGCCTTGATATCGTAGTCTAGAAGCGCTATTTTATGCTCTGGTCCGACCTCTAGGGTACCTTGCTCATTGACCAAGCCAAAGATAGTGTCTGCGGACTGTCGAACATCATCTATGTAGGTGAATATGACCTGGTCACGGCCGATGTCCTCCCATAACCTTTGTGCATCGCTCTCAAGCTTCTCGAGGATCTTGGGTGACAGCCACGGTGGTGATGTGGATAAGGCGACCTTGGGTGGCTTCTCCGTCGGGTAGCCCTCTGGCAACTCAATGTGGATACTCAGAGCTGGAAAGTTTGAAAGCTGCTGTGATTCTACAGCATTGACTGTTGGCAGTCGAGCCTCAGGAAGCTGTCCAGAAGGGGCCGCATTAGAGGAAGCCGGGAACTTGACTACCACAGGCTTGCTCAAACTGATTGGAAGCTCGATAGTGAAGGCATACGGGTCCTGTTCGTCAATGCAGAGCTCCTCTGGGTATATAGCAGCTATGGTCGAGAGCTCGACTTCGCGAAAGTCCTCCTCCATAATCAGCAAAGGTCATCGATGCTCATGGAGCTTAATCCGTTCGGCGATGATTTGCGGAACTGTTTTCATATCCTCGTTCACTTCAATAGTCATATAATTGCCAAACCCACAGTCAAGATATCTCCAGTTGATGCTCCGGAGTTGTTGTCGGAGATACGATATAGTCGTACCTTTCGTCGGTCAGTAAGATGAGCAACCAACCCAGAAAGAAATCAACAAACCCGATTAGTGTGCGAATAATGATTGCTCATAGAACTGCCGCAATCTTCCCTGGGACGGCCGCTTAGAGACGTTGTCTCTAATCAATACCAGCTTATCTTGAGCCCACATACACGAGGCGAGGGTTATCGCCACAATGGAACCGAATCGTTGAGCATATGGAAGTGTATTTGACCTGTCAAGATTCCGTTGGATAACCAGATTAACGTCCAAACCCCTAGCTGGCAATGGTCGACAATCTATTATAAGATCGTAAGAACGGGACGTAGCCAATGCTGACAATGCAATGTCGCAGGCCAAGTTCGCCACTTCAGAGCAACGAGGGGCATTGGAATGATGACTCTCTCGGCGTCAAGCGACCATACGGGGAGAAAACGCCACAGCCCACCTCGGTAGCAGCCCCACCTTGCCCACGACTAATGAAGGAACGTCGCTGCCCAATTGGATTGCACTGGATGAGGGTGAAATGGTGGGGAACGCCACAAAAACAGCGGGGACGCACATGCTCCAACCAGCCACTTCGTTGGGTCCGGCTTTTGGAGTATTTCCAACGACGTTGCTTCTCGAGGCGACTGTGATACGTTGTACGTCCAACAAGGGGCCCTTCTCTGTCAAGTGTAAATGTGAGGCCCATATATCTGCCAATCTGGCTCCCAGCTATCATCGATTCATGCAACCCTGCAACACATCTGCATCTGCAATCCTGACAAAAACGCCCTAAGGCCATGCATCTGCAATAGGAACAGCGCAACCTCACTGCATCAGCAGCCAAGCACGCTTATAAACAAGCTCACCTAAACAAGCTCACCATGTCCACTGCGGACGACCCGATGCCATTGGCGTCTCTCTCCCTCACCCACGTCCACTATGTGAGTTTCCAATGCGTCCCAACCAACCAACCATCATCCACCGTCCCGAACCCTGCACTAAATCACTATGGCTCCCACAGGACCCAAGAGACAATATCTCGTACCTATGCGCCTGGCTAGCCCTGATCCCGCAGGGCCTCTGCGTCGTCTACGCAACCCTGATCTGGTCGACCCGCGAAATCGAGATCGCGCTTCTCTTCGCCGGCCAGCTCGCCTGCGAGGCCCTCAACTTCGCGCTCAAGCGCTTCATCAAGGAGGAACGCCCTCCTCTCATGAACGGCAAGGGTTACGGTATGCCCAGTAGCCATGCCCAGTTCGTCTCCTACTTCGCCGTGTCCATGGCGCTGTTCCTACTCTTCCGCCACCAGCCTGAGAACGCTGGCGTCAAGCGACGCAACCACAAACCCATGACGATGCTGGAGCGTGCCGTATGGAGTGTGCTGGGATTAGGAATGGCCGCCACCGTCGCTTGGAGTAGGATATATCTCAATTACCATACCGAAAAGCAGGTTCTAGTTGGTTGTATGGCGGGGACGGCGAGTGCGGTCGCGTGGTTCCTCTTCACGACTGCTATCCGCAGGACGGGATGGCTGACATGGGCGGTCGACCACCCAGTCGCTCGCTTTCTGCGTGTCAGAGACCTGGTTGTGGAGGAAGATCTATGCCAAGCCGGTTGGGAGAAATGGGATGACAGAATGATGGCTCTGAAGGGACGGGAAGAGAAGAAAGTTCACTGAGGTGTCTTGATCGACTACTGAAGGAGGTTTCCGCGACCTGTTGTGTACCTTGCATTGAGTTGGAGTTGGTGTGGGTTGGAAGCATGAAGCATGGTTCTACTGCATTAAATTAGGTTTTGATTTCACACTATGTTTTTGGTAGTCTGCAATTAGCCTGAAAACCTGTAGGATAGTTCGACACGTGCCCTACTACTGGGTCTGTTAGTGAATTCAAATCCATGCCAACGAAATTTGGCTACTACTAGTGGCGTGTTCTATGTCTACTCTCATGCAAGTGTCGAAGACATACATCCTTGAGTAGTGAATTCGACGCCCTTATTAGAACCTGGGTCCACAGCCTTGTCCAAATACGGGGCCAGGACTGCTCAGTAATCAAATATCAACACTAGGTCCCGCTTCTTGCCAACTACAAACAACCGGTATTCTCAATTTCAGGTCAGAAATACTTGTACCATTGCCCGCACGATGTAGATTGACATTACGTAGAAACTCTGCTCTGTTTTTCGGTCATGTCGGCCGGCATACGAATACATAAATGCATAACATTCAGCTTCCAGGGAACACAACCCTGTCTCTGCACCTGTTCAAAACATTGTTTCAAGATGGTACCGGAGGTGTTATACCCCAAGGGAACGCAGCTCAAATTCCGGGACGAGGCTTTACACCTACAGGTTCTTATTAAGTATATCTATTACTGTAGGAGAACATAACGAAAAACAAGATCTAAGAAATATCAGTAAAAACTGACAAAACTCGAGCACTTGAAAACATATGATAAGAGCAAAGGGCCACACGCGTTTTCTAGAAGGCTGTAGTCAGGCTCGTTCAGATACCCACCCCTTTGAAGGCAAACCCCACGCTCAACAGGAGTGGCGCCATTCGACTTCCGCTCGAGTTTGCTGCATTTTTCCTTAGTTGGATCTCTGGTTAACGATGCTAGCGACGTACCTACGACAGCCTGGCACTGGCGTGAATGACTGAGATGTAGGCAAACCCATTGGCTAGTTGCCATACTCGTGCCATCCACTCATTCACAACACCTATTAAATTTGACCTGCGTCGAACCGATCATTTGGTCCCTAAATGGTCCCAAGTATTGCAATCTCCACCTCGACCTCCTCTAGAGTCTTAATCTCGCCGCGTCACTTGTGAGCCACGTGGAGCTCGTCCTTGATGCAGGTCCACATCTCGGTCTCGGGGGGGACGGGCCACTGCCAACACGACATGACATGCGGTTACATTGATGAACCGGTTTCTCGTTGAGTACAGGGATTCTTTCGCATTCTTCAGTCAACTGACTCATATCTGTAGTCTAGTCAAAGTGAAGAAGGAAATGTCCGGGCTGAATAACCAAAAGATTCAGGGGCTTATAGCAAAGAACCCTGTCCACAACCGAGTTTGGATTCGAGTTCGGAACTCACCTTGACACCTAGAATCCGGGTGGGACAATGGATACCATTGCCTTCAGGCCATGTATCCTCTACCCAGGACACCGTGGTTGCTCTCTTCAGTTGTTAATGTTGACGATAGTTCCACATTCAACATGGAGCCATCTCAGTTCGTGTTTGTGTGATGATTGTGAATTTCTTAGCTATAACAACAACCACTACAACAGAAGCAGAGGGCCTCTCGGCTCTGACATCTCCCACACCTCATCCGCACATGGGCGTCTATCCTGCCCGCACTCCGCAACAGCCTTTTGTCCCATCGAGGTCATTAACCTCGTCCCACATCCACGTCCTCGCATAAGATTGACGTAGCAGACATGATAATTTTCCACCCCTCCTCTCTTCCCAATGTACAAATGCCTGGCTAGCTGCCCACCGACTTCATCTTCCCATCCATACACACACACGCACACAGCAGGTGTTGCTCGTAAGGACCTGATCCATCATATAAACACATAACTAATAAGAGAGAACAGCCGAAAGTCAAAGTGTATGCAACAGTAGCTTGGTTTACCACTCTCAACTCCTCGAAATGGAAAGGGGAAAAAACATAAAAAAAACAGCCGTCTTGTTCAGGTATCATAAAGGTTTCCCGTACAACGCCGCTGGAAGAAATGTAGTGAAGAGCAAATGACCGACAAAGAGAACCCGACCCCGACTCTTTTGTAATCGTACAGGGATCCCCTTGAGAGGATAGATATATAAGGAAGTTGAGGTGTTTTGGCTGTAGTAAGAATACTGGACGATGATGATGGCGTATTTGGTTATCTATAGGAGAAAAGTGAGACAGACTGAGGTAGTCATGTGAAAATGGATGATGCAGGATGTGTAGGATTTCTGTTTGGTATTCGACCCTAGCTCCTCGGATTTTCAGCTGCGGTCAAAGTTCAAAAGCTCAGATCCAGTCACTCCTGAATCGTTGGGCATCAGAGTTTCCCCTGTTCCTAGGTGGCGGTGGTGTGCCATCGGGCTGTACAGGTGTAGTGTTGGCACGCTTCAAGACGTTAAACCCAACACCCTTTGGACTCGGTAGCTTGGCCTTCTGAGGGCTATGGGGGCTGTACACAGCGGGACTGAGTGTCTCCTCTCCAGTGGAGGCTTGGCTCTGGACGGTTTTGATGGCGTGAGGCACAGGCGGAAGTGTCTTCATCCTCACGTCTCTGCTAGGCTCTTCTGTGCAGGAACAGCAGTTTGAATGGCTGATGTTTTCTGAAGGAGACGTCGGCTGGTCTGCAACGCCCAATTTGAACAGCGGATTAGGCCGGATGGGAGCAAGATTAGGGCAACCAAGGTTGTGAACCCTGTCATCGTTATTGATTATCGTGCTAGTCGTTCGCGGCATGTCTTGGACATTCGATAAACGAAGTCCTATCTGGACCGTGGCTGTGGAAGACATGGATGAATCACGCTTGTGACGGCCATTGACTTTTATCGAAGGGGGTGGCTTGATGTCATCGAGGTTGAATGTGAATTCATTCATATTTGAATTAGGCGAGTATGTGGTTGAAGGTAAAAAGGCTACTGAATTAGTGCTGGCATTGTCCTTGCTGGGAAACAACGAGTAAGACGCAGAAGCTTTTCGGGTATGTGACGATGCGGAGGATAGTTGTGCCCTGTCAGGATTCCTTGGTATTGCGATTGGAGACGTCACAGCATTTGACCTCAACGGGTTCGGAGACTTCGACTCAAACCGCGGGATGTTGTAATAAGTTGAGGATGGACTTTCTATCGCAGCTTCTTCTTCTTTCTCGTAGCGGACGAGTGTTTCCTCGCTATCTTTCCTTCGTAGGGACCGGTTGTTGACCGTTTGCATCATGTGAGCGGGCTCGTCGAGGTCGTTGGGGCTCTGCATGCGAATATTGTACTTGAGCTTTTGCCTTTCGTACTCGGCCAGTTTGTCTCTCGGGCCAATGGTAGAGATTGTGTTGGATCGAAGAAAAAGGTGAAGGCCACCTGTCATCAGACCAGATACATTCGCAACAACCGTCGCAATCATGGCTAGCGTTAGGCTCGTAGTCTTGCCCGTCTCCACAATGTCATTAAATGTGAGAAACCCAAAGAAGGGTATCATCAACAACTATTCAATGTTAGTCGTGATCCCACACCAAGATAGGGGGATGGACCTACGGTTGAGATGATGGCCAAAGCCAGGTAGTAGACCATTCTGGAAGCGAGGACTCGCTCAGATGTTTCAATATCGGCGTTCCTCGTCAACTTGATAAAAATGGTCACGGCGCAAATCGTCAGGAGGACAGCAATGACCAGCAGAAGCACAAATCCTCCTTCTGCCCAGCGGGCGACGAAAAAGAATAGAGATGCGAAACAAAAATCGGGGGCCCGGATGAAGAAAGCGACCAGGCCAGTGATCATAAGCACGATCTTCAAACCTGCTAAGCATATCGCAACTGTCCACTTGCTTCTCTGTGGGAACGGTTTGCTTCGAAGGCCTCGTAAGGCGACCTCGAGGCCAAAGATGAGTTGTATGTAAGGCACAATAAATATGGCTGTAGAGTTAGTTAGCGAGGCTCGCTCATCAACACCACGACCATATCGACTTACCTGTCCACATAAACTGAGAGATGATGGAGCAGCCTCGTTCAAACAGTCCCTCCAGGCCTCTAGATTGTGAAACAGCAAAGATGATGCCTTGTATTGTGATGCCCAGAGACAGAACGAAGGGAAATGTCTCGGGTCCTTTGACACAGGTGAGCTTGTTGACTCTGGATCACGGTTAGCCTCAGCGTCCGCTCATTGGTACTGACGAAGCCAACTCACTTCTTCCCCACCGGACAATTCCTCTTAGCAGTGGAGTAGCAATCATAGTAAATGCCGGCGGCGGTTGCAGCGGCCGATATCGTGTTGAAGGTGGCGAGAACGATAGTGGATGTCCGTATTGACCTGGCAGCGAGGAATTTGAACTGATTGATGACCATGTAAGTCGAGTTGTCAGCGGATGCTGCTTGCGCGAAGCCAGTCGAGGTGACCCCGAAACTTGAATTCCTCGACCAGTCCACCGCCGCATTCAAGCTGCCACTGCCGACGTCATGATACCCAGACATCGTGAAGGCCGATCACTCTTAGGCGGTGGCGATGAAGCCGGAAATTTACTTGTGGTCGTGATCAACTCATCTAATCCATAGATGTCGCCGGCGTCGTGATCGATGGTAGAGATGACGAAGCAAACAGAAATGGGAAAGGAAAGTATATTACGAGAGAATGAGATGAAAGAGACGAGGGATTGGCGGCACTCCAGGGAACCGGTCCACACACCAGACGAAACAATGCCTGAACCAGCAGATGGCAAAAAAAGGCTTGAGTAGAAACGAACGACGGCAGCAACCACAGGGAGGGGAGCTGGGGATTAGCGGGTGAAGGAGACACACACCAGGCCGCAGTCATCCTACGAAACAGAAGAGACGAGCAGGAAGTGGCGGAAGGGCGCATGAAAAGACTATGGCACCCACATATCAGATCCCAAGATCCCCCTCAAGGGTACTGCTATTCATGGCCTCCACGCGGGCCCGACAGGTCCGGCCTCGCGCTATGGACTAAGTTCTGCATGCCATTCAAGGGTGCCACTATCTCGAGAGCCAAGCGGAGTGATGAAGACGTGGGAATATTCAAGTTCTGGGACCTCTGCGACCTTGCGATTGGCTGCAGATTTCAAGACAGACGAAAACTGCCCATTGCGGTGAAGCCATTCGTCATGGCCCATCATAGGATGCGAGTCGGGGAGGTGCTTTTCTGACAAGATCTCACCCATTGCCTGGGTACCCGTCCACAGCTTCGACCATCTTTGATCTCTGTGTGGTCCATTCTGCCGGTGGGGCAGTCTCAGGCCCGCATCTCAGAAGTAGCATTGCGGTGCTTCTCACGGCATGCCTGCACAAAATCGGACTAGAGCATTATGTGGCGATGGGCTTGAGGCAATGATGGAACACGATCTGGTTTCGTCGTCGCGCTAGGTTACCAGAATAAGGTTGTGAGTTGAGCCCCAAGTCTGACCAAGGGTCTTGGGCCTTACTGTAAATGGTTTAGCTTCAGGTGCTTTGCCAGGTAAATGCCCGTGCTGGGCGAGGATCAAACCCGTCCCGCATGTGTCCAAACAGACCCCTGCACCTATAAAATCCGCGTCTGGAGAAAAGATGCGATGTACCTTGCGTCGTGCAGCATCTACTAGCTTCTACCCTTCTCAAATCTAAGAAATTTTGGGCTTGGCAACCATGTAGCCAACGGCCAGCGCGCAAGCCGGACGCAGCGACGTCAGCGACCTGTCATCTGCGCGGAAGGAGTAGATGAGCCACGCTGCTTGTAAGTGGCTGACGAATGGCCTGGCTTTTCGAATAACCTCAACATATGGCGGCGGGACTCTGTGCGATGTGGATATAACGGGATAATGCGAACAGACTGATGAAGTCGACCTACCTGGAAGCTCGTGGTCGTGGTAGCCAAATTGCCAAGCTCTTGCTTGCTCGCATGTTGCTGGACCACGCCACGGCGTACTCAAATGCTCAAAACAAGTGACGTGCTGATATGCCGTGCGGGGGGCACCGGGAGTTGGGAGTGGTGTGTCCATCCATACATCCCATTTTAGTATGCAAGGTGGAACTACTCTGTCAACCTCCAGACATTCGATGACCTGGATAGAATGCGACTACTACACAAAAAGGTGTTAATGCCAGATCAATTGAGTCGATCTTCGTGACAAAACAAACATCGAAGTGACATTTGACAGGCCAAGAGCCAATCGTATCGAGTACACTCGTCCCTGAGGTCACTCAGCCTCGATTGTGAGCGATTGGTTCGTCTGGTCCACAATGGGTGTAGCCTCCTTGAATCATACCTCGTGTCAAGACTCGAGCGCTCGGCTCGGACGACAGGGCCATCTGGGCATTTCGACCCCAGTGAGCAGCGAGTCGTAGATCTTTCACCCGAACAAATGTTAGGACGAGTGTAAATAGATGGCCTCCATCAATGATCAGCGAAGGAGCCTTCCAAACTTATGTTCATAGCCCCGTAAGGCGTTGGGGCCGTATTGCCGCGGTTTCTTGTCCTGATAGGCAATGTGGTATTCGACCAGTCGATCCCGACATTCCTCGTGGAGTATATACGGATGACTTTGCGGCTGTACAGAGATGGTCACTGCCAACTTGCACATGAACTAACTTGTCAGCTTGCCTGCCCTAGGTGCGCTGGTCCCGAGCCATTTTCTGAGAATTCAGGACATGACGAGTGAAGCACATCCCCCAGTCCGGCCCCCCCCTCTTGCCCATCAGACACCCAATGACAGGTTTCCAAGATGGCAGGAGATTTGTCGATCCGAAATGATGAGGACCTGGAATCACGGTCACCATGAGAGACGGGAGAAAGGCATGGATGTGTGGGGTCAACCCTCTCCATCGCGAACAATGCGACTTCTAGTACTGTGGCGTCGCATCCTCTTCTCATATTCTCATCTTCCGAGTTCGTCCGTCGCAAGACATTGTGAGGAATATCTTCCAAGGCAGGTAAGATGATGTGGTGAAGCCACTGAATCGCGAGTACGCGTTAGGTTTTCATCCTGGTCCGAGGTAATCCTCTCGCGACTTCGACAAAGCTATCCCTAGTCACGGATTCGAACACTTGCTCTGACTGGTGTTGCAGGAATCAAGGAGCCACTAGCCCATACGCGAGTCTACTTCTTGAAGAATGGTTCCAAGAACTTATCACCCTACACAAACCAGATTTTGACTCGGGTTAAGCGAAGGGGAGCTAGCGTACACGGCAGCTTGTCAAGTCTTGTATTTCGTCGTCATTGTACTTCCGCTGGCAGTTATTGTCCGGAGACATCCTCTGTAGTGAGTGACAGGTGGGACTTCATATAAGATCCCTGTGTTACAGGATGCCAAGATAAAGTCGACGCATACGTAGTGTATTCGCTCTCAGGTGAAGACAACCGTGGAATGCAGGGCAGCCGGATGAAGTAACGAGTAAGTCAACCGGCGCTCTCCGTTGTGGTTAGGAGCTTTTCAAGTGTGGCTTTTCAAGTGTGGTGTCTTTGGCGCACGGTCCAGCTTCGCCGCCCGGTGTTTGGCAGCCTTCTATCTGCAAATATCCAAATTACGTTCAGTTGTTGACTGTTGGTCGGTCGCTGACTACATTCCCCCAAGTCAATTTGCAATTGCTCACCGTCACCTTGGAGGATGTCCCGACAACACCATCATAAAGTTATTACTTGGAGCTGTAGCGCCCTCTGTTCAAGCATTATCTCAATGACCAGCTGCATTTATTTCTCCCATCAATGCAAACGGCTAGACGGGGGATGAGCGGATGCCAGATGTTAAGGATCACTCGCAGCTCTAGTTGCGGCTTGTCGATGCCTCGTCCTCAACCCCGCTCCTTCCTTTGCAACACATCGCATGGGCAGCTTTATTTGAACTCGACATTATCATCATATTTCTGCTATGTCAAACAATAGCACTTCGTTGCCACGACATTGGCATCCCGAACCCTCCCACAAAATTACCGGAAATGCCCATTCAAAACTGTACAAACCGGAGCCGCTGCGCAGAAGCATCTTGGGATGACCCTTTCGTAGCGCATAGTTTCGAACGGGAGACCAGACGCAAGAGAATGCATCGACGATGTTCATGATATCCGACGATTCCGGGAATATACAGACTGCAGATGGCAAACTGGTACAGTGGAGATGGTGCATATGGGGATGCACGAATTTCCAAGAGATGCCCCGGTTGATTTCAAACCGTGAGGATGTCGAGAGGCATATCAGCTTCATCATTGCGATATATCGCTATGCTTACTGGTGGTGAAGCTGCGGGTTCACGCTCAGGTGCCATGCATCTCGCAGTGTCAAATATTGCGGGATGGAGCATTTCAGCCCACTGTGTTCCTTTCTACGAATTCCCCCAATCACCATTGTCTCAAAGCCCACACACCTGGTTTGACAGTAAAGCAATCAGTTTAACAGTTCGGCGGTCTCAAATGGTCTAGGGGAATGTTTTATCGGATTGTCATGGAGTCTAAGATAGCTTGACCGATGGCTCTGTCGCCAACGTCATTCTGAGGACACTAACCGGCTGGAGGAGTGTTCTTGGATCTATGATTTCATGACGGCACAACCTGGCATTACGTCAGTCATGTTACAACTGCGATGTGCATGAGGCCTCATGAGATAAACGACCAGGATGAACCTGATCCTCCATCGATGCCGTGGGATTTGACGCCATTCTCGACATCAACGAATACAACAGATTCTCCACAACGGCAGGGTATGTAAAGCAATCCTAATCAGCAGGCTCGTGACAGACAACACACCGCACTGTTGTCACTGAAAGGACAAGTGGCTGGGAAATATTCTGATATACGAGATATTCGCTGCTTCGAGAGGAGCACCGCCCTGGTCGGGGTATAAAGTACGAATAATTGGAACGGAGCATGAAGCATGACTTGGAACTGGAATTGCGATTCACGGGGGCTATTTACAAATTCTTTGCCTTTAGAAGCAGAGCATCAAAGTCGGTCGATGCCATTGGCTCGTGGGGGCGCGTGAAGGGATGGGTAATTGCCTAAAACATCTCGTAGATAGTCTCCTTGTCGCCATCTGCCTCAGGTCTCTCCGCCCTTTGGGTTCGAGGGACGTTTGAAAGTCTGGGGAGTGGCTGTGATTGCATTCTCCGCTCGAGTACCGCAGAAGGACGGAGGGATATTCTGATACCAACAGACAGCTGGACATACAAGTTGGCTTTTTTGAGATGGGCTGCAAGTTCAACGCACCCCTCAGCCAAGTCAGGTCGATTTCCGACCCCTCTGTCCACACGCAGCCTTGACCAAGGCTGTGTGCACAGCCAATTGCCAGCACCGCTTCAGCGCTCGCGACCTCTGCAATCTCCAGCGACTGGGATTTTGGGAGGCAAAACAACAACAGTCACTACCCCCATAACTACTCGGTCGTAGAAGGTTTGCGATCGTTTCCAGCATCTCCCTGCAACATCCCTCATCTTTTTTTTATTTATTCCGTTTTTCCTCCGCGAGGTTGTCAATGAGGATCTGGGTCACGTCGCAGTTTGCCACACGTTACCAAGCACAGAGCATACTGCCCGCCTTGGGCACTGGAGGCAAAAGCACTTGACTTTTGCGGCTACTGGATCCCTGTCGCTCGGTTAAGTTCGCTGCCACTAAAATCCGACTCCCGCCCAGCATGGACGAATACTATAGCGACCCATCCGGCCGCCGCCGGGGGCATCGTTCATCATCGCCATATGCTGGATACCATCCCGCACCCAAATATTGGCCAGGTTATCCTCGAGATGTTGCAATGAACCGCGACCGGAGCAGCCACGGCGACGACCGCAGAGACCGAGGAAGATCGGAACGAGGATCTCGAAGACCACCATCAGATTTTCAACCCCCCAGATCCCGATCGCCGTCGCCATTTCCTCGACGGCCCCAAGGTTTTCGAGACCGGGACTACCAACGCGACGAACGATTCCACGAAACGCAACACAAGCGGCATCGCGACATCTCTCGAGATTTTGGTCCCAGTCGAGACCATATACGGGGCGGCGAAGAACCATCAGGCTGGGACAGACGCGCGAAGGAACCCGATTACGACAAGGCTCTGCATCCCCATTACGAAGGTGAGCCTCGAAACAGGGAAAGTGCATCAAGAGTGCCGCGTGTCCGCTCTCGCTCCCCTTCTGCACTTGGAAAAAGACGGAGAAGTCTCAGTCCGTTACCATTCCCCCCGTTGAATCCCAGCAAGAAGTCTAGACGCGAACGAAGCCGCAATCGTGCAGAAAAGAGACGGTCAAAAAAGTCTGGACATTCAAGGCACCCTCGCGAGTCTTCTCCATACCGTAGACGTTCACCATCCCCCTACCAGGACCGACCTCGTCGTCCAATTAAGCCACGTTCGGAGCGGCCAGATCTGTTCGAAAATCACCAGCTACGAGTACGAGGTCGGTCTCCATCTCCTCGCGAAGCCGACGTCGAACGAGGACCGCCTGTGCTCCGGCAGCATCCCCAAACCCATCCCCCTTCACACGCCGATCAGGACTCGCATCTGAGAAATCCGAGCCGGTCTCCGCTACCGATTTCACGACGATCCTCGTATTCACGAGCACACTCACCGAGTCTACCATCCCGAACCCGCCTTGCACCATCAGAGGCTGGTTCGATCTCCCGCAGATCAAGCCCGACGTTTGAACCCCCTCGACATAACCAGCCCCCACGGTCACCTAGAGGAGATCACCCACCAGCCGCACCGTCTGGCCTCCGAAAGAAGGGTAAGCGCCGCGACGACGCACGCTTCAGCAAACGAGTGGAGCCCTCATCTGGTGCCAACAGCATAGAAGTCAACATGTCTCGAAGGGACAATTTCAGGAGTAGCTTTGGTGCCCAGATGCCTCCGGCATATCCTGCTAAGCACTTCAATGACCCTCGATACAACCAGTCTCCGCCCCACGTGACCCCCGGCTCGTCGTACCATGGATCACCTGCACAGTCTCCATACGGTGCAAATGGCCGCGGCGGTTGGAATGGTTCGCATCAATATTCACCACACGGCCAGTATCCCCCACAGCATTCCCAAGGCACCTTCGCGCCACCTACCGGGCCACAGGCCCAATTCCACCAAAACCAGTCACCCCCTTTACCCCCAACCGGTCCTGCAAACCCGCAAGGTCGCGGCTTTTCGAGAGGGGGCTTTCGAGGCGGCAATATCAACCCGGCCCGTGGTGGCTCCCGTGGAGGTTCCAACCTCAAGAGCTCGCCATTTGGTGCACCCACCGGTCCAGCTGCGAGTCGAAGTCACCTCAACCACTCTGGCGAAAGCACCCCTCAGCATGCCAGTCCTCACCATACAGCTTCGAACCATTCAGAACCGGCTTCTGTGAAGGAAGGATCTGGAGGCGATGAGAACCCGTTCAGGCCATCGAAAGACCTTCAGGTAGAGGATTCCACACCCGAAAAGAAGGATGACGAACAAATGCCACCGCCTACTACCCGGGCTCCCCCTACCGGCCCGGCGGCAGGCACGTCGGGTTCCAAATTCAGTTTTGCGTTCAAGGCTACGTCGAAAGCTCCAGTTGCAGCCCCTAAGCCGGAGATCTCGCAGAAGTTTAGCGCAGCTCCTCCCAGAAGAGATCCGCAGCCTGTCGATGATCGAAGCAACCGAGATCGAGACCTGCCACGAGGTGTACCGACCGAGCCCGCATCGTCTAGAGCACGGTCCGAGCAGCAACACAACAGGCATCACCTACCCGAGACCCCTAGAACAAGAAAGGTCAAGAAGATAGAAAGGCGGCTGAAGCCTAAGCCCCAACTGCCACCCGATCTAGCCACATCCGACTCCGTGTTCTTCAGGAAACCCGGCAACGAATCGGTGGTTGGCTCTGGAACATACGGCAAGGTTTTCAAAGGGTTGCACGTGTACACCAAGAGGCTGGTTGCTCTGAAGAAAATTCGCATGGAAGGGGAAAGAGATGGGTTCCCCGTTACTGCTGTCCGTGAGATAAAGCTGCTTCAATCACTCAAGCATCTCAACATCGTAAACCTCCAAGAAGTCATGGTGGAGAAGAACGACTGCTTCATGGTGTTTGAATATCTCTCTCACGATCTCACGGGATTACTGAATCATCCGTCCTTCAAGCTCGATGCTGGTCAGAAGAAGCACCTGGCAAAGCAGCTCTTTGAAGGCCTGGACTATTTACACGGCAGGGGCGTTCTACATCGCGACATCAAAGCAGCAAATATTCTCGTCAGCAGTGACGGAATACTCAAGATTGCAGACTTTGGTCTGGCCCGCTTCTATGCGAAACGGCATCAGCTCGACTACACGAACCGTGTCATTACCATTTGGTACAGGTCTCCGGAGCTGCTCTTGGGCGAGACGCAATATACGGCTGCCGTTGATGTGTGGAGCGCCGCTTGTGTGCTGGTTGAAATCTTTACGCGTCATGCCATCTTCCCGGGCGACGGGACTGAGATGAGCCAATTGGAGAGAATCTATGCCATCCTAGGTACACCAAACAAGGCCGAATGGCCAGATGTGGTTAAGATGGAGTGGTTTGAGCTACTGAGACCCGGCTATCGCAAGCCGAACGTCTTTGCCGAAAAGTACAAGGAGCGAGTACCTGCTTCTGCTTTCGAGCTTCTTGCCTCCATGTTTCATTATGACCCAGCGAAGCGACCCTCTGCCGCTGAGGTGTTGGGACACGCATACTTCACGACGGAGCAGCCGCCTCCTCGCCAGGCTATTGAGTAAGCAGATATTGCTCCCGTGTGTGGGAATATTTCACTAATCACTTCTTTCCACAGACTCGCTGATATCCAGGGTGACTGGCATGAGTTCGAGTCGAAGGCGTTGCGTCGTGAAAAGGAAAAGCAGGACCGAGAAGCCCGCAAGGCGGCAGGAGCGAAAGATAGTGGCCATCGTGACCGTGAGAGGGACAAGAAACGCTCTAATTCCTCCCACGAAGCCCAGCGCGAACCTAAGAGGCCGCATATCGAGTCTCGAGCCGCATCTTCGAACAAACCATCGGCCTCTGCCGCGGCTCAATCTGGCAGCGGTGCTAGTGGCGCAGTAGTCAACTAGTGGAAATCATTTCCCATTTGCTTCTAATCCTTAATTCCGGATAACAAGGGTTCGCGAGGTTACAACTCTGATAACAGGAAAGGGTAACTTACGAGCGAGGCACCGTCTCCATTTGGTCCCTTCCAAGCTGCAGAGGGGCATGCTTCTTCCAGATAGTCGGTGAATGGAGTGAATGCAACGTGTATTGTACGACTAGACCAGCCTTCTGACTGTGGTGTCGAGGGACACCAGGCGAGCTACACACAAAAGAGGCAGGTCGCGGGAGCTGTTCAGTCCAAGCAATGGTGATGTTGCTATCCCCATAGAGTCATGGGAAATCGGTGGTATGGATAATGGCATATCGTGACTCACCGGGATATTATAGGGTTTGACTGGTGGTGATCTAGCGTTAGCAGTTGTAGATTAGAACAAGGCGATGAACGATCAATGGAGAGAAGCCGCGTTTCGAGTACAACTCTGTTTTGATAAATATCATCCGAGCCACATGTGAGACGATGATAAAGCTGTCAGGTACGAGGGTCTCCGACCGGACAAAAGCACTCCTACTTATGAATATGATATAATGTTTAAATCAGTTAAAGCATTCAGAACGCAGCGTAATCATCGAGTGCCGCCTGCTGGCTACTGTCCATGTGGTTTCTGGCCAACGCTGGTACACACAATACTCGCAAAAGGAGACCTGACTCCTAGTGTTCAGACCTAGAGTGGTTGTCCGCTTGTGTTTCATAGGTTCTGGCTGATTTGGTAATATCGTTCGTGCTAGTCCATCCACGCACAATGTTGCCTACATAATTCCCAAATAAGGCGAGCGGGCGACTTTTCGCAGGCCGGGTTGCGGTTACAATTCGTGCAACAGATAGCCTAAAAGCACTCGCCAGTCTCATGAACAGACAGACTACTTGCAGAATTCTTCTTTGATGGGATCATCACTTGTTGTCTCAGGAAGTTCGATGCCTACCACCAGAATCAATGTTGAGGCGTGATATGGAGGAATCACATGCGTAACATGGTTACTATTCATCCAGTTAACGAGGAGCTCAACCCCTAGTAGTGATTCTGTCAGGCTCTCCCAGGAAACTGCTTTCTTCGTTTCATAAAGGGTTAAATGAACATCGCTGTGATCATGGGAGGTTACATCCCACGCGATGAAAGGGCTTGGATATTGAAGAGGGAGAGCTAAGCTTACTTTCTGAGATGTTCAATAGCAGCGTCCTGGTTTCTGATCTTGGCATCTTGGTAGCTACCACATCAGATTGCATCTGCGAGGAATTGGGATAACAGGTATTCATCCTCAGACCATGCGTTGTTGCTTTATCCAGTATCCGGACCCAGAACTAGTCGAATCCCAAGTCATCTGGGGAGTGGAGACTATAGAAACAGTGGCGGAAGATGACGGCGAAAGTGAATGCCTCGCCTCGCCTTCCATCAAGTAGACCTTCACTCATGTAGAGAATTACTAAGATCGGGAGCAACACCAGTATCCATTATGGCGGGATGGTGGGATGGTTACTATTCTGTGAACTTTTGTAATGTAAGGGATTTCGATCGTCGTAAGACTGGTGTATACTTGGAGTTACTCGTTGCCCTTTCAAGTAGACCTCTCACACACCATCTGCTGGCCAAGCTATCGTGTCGTATATACCACTAGAGTGGTGTTGTCTGCTTCACAGAGGCGTTTGGTAATTAAAACGTCACCAGGTGGAAACGGGATGCTTTTATTGCTTGGTTGCATTCGTTCAAATCTTTGCGCCTTCTAATGCTTCACATCTTCACTTGTATTTGCTCTCTAGTTAAATTTTACTGCAGTCCAGTGGATGTATCATAAGGAATCCATACGCACGGCTCCTTATTTTTGGTACGTTCCCATTCAGAGAAAATGAACTTGCTCAAGGCTCGTCGAGGTGTTGTCGAAGCCAGACACCGAATACCCATCCAGGAACAGTCTTTATTGCAATTTTCGATATCCATGGAAATATGTTGGCGCTCCTTTAGACCGTTCATGTAATTGTCCACACTGAGCTAGAAAGACCGAAGTGATAGGTTGTGGGTGATACAACTGGTTAGCAAGCATACACCGTATTTGAGATCAGGACAAGGACGATCTTCTGATCAACCGCTCAGACTCCTCATTTGCGATATGTGCGTAATCAAACCATCGTGGAATCAGAGCATTTGGAATGTAGGTCATCTGTGATCAAAGTGACAACGACAAGCCCATTAATCCCGAGCCTACAAATCATACTCGCTCCTTCCCGTGACCTTGCTCTCCTGCGACACTGAAAGGTCGCTAGTCAATTCCCTCTTTCAAGTGTGTTTAGAGTATATCATCGAGCAAAACTTAGCACGGCTTGGGCGGCCACCTTGTTCAGCATAGGCGTCAGACATAAGTTGGACATCTCGAGATAAGTACTGCCGTGGGTACCTGCATCACCTGGGTTATTCTTGCAAGCTTCATTGACAAGGCAAGAATATTGATGTGTAGCAAGTAGATCAAACCCCCACCTCAACAGATATTGATACGCAAAAGTAACACTTTGGAGATTCCAAGTAGCGGAATCCTAAATTAGGAGCTGTCTGTTCTGTTGAAAGCTAAGATGAAAGTTTTGGTGCTAGGTTTCATTATGTTAGTCATCTTCAAGGACACAGTATATGAATACAACACTATTATTGAGCGGTTCCTGTAGGACTTGTATGTCGTCTACAGCTTGTATGACTTCAACTTCTGTCAATAACATAGAAAAAAGCTTTTACCTAGTCCGCATGGGTGATAATGAACCTCTCTAGATATACTTCAAATATATGTGCAAGGCCAACTTTGAGTTATAATAATCTTAAATATCCCAATTATGCTTACTCACTGATAGTCTTAAGCCTTCGAATTCATATTGAATATATTAGGCCCATTGTTTTAACCTGAATCCCAAATACCAGGGTAATATCAGCATTTCGGACTTCCTAGAGTTGTTACATAGAGCGCCACCAGTTTCTGCGACCTAAGCGAGGCAACTGCCAACTGCCTCGGAAGCCAGCTAAGTACCCAGGTAGGATTACTAAAATAGCATATAATCAGCTGTACAAACAAGATGAACAGACAGATTATGAGAACCACAACCCGAAACGTCCAAAGCGTTGCGGTAAAGTCGGGTTGAATATGTCACCGGGTAAGATTTGGCCACAGCTCAGAACTCAGGGTGGACCATAGGGGGGAATGTTGGAAATACCCGTATAGTCCCAACCCTTTATCCAGGTAGAGCTAGCGCGACGATGGGAAGGGACGACAGATTACGCAGACATCGAGAATGAAAATATGCTCATCTTAACTGGACGAGAAACAGCCACTATACCTAAACCCTTGGCCAACCACTTGGATTGGCTGAACATGCTTACCCACAAGTGGCTGTAGAGTAGTGATCTGGGCTTGGTACAAGACACTCTCGACCTGCCTCACATGACATTGCTCATGGACACCCGAACGCTAGAGGAGAAATCAAGAGCACCAGCATAAACTTGGAGAGACCGTCTATTGCTGATTCCTCTATGAAAGCCAGTTGCAACATATCTACAAAAGCAGAGGGCGGCAAGGCAGAACACAGCAACAGTCAAAATTTGTACTCCTGTTTCTCCATGGCTTGGACGCCAACCCCCCCTCCTTTCGCAAATCAAGACGTCACCGCCCAAGGCAAACCGAGAAGAACGACATAAAGATGTGCCTGCCTCCTCCGAGGCCAAGCCGGGGTATCTTCTATGCAACTTGACGGATTCCGGTTTCCCTTAAAAGGTATTGTCTATTCCTACACAGAACGCCAGAAACAAAACGGAGTTTCTTTTACACAGATTGCCAACTTGCCTCTTTCCTGAATGATGCTGCCGAAAATGCTCGTTACTTATCCACTTCCACATTACAACGCCAATTTTTTTTAATTCTGTTTTGCGAGAGGGGTAATAGTCGTTAGAATATCCCGTGGCTCGTATGAATCCCATCCTTTCCGACCATCCTAAGATGGGCTCGGTGTGTCGTATAAGAGGCGGCTTGTCTTGACTTTGCTCATTCTCTGACCAAAAGAGGCCTCAAGACCTCGAGCGCCTTCATAGACTGCTCGCACGACAAGATAACAGCACCCGCTCGGGCCGTCGAAAGGTAAGAGAGCTCCCCACTGACGCCAGTCTCTGCCATGCGCATCTCTGATACGAGTTTCCCCGCGATACCGCAGACGATGCCTGTTGCCTCGAGCGGAAGGTTCTCAAGATCCAGAAATATGGGCACGAGGTCGCCGTCCGTGTCTCCGACTAGTGAGTCACCAAATACCGAGAGGTGGGATTTGTCCAGAAGCAGGGAAGGTGGATCCTCGTGCGCGAGCGTCATGGAGAGAAATCTAGGGTATGGGTACGTGACGAGGACGGCAATAAGACTGGTGTACAGTTTTGTGTCGACGTTGTCGAGCCAGCTGCGACGATGACCGTTGCTGTTTGTGCCGCGCCTGCTGGTTGCGGGTCGCAGGCCGAAGTCGCTCATTTGCGTCGCGTCCACATCCCTTCCAGAGCAGTTCACAAGAATGAGGCCGTCTGCGACGTGGGGAACCACATCGCGCTTCTTGAGGAGCTCAAAAGTCCGTACTTGCAACTCGGCCACATTGGAAGGGGGCGGTGTCGAGGGAGGCTGGGTGGTAACACTCGGGCCTCTGGCATGTGCCTGCGGCGATACGAAGACCGATTCTTCCTCGGAGAACTCGAAGCCGCGGGCTAGGAGTGCCTGTACCACAGTCTGCCGATCTTTTGTGGGAACCAAGATGAAGTCCGAATAGTATGTCGTGATGAAGAAAATGGGGATTCCAGCCAGCGCAAGGGGCGATGTCAGCTCCATGACTCGGCTCCCCGCATCCATCCCAGCACTGATAACCGACAGAATCAGGTATGAGTCTTTGGAGATGGCGACCGTCTTAGACACATCCCGCGGGAGGTTTCTGATGACCGGTTCGAACACTTTCTTGGCCCAGTTATTGTGGCACACCACCGAGCACTCCACAGGGGTTATACTGATGTTGAGGAACCCATGCTTGTTGTCTATACTTAATCCCTCCACATATTCATCCGCGTTGTCCGTGCCGCCTTGGGGTAGCAGAACCTGAAGAATTGGTTGCAGGAATATCGGGTATAGCCCGAGAGGAATGTGAACGAGGCTGAAAGTTCCCTCCTATCGTCGGTTGGTCAGTGTGTGTCTGACTGTCGCATCGAGTCGCATGCCCAGGAGGTGCCCCGCCAATATATATAACTCGAGAGCCGAGTCGCAATATGGACGATGTCAGACAGTCATGGAGTCGAGCACTCCGAGACGGCAAAAGCGGATTGAGGATCAATTGACTTACAAGAAACGATATTTGACTCGGAGAATTCATTTTCACCGTACTTTGCTCTTATGTCCGAGGGAGCGCAACCTCGCGACTTCTTCATCCGACCTCGCTGAAGTAGTTAGGGGTGGGGTGATGGACCCCTAAAAGTGCACGGATGGCGGCCCTGACACCAAAAAGATTCTCGAGTCGTGATTGGCGTCGCGGAGGTTTATTGTCTGGTAAGGTGCAATTGATGGTTCGGTTTCCAGGTCTCAGACGTTGAAGTAGTGTGTACGCACAAGGACACCACTGGAATTAGAAGGCACAGACGAGAAAAAGAGAAAAAGAGAAAATAAAAATTTATGTAAGCTTCGGTCAAAGTGACGCAGCTGGACAAAGGGAAACTGTAGTATGGTGTCAAGAGATAGGGTCCACGATAAGACTTGAGTCGCAGATTTTGAGGGAACTAGGCTAGACCCTCGTCACAGCGACAAAGGACGCTTTGTTTCTCTCGGTGAATGTGGGCATCGAAAACGGCTCAAACTCTGACAGAGATCCAAAATAGCGCCGCCGTATAACACCGCACTGCAGGATGTGGGGTCGGGTGACGGGCTCTTCTCTGGTTGTTGGTGTTGCTGTCAAGGCGCCAGCCAGCCTGCCTCGATAGATAAATGCGTGGGTTGATCGAACGAAGGGCCGGGCGGGTACGATGCGATATGCGCGATGCGATGCACCCGCAGCGAGCCCCCAAAATCACCAGGGGAATCTCCGGCTTGACGACGACGTCAGGCGACGTAAATGACAATACCCTAACTTACGTACGTACATGACCGACCGGTGAGGCGAGGGGTAAGTGCTTGGAATGTATATATATATGTGTAGACGGCCTACTGCACGTAGCTAGCTTCCTCGTCAGGTTGCGAAGTAGCTATGCTGCTTAGCTGTTCCTGGGGGAAGGCGGCTAACGATATCATGGCTGATATTTCCCAGAAGGGTATGCCGCTGGCGTGCGGCAGTCCCCCTCCATGAATGATACCATAAGCGCCAGTTGGGCGCGTGGTCGATGGTCCCAGGGCGAGAAGCGACGGACTAGAGGGGTTTGGGACGGCATTGCAGCAATGCCCTTGAGTTTGTAAAATGATATGTTACCGGGCTGCAACTGCTGCATCCTCCCTTGTCTTGTCCGTAACCCAAGAACGTGGGGGCTGCAATCACTGCATATCTGCACGATGATGTCTCAGCCCAGTTCGCCAGCGCGGGGTTGGCGTCAGGACCAGGCTCTCAATTCGTCTGGCAGTGCTTAAGTAACATGATGATGAACCAGCTGGTCTTCATAATCACATCATTGAAGATTGAGTGGTTGAAAGCCCTATAATCGCTACGCCCTGCTGCGGGTATGCAAGCTGGGGAATAAATATGCAACGGTGACGGAGTTCTGGCCGGTGCTACTTTCGATAAGGGAACTGGATATTGCCCCGCACTTTTCCAGCAACGTGCATTGGGCTACCTGCGACAGAAGGCGTCATTTGTTGCTCAAGTGAGTGAGTGAGTGCAGGAAGGTTCCTGGATATGTTCTGCCTTGGTTGCACGGATAGCAGACTCAATCGAGTGGGCTCCTTTTTGAAAACTGACTTTACATACTACTGAGGACATTCCTGTGTTGCGAAAGGCGAATCACCAGATTTCCAAAGCCGTACCTTTCTTTCAGAAAAGCCTCAAACATCCCGCGAAGATACTTGTATTGATTCGACCTCATGTCGCTTTCTCATGCCATGTAGGATCACCCGCAGAGGGCCACGCTGACAGTCGCTGTGGTCATATTGATAGCATATGTCTACTATGTAGTATGATCCTGTCATAGTGTCTGAGTGCTCGGGATACTGACTCGGTTGAAACACACCAAGAACATGCGGCCTTATGTGGTTGAGCGTGCTAAGGTGCATGTCGGACTATTGCCGTGTCATTGCTATGCAGCGTCAATCTATTCCCCGATACCTATCAAGGGTCCTGTACCGACCGCGATATCACGCCGCGGATCCTATCGAACATTCCCGCTTCTGTCATCAGATGAAGTCATGTCACCGATAAGGAACATTGCCAAAGATCCATCGATGCGTCCACGGCAGATACGGACATCTAACAATGTGTCGCCGACAAGAACTGCAGCATCGATATCAGCAACCAGCCGCGAGTTTCATCGGAGCAATCGAGCCCCATACATATTGGCTCGGGTTCGTGCAGGGTCAAGGTTCGATCAGTTGGCTATCAGATCTTCCCCTGTCAACCTGCCGCGAGCTAGGCCTAAAGCCAATTAGAAGGCTTCAGCTCCTCGGTATGCTGTATCGGGGCTTCTGGTAACAACACACCCTAGCAACTGAATCTGGGCCAATCTGGCAGTGGGATGAGTGCCCTTGGAATCCGAGTTCATGCATGACATCAATCTGCTTCGGAGTGCCCAGAATGAGTATGCACGAATCGAGTCGAATTAAAGTGCCCAGCGACGTATCGCGTCCGACCCAATCTTGAGCCAACGTCCGTTGCGGGACCGCGATAGGAAAACGGAGCTACGTCGTGGTTTGCTGATACAACAGCGGTGGCCCGACAAGAAGCGATACGAGAAGTTTTCGGTGACCACGTTGTCGTGGGCACCCAGCAGTCTTGGAGGGTGGACGTTGGTCTCAATACTTAGAGAATCGAAGCACTCTCAGCTCCTTCACAACCAGCTTCCAGATCAGTCCCGTCGTGAGGCATGTACCCCTACTCCAGTGACATTGACACACCCACTCGTGGTCATTGGGCCTCTTCACCGGCGATGCAACGAACCAGATGGGAGGTACGTTTTTTCATGCCGACCACAACGAGGTTTCGAGGGCTTTCTCGATAGTCGAAGACCGTTTCAACCCAACACTTGTCCACAATATCGGAGTGTTGCTTCAAGAAGAGCCAACGATCAGTTACGATCATAGACTCAACCACCCCCGCGCTAAAAGCCATCAAACTCCAAATCGCGCTTAATTCCCTCTTACGGGGTTTGTAGATTTCTTCATATATGGCAATCTCCTCGTCCGTGATGTCGCCCATTTTCTCTTGGACAACGTCACAGTACTCGCGATAGTCCGACTGTGTTGTAAGCTTGGCCACAGCCCCTCTCACATATGAATGAAGCGACTTGTAGCAACTCTTTCGCAGAGATCCAATGATGACGGGATTTGTGCTGGTGTTGAAGGGGCTTTCCTCTGCGCTCTGCTCATCCGGATGGTGGCGTATCTTTGAAATGACTCCCTTATCTAGGAATATCTTCTGAAGAACAGCACGAAAGAAGTGACGGGTGAAGAAGTCGTCACTATCCTGTTCGCCCCAGTTATGAGGCGCTTGGCACGCCATCATCCGAGCAGTGATGTTGAAGCCGATGCCGGCTTCTTTGTACTTGCGGAGTCGCTCACTCATAGGAAATCCCTGGGGGTCCTGTTTCGCCGACTCCCTGATAACTCGTCCATTGAGAGGCTGAAGACTCGGACGCATGCCAGCGAGTTTGTAGGTCTGAGGGCCCAACTTTTCGGTCATCAGATTGTAGCAACATCCAACAATAGCTACTGCTCGAACGTTTGCGTTCAAGATAAGAGATCGGATCCCCATATGGGAAAGGTTGCCACATGAATGTATCGAGACCGCCATCAGCCGTGGTCCGCTCGACTCTTGTTGTTCCGCGTCTGCATTTCCTTTCAAGTGACTCATGACGTCTGACAAATCTCCCGATTCGAGCTGTCCGGATATGTATCGTATGAAACCTTTGCCATCCTCTGGAACGTATGTCGCCTGTAATTCTCTTGTGGGTCTGAAATCAACCACGTATTTCTCCAGCGTTTCCTTTGTAGGTTTTGCTGCTCTTTTGAGCACCCTTTCGTCGATATCTTCCCCCGATCTCATGCTGTCCAGTTTTTGTTGCCACAGCTTCTTATTGCGCATGACTTTCTCTTTTCCAGCAATACCAGCGTGCATATCCAATTCCTTCGCCCCCTTGATATTATGCTCTCGACCTTCAACCGCAACAATGTGCTTGTTGTATGGCGAACTAGCCAGAGCTCTTCCCAGGTAGTTCTGACCACTGCCAAAATCAACGAAATGGCTTATTTCCTCGCCCGATATAGCAGCAATGTCCCCAGCAAGTTTGTCCACATAATTTGCAAAGTGGCTCACTTCGTGCACCTTCTTTGGCTTCATGCCCACGGCTACTTGCCGCGACAATTTTGGCATTTTCTCCTGCGCCGTCTTGTGGGACCTGACCAGCGAAAACCTCCTGATGTCTTTGATGTATTGTAGGAGGCTCGCTGGTGGTTGGGGATCTGAGAGTGAGTTCAGATCATCTCTCATTAGCACATCCAGTAGAGTCATGGAACCACATTGTAGAAGGTATTTCTGCCAATCCGGCGGTACAATGAGTTGGAACAACTCGGGTTCGTGCGTGAAGAAATCCAGAATGTGCACACCACCGCATAGTGTCTGGAATATTGCAGAGGTAGTTGCGAACTCGAGAAGATTGTCAACATATTCGTCAGTACTTTCCCAGCAATCTGGGTGTGGAAGTGGCTTTTTGGGTATCATGATGATGTTTATCCGCACGGGATCTTGAGATGCTGTAATATGACTTGGTTCGTATTTATCTTGCCGCGCATGTCTTGAAGTTGTGTTGTTTGAAGAAAAATATTCGAATTCTTCTCTTGCTGGTCCGGTGCCTAAAATTGACTATTTCCACCAGACTGCCCATGTACGAAGTACGTACCTCCACTATGAGATACACTGATCCCTGCGCATCTCCCGACATCTTTCCGAACAATGAGTTCAGGGACACGCAGCGTCATCCTCCACGAACACCTAGCTTCAGCGTCGCGTCTCATTTGTCAACCTGACCTTATGGGCCGCAAAACGTTTGATTCATAACTGCACGCAGATGTAGACAGTCAATGCTTTTTCGCGCGTTAAACCCGGCAGGATGATGTCCTTGACGAACGAGGAGGATCCTTTCCTCCAGGTCCAACAGTGCGCGTTCCAAAAAGAAAACCACCTTGAAAACACCACTCGTGAATGCTAACAAAATCCCACCAGAGATGTCCTCTCCCAACTCCAATCCACTCGGCCCCTATTCGCCTCCTACCTGCGCATCCGCTCCCTGTCCACGACCACCATATCACCCGAGCTAAGCTCCGTGCGTGCCGACCTCGAATCAGCCCTCGCATCCCTGAGCGAAGACCTCGCTGACCTGACTGAGTCCGTCAAAGCCGTCGAGTCGGACCCCGTTCAATATGGCGTATCGATGTCAGAGCTTAAGCGGCGGCAGCGGCTAGTGAAAGAAGTCGGGGGCGAGATCGAGGACATGCGAGAGGAACTGAGCAAAAAGGTCGACAGCTCAGCAGCGGCGCGGGCAGCTAGACAAGCGGCTAACAACGAGCTTCCTGACCCGAATGCCTTCGCCATCGGCGATGGCGATGAGGGTGACAACTACACCGAGTTCGAGCATCGGCAGCAGACGCTGATGATGCGGGACCAGGACGAGACACTCGACGGGGTGGCCATGACGGTGGGGAATCTGAGGCGGCAGGCTGATGATATGGGTCGGGAGCTCGAGGAGCAGCGCGAGATGCTTGAGGTCGTGGATAACGCGGCTGATCGCGTCGGCAGTAGACTGGCAACCGGGGTGGCAAAACTAAATCACATTGTGCGGCAGAACGAGGATAGGTGGAGCGGGTGCTGTATAGGTGTTTTGATTATGGTGTTGATTATACTGCTGGTCCTGCTCTTGATACTATGACGGACCTGGTGCTGGGAAATGGCACTGACGTACCGTGACTAATTGGGATGGTTTATCTTTCGTCATTTGGTCACAGAGTAATCATTGCACCGAAGGGCTGCAATGGCACATGTCCATTTTGCTCATTCATGGATACGTCTGTCTTGTATATTCAAAATACCGTGCTTGGGTACGCAGACGAAACAAGAGCACGCATATAACTTCGCTACAATGCGCTACATGGGATACCTTTCGTTGGGACCGTCGGCACCAATCCCTTAACGTAAGGGAGGCCATAACTTTGGCTTGCACGCGTTCGTGCTCCAATACCGAGTATCATACATCATTGATATGCCCTTTAGTTGAGATCTAAGCCAAGATCCCTTTTATACATCTGGGCTACGACCTGAAGTCCACCCACTCCAGGTGTGTTGTTTGGTGCTTTCCCTGGAAACTCGACCAGAGCCCTTCGTAACGCCACAATGGCCGCGCTGCCGTAGAGATGGATAAACTTCTCCTCATACAGCTGAATCATGGATTTTAGGACCACACATTGAGTATTGGATATTTCCGCCGGCGGGGTATTGACAATACTTGCCATGGTTGTCCAGTATCGGGAGGGTGGCCAAGGGTTCGTGTTAGGCGACCTAGAGAAATCCCGCAAAGCCAGGGATGCATAACCAACTCCTAGACCCGTCATGCGGTCAATATGTTGTTGCTCTGTGATCCAGGCCCCGCCCTCCTTCTTCCATCCGAGGCGTGCTCGACCCTGTTCTGTCTTCTCGCTTCCCCTATAGCCGAAGACGACGGGGCATACAATACGAAATTTTGCCATCAGAATATCAATCAGCGATTTTCCACGCCAATGGAAATCCTTCATCGAAAACATCTGAGCGGCTATGACGCCGACCGGGTCCGCATTCCTAGGGGCAGCACCGCACTCGTTAATGAATTGGTTGATGATACCCTTGGCTAGGGCATTGAGAAGGTACAAGAACAGTGATGGCAACTGGGGCGCATTATGCACCGCGCCCTCAACTGGCTCCCGCTTGTCGACAGTATAATCAGAAGGGTCAACCAGGGCACTGGGTACCTGACCGCTTAGAGCTTCCGACAAGAGGCCTTTTATTCTTTCAAGCTGGATCTGTGTCAGCTGGATCTACGTATTGCAAGCAACATGCTTACCTGTTGTTTGTTGGCACCCTTCCCGCCCGTAAGCTGGCCTAAGCTCTTTCGAATCTCTCGTCGCATATCTCCCATGCGTGTCTTCAGTGCCATGTTTGATTTCGTCTGCTCCAACAGGTATGCTCGTAACTGCTTGAGATTCTTATGAATCTCAGCATATCGATCTCCTTGTGCGACCAGTGGTTGTATTGGTGCAGAAGGTATAGCTGGCTTGACTTCTTGTGCTGGTGCCGCTGTAGTCGACCCATTAACTGCTGGTCCTGGTGTCAGCTGCGTAAAGGGGTTTGAGACAGCGCTTGTAGACTTGGAAAATGGTGAGGGTGCTGTCGGTGTTAGCCCCGGTGCTGTTTCGGTAACCTTTGAAGCATGACCATTCACCTGGGGCGCGGATGGTGTAGGCAAAGGTGCGAACGGTACCGCTGTCGAAGCGATTCCCGGATGCTCAACAGCTGTAGCAGGCTTCGGCACAGGGCCGGCGCCATTGACGATTGGTTGAGGTGCTGCAGCTTCTTGTAGAGGCGGCCGGGGCGGTTTTGGGGGTAGCTTCGGGATGCTCTGGGCTTCAAGATCTCGTAATCGCTGCTCCTCATCTCGAAGCTTTTTCTCGCGCAGTAGACGCTCTTCTTCTTTTCGCTGGGCAGCGAGAACATGTAATTCCTGTTCTCGAAGTCGCTGCAGTTCTAGCTGGTGCTCGTGGAGTCGAATGACCCTGACAGCTTCGTCTCGGACGCGATCATGTTCGGCTCGTGCCTTCGCAAGAGCTTCTTTGTGATTCAGCTCACTGTTTCGATCGTCCGACAGGAAATCCGAGAACCTAGTCTGGTCGGGACTCGACCATTGCGCGCTGCGTCGCGGCGCGGGCGAAGAATCCGCCATGTTTATTCCTTTACAGCTGTAACCTCATCGTAAAACGTCGCGAAATAAACCAAGAGAGGGAGAGTGGCTTTCGTGGATGGGGTGGCAGGCCACGAGATGATGCTCTAGGACGAGGAATTTCACTTGCCGGCTTGGACGCGGTGCAATTCACGAACAACGGCAAGCTTTTGGCGGAAGACGTGGAGGAGCATTGAATCGATTACATGAGGTAGCACACAAGGCGTTGATTGGCTGAATTCAAAGTTGGGTGGTTTTCTGGGTGATTTTCTGCCGAATTGCATTTTGCTCAAAACGGATATTTGGGGTCAGGGCGGTGAAAGGCTCTGGCTCCCTGGTCCTCACCTTCCACTACGATTCTTGAACCAATCTACCAATCCACTTGAGGTTGGTGGTGTTTCTGGTCGCCTTCTTATGGCCCCCATTTGTCGATTGAGGCTGGCAATCCCCCAGGATAGCTCACTTTTCGGGGAAACGATCGACGCTTTCCATGCGTTATGTGGTCATCTTTGGAAAATGAATACGAAGGCTTCAATATGACTATGGTGTCATGATGACTACGTTCATCAGAACAACAATGATCAGTGCTAGTAGCAACACGCCACAGTGCGCGGTAGCACTAGCATCCTCGAAGTTGTGTCAAGTAAAGAGGAGGCACTTGCGTGTTCAGGATCGGCCCCATTCAAGCAATGATATCTTGTTTTGCAGTGTTGCGCAAAACCTCGTAGCGTTGCTTCAGGGAATCAAAGCCATCCGCACTTGAGGCATCAAACATGGGGCTTTTGCCCCTTGAAGTACGTGTACAGGTAGCAGTCCCTTCTCACTAGGTCCAGCATGGAGAAACACGATAATGGGCAAGTCTCTCAAGGTTGTTCTAAAGCATTCTAATGTCCAGTTGACAACTGACTAGCGTAGTGGTGTAGCATAAATTCACGGACGAAAATGGCTTGAAGGTTGAAGTGGCCAATGCTGCTTGAAATAGCTCGAGCTTCAAGAGAATCCCCAACTGGTGCTTATGGAGCCGCCCGGTTTTCCGATCAGTTAGGAATTGGCCAAATGCCTTAGACTTAGAGAAGATAGAGAGCCAACAATGAATTGGGATGTTCACTATTGTCAGTCTGTCCGTACCTATTAGGCACAGTCGGCTTTGTGGGAAAGTGTCGTCACTGCTCTAACCTGCGAAAAAGGACACCTTGGGCAGGTGTTCAGCAGCGGGAACCCGCAAACTTTACAAGGCCACCCGGGCAGCGACTGACGACGCTAAAATACAAACAACCCCAAAATGCCCCAAGCCACGCCTGAGATGAGTGGGTGCTCAACCAAGGTCTCCGCAGCTGCCACAAAAAGCCAATTAACAGACTGAGCGAGTTCTAGGCGACCTTATGTCGGGCTGGGCCTGTTCTAGGTAAAGCCTGCCTCACATCTAATCCTTGACCTTTCCTGCTTGCTTCCCGTCTGGCGGCGCTGGCCTTGAGCATCCTCCACACATTTCTCCTCCCTCCATCGTCGTCACCATCTTTCCGATCCCCCATCTTCCTACCTCAGGATTCTTGACACTCCTTCTTACCACCCACCAGCTTTCACTGATAGTCACCAGCAACAAGCAACTTCATCCTCTCATTCAACCCTCCTTTTGTTTAGTCGCAAAAGTCCACGCAATAACGAGCAGTTAGACAACACGTCTTCGCTAGCTACCAACACCTTATCTGTCCATCGACAAATATCCACACAAGCTCCAGCCAACATCAGATTCACCCCTGACATCAACTTATTACACTCGCCCGACCACCATTGACCTCTACTTGCACCCGACGTGCCATTTGGCTGCTTGCCCGCCATGGAGCAGCAGAACCAGCAGCCTCCCACGGGAGGCGTCCCTGGCCCGACTGGCCGTCGCTTGCACATTGCCCATCGCCGCAGCCCCTCTGAGCTGACCCCCTTGATGAGCATGTTTGCGAACCCTGGAAGTGAGTTTACATATTTGTCAAATACTAATATTGTCTCTCCATGTAACCCTTTTTTGGTTGAGCTACGGACCTCGAGTTAACGTCTTCCGTCTGCAGTGGAGCAGCTTGCTATCCAGCAGCAGATTGAGCTGTTGCAGCAACAGCAGCAGCAGATCCAGGCCACGCACCAACAGTACATGAATATGGGCATGATGCCACCGGGTCAGCCATTCAACCCGCTGCAGCCGATGGCCAATATGTCGCCGCAGTCAGCGTTCCAGTTTCCCAATCAGCTTCCACAGCAGCAGAACGTCGCAATGGGCGCTCCTAGCCAGCCCATGTCACACCGCCGTAATCAGTCGGCATTGCCCAATATGGGCATGGGACCTCCTCCCGCTCCTTCTGCCGGAGCGTCCGGTTCTACCTTCGGTCAGTTTGACAATTCGCAGGCCCAAGGCCGGGAGAACGCGCCTCGAGGAGGGCGAGGTGGCGGTTCGGGAGGCGGTCACCAGCGAAGACACTCTCTGGCGCTCGCAGATGCCAAAAAGGCCGCGGAACTTGCTCAGCAAAAGCGCACCACTTCTGGATTTCAGTTCCCGGGGCCCGGCGCTTCCGAGGGAGCCCCTGCGGAGGAAGCGAAACCTACAGTCACTGATACCCCTATTGCGCAAGGTTCATCTACCCGTGGTGGTCGTGGTGGAGGCCACGGACGAAGCCAGAGCATGGCGGTTGGTGCGAATGGCCGAGGAGGGCGCGGCGGGGCAGCAAACTTCAACAACAATAACAATAACGAGGGTGCTGCTACTCAGCAAGGAAACGAGTTCCGACGGGGCGGCGGCTCTGGCGGTCATGCTCGATCGTCGTCGCGGAACTTTGAAGGCAACTGGCGTAACAACCAAGCCCAGAATCAGGGACAGGACCAGGGAGGTCAAGGACAGCAACCTTTCCAGCCAGGCCACCGAAGCCGCGGCTCCATCAATCAGTCTGTCTCTTCAATTGGTGCATTCCAGTATCCCGGCCAACCCCAATTGGTGCAAATGCCCGGTCAGATGCCCATGATGCAGATGTATCCCAACCAGCAGCTCAACCCCATGCAGCTGAACCAGCTCCAAGCTCTCCAAGCTGCCCAGATGAACGGCCAGCATCTTGTTGGTTTGCAGGGCAGTCAACATGCGCCTCAGTTGGGTGGCCAGAATCAGCAACAACAGAGGAAGACGCTTTTCACTCCTTATCTTCCTCAAGCAACCCTGCCTGCGCTGCTCGGCGATGGGCAGCTCGTGTCGGGTATCCTTCGAGTAAACAAGAAGAATCGTAGCGATGCTTACGTTTCGACTAGCGATGGTCTGCTCGACGCAGATATCTTCATCTGCGGAAGCAAAGATCGTAACAGAGCATTGGAAGGTGATCTTGTTGCCGTCGAGCTGTTGGATGTTGATGAAGTGTGGGGCCAGAAGCGCGAGAAAGAAGAGAAGAAGAAGCGAAAGGATATCACAGATACGCGGTCGGGATCTACCAACGGCAATTCTCAGTCGCACTCTGGTAACGGTGACGATGCTAACATAGGCGAAGGTGGCATCCGCCGTCGCGGCAGTCTGCGTCAACGACCTACCCAGAAGAAAAATGATGACGTTGAAGTTGAAGGCCAGAGCCTGCTGCTTGTGGAGGAAGAAGAGATCAACGACGAGTCCAAGCCTCTTTACGCTGGACACATTGTTGCAGTCATTGAGCGCGTTGCTGGGCAGATGTTCTCCGGCACATTGGGACTGCTGCGTCCTAGTAGCCAGGCTACTAAGGAGAAGCAGGAGGCTGAGCGGGCTGCCAGGGATGGCGGTCGGCAGCAAGACAGCCGCCAGCAGGACAAGCCCAAGATTGTCTGGTTCAAGCCTACGGACAAGCGTGTGCCCCTCATTGCCATCCCCACGGAGCAAGCCCCGAGAGATTTCGTAGAGAAGCATCAGGATTACGCGGATCGCATCTTCGTTGCGTGCATTAAGCGCTGGCCCATCACTTCCTTGCATCCTTTCGGCACCCTTGTCGAACAGCTAGGCAGGATGGGTGATCTGAAGGTCGAGACCGACGCTCTTCTACGCGACAACAACTTTTCGTCAGACGAGTTCTCGGATGCTGTCCTGCGAAGTGTTGGACTCCAGGATTGGTCAATTGCTAAGGAAGACGAGACTGCTATTAGTGCCCGTCGCGACTTCCGAGGCGAGACGACCTTCACCCTCGACTTGGCGGGCACCGAAGAACTTGGAGATGCGATTCACGTGAAGACGGAATCGGATGGAAAGATCGAGATTGGCATCCACGTCCCCGACATTGCCCATTTCGTCAAGGCCAATTCTCTTGTTGATCGCGAAGCTAAGAAACGCGGCACAGCGGTCCACTTGGTCAACCGCGTCTGCGCCTTACTTCCGCCCAAGATTGCCTCAGAGGTGTGCTCTTTGACGCCCAACGAGGATAGACTCACTGTCAGTGTGGTATTTCGCGTGAACCCGCAGACTGGTGTCGTCGCTGAGGGTGACACTTGGGTCGGCAAGAGTATCATCAAGAGTTCTGGCAAGCTTTCGCTTAAGCATATTGACGATGCTCTCGCGAATCAAGCCGCGTTCAAGCACGAGAGTGTCGAAGTCAAGGACGTTCAGATCCTCAATGTGAGTAACTTATACTACACTGCGTGATGAATGTGACTAACATGATGTAGGCTGTTGCGCACAAATTCCGAGAGGCTCGCTTGGGGTCTGAGGAGGAACCCATCTCTCCTCTCAGGTTACTCCATCAATTGGATGACGAAAATATTCCTATTCAGCACAACATCTTTGACGCCACATCCGGCACCGAAATGGTGGAGGAGCTGCTTCACAGGGCAAACGCGCATGTTGCACAGCAGCTTGCCCAGGGTCTTCCTGAGAAAGCCATTTTGCGCCGCCAAGCCGCACCCAACGCCCGCCGACTGCAGACATTCGTTGAGCGCATGCGTGCCCTTGGCCACGACATCGATACCACCAGCAGCGGAACTGTGCAGAATAGCCTGTTCAAGGTCGACGACGGCGAAATCCGCAAGGGCATGGAGACGCTGCTGTTGAAGACGATGCAGCATGCGAAGTATTTCGTTGCCGGCAAGACGAATAAGTTGATCTGGCCTCACTATGCTCTTAACTTGCCTGTGTACACTCATTTCACTGGTCCGACACGGCGCTATGCCGACATCATCGTCCACCGTCAGCTGGAGGCAGTGCTTTCCGAGGGCAAGATTGAGTACAATGAGGACATCGAGAATTTGGTCAAGACTATCGAATATTGTAACACCAAAAAGGAGTCTGCCCAGAATGCTCAGGAGCAGAGTATTCACATCGAGTCCTGCAGGATCATGGACAAGAAGCGCCAAGAAGTAAATGGCGATCTGATCAGCGAAGGCATTGTTATCTGCGTTTACGAGTCTGCGTTTGACGTTCTGATTCCCGAATGGGGCTTTGAGAAGCGAGTGCATTGCGATCAGCTGCCGTTGAAGAAGGCTGAATTCAGAAAGGAAAAGAGGGTGTTAGAGCTGTACTGGGAGAAGGGGGTTCCTAGCTCCGCTTACGTGCCTGAAGATGAGCGACCCAAGGCAGCTCAATCCCAGAGGATGTCGAACGCCATGGCAGCCGCCAGGCATGCAGAGGAGGCCGAACGAGCCAAGAAGGAACGCGAAGAGGCAGCACGCAAGCAGACGGAGACAGGCACAATTTCTACGGATGATGTGGATGCCCTGTTTGACGATGACGACGATAACGCGTCGGACATCACGGAAGCCATGGCTGGTGCTTCTCTCGCAGAGCGACCCACTCAAAGTGTGCCCGGGTCGCCAACTCGATCTACATCGAATGCTGGCATCCTTCACCGCACTCGGTCTGACTCGAAGGTACCGATGGCGGAGGCTGTTGAAACTCGATTGACCAATAAGGAGAAGTACCTCAAGCTGTTTGCGCTTAGAGAAGAGGGCGGTGACTACATCCAAGATGTCACTGAAATGACCAGAGTGCCCGTGATTCTCAAGACGGATCTGACGAAGAGCCCACCGTAAGTCACACCTGTTTGTTTCACGAATCGTAACCTAACAATAACAGTTGCCTCACGATCCGCTCGCTGAACCCATACGCACTATAATTGCCATGGCGGGAGACGAGGGTGGACGGAAGTCGGTAGGCTTATCGGTTGAGCAGTGTCTATGATAGTAAGCGGGGATGGGCGACGAAAATTAGGGTAGATTGATAGGCCATAGTATAAGCCAACCCGGATGGTATATCTCTTATGTGTCGATAAAACGTTGGTTGGGACGGGCAGATAGACGTAGTGGCTGCCGTAGTTGAAAAGAACGCAAGTGTCACAACTGCCAGTGTGTTCCTAAATGGTATCAAGTGATGTTAGGGAGGACGGTAGACAACAAAGGATATGTCGACGGCGAACACAGTGGACTCGATGCTGGCATTTGAGCATAAGCCGGGGCACACCCTGCCATCCATATACCTCAGGCACGAGGTCTGTCGTTGGTTACACGAAACATGTTGAGGTAAACGAACATCTTGAACTGGCGGGCCGTCTAACTGCGGGCCGCTCTCCAGGTCCACGGACTGAGTGGTCCAGAGCTGGGCCTGCGGTCGATCTTTGGAACAATGCCGGCAGGTTTGCTACTCGGCATGCATATCATCCATTGGCCGGATAGTGCCTGGCTGCCGGGAGCCGTGTTTGCAGCCAGCCTATGGACGCGAAGATCCCGGGAGAGTGTATGAGTGCTATGGTCGCTATGGTCACCATGGGCAGCAGTAGGCGTGGGTGGTGGCCCGTTGGACACATGCAACATCGATGATGCAGACGAATCTGCAGAACGGCCCGGCTTTTGTTTAGAGCTTAGTACGACGGAATTCGATGAAATGCTTGGATATGGTGCCCATCATTCAAACCCGTCACCGGTAGGAAAGCATTGGTTTCGGCGTTTCTGTAGCTACAGGGGGGACCTCTTGGTGGACGATCTCTTCATTGGAGATAAAAAAGCTTGTGTGGCATTATCTACTGCGACTACTGCAGTTCCGATACCCGATGACTCGGGCGTTTTCAGTGAGCCACCAAGTATAGTAAAGTTGACAGTGACAGGACCTGATACTCGTCTGTCTGCGGCTCTAGACCCTTAATGCTAGCGCGGCCCCTCTATTCCAGATCAAGCTTAAAACTGACTGTAAACCTCTCAGTGGTTCTTCACGTGCAAAATGCACCCCGTGTCTCGAAAACCCCCACCCGGCAGATGGCCTGCCGTTGAGCCTCCGTTACGTTGACGTGTCCCTCAGATCTCAGATGCGTCGTCCGGCCCATCTTTTATTGTTTCTAATGGGATTCATCGGATGGTTCGTCTTCCACCCGTCATACTTGTTTCCGCGCGGCTCAACGGATAGAACGGCTCTGAGAGGCTTCTTTCCACTCTTTTCCATCGCCCACACAGGGAACTAGGCCCACGGAAGGTGCGAGCTGAAGTCGACACTGGTGAGCCAACTTCTGAAGTTTCAACTACTTCAGGTGGCTTCAACTGGTCTTTCAAACGGCTGCACGAGATGCGGCCTAGATCATTCACCTCATTCCATTCGCCAAGAATAACTCCTTACTCGAATTTGGAGCCCCGTAGTTGAGGTAGCAATCGTTTCTACTTCGTATCTTGGATCGATGCGGAGATAGATCCTCAATACAGCGCACGTGAGCCATGGCGCCAGGCGTGACGGCCGACCCATGCTACCTCGCAGCTACTGTAGTGCACAACAACTGACAAGCTGCATGCAATGCAATGCAGCCTCCATGGTCATGGTGAAGCCGTAGCTCGGATTTCTAGCTCGAATCCCACCAGCCTGTCCGCGTCTGTCAAACCCCTCGCAATCTCAACTCAACGGAGGAAAAAGAACTGGGAAAAAGAAATTCATCTCCCACTGAAGCGAGCGATCAAGCCTTGGCGCCTCTTCGACAATCTTCTTCCAGCGCGTCTGAGCCACGGCAAAGTCACATCCTTCTCCAAAGACGGCTAAAGGAAAACTTGGTAGTGCCCGGCATAGTGGCTCTTCGGTTTCAGAACTCGGTCGACCTGTAGCCCGTGCTCGCTTATGCGCCGGCACCAGGTCGATGAAACGGCATCTGAGGCAGGTAGCCCCTCGACGACGGCACACCCTTGACTCGCTGCTGACCCTAGCGCCCCTGATATCAGCCTAGCCTTATCCGAATTATACCTACGAGCTTAATCCTCATGAAGGGTTCCCATTGGCTCATGAGAAGCTTGTCGCCATGACGTTTGGTTTCTCGACAATGGCAAAGGTCCCCTGATAGGCCAGCGCCCCATTGACCTCCCGATTGGCTTGCCGCAAATGCCATCCCATCTCCCCTTGTGGCCCCTTGGACGCCCGGGTCTCGGGAGCTGGTAGAAAAATTGGATGCATTGCGACTATGAAGCTCGTCGGTTCAAGCATTTCCAGGAGGGCCTTGAGGAGCACTGAGGAGCCGTGCTGGGGACGCCTGCTCCATGGCCGGCCTGCTCTCTATCCGTGCCGCATATTTCGGCACGCCCTCGACACGCCGCTACCAGAGCTCATAATGATCGACTCTTGGCAGACGCCTTTAATGAGTCGCCATTTCCCACCCGATCACTGTAGCTTCTTCTTCCCTTCCTCATCCCATTCCAACTCTCTCCCGTCAACTACTAAACAAAAAGCGCTGGTCTGCTTCCTGGGATCACCGACTTTCATTACTCTCATTAACGAGCTTCGGTCTCTTTATCTATAATATTCTTTAATATCTGGTGCGATTTATAGAACAGCCAGGCTGGTCTTGCTTCAACTTACATCAACCATTCTCTGTATACTCGCTCCATCGCAACCATTCCCTGAAGATCTCGACGATTAAGAAGGAAACAAACAAAACATACTCTTCAACCAGACGAAATGCCTTCCATCATGAAGACCATCGGTGTTGTGGCCGCACTGGCGGCCGTTACGTGTGCTGCGCCGGCTCAGCCAAGATTCACCAAGAGACAAGAAGAAATCTACAGCCTCGCAAGACGACAGACCGCCGCCGAACAGGCACTTGGGCTCACAGACGTTGACGTGCTTCAATTGTGTGTAAAAGTCCCATCTCACGACGCAGGCTCGCTTACTAATATTCCCACAGTGCCCTTACCCTAGAATGGCTCGAGGCAACCTTCTACCAGCAGGGATTCGCCATGTTCCCCGATGACCAGTTTACCGCTCTCGGCCTGAACGCGCAACAGGTCACAGATCTGAAGTCGGTCGGCCAGACTGAACAGGCGCATGTCCAGTTCCTCCAGAGCGCCATTGCACAAGCTGGCGTCCAGCCCGTCCAGCCCTGCCAGTACAACTTCGGCTTCACGGATGCCAAGGGCATGGTTGGCACCGCCGCCGTGCTCGAGAACGTTGGTGTCTCGGCCTATCTGGGTGCTGCCCCCATCCTGTCCGATGCCAAGATCCTGGCCGCCGCTGGATCCATCCTGACCATCGAGTCTCGCCACCAGTCCTTCATCCGCGTCGCTTCCGGAGTCGCGGCTGTCCCCTCGCCCTTCGACACCCCGCTGGGCCCCAAGGCTGTCTTCTCCCTGGCCGCTCCGTTCATCACCTCGTGCCCAGCCGGGTCCAACTTGGCCCTGACGGCTTTCCCCACCTTGACCATGAGCTCGCCTGCCGCCGGATCACCTGAAGCCGCCGCCCTTACTGCTGGCACCAACCTGGTACTCGCCAGCGACGCCGCCGCCGGGGCCACCTTCTGTGGTTTCACCAACGCTGGCCAGGTCGGCGGCACCGCATTCACCCCCTTCACCGCCGCCGGTGGATGTGCTGTTCCCCAGAACCTCGCCGGTATCACCTACCTGACCCTCACAAGCGCCGGTCCCGCCGATGGTGTCATCACCGACGCAATCACTCTCGCCGGTCCCATGGTCCTCCAGATCTCTTGATTCAGCAACCCGACTTCCGCCTCGCAGCCCGCAGCCCACTTCTACAGCAGCTGAGACGTTCAATAATTCAGGGGACGGGAACGAGACAACTGCAGTAATCGTGTCATGGCGTGACTACCATCCATCCCAAGCAAGTTTCTTGGGGTCAGGTGGAATCAACCTTACGGCTCTGTCTGACGAGATAAAAGAGAAAAAAAAAAGGGTGGGGGAGCAAGTATTGCAGACAACAGCGACAGGGAAACGAGAACAGAAAAAACAGTGGTCGGTAGCTCGATTTAGTACCACCAATATATTTTCACTGGGCGTTGTCCGCATTACTACAGCATGTCGTTGCCGTCTTCATTTCTTTCGGCGAGGGGTAATATTGTTCATATTTAACCTTGTATGTATTTATTACATTACTACTTTTTATACATCGATCATGATTGCGAGGATATCCTGGGGCGGGGGGCTTGGGAAAGGATAAAGGAGGAGGGAGTGGTTGGCGGAAAAGGGAAGATAGATGGTCATTGCATGACATAGGATCTATCCTGAGAGGCACTCGTGGGGGTGGTTTTTCATTGAGTTTTTAGCAGAGATCGGAGTGGCAACAGGGCAAGAAGAAATAGCATGCTGATGCAGATACAGCATCGGTTTTGTTGATACCCCCCGAGCGACAACGACGACAAACAGGCAGAAACTAGATGCGATCTCGAGCCTTAAATCAAGAAGTTTATGTTCTAAATCCAGTGTATCCAAGTGTGTGAAACGTGATATCTACATGTGACATCCGCTGCCCTGTAACGAGTGAGAAAAACGAAGCTGAGGGAGTAGTTGAGCAGCTCCCCTCTGATGCATTAACAGGCTATCCCATATGATGCCAGTGCCGGCAAGACGTTCAATCTGTCCGCTGCTTGAATCCAAGTACCGACACCTACATCGAGGAACAGAACACGCATACATGTTACCAAAATAGTGAGAATTCTGATTTCAATTCAAACACCCGCACAACACTAATCAGACTATTAAAACACTTGCTTATGCCAGGAATAGTCCGTGATGAAACAACTACAAAGACTATATACCCCGGCATCGTTGCTTGCACCTCCATTCCTATCAATGCAGTCCATGATATAGCATATCTACTCGTCCATGACAGCGGCAAATTTATCCAGTAACTCCTGCTGAATTGCCTCGTACTTCTTGGAGACAGCCTCCTCTCCTTCCGAAGGCTCTTCGAACTTCAGGCTTCGAAGTTTTGCTTGGAGCTCACTGGTAGCTTCCCGTACCTTGGCCCAGTTTTGACCTTGCGCGATGGCCTTTTGCGCTTCGTCGTGGTAGCCCATCATAAGCTTCATCATCCACTCCGTCTTCCAAATGGGACAGAATTGATCATAATTGGAGTATCCGTTCTGCTGCAGGAAGTCTTCCTTGAGCAGAGTGGCCATGTCTAGGGTAATCTTGTCGGGATCGGACAGAGCCGACTTGCCAACCAACTGTACGACCTGATCAAGCTCCTCTGAGTCGGAGAGCAGCGTCTTGATGCGGTCACGCAGGCGCGGGAAGTCGGGGTAGTCCTTTTCGTACCACTTGTCGAGGATGTTAGTATACTTGCTGTAGGACACGGCCGTGTTGATGGAGGGGAAATGCTTTCGCTGAGCAAGCTTCTTGTCGAGACCCCAGAACACCTGTACGATACCGAGGGTAGAGCTGGTGACGGGATCTGAAAAATCGCCACCGGGAGGGCTCACGGCCCCGACGATGCTGACACTGCCTTCACGCTCGGGGGAACCGAGAGTCTGAACCTTGCCCGCACGTTCGTAGAAACTGGCGAGCTTGGCACCCAGGTATGCGGGGAAACCCTGGTCAGCAGGCATTTCACCAAGACGACCTGAAATCTCACGAAGTGCCTCAGCCCAGCGCGACGACGAGTCAGCCATCATGGCGACGTTCATGCCTTGGTCACGGAAGTACTCGGCGACAGTGATACCAGTGTAAATGGAGGCCTCTCGGGCGGCTACAGGCATGTTGGATGTGTTGGCAATGAGGGTGGTTCGTTTCATGATGGGCTCCTTTCGCCCCTCGACCTCGATAGACAGCTCGGGGAAGTCCTTCAAAACCTCAGCCATCTCGTTACCTCGCTCGCCGCATCCAACATAAACAATGACGTCGCTGTTGGAGAACTTGGAGACAGATTGCGAGATGACAGTCTTGCCGCAGCCGAAAGCACCAGGGATGGCGACGGTACCACCCTGGACACATGGGAACAAGGCATCCAGGACTCTCTGGCCGACGATGAAGGGCTTGTCGGCCGAGAGCTTCTCCGTGGTCGGCCTCGGGACACGGACGGGCCAGGTGTGCATCATGCCGTGCTCCGTCTTAGTGCCGTTGAATTCGATCTCGAGGATCTTCTCGTCAACAGTGTACTCGCCCTTGGGTGCAATCTTGGTGATGGTGCCACGTGCACGCGGCGGCAGGAGGACCTTGTGCACCTTGATGAAGGAGTTTTCGAAAACGGTTCCCCAGACATCGCCGCCAGAGATGTGATCGCCAACCTTCAGTGTAGGGGTGAACTCCCACTTCTTCTCTCGGTCGAGGGCAGGGGCGGCGACACCGCGGGGAATGTAGATGCTGTTGGCCTGCTGCGAGATCTTCTCCAGAGGTCGCTGGATTCCATCGTAAATGTTATGTAACAGGCCGGGGCCAAGCTCGACGGAGAGGGGCTTTCCAGTTCGCTGGACAGGGTCACCGACAGTAACACCAGCTATTCTCTCCGTCAGTTCTCCGATTGTCAAGCTGTGTATCGGATGGTAATGAACGCACCTGTCTCTTCATAGACCTGGATGGTGGCTTGGTCGCCGCTGATGCGAATAACCTCGCCCACCAGGTTTTCGTGGCCGACTTTCACAAGTTCGTACATGGCCACACCGATCATATCCTCGGCGACGACGACGGGTCCTGAGACCGAGTAGATCTTGCCGCTGTTGAGGCCATCTTTATCGCCGTTGGTCTGGGGCGGAATGTCGTCAGTACTTTGAAGCTTCTTGGCGGGGCAGCTTGAACGTCACAGCATTGGACGACAACAATGGGGAGCTTACCGCCATCTTGGGAGTCTTGACGAGAGCTTCGCAAAGCTCGGTAGCTTCTGCAGGTGATATAGAAATCGTAGGAGTAGGTAGCTGGGATGAGCTAGGTGATGCGGATTTATGGCTGGAAGCGAGCTCCTGGTTGGTGGTGGTAGTTGTGGAACTTGGAGGAGATGCAGGTGTCGGCAGCGGTAAGTTTGAAGCTTCCAAAGCTTCTTCAGCGCGGCTAGGGGAGCAAGACCGGCTCCTGGCGTTAGCAATTAGATCCACTAGCGAAGGTCGTACCCTCAACCGCGGTCGCAGACCCAGCTGCATGCATGCACTTGTCTTCTGTCAGAAACGGAATGAGAAGGCACAATTGCCACCGCGGGATTCAATGTCTCTTCGTTTTGTTCGTTGCTGCCGTTGTTGATTTCCCAGGATTGCGTAATGCGGCCATGGGCGGCGTCCTCAGCTTTCTATTTACGCTCAAGGCCAGCTGGCTCTTTCCCGAGATCCGCCCAAAAGTAGTACTACTTACGACCTGCAACCCAGAGCCTCAAACTGCACCCATCCAGTGCACTACTCCGTGACTTAGGTAAACTAGAAGTTGCAAGCCTTGAAAATGACATGGCAACCTTTTCCCCTGTCTTGTGTGTCACTAGATTGCATTGAGTTTTTCTTTTCAAGGGCAAAGACGGGTTCGCGGGAATTGAAAGTACCCATAACTCGTGTGTGAAGCATGGCCCAGTTCAATGGCCAACGTGGATATTAGGAAAGCATTCGACATGTGGTCTAAACAAAAGCCGTGGCATATTAATGCATGGCTTGCATAGTCGGGCTATATAGATGAATCCTGGCGGCGGAAGCCTTTATCGCAATGATGTGCCTTGTGATCATGTACAGAGTGAGGTACAGGCGGATGCAGGAAGTAAGGAAGGGGCGTCATATGCTGCTCACCTCAGAATGCGGTTTGAAGTGCCCATCTTATAACCATACTCAAGTTATGTCAAGGCGTCAGTATAACGATCAACACTCCCAATAATGCAATGACGTATTTTTCGTTCGAAGTAGGCCGTTGAACTCATATACACTGGCATGCAGAAACCCATACTAGAAAACCCGATGTCGACAATAACAACGCAAACGACTGGATTCGTTCTACATTATCTATCATCTATCATAGCGTCATTATCATTATTATCCAATCCCATCGTCCAAAGACCACATTAACCCAGACATCGTTCAAACACTCGGACCCAAAATCGGTTTGGATCCCAGTGCCGAGTATACCCCCAACCCAAGCCCTGCTATCTCAACAGATCCTCCTCGAGTTGGGGCCTCTTCCACAATGAGGGCGACTACAGGCCATTAACCAATGCCCCGCCTACGAGATCTTGCATCCCCTTTCGACTCCGGGATTGGAATGTTCTCTTCGCACCGACCGTTCATATGCTGGTGCGTAAGCAATATACATTACATGTCGACCATGTGTGTCGGCATTTGGAGTAGCAATGAGCAATGTAATATGGTGTGAGTTGCCTTTTTTTAAGGCACGCTGTCTTTATTAATGCTCTGGAAGCTGGGTTCAAAAGAGGCGCCGTCGGCTGGTGGGGAGAGGCTCTTTTCCCATTCTTTGATGAAATCCGAGGAGAATCTCTTTATCTTGCTCGGCGTAAGAGTGTTGAGAATGGCTGAAGGTAGCTCCCCAAGCTTGGCTTGGACTCCTGGGGATGGCGATCGAAGTTCACTTCGACTTCGCTTTCTTCTGCTGTTGGAGGCTGTTAGAGTCATGGGTTTTGTAGGCTTGAAGTGTTCTCGCAGTTGCCTTGCATTCTGCCAAACAGATGGTTGAGCGTGTATGTGCTGAAGTCTTCTTACAGTGTGCCCTCATTCTCGTCGACCTTCTCTGGAATGGCTGGGATGATGTCGCCATTGACCGTACTTCCGCTCCATCGAGACGTTTTGACAGTCGGCGAATCCCAGTTGGACCAGTCGTCGTCGCCAAAATCATCAAAGGTGAGAGGTGTCCAGGAAAAATGCTTTCTGACCTTTGGCTCAGGCCCTGACCGCCCCTGCTGGGCTCGATCTTGGAAACTACCCGATGACGTCCTGCTTGGCGTACCCTCGCCCGGTTCCGACGCTGTATCGAATGGGATACGCCCACGGGTTGTCGTGGAAGCGCGAATCGTTTCTTGGTCGGAGTTGGCCCTGTTCATTCTCGGCGGGAAATCACTGGTTCGATTTGATGTAGCCGATATACCTTCATCTCCAACGGTGGCCTGGCGCAGGTCTTCGACAAATGTCCATAGGCCCTGCTTGAAATCCTGAGCGATCTGCTTAACTGCGTGTGGTGATTGGGTTTGTCGTGGTGCCCAAGTGGCACGTTTGCTTAGCAATGCAGTATTGCTGGTTGGGAACGGTCTGGCGAGCGAGTTGGGCGAACGCAGACCATTCTTGTCCTCATGAACTGTAAACCCACTTTCTGGCTTGGTGGGCGAGAGCAAAGACAGCGCACGCGTGTGCCCGCCACGTATGATCTTTCTTCTACTATACTCTCTTGGGTTTCCCTGGCCCAGCAACAGCGCTTTCTTCCTCTCCATGTCCAGGCTGCGCCGGACTGCAGGATTGTCTTCCTGGACACTTGGACCTTCTGAAGTAGGTGCCATGCTTCGAGGAGGCTCGTTCTTCCTGACCGAAGCTCTGATCTTCTGCGATTCGGAAGAATTCCATCGAGTTTTCAGTCTCTTGAGCACATCCTCTGCCCGGCTGAGCTCTTCGCGTATTTCCAGGACGCGGCGTTCTTGGGCAGCGATGGCAATGATGAGGTCATTCGGATCAGCAGGCGAGTTCAATTCTGATGCCACAGACTCGGATGACGGAGTGGGAGGAACTGAAGAACTTGGCGCTTGTCTCGAGGGCACGCTGTTTGGAAGCGCAATTGGCAGCGTCAACGAGAGTCTATTTGCGTTTCGAGAAATTGAGCCAGACCGCGTTGAGCGCGTGTCGAATGTCTCACTTGTTGATGAAAGGGGAGGTCCTGAACTTGTCCGCGGCTGCAGAACGAAATCCGCTGGTCGCTCCTCTTCAGAGTTGTCAGTCTGGAGAGTATGAGGCGCTGGGTTGGGAGCAAGAGCTTGTGCTGGCTGCCCACCAGAGGCGGTGTTTTCCTCGGTGTAGGAGCTGGGTGCAGCTAATGCAGCGTCGAGCGAAGTAGTCGCATCGACGAAACCACTTTGTTGAAGCTGCATTGAAGCCATAATTACGCAAACGAATGGCTGAGGAAACTGCTGCGGCGCACAGCGGTTATGGACGGAGAGGTGCTGGGTGACTGGGACCCTTCGTCGCCGGAAAGGAGTGGAGGGAGCGTTGGCACGCCGGGGCCTAGGTCTCCAGGTATGGGGTCTCGTTACGTAGCGAGCTCTGACTACGCGACTGAGCCTGTGGTGGTTAAAGAGAGTGTTGGAACAAGAAGAAATAATCAAACAAATTTGCAGAAGCAGAACAGAGCTCATGGATGGAAGGTTTATGGGAACCACCGCCACATTATCAACCACCAGCAGCAAGGCAGATGGTGATACTCGGGGCGGGCGAGAGTCCAGGCGGGAAATTGAGCCGATTGTTTATTTCGTGGCAACCTTGCCCGGTGGGGGAGGGCGATGCCACTGGACCAAACTGGACCACTAACAGCCAAGGGAACTGCTTTCTCCAGCAGGGCGACGACTGACGACAGGGACAGGTTGCAGTGGTGAGGGCCAATGGATCTCATTTCGAGACAGACATGGGGTGGGAGGGACTCGATCGAGGTCAAAGACACGGCCTTGGTTGGAGAGATATAGAAGGACTTCCAGGGTTCTTCGCGCAGCTCAACAACGCTTTAAGGGCGGTCTGATGACTCTCATTTCGTCGCTTTATTTTGGTCAATGTTCCTTATTCAGCACCCCGCCAACAACAAGGAAACAGGACGATGATCCACAAAAGCAAACAATTCTCAGGGGTAAAGCATGGGCAACTGGGCAAGCTTGTCGGGTGCATGTACTTGTATTTCGCTTCTTGAATGGCTTCGGTGGGCAGAGCTGACGGGGACTGCGGGTGTAACTGCAAATTGGGGAATTGCGTAGCTGCAAGGGACATCCGGCAGGGTGGCAACGTGGCCCCTGTTTGTCAATGGAAACGCTAGAATCCTTAATTTCGGTGGATCGTTCTTCCTTTTCCAGTAAACAGACTTCATCACGTGATAGCGTGTCGGATCCGGGTCAGGACAAGGATGGTGACGATCAAAGTCTCCGCGACTCAAGTGGCTCAAGTGCCTGCCTCAATTGAACTTTCGGCTAATACACGCTCCACTTGCACGCGATGCCACCCTCTGTTGAAAGTCGAAACCCCATGAGGAACAAAGTGTATAAGGCATCATCATGAGCTGAGCATTCCTTTGAAAAGTACTCACAACGTCCTTTTTTTTCCCACCGACTTTCCTCTCATCTAGGGCCAATTTTTAGAATATTCCTTCTTCAATGCCATTTCCATACAGATATATATGCAACCTACTTCAACAGCTGGACGATGCAATCCATTCCACCAGACAACAGAAGGCATCCAGCGATGCATTGATAAAAAACTGGTTTCGCGACCATCGCATACCGCTCGACGCACCAAATGTTAATGCCACGGCAGTTCTTCACACGTTCTTGCCTGAACGGAGGACTGATCGCGTGTATGGCATCCAAGCTGCGAGACTCCAAAGTATTATTGGGTCTGCGTTGGTTCTGGGACATTCACGTGTGAAGGAGCTGCGCCGATGGCTGACCCCGGGGCTTGGCATCGACCTCGGGGATTGTGTTGAGAGCATCCTCAAAAGCACCGTAAGTTATTTACAACCAAATCCTCAGGAAATAGTCTGATATATCACTGACAAGAACTGCCAGCCCAATCCCAAACGCACTGGTGATGAAGTCACTGTTGAAGAAATTGACAAAATCTTGGGGAGCATTGCCGCGGCTTGCAGGTTCAGCTCTCCTAAGGTCAGGGCTACAAACCAAGCTGTGAGTTCAAAGCACGCGGATCATGGCTTAGGTTCGATATACTGCCGTCTCACTGCCCGTGATGCGAAATGGTTCACTCGTTTGATCCTGAAGAACTACCAACCCATCGTCTTGGTAGAGAGGGTCGTTCTCCGCAATTATCACGTCCTTTTGCCTCAGATGATGAAAGTTCGGGACGATCTTGAGGTAGCCATCGCTCTCCTGCGTCGTGGTAGTCAGGTGTCAGATGAAACTAATGCTTTAGCCGGCATGCTGAAGCCTGTTCTTGGGACCAAAGTCGGAAGACAGCCTTGGTTCAAGAGCAGGAGCATCAAACACTGTTTTGATATGGTAGGGCAACGAAATGTAAGCTGTGAGCAGAAAATTGATGGCGAATACTGTCAAATTCACATCGATCTCCGGAAACACGCCAATCCAGTCCAAATCTTCTCGAAAAGTGGAAAGGACAGCACGCAGGATCGCCAGGGGTTGCATAGGTGGGCCATGTCGCCATTCTCTATTGTCATGGTCCTGCTGATTTGCGAAAGTGCTATCCGAGAATCTTTGCAGCTTGGGGAAAGGGACTGCCCTTTCAAGTTTGGCTGTATACTTGAGGGCGAGTTGGTGGTGTATAGTGATGAAGTAAGTCAGACTCCGTATCGTATATTAGATTCTAGCGACTGACACCGGAATAGGAACGGAAGATCCTCCCTTTTCACAAGATCCGGAAACACGTTTCTAGATCTGGCGCTTTTCTGGGAACTATGGAAGATTCTCAGTCAATCCTGTCTTTTCCCTCGAAAACAACTCATGACTAATATCATATAGGGCCCATGACCATGAACACTTGATGATTATATACTACGATGTACTAATGATTGACAATGAATCTCTTTTGGGTGTCCGACAATCCGAACGGTTCCGCCGTTTAGAGCGACTTGTTACCTCTAGGACAGGCCACGCAGAACTCGTCCGCCGGCGAATGATATCATTTTCCCGTCCAAATGCTGCATCGTTGTTGCGAGATGATTTTGCGGAGTGTATTGTCTCTCGAGGCGAAGGTCTGGTCCTGAAACCGGACGAACCGTATTTCAACTTCAGCATTCAACGGCGGCTATACTCCTCCTGTAGTATCAAACTGAAAAAGGAGTACATCCTAGGTTGGGGCGACGTTGGGGATTTTGCAGTGATTGGCGCCTTTTACGATGCTGCAAAAGCGAGGGTGTGTAAAATTCCGAACCTCCGCTGGACTCACTTTTTCATAGGGTGTCTTCAAAACAGAGAAAGCGCGCGGGCCAGAGCCGAGAAACCACGTTTCATGGTGACCAATATTGTCGAGCTATCGGAAACGCTTCTGTCGACGGTACGCTTTCATTGCAACCCTGTTTGCGTGCCTTTTGACCAGAATGAGTCTCTTGAACTTGACTTCAGAGGGATCGGCAACACCAAACAGCCAACTGAGGTCTTTTTGGAACCCCTCGTGTTTGATATGAGGTGTTTTTCGTTCGATAAAGGACCGAACTCGAGATGGTGGAGTATGAGGTTTCCGATAGTCAACAGGATCCATTTTGACCGAACCTATCTTGATACAATGAGCTTTGGTGAGCTTCAGGAAGCGGCCCGGGTAGCGATGGAGGCTCCAGAATTGGAGGACAGCCAGGAGATACGTCAATGGGTATCGCGACTAGAAAAGGCCGACCCTCGAGGGATAGCCGTAGACGCCGTCAGCCAGGAAACGGTTTCAACTAAAATGACTCCATCACCGGAAAGACGTCGGGACAATGGAGACCAGCGTCTCCCCAGCCTTGGGGTAATTCATAGAGACCTTACAAGAATGTCTGCCGTTGGGGATGCTCAGCAGCATGCGGCGATGACACCACCATGGCCCTCCACAGTCGAGGCCTCAAGAATACGCACCGAGAACAATTCATCTACAGTGGAAGGAGGACCAGCAAGTCCGAAGCGATCTAGAGAAGTATCGGAAGACACCGCAAGTGCGAAGAAGCAGCGGGGGCTTTCGAGATCTGCGTCGTCAGCTACTGCTTCAACGAAGTCATCTTTTGGTAGTTCTTCCCAGAATCGGAAACGGCGACCGCTGGGGGCAATCGATGCAAACATTTCCTCTATGGAGCCAAGGTCTTGGGCCCAAACATCTGAGCCATCTAGATTATTAGAATTATGCCCACCTGTCCAGGAAAGTGCGCCACCACCTCCCGCCGAAGTAGTCATTCCATCTTCAGTAGCTGGTTCTTTCCACGCAGCCGCTGAACTACCCTCATCTCCTCCGTGCGTTAGTCCAATTCGCGAGCATGTGGAACCACGTGATGGGACAACCACTCGCAACTCTACAGAAGCGCAGCAAACCACGGCTTGCGTTCATCTTGGACCCAAGTGTGCGCTCGCAAACTCGGCATTTTTACTGGCTCCATGCATCAAGAATTACCCATGGATTACGGAAAACTTGCTACGTGGGCATGGCATTGTCGAACTTGCTACTGAACCTGAGAGCTGGGCTGCTATGCTGCGAGCGAGGCGGTCGCCAAGAAAAAGTTGCCCATCTTCTTCAGATGGCGAACAGTCTCCCAGGAGTATCAAGACTCTGCGGACCCGGAAGATATGCCTGGTGGAGACAAGACAACCGTCGGCCATCCAGGCCTTCCTGGAGAGGATCGAGAATGCCGGGCTGAAACGGCGAAACGGTCAGCGCGATTGGGTGGCGGTATACGATTGGCGAATACTAGAGGACATTGCTGCACTTGAAGCTGGGATGCCTCTAAAGGATTCGGATCCGTGGCGGAGCCGGTATTTCGGGATTGCTTGAAGATGGATTTGGTTTATTTGGGTCTGGTGTTTTAGCATTGCATTGCGTTGGTGTGGTACACCCATAAGGGAGGCATTAATGACTTACATTTTCAGGAGCATATAGGTAGGGAACAATGAATTCATGATTCTTACTATGGGTCTCTTTTAATCTTACCTGTCGTCGGTTGTCTGGTCGCCCGTGAGCCAAGTTAACCCCCCTATTTCTTCTCATACAACTCCAAATAACTCGCTTGCAAGCGCATCTGCAGGTGCTCATCAGCGGTCATCACCTTCCTTTCCGCATACGGATTTTCCTCTTTCGCATCCTCCAGCCCGCCCTTAAATCCCCTCACCCTCTCGCTCGGCACCGCAGTCAACTTAGTCTCATTCGCCGGATGGCAGAAATACGCTATCGAGTACCTAGGCTCGCGATTCGACTCGCCCTCCACCGCCGCTCCGTCAAAAGTCACACGGTGCACCGTGCTCCGCAGCAGCCCGTTGGTCCAGTACGAGAGCAGATCGCCGATATTGACGAGGATTGGCGGGGCGGGGTCGTCCTCTGTTCCTGGAGGACACACGGGGACCGGCTTCCACGCACCGGAGCCAGTGAGCAGTTCCAATCCCGCTTGGCCGCGGAGGCGGAAGAGAAGGGTCACGGAGCCGTAGTCGGAGTGGGCTCCGGCGCGGACGTCGTTTGCCTGCGGTGCTGTGAAGGAGGTGCTTCCGCTGCTGCTACTGCTGTCCGGGGATGGGTAGTACAGAAAGCGGAGGATGGAGCCCGAGGGGAGGGAGGGTGAGTGCGCTGTTTTGAAGAAATCCGGGGGTGAGACGCCTAGGCCGATGCCGAAGAGGTGCAGAAGCTTGCGGCAGAAGTCGTTGCAGGATGTGCGGAAGGCGGCGATGGAGGGCTGATAGGGGATTATGGCGGTGGGGATGGGCTGGTTTGCTTGGTTGTTGGTGAAGGGGCCGAAGTTGAAGGCTCTGAGTGCATCGTTAGAAAGGGTTTGGACGTGTGGGTACTGGGGGTGGTGAAGATGAGGAGGATGCGCTTACTCTTTGAAATCGCCTACTCGTTGGGACTTGGGGTCGAGGGTTTCGGTGCCCATTCCTGACCAGCCCTGGTTATTCGTCTGGATCGAACAATTTTGCTTCTCCTCGATTGGGGAGCTGAAGAGGGTTCGGGACTATGGGTGCGGTGTTAGCGGTGTTCTCATTGACCATATAGTCTGAGATAGGGAGTAGCAGATCATAAGTAGAGTATGTTACCATCTCAAAAGCCCTCTCGATTTGTTCCAACGTGATGTCCTTCCCCGTATTCTTGATGTAGACAAACCCATGCTCCGCAGCTGCGTCGACCAGCGCCTTTGCAACTTCAGCTTGGTCTCCCCCCTCAGTAGAGATATCGATGATCGGGATAGCAGCGGCCTCCGCCATGACTAAATTCTATACACACGCACACTCGTAGCTGGATTTCGGGGCATTACTTGACAAACAGGCGGAGTTGATGAATTAGATGGTGACGAATATCAATGCGACCTTAATGCTTTATGTGCTCAGTCGAGCGTTGTTTGAGTTAACTGCTCGGCGGATTCCGAGATAGCTGGTGAATTTGGGGCATTTGCGCCCGTCAGATCCTTGTGTAAGTAACAGAGAAACACACCTGATTGCCCAACTCACCCGGCTTCAGATAAATGATGGTCAGCTGCCTAATTGAGTGGACACGGCTTGTAGGAGCAATGCTGCTGTACAATGCATGCTTTTGTTTATTTAACGTATCAAAATATAGATATTCGAGTAAATATCCTGTGTGTTGGGCACCGAGACAAGGCCAGCGATGGGTCATTCTAGGAAACTTGATATTTCGAATTAATAGACTACTTATATATTGATTAAGCTCACGCTAATTTAATAGAAAATCGACCAGCTCCCCTGATATCCTCTGCAACCTCGAAGCAGTCAGTAATGTGAAGTACCTAAGGTGAAGGTAGGTTGGCGCACCTCACTTTCGGGTCATGCACCGGCCATCAGAAGCGGGAAGTGTTTTAGCGTGAGCTCCATCAAGCCGCATTGGATGGAGCTTGTCCGTTGTGGCCCACCAAACATCCGGAGTCCAAACTTCCCAAGCAGCTCGATAAATCGGGGTTCATTGTTGGTTGTCGCAAAGGTGAGGCGCGACCTCTCTCTCACCTTTCCCTCACTTTCCCATTCCGCCTCACCTCGTCAGTCGCTCCTTTCTTGACGCCCCTTTTCGGATTTCTTCGCCGTTCAAAGACTGCAGGTACCCATACCATCACCACCGCACTGCTCCAACTTTCCACCTTCGAACACCACGTCACCCCATCAGCCTCCTTCGTCGAGCTCGCAGCTTCACCAAGCTGGCAACAGCTCCCACGATGCCGCGTAAGTCTCTTTATATTAACTTCTGCTTCGATTCTGCCACGTTGGATATGCGCGACGAGACCGTTGGTCAACGCAACCCGCCGACAATCGAACGACCACCACTCAGAAACCACCCTCTTTCGTACGACCCTTCTGGCTGGCGATCCAAAGTGCGAGAGAACACGCGCGTTTGAGGCAATGGTGTCATAGAGGTGGGCATGCGACGACGAGCTGGCGCAGACAACATCCCACTTGGCCCCGGTGATGGCAGGAATACTCGACGTGACCAATACGAAGAACCGGCCCCTACGAAACAAAATCTAGTTCGCAACAGCGGCTGCACCAGAAGCTGCCCGTCACTTTCAGTGCATTCTTCACTCGTTCTTCTTGCTGACTTGTTCGTCTAGCCTTGCATGAAGATAGCTGGGTCAACGAGCAAGCCCAGACGGCCGAGTTATCGCAGCTGGAGGACACTGCCATCGCCGTCGATGCTTCGTACTACATCCAGCTCTTCCTCGACAACCCCCCTTACCATGAGCCGCTGCTCCCCGCGCTCGGCGGCTTGACGGGTATCGAGTCTCACATCGAGAGCGATCTCGACAGCTGGCAAGCCAACAAGACGACCCCCTTCTTCATATTCAACGGCCAATCCGTCGTCGGCCAGGATGATGTTTCGATCCAGCGAGGCAAGCGGGCTATCGTCAAGACGGACGAAGCTTGGGATCTCTATTTTCGAAGTGAGGCCACTGCCGCCGTGACAGCTTTCGGCTCCAACCGAGGAGCCTACCCCGTCCAGCACCTCTTCCCACTGCTCCAACGCATCTTGAAGAAGCGAAATCTGCACTATCTGGTGCCACCGTACAATGCTTCCGCTCAGCTGGCATATTTCGATATGGTCGACTCGGAACAATGTTCGGCAATCATGGGAGGGCAAGAGCTGCTCTTGTATCCCATCAGAGATCATGTCATCAGATTCATTGATTGGGACACCGGAGTATTTAGGGCCATCTCCAAGAAGGGTCTCATCCGAACTCTCAACGTTAGCGAACCCATGTTCATCGACGCGTTGCTGATGACGGGCAATTCTTTCCTGCCTTCGTTCCCACCGTTGCAAGACACGACGATTAATCCTCGTCAGCCCTTCACGGTTATGGATGCCGTCAACATGTTGCGCACCAGCGAGAAGGCGGTTGCCACTGCCTGTAACTCTTTCAGCGACATTCTGCAACAGAAGGACCCAAACTGGCTGCAGAAGTATCGCAAGGCTCGCATGACAATCGATCACTTTATCTACATCAGCGAGACCGGTGAGATCAAAGTTCACAACTTTGATACACTGACCCATGATAACTATGAATATCTTGGTTACCAACTGCCTGCAGAGCTATTCCACTATCTGAATTCGGGCCTGATCGGACCTCGTACACCTGCCTGGATAACTCACGGACAGATTGTGGTCGGCCCTACCTTGGATGGTGTCAATTCGGACGAGTACAAGAAGCTGGTCACAACCCAGCTGATGCCTCTCAGAGAGCAGGCCTTGGCACTTCTGCTTCCGCGTTTACACAGAGCAATCCAGTTTAAGCCAGTCCACGTCAAGGTGTGGTACGACGACAAGTATTTGCACACGATCGAGTACCGCGCTGGAGGAAACAGGGCTCCCGAGCAAGCGCACACGTGGGACGTCAAAGAGAGCACCATCAACCAATACTTCCCCGATGCAAAGCACGGCTCTGTCGTCTTTGAGGTTACCGCTTTGAAGAACGTCGACTTCGCAAAAGCCACAATATCCAAAGAAAAGATCAAGGGCGTCGACTCGGCGGACTTGATCTCCTCTGTGACAATCTGGCGCTTCCTCCACCTGCGAGGCTACGTCGATGATAGCCATCGCTTGACTGTTTGGGGAGAAGCTCTTGCAACATCACTGGAGGAGATCGAACCCGTGGCGCGCGCCAACCCTGACTCCAGCCCAGCTGAGTCTGTGCTTCTCGCATACGAGCTTCTTCGGTTCGACTTGTTGCACACCCGTAACCAGCATCCGGAACTCAGTGGTCTCCCTATGAACGGTAGCGACGAGGACAAGGCGAGCTTATTGTTGATCAGTCGCTGTGCTATCCTGCTGAAGCTCCACCATGAAGCCAACGGATACACAGGTCCACTGAGCAAAAACTTCCTGTGCTTCCGGTCCCTGAGCTCGTCTATACGAGAAGCCAACCGCGATCTGATCGAGGCGCTGGTGGCTTCAATGCTACTCCATGCCCAAGGGAAGAAGGAGCGGGAGGATTACTCGGATATTGGTCAAAGGTAAGATAACGATTCGGATTCCAGCTGCTCACATGACGCTAATCTGATTCGCCTGCACAAACAGACTTCCTTTCCTCGCGGATACGGATGTTGCCCTCGGCATTGCAGTTAAAACACTCCTGGACGATATCCACCCCACAGACACGCCGGAGCAGAAGCAGACCAAGCGCGCCGAGTTCCCTGGTAAATACGTACCATACGCGACCAGCTTTTTCAAGGATCTCAATGTCGCATTTGACTTCTTCGGTGCCTTGCACGCTGGAGTGAAGCAGCTAGGTGATGAGCAGGTCCCAGCTGCGGATCGTAAGGTCTGGGACCGAGCCGCGGAGTACTTGAAGGCTCGGCAATAAGGCAGCGTCGATCGGCACAAGAGTACGATTGCCGCCAGTGATTCCTCAGTCTTCTTCGAGAGAACGAGAGGGGGAAGGATCTATACAACTGGTTGGAAGTCTCGCACCGAATGCCTGAATAAGCACTCTGAGCGAAAAATGGAGTATTGTCAACAATACAAAGCGTGGATCTTTGATTTGCCAGAAGAACGCAACCCCAGGGTCAAAAACATATTCATGCGTGTTTGCGGATTTGAGTATCAGGCGTCTGAGAGAGAAGGAAATGCAAACACTGAAATACTCAGAATCGTGACCCTGGAGGTCAGGGGCATTTATCATCATGTTTTGACTAGGCTTATTTAGCAAGCTTAGTTGTACCGAGAGACTCGAGAGATGCACAGCACGCTCATCATAGGAATAGATAAGAATAAAGGGTTAGCCAAGAGAAGTGCACTCGCGTACCTGTCAGCTGATGACTGGAGAGGTGACTTGATTCGTTTCTCTCAGTCTTGAGTACTGTAGCTTAAGGTCATGGCGAATCTGTGGATGCGAGATTTCTTAGCTCTGGTACATACGGCAGTATGACCTGAACTCAAGGCTAGAGTAGACGTGCGGGATGTGGAGGAGATTCATCGTCGAATACAGACATGTCAACGCGCGCATGCTAACACACAGTTGACTACCAGAGCAATTGATAATTCAAAGACATTGTGTCTCTGCCTGCCAGGAATTTAGGTTTACAGGCAGTGTGTAGCAGGCTACGTAAGCCTATGCCTTGCTATCTATCTAGCTAGACCTTTATTTACAGTATTTGCATCTATTCCGAAGTTGCTCATGGAACCTCGTTGCGCTTCATGATAATCTTTATGGGCTCGAAAACCAAACGCGAAGCCGAATTCCAAAGGCTCTCTCTGCGCTCGCTTAACGCCGTAAGACCGTGGATGTCAATGCTGTATGTAGTAGGGCATCATTCCATAAAATGACCAAAACGTCGAAAATCAGCCTCCAACACCCAAGGGGTCATCTATCATTATCGAAAAGGCCGTGATGCAACACCTTAACCCATAACTGACCGAGAGACCAGACATCGGACTGAAACCAAGTCGCTAGTGTGAGAAGACTAGACGAGCAAAGTCCGCTTGATCGGCGGAGGCGCTTGCGCTCCGTTGAGCAATTCTTCGGATTTCTGTATCGAAGTCGCTTTGCGGATCTTATCGAGGAGATGACTATGGTTCGATGTTAGATGGCGGTTTGGGCTCAGGGGGTTGTGCAGCGGAAGAAGGATGATTTTTTAGTGAATGTAGGGTGTTGTTGCGCCAGCGTCGACTTGCACGCCCTGCACGAGTAGAACGAGAAGGAACTCGAAGCGAAGATGTGAAACGTAACGACTTCAAGTCCTGGGACTTTAGATCCTGCGAATCCCCGAGTGTCGCGCCGTAGCTTAGGATTTGGGGCTTCGCAGGTAGTGCAACTTGATAAGAAAAGGGGGAAAGTAAGCATACTTGATAGGCATGTGTCCTCGACTCTCCTGCATTGCGAGGTTGATCTTGCTCAGTTGTCGTTTCTTGGCTTCGTCGCTCGCCTCCTTCTCGTGTTGCTCAAAGTGAAGGCGGATCAAGTCCTGGCCATCTTTCTCGTTGGCAGCTCGGACAACATATCCACAGTCGGGCTCTTCGCATGTCCAAGTGTGATTTGGTCCTTTAGCTGTTGTAGAGGGTACATTTTCGGTGCGAATGACAATCTTTGTCAACGACCCTAATTTCAGAGTTTGGTCTTCCTCTTCCGATGAACTTGCGTCCGCCACCTGTCCGCCATCCTCTTCATCAGTGAAGTATTGTGATATCTTGGCTGTTTTTCTACGTGGCAGGCCGTCGTCAATATCCATATCATCTTCGTCATACACATCACGTAAGCGTTTCTTGCCTCCGAGAGACGGACGCAGTCCAGCTGCTTTGCCGCCTGTTCGTGGTGTTTTCCCAATGTGCTCAGACTGCGGTCTTCCTTTCTCGCCGAGGGTTTTTTCCTCACGCTTAGTAGTCTGTGGCATCTTCTGGCGTCGTGTAAGGCCAAGAATTCCCTGCTCGGAAATATGCTCAAACGTAGGTTTTTTTTTGGCATGCTGTTTGGCCCAATCGTACAACTCGCTCTCATGCCACTCGGGTCCAAGTTGACAGACTAGATCAGACGCAAAGTATTGGAAGATTTCCGCCTTAGCGGCATATTCCTTCATACTGCAAGCCATATAGACCTTGGTTTGCCAACTACTCGCCGTGATCCTGTCAGGGTGTTTCTTGTGCTTGCCTTCACTGTATTCAGCCATGGCCTTTGTACGTTCGTCATTCAGGACATGGAGGACAACGGCCAGCCCAGGCTCAGGTTCAGCAGCTGAAGCAGAAGGTCCAGTAGTTGAAGCACCTGCCACAGGAGGGTTTTGGGATGGAAGCGAGGATGCTGCCTCTTGCGCAAAGTCACGCATATCCACGTCAGTATCTTCCATCGACTCATTTTTAGTGGCAGATGGCGAAACTCGCTTGCTCCTGGGCTTTGCTCGCTCCTTACACAAGCCATCAACAGAAAGAGTAGCTGCTTTGTATTCAGCCTGTTCACTACTTCGGGTGCTTCGCTGAGAAGAGCCTCTATGAGCTGCTTTACGTTTTCCTTTGGCATTGCCAGTTTCGATGGGGACAGATTCCTGGAGCATAAATTGGATGGGCTCAGTACTTGGAGTAGTCAATGTTCCTTTCCTTTCGATTTTTTGCGCCAAGTCCTGTAATATCAGTTGTGTATGAATTTATAAGCAAGAGGAATGAACTTACAGGATACTGATCGCCGATCCATCTGGCAAAATCGGTCCCCTTGGGAAAGTGTGAGATGAGGAATGGAGCGTGATCTTTGCATCTTTGAACAACTTCGTCCTGTGTAGAACCATCACCGGCTCGAATGGCGTACATTAGGAGTAGTTCATCTATGGGTATATGCACGTCTTGCAGGTTGATCTTGCGCCTCTGTTTCTTGGGCTTCGCCTTTTCCAGACGCTTTAGGGTATCCATTTCGCCCTCTAACCGAGCTAGCAGGCCGTAATGCAACGAGATGCCCTGGGCCAGAAACTTGTACATTTCGGCATACTGGATCGAGGGAACTATTTCAAACCAGCCCGACTCGCCTAATGCCCATGTGATGGGGATTTGTTCGTCATTTTCGCCAATCGAGAATTGCGTCGCATAGTAGACTTCGATCCAGGCCGACGTAGATTTGGAATGACCCTTGACTACAGTGTCATCTGTAAGCTTATGTCAAGAAATGCATAGTGCTTTCAACTTACGAAGATGTTTCTGATCCTCGTCTAGTTCAAGCATGCCGCGAATGATGAATGGTCCTTCCAGGTCCATGTTCAAAAGGTTCGCAACTGTGCCATCCCTTCTGTACACTGTTGCATCATTCAGTACTAGGGACGGCCAATCATCTGGATGAAGTGAAGGGTTGACGGGCTTGAGCACAGCGGATTCCTTCTGGTACCGAATTGCATTTTGGTTTACAGTGGCAACGGTCGATATCGAAGCCGCCCGCGCCCGCCTCCGTCCAGCCATGGCGATGATTAATGGAAGTGGGGTCCAATGAGTGTCGCATGCGGAGAGGCCTGTTCTTAACGATGAGTCGTGGTTGGGAGGTCGGTTGTCAATATGGTCAAAGTATGAGCTATTTCGTATGTTTGAAATTCATGGGAGCGCGTAGACAAATGATGTTGCTAAGGTTGCCTGGTACGAGAACGCGAACTGCGAACGGAATTGAGGCGACGGGTTGGTGCAGCGGAACCGCGTTTAGAGACGCCAACTTATAATCAAGTATCGGTACTTGGCTTGTCAATGAATAAGCTCTCATGGGCCGTATTTATGCTGAAAACCCCACAGTCAGATGTACCGGAACTGATGACGATGGGCTGCTAATCGATACGTGGATTTCAATTTGGGTACATCAATGCTTCCTGCCAGCCCTCCACCCTGCGCTTTTGGTGGGTCTGAAATTTTTCTGGGCCTTCAGATCGTCGTCCTATGAATTTTGCGAAAGCGCAACCTCGTAATTGCGCCTCGTTGCGTCTGCAACGTCAATTATATGCATTTGAAAGCGCCGCCTCCCACATTGTACCTTTTACGTAGACATATCAGAGCGATTGTCCTTCGATAAGAAACAGAGCTGACTGCATGAGCATAAACCCGTGCCTGGAACTCCCCGCCTCCGAATGAAAGCCGCCAGTCTGCTCAAGATGGCGGGTTCTGTCCTAGACGGCGTGTTCGGTTTGTTCACTTCACCTTTTAATTTATCTTCGCCATTTCCAGATCTGGAGCTAACTAGTTATCTTCCCATAGCCATTAATAAGCCGTTGGGCATGAGTTCTGCGCAAGTCATTCGCGACTGCCAACAACATCTCAACCCATCCGCATTGTTCAAGCCCATGATTGACCAAGAGAGGGCTGCCAGATCGCAAGAGTCAAATAATAAGAAAAAGAGACGGGGATTCGGCAAGAATGATCTCCGAGTCAAGATGGGCCATGGAGGCACGCTGGATCCTCTCGCAACTGGTGTGCTTATTCTCGGGGTGGGCAAAGGCACAAAGTCACTCCAGTCATTCCTGGACTGCACCAAGACATACGAAACAGTTGTACTTTTTGGCGCAAGTACCGACACCTATGACAGAGTTGGGAAGGTCCTGAAGAAGACTGCGTATGATCACATTACGCGTCCAATGGTCGAGGAGGCTCTCAATTCGTTTCGAGGGAAGTTACAGCAGATGCCTCCGCTATATTCAGCACTGAAGATGCAGGGGAAACCCCTTTATGAATACGCACGTGAAGGAAAGCCCATTCCTCGAGAGATTGCAACCAGAGAAGTTGACGTGGTCGAGTTGGAGATGCTTGATTACTACGAGCCCGGCACGCACAATCATCGCTGGCCAGCTGAGGATGCAACCACCTTTGAGCGCAACTTTGCAGAACAAGTTTGGAAAATCGAGAAGGATCAGACGAAGAACAAGAAGCCTACCCCCGAAGAAGAGGAAGAAGAGACCAAGGCGTTGGAAGAGCACGAGAAGTTCAAGCGGAAGGCAGATGCAACAGTCGATGCTCTCGTGTACGACAAGGTTAACAAACGAAGAAAGACATCTGATAATCCTGCCCTGATGTCTGGAGCTCTAGGAGAAGTTCCGCCTAAAAAAGCTGGCAAGGGGTCGAACCTCATCCCCCCGCCTCATGACCCAAACACCCCCCCACCATGGGACGACAAAGGCCCTCCCGCCGCTAGAATTCGAATGACAGTCACATCAGGCTTCTATGTTCGAAGTTTCTGCCACGATCTCGGAGTTAAAGTCGGTTCTGCAGCTATGATGGCTGAGCTTTGCAGAAGCCGCCAAGGAGACTTCGTGGTAGGAAGCTCAAACTGCTTAGAATACGATGATCTCGCAAAGGGAGAGGAGATATGGGCTCCTAAATTAGAGAGCATGTTGGCTCGCTGGAACGAAAAGTCGCACGCAGCTCCCTCTTCTGCGCCAACTCGGGCAAAACTGAGTGACTCTCCAAATCAGCCTCAAGAGTCTATTGAAATGTCTCCGAGAAAGCGAAAGGTATCGGAAGAGTTTGGACAAGAGCAGGCGTCTTCTAGTAAGACTAAATTGCGACCATCCGTGCGAGATGAGAAGGCCGCTTCGTCCAAACCCACATCACCTTCGAAAACAAAGTCGGAAGACGAGTGGAACGGCTTTGACGATGCGACCTCTTCCAAGGAGCAGTGATACCGGAATATGTTGCAACTTTTCATCAACAACTCCATGGTCGAAGGATGCGGCGTCTCGACATAATGAGCGCAAGCTAATCCCAATTTTAGCCTACGAAGGCGCCCATCATGGTCTGTGATGAATGCGATTGTAGATCAGCCTTGACCAATTTCTCGATAGACAGCATCTCTTATTGCATAGGCCTGGCGTTAGACTAATTGGTATTTTGCCGGAAATAGGTGAATCAGATTCCGCTTGCAGCAAGCTTGCAGCGAGGGTAGTTGGTGGGAATAAAAATCGAAGGGTGTCGCGGCCGAATGCACCCAAAATTGCTTAGACCAACCACTCGTGACTAACTTTAGAGTTTACAAGTCCAAGAACTACCTGTCTCTTATTTTTGTTGCATTCCTGACGACTTTATGATTTACTGTGCATAGTTTCGTATGATGTTAAGGGACAGTTGCGCGACGGGCGACACCGCAGTAACATCCCGCGGCCCTAGGACCGCAAATATCGTTACAGCAATTATACGTGATATAAGCACTGCTTTCACAGCCCCTTTTGGATGGTTTACAAGGCCAAGCGATGCTTATATTGACGACGGGCAGGAACACTCCCAGGTTAGGGTGATGAAGATGGCGACGGACAACAGCATCCTCCATAAGATCTACTGTCCGGGCGGATAACAACAAGATCAAGAGCCTCGTCGCTCTGATCGGATCAACAGAAGGACCTCAATACGCACGAATGGTCAAATCACCATGAACAGCTTCAATATCAAAGAATTTTCCTCGCTCGGGTCTAGTCCGCTCTCTCGTCTCTTCTTCTGTCATCTTCTTCTCAAGAGTGCGTCTTTGGACTTCAACAGATCCTTGCAGAAGCAGACTTATTACATATATCACACCCCCGTCTCTATGTCAAGTGTCGGCTGGTGTAGTTGGTCACTTCGCTGGTAGATAAGTCCCGATTTGAGCCTCGCCCACTTGGGTCGGTGACGAGTCGCGGGTTCGAATCCCGCAGCTGACACACAAGGGGGTTTAGTCAACCCTTACGGCGCGCTGCCCACCTTGATGACTTCGCCTACCTAGCGATAATAGGGAGATTGGTGCAGTTTAGGATTACGAGCATCCTAGCCAGTCGACCGTCAAGCACTACGTCGGCGGAATATAACTCGACAGCCGGTCCAGAATTCGAATCGTTAATCCGGCCCCTTATCGGACCTCGCCTATCCGATAACGCTCGTCGGCGAACCCGTCCCCTCACGATAGAAGGCGCGCAGCACGCCCCCTCGCCGCGATTCTTGCGAGCGTCTAGACCACGTTACGGTCTATCCACTTGAGCGTATGGTTGAGATGTATACGCTCGACGAGAACCCCAATTAGCAGATACTACGACTTGTCGCGACAAAAAATAGTCGAGCATCTTCTGCACATCAGCAGCATCCCACCCCTGAGGACGAATTTAAGTGCCACATTACCACGCTTATCGGTAGTTCAGGCAGGGGTTGTAGCACAGACTTAGGGAGGGACAGGAGGTTTAGTAGTCGTTTGGCTACAAGTTTACCTGTATAACCGCCCGACGCGGCTTAAGGGCCCGCTATATCATCTATAGCCCCTTAAGGGAGTACTTGTAGAGGTACCGAGGGTTAACACCTACGGCGTATTTAATATTATTTATTATTCATATATCATCCGAAATTACCCTTCAAAAACCCCCGTCTCTATGTCAATATAGGCACTGCTCCACATTCCAGAAGAAACTCGACCTCCCTGGGTGTTCCCGTGCCCAGGTCTCCTTAAAACTTGCCCACCAGCAAGTTGCCCACGATCTGGCGTCCCGTAACCCAAGTGGTGCGCCACAACGTCTGGACATCGAGGGTACTGCTCAGCCCGTCGGCGAAGCCAAAGAACAGCATGGGCGGGATCCAGCCGCGCGCGTACTCCAACGCGAAGCAGCCCTCAGGCATCTTGTACTGCTTGACGGTGCCGCGGTGCAGGTGATGCACGCTCCCGGGCGGGTAGATCTCGGGCTCGTAATCGCCGGGGGCGTAGGCCCACTGCTCGCCTGTCAGGATGTGGAAGTAGTCGTCGGCTGTGTGGCGGCCTGTGTGGCCCTCGGTGCCGATGGTGGTGCCGAAGATGATGAGGTATTCGGTAACACCTATATATGCGGTTAGAATACACAATTCAAGTAGTGGGGGACGTGCTTAGTGAAAAGTAGATAGATAGCTTACTGGCGTGAATGATGTACATGGCGCCCATGGCGCCTCCGGCGTTGTTGAAAATGAACTCCTCGTCCAGGTTGACATTGGCCGGGTACCTCTCGTGGAGCTCACTGGTGATGTAGTGAACGATACTACGGGTGTCATTGCCGTGCGCCGCGATTCCGCGCTTGGCCAAGTCGTGCAGGTGGTCCTTGTCGAAGATATAGAAGAATTCTAGATTACGCTCCAGCAAGTAAACGACCGGAGAGAACAGGGTCACCCAGAAACCGACGGTGAGCAGAAGCCTCGTCAGGCCGCTGAATCGAGAGAAATCAGGCCCCATGATGAAGGACAATCCGCAAAAGATGGGTACAGATTTTCAAGACACTATGTTTAATCAACTGAGGTGAGCATTCATATTTCATAGTAAAGGAGACGGGAAGTAATTAAAGAAATGATATTTTTTTGCCAAGGTATCCGCGGATCCCCGGAGAGCGGCATCGTATCCCTATTAGTGGATCCTAACCGAACCGTGAAGTCGGAATTTGACAGCAGGAAAACCCCGATGCTTGGCGCATGTTCTTTTCTGCGAGGCTGCAGGAGCTACAAAAGGCGAAGTGCTAAAGCTAGCATCTAAGCAACCAAACGATCTTCATTTATTCATTTCGCAAATTGTCGACAGACAATATGGCGCAAACCGTCGCAGTCCCCGGCCAGCTCCTCGGCCCCTCGAACAAATACGTCGCGGGCGCCGGCACGCACACCCACAACTCGAATCTCTACTCTTCGCTGCTGGGCTCCATCACCATCGAACACTCGAAAGCGTCAGGTCCCGCCAAGCGACTCAACAGACTCACAGCCCCGGCACCAAGCTCCCTCCCCACAATCAGCGTCTCCCGATCCGGCATATCAGAAAAGCGTGAGGTGCTCCCAGAGGTGGGAAATGTGGTGCTGTGTCGCGTGACGCGGATACAGCCGCGCCAGGCGACGGTTGCAATCCTTGTGGTTGGGGAGACGGTGCTGGTGGCCGAGTGGCAGGGAGTCATACGCGTGCAGGATGTCAGAGCGACCGAGAAGGATCGCGTCAAGATTTACGAGAGTTTCAGGCCTGGCGACATTGTTAGAGCAGAAGTAGTAAGTTTAGGAGGATTCTTTGCGCATTGGTTATGTGTCACGGAAATGCTAATGGCAATTCCTCCAGATATCACTGGGTGACCAGGCCAACTACTACCTATCGACGGCGAGTAACGAGCTGGGTGTCATTATGGCAACGAGCGAGGCTGGGAACACCATGTATCCGGTCAGCTGGAAGGATATGAAAGATCCGGAGACTGACGTCAGCGAGAGTCGCAAGGTCGCGAAGCCATTCTGAGCGTTACTTGACTGTAGACATAGATGACATATTCATCGCAGCCATCAGTTGTTCAGCTCTAGGCGTTGTGCTCAGTTTGGCTCACCACGGACTCTGGACATGCATTGGAGACGCACGAGCCGTCAGCCTCAATAATGACGACACTGGGCAGCCGCTATTGATAAACCCGACACATGGCCATGTTGCATCTACCGATAAAATGGCATGAATCAGGACATTGATCGACCCAACAGTCACACGATGGCTTCTCCGGCACGTACACACAGAATCGGTCCACTACGAAGGCTTATCTTGTTGGCTGGAACTTCGTGGCCCGAGCTGAGGTTTCTTATTCCGGCACAGTTAGTTCAGCCTTTGGACGGCAGTTGCAACTTAAATGGATAATCTAGATCCTCAAAGCCAAATTGCTGAGTATCTGGAAGCACGTCTGCAAATGCGACAACAATTGGAGAAAGACGCAATTAGAGATGTAATTGCCTAGTTGTTCCTCACATTGAAAGTATAACCCAAATCGCAATTGAATAAAGGACGCTGTCCGTCTTCATTATACTCCTTTGTAGATGTTATTGTCGGTCATCTGTCGTCGATATTTGAGGTCTGGCATGACACTCCTTGCAGACGCTCCTTGCAAGGCCAAGACCCAAAGCCCACTCCCCCGCCCCCCAAGACCCAAAAAGCTCCTTGCAATTGCGCATTCGTTGCTGGTTCGAGACTGAAGTTTTGACTGCGCCTCGTCATTCAGGGTTCCATTCGGGCCCCCGCCACCACAAATAGCACCTCGTCAACATCCTACATAGCCGCGTCGCTAGGTTAGTGACAGGATATTGCGTGTAGTGCATGGCGGGACGAGGCAATAAGAATGTAACACATCCCAGCCTCTGAATTTGAAGGTCTTTCAGCTTCACTAACGACAACTGCGAACTTCGAATTGCGGGAATTGGAGGAAATTCAACAAGGCGAAATTTAAACGGCTAGCATCCAATTCACAACACCTAAAGTACTATTACGCATCCGCCCCGTGCATTTCCACATTCGAGCCATGTCAGCAACTATGACGATGACCCTCCCACCAACAATATCAACGACTACGTCAACGTGCTGTCCAAGCTGTGGCTTCTCCCTCCAATCTCTCTCCACCACCGACCCGCACGCCGCCCTCCTCCAAGCGCAAAAGCAAATAGAAGACTTGCAGGCGCAAGTCGGACTCCTGAGCCAAAAGGCCACCGCCGCCGTCGACCGCTGGGCCGACTACGAGGACGAACTCTCCCGTTTGCGCGCCGCTTCCACTACCTCGGTCGCGACGACCACGACATCGCAACACACCCCCCACAACTCGACCCCCAGTCTCCCCACCTCGAGCCCACGATCCTCCTTCCTCGGCAACAGCGCCAGCGCCGCCGCTGGTGCAGCCGCGAGTCGCATATCGCAACTCCTGTCGCCGCGCAAATCCGTGCCCAACATCGGGACGTCGTCGAATCGCGCGTCGTTGTCGAGTCCGCAGCTGACACTACCTCTCGGCGGTGGATCTGGCGCAAATAGCAACGATGACCTGGTCGAGGCGCTGAATCGAGAACAGAGGTTACGGAAAGCGGCGGAGGGGAAGCTGAACGATACGAGTCGGGAGGTGGAGGAGCTGAGCGCGACGTTGTTCGAGCAGGCCAACGAGATGGTAGCTAGCGAGCGGAGAGCGAGGGCGAAGCTCGAGGAGAGGGTGGGGATTCTGGAGCGGAGGGATGAGGAGAAGAGGGCAAGATTGGATCGGTTGGAAGGGGCGATGGGGAGGATTGAGAGGGTGAGGGGGTTGTTGAATGAGACGAAGGGGACGGCAAGAGAGACGGACGACCAACATGAGGCATGATGCTTTGAAGTGGACCTCGGGCGCAATCAAAAACTGGTTCCTGCTCGTTTGGATGTAAAATGCGAGTCAACACGATGATTGGACGAGTTATCAAGGCTGTGACGCGGAGTTTTGGCATGTTTGCCACACGGCACTTGGGGTTAAGGATATACCTTTCTGGTTTGGAGGATGGTATAGACGGTCTTGTCATTCATTAGACATACGGAACTAGGAGCATTAGAATTGGTGGACTGGAGACTTGGTCATGATTAACGAGGTTTTTGGTTCGGAAACATGTCACAGGATAAGGCAAAGTCCGACGTCACTTGGATGTGGGTGGGCATAATGAATCACGTCAAATTAGATATACATGTAACATCAATCAAATCAATCACATCATGGCTTCATCTCTGGCCGGCTTGTGACAGAGTAAGGAGGGACTCGCAAATGGGTACAACGTGGGTAGGTCCCCTAGATATTGATTTCCAGGCCTAATCCAAGATAGAGGGGTTGCAACGGATGGAACATGTCTTTGAGGCCTCACGAATGATGAGTGATCTCGTCAGTTCGAAGAGTGTGAGGAAGCGACGCTTACCCGACGTGAAGACGGCTGCGCAGGGAAATTCGTAAAACCTCATGAACTCAATACCGATGAGAAGATGTCCAGAATTATACGGCTACAAGGACCGGTTTCGCGATTTCTTGCTAACTATGGTACGTAACCTATATGCATAGTACTACCAGAGGCGTGGCAGAGTCGTAAGAGAGGCTATAATTAGTAGAAGCGGATAACATGTACTAGCGATGGTTTGATGAAATACGCAAGGGGGCAGCGGAGGGCGTTGTAGACCTCAGTATATTTGCGGGGGCAAGAGTCAAGAAGATGGATGAAGACCATCCTTTCACATGCAACTAGCTTAGTATTTGAGTCTGGAAATGACTTATTGCTCTACAGAGATAACTCAATTCATATGTGTAAACCCTTTCTGGCGTGAAAGAATAGAGTAAGCTTCGGCAGACCTTAATATGAACGATAGAACTCTCAAAATATTCCAACAGGTGTAGACAGTATTCCTCCTATCTACACATTTGATGATATACAGAGCTAGATTCTGGACTGTAAGTATAGAAAACAATGGAATTTGAGAGCCCAGTACTGGAGAAAAATAACAGACGAGTTCTAAGCATGCCCAGGCAGTTGACCCCCAATGGAAAATGTCTATTGATTCCCATGTACTTCTCATGCCGAATCTGACGTTACGACTGAGACCATAGTTAGCAATGTCCCTTTTTGCGTACTGCAGCTCGAACTTACCCTTCATCACTGTTTGTGCTCTATACGCAGTTACGGATCTTTTAAGATTGAATCGATGGAAATACGCTAAAGTCGCAAAGAAAATGTGAATAAAGGCATTCACCGGTTTCAAGAACATCTTCGTATATCATGAATTGAAATATGCATAACGTAGTCCACAAGCGAACGGGTCACCCAACCGAACGGGTCACGCCAACTAGCAAAACATGGAATTTAACACGATTTCGCAACCACAACGCCGTAAATCAATTAAAACTACTCAGAATACTCTTGCCCAGATGATTCTATCTCTACCTGACAGGTTCGCACATTCTGCCCGGTCTTCCCGCATACGCCACAGCGCCGTTGCCGTGGCTGGCCACGATTTGATCCAGCGCTATTTCCACGCATTTCCTGCTGTACTTGCTGCGCAACGTCCTTTTGATCTTGAAGATCTTGTACGTCTTGTGAATTAAGTGATCCTCCAAGCCGTACTCGTGTTCTTTTGGCCCTGCGCCGCTTGCTAATTAGAGCATTTGCCTCTCGAAGTTCGGCGACCTCAGCTTGGAGTAAAGCCATCTTATGCATAATACTCCGCGCTCCTTTCGAAAACTGATCGATAGCATCGTAAATTGACGTCGGGGAGCTATTTTGATGCCTATCAATTCGAGATTTAATAAATTCGGATTGCGAAGTAGCCTCGGTTGGGTTGTTTGGCGTCCGAGAAGCCTAAGGAAGGGTTTCCCGCGTAGGGGGCCGGGAGGACGTTGGAGTCTGTAATTTCACATCCAGCTTCTCAATAACAATATCTGGGCTTAAAGGCACAAGCCCAGCCCCTTGAAAGCCTGCACGAATATTGCTTTCGGTCAGGCTCTTCTTGAACGCGTCGCAAAATGCCGGAAGAAAGTCCTCCTTTGTGATATGCGAGTCGCGTAGCAGTCGGTTTGCCATATCTTCAACAGCACTTAGCCGGGGAGGAAATGCTTGCGAATCTAGCTCAATTATCCTTTGAATAATCGTATTTTCTTCTAGTTTTGTTAAATTCCGACCGTTGGCTTCGATATTGCGACGTGATTGACGTTTTTGAAGACGCGCCTGGAGAGTAGTATTCGAGACTTTGTAGATTGTTGCAGCACGTCGGATACTAAGTGTTGAGTCATTTCTGATAGCCTGAGTTGCAAGGAGTAATTGAGATTCTTTTTGAGCAGAATCCATCGAGAATTAGTTGCGTGGTAAAGTTAGGAAGTTTAGTTCGATTTTTTGCTATGGGTGTGACCCGTTCGGTTGGGTGACCCGTTCGCTTGTGGACTACGTTATATGAATTCTATAATAGTATATGGCATATTAGGAGTTCAACAGTGTTGCTGATTCATAGAGCGTTATGAGGCATGAGCCAATCCGTTTCCAGCGACCAAATCCAGTCCTTGTAAGCTTGTTCTCTCCGAGAGGAAATTATAAGCCGAACAAAAGGAGACAAAAATAAAAAGTTACCCCAATTAGAATTGGTTGACATTTAAATGTCGACAATGGCAGGACTCGAACCTACGCGGCCGAAGCCATTTGATATCTGAAATATTATTCGAGTCAAACCCAGTAACCACTTTGGTACATTGCCTGATTCATTCGATGGCTTAAATTGGTTCTATTAGACATCTATACCCTACAGCAAAATAGGGCTAAGCCCGAAAGGTCAAAGTTACCTCGGTTGCGAGAACGGAACACCATCTGGAGAGAGTGGCTTTTCAGCCGAATCTCCCGGCTGCTCTTGGAATGCGGAGCATAATATTGACTGGGATATCAATATGTCCATTTGAGAGCGGCTTACGTCACTGGATTGTGATTAGTCCGTAAATAGCAGTATAGATCACATGTGAAATAGATTCATTGCTCGTTTGAGTGAGATGTATAAACTAGCTAATTCGGGAGGCCAGTTGCAAAAATAAACCTCAAACACCAGTACTGAGATTGATTTGCAAACGTCGTCCGCTCCAGGGGATAAGGCAATGTCATATTCACTAACGCGCAGCTTCACTTTGCAGAGGGAGAGGGAGAGAGAGAGAGAGAGAGCAAGGAGATCTTGTCGATGGCTCGATATCGTTTGATTCGGTTCCGAGGAGGAAACATCAAAATGCAATTATTGGGGTCGTAGTTCATTGTTGGTTGCGCAACCATGGGTGTCTCGGCAAGGGATGCGTTTCCCCGTGTTTGTCCCTTCCCAGTGCTCAGCAACAATCACCAGAACCAGATCGCACGCATCATCCACTTTGTAAGTTTTACATCCGAGCATGCCTTAGTTTGCCTTTAGTTTACGACGCATTCCCAATACTTCAGGTGGTATGCTAACAAGTAGCTGGGCACCTCATTCAGAACTGAGCTAGAATGCTGAAATACGACTCGGCTCGGCACGCCTTAGAACTCTACCAAGAGTGACGTGAGATGAAACGGCCGAAAGGCAGGCCAATCCATGATCGTAGTTCCTTGATCGACCCGCATTCCTGTGATCTCACAACGTTGGGTAGCCTATCTTGCACCGATGCGCGTCTTGCGCTCTCAAATAGGTCTCCACTTTGACGGCTGGCCAACTAGTCCTTGCCGTGGCGCCGGCACATGGCCATACATACTAAATGTCCAGAATAGTCATTCACTTCACACGGAGGGGAGAACTTAATCTGCCAATTTTGGAGCGTTGGACCTCTGCACTTCTCCAGTCTTCAGTAGCTCATTTGTAGAGGAGAAAACAGGTAGAGATGGGCAGCTTGCGTGCATGCAGGTGCCATGACACAGCATGATGCCATCGTGCGACATTTGCAAACTTGTGCAGCGGGGCGTACGTGACCAGTTGCACCGGTTTACACGGATTAGTGAATCTGATGGGCCTGTCAAACGATTGACGCCGACTACTGTACTAGACAGCCATTAAACGCAACGTGCCACGCAAACCCACATGGCATCCGAAATACGATGTGGATATAGCAAGAGTGCCGCAGGTCTCAAACAGTGACTATCCGTCCACCAAACGGTGTGGCAGTCGGCTCAGAATGGCAAGTGGTGGTGTTGACCTTTTCCTCTAGCAAAGGCTCGCAGAACTGCAGACCATGAGCAGCTTAGGCCAAGCCGGAAAATCAACACGAAGCCATTCTTAGTCAGACGAAACCCAGTCCCATTCGAGACAAGGGCATCAGCGAAGACCAGTCAAAGGCCTCGTCACAGATCGATGTGGTGAGCGTGGGGGATTCCAGAATGTCGAAAAGGGCCGAAATATGACCTTTCCATGATGCGAGCCGTGAGGGTTACCGGTGTTTTGAGTTTCCAATCTCATGTTGTGCACCGTTGTAAGAGCCAGAGTCGTAATGTTGATCCTGAAGGATTGCGGGTAGGGAGAAGCATCCCTGTATGATGGTGAAATTTGCCTACCGATAGCCTGGGTTGAATGACGCCCAAGTCAAATGTTCCGATGCGTCCTGCTGACCTGCTTGGGATCGGTAGCAGGCGTAAAGGTTCATGCTGTTATGATGTGGTCGGGCTGATGAGGCCCAGTCGTGTGGCTACACTTTGGCAATTTCTCAGTCCTATGCCAGAAATTATTTTGCCTTGCACAACTTCGGATATCGATCTTGAAAGAAGGTATGAACTGTTGCTCAGACTCGGTAGTTCCTGGCAAAAGACGTCACATGAATCGAGCTCTTCGCAGCGATGGCGGTCAAGCAAGAGCAGTGAGTCCAATGGGGAATAATTTAGCCTGTTGTCAACGAGACGTGGTTAGCAAATGGAAACTCACTTGCTGGTCCTGACATTGTCAACTGGACCGGACTTGGCAGGTCCGCAGCAGCGATTTGATCTCACGGAAGTTGACCACTAAAAGAGACACAAGCTTCGAGATTCAAGAGCGCTAAACCCGTTTGCCCCGTCGGTGATGGTGGCGCCTCCATTTTGGCCGACGGCAACTATATGGGGCCTGGTGGCTTGTCGTAGATAATAACTCCAGACAATTGCCGGGTTCGTCCCAGCTAATCAGCGTCGATGAGGGAACATTATTTGTGCCCTATAAACCTCGAGAGTACCATCATGGCACCGCCAGTGGCGACAGCACACCATAAACCAAAAAGTCCCGGTGGGGGCGGCATCACTTAATGGGACTGACTACCTTTCCTCAGATTAGATATTCATGTTGGCAAATCAGACGGTACGGACAGGGTTGCACTGTAGGGCTGACATTTCTCAAAAATGACGAGCTCTGCCTGGGGGTATGCTCAATTGGCCATCAATAAGGTAGGTGATGGGCTGCAGATGATATGAGTCTTTTTTCATGCATCATTGGGATTCGATGCGGGAACGATGCGTTGCTGCGGAGTAGATTATTGGATGTGGTGAGATGATGGCCGCGTAGGGCTGAGCATGTGGGTTCTGAACCTAGATTCGAGCCTGGAGCGAGTCAAGCGTATCTCGCTTCAAAAATGAAGCCTTGTATGGAGTTAGTTTTGAGGCGGTCTGCCGTGAAGGTTAACCGCAGACCCCATTTTTCTTCAAGGGTTCTGATTCAGGCCTCCAATCTGACATGTTGGACTTCCCAATGACATTTGTGACGGAGGGTAAAAGACGCCAGAGTCGCTAGCAGATTGGAGAAAAGGCTTCCAGAACGTAGCGGGATCTGACAGCATGACGCCCTATCGTCTGATAATTTGAAAGCTGCTGTCAAGAATATGTAGACATCCCATAAATATCCTTAGGCTGAACCTCGGCGCCATGTAAAGTCGGAGTAGCCAATCAGAGACAATAGAAGCTGTTGCGAATAAGAGTTTCGGCTATCTCCCGGCGATTCCTTGACATTCGCAGGCTGTCATGCCGGCTAACACTTGCACCGTCTGATGTGATGTGATGAACTCAAAAATCAGATATCATCAGCTAAAGGCCAAGTTCAAACTCAAATCATTCGCCTATTCTGACAGCACCCTATTTTCCTAGCAACATGAGACGACTGCCCAAAGCTAAAGCTTGAAACAACCCAACTGCCGTACCTCTCGCTGTACAACCCGTTGCAACCACCAACAGTCGTACATCGCACTTAGCACATCGCAGGGCGGCCACCCAGGCAAGCACAACGGACTCTTCTCCTTCACCGCACCCCGCCATCCGCAAGTGTCTGCAACATGAATGCCGCCAGGTGCCCAATTTGGACCCTGATACTCAGGCAGCCGCCATTAAAGCCTAGCTAACCTAGGAAGGGAAAATGGTGGGAACGATCAAGTTGGCGCCACGAATTCAGCCTATCTTCACTCCGATAACCCTTCCCCTGCAATAATGCTTTATTGTTTTGTTTGTTTCTCGCGTGGCAGGGCGTCTTCAGAGCCAACACGGTTCCACATCGTTCTCGAGCCACAGATCCTGTATGAAAGGTAGGCGGAATTGAGGACTTGAGACAGCGCGTCGAGATTTATAATCTCCCGATTTTGAGTTCACAATACATACATCATTTCTTTCAACAACCCCGTGTTTCTCAGCGAATCCAAGGCTTCACAGTGGTACGGCCCTTTTCTACATGGGCGGCAGTCGACTATTACAGTCACTCCAAGTACTTTGTACCCAGGTATTCAACCCCCCTTATGATCACATCTGCATTTACACTGGTCCAGGGATAGCCACCTTGACGCGCCGCGCATCCTGATTGAGCACGCAGGGAGTGGCCATCTGCATACATGTGGGCATGGGTGACCCCAAATACCTGTAGACCCTGGAGTTGAGGAAATCGATTTATATACCAGGCCATCCCCATTCTGAGCCCCCCATTTTTTTCAGATACCACTCCTCCCACTCGCTAATCGGCAACACACCTCCACCATTACCCTACGCTGCTCTCTGCCATCAGGAGAGCGCACTTCTTGTCCTTTTGTGTTTCTGAGGATTGTGACTAATTGGCCTTGGAACCGCCTCGACGACGACGGAATCACTCATTCATTCCCCTAATACCGATGCATTCATGATTCATCGCCATCCAGTTGCCATGAAGCCGGACTCTTGCGCATCTGATAATACTACCACACCAGAAGCTTGCCACCTCCAGACAACAACCACAACAAGGCGCAGGAAATTCGGGTTGGCATCTGTCCCAGGGCAAGCCGCTTGACTCTCAAAAATACTCGCGAGGATAGAAGTGTCATGAACCTAGCTACTTACCATCATCTCCATCATCTTAGTTTGACTCTTTCATCATGACGGGCGATGCCACGCTCCCCGCAGCACGGTCGACATCTGGCGACAGCGCGCAACGCTCGCGAAGGGCGAGGACAAGCAAGCCCAAGGTCAAGACGGGTTGCAACAATTGCAAGTACGTAATACGTCCAGCCTCCAGATTCTGTCAAATGCGCGCCGTGCTGATTGCCCATGTGGCTTCAGGCAGAGAAGAATCAAGTGTGACGAGAAGGTAAGCCCAGCCCCATCCCAAGATTCAACACAGCCATGCCGGCATAGTGAATTACTCTCGACACTAACATGGAGAAGCGGCCTGCTTGCACTCAATGCGTTCGGTCCAAAAAGACCTGCACGGGCTACCCGCCGCCACCTCGGACCAAGATCTTCGAAGAGGTCAAGATAGCACCCAGACCCAGCGCAAGTGCCAGTTTCCATCCCATATCACCGTTGACTTCCGCCATACGGTCATCTGCGCGGCGGCCAGTTGACGTGCAAGTGCGAGCAAGGTCGGCGGCGCGACGACTGACTCCACCCCAGACGCCCACGGCCACAACAAGTTCCCTTACTGTCCACCGTCCCAGCGTCAATCTGCCCTTCGATCCTCAAGAGGGCCTGTACTTCCAGTTGTTTCGTGAGCACACGGCGAGCGAGTTATCTGGTTTCTTTGATTCCTCCTTCTGGAGTCGCAGCGTCTTGCAAGAATGTCACTCGGAAAAAGCCATTCGGCATTCAGTCGTCGCCCTGGGCGCGCTCTACAAGACGCTGGAGAAGATGTCTGAATCGCCTCCGTCGACGCCAGGTGATAACTGCGACCCTTCCGACCACGCGATACGACACTGGGAAGTTGCTTTCCGTCAATATTCCTTCGCAATCAAGGCCATGGTTTCATCAACATCCCAGGACCAATCCTCCCAGCGAACTAGCCTCATGGCAACCGTACTGTTGGCCTGCTTTGATTCTTTTATTGGTGATCATAAACAGGCCATTGTTCAAATCCAAAATGGTCTGGGTCTTTTGGAAAAGCTTCGTGCTGAACGTCGGAGGGCATTCATGCCGGGCCCTGAGGAGCCGGTCGAGCAGGATCTCATTCAAATGTTCACCCGTCTCGCCATCCAAGCGAAATCCTACGACATGGCCTTCCATTTCCCCAAGCCCTTCGTCATCCGTCTGACGCCTCAGAAGAACGACCCTACATCGCCATCATCGGAAGGCGGGTCTCCGGTTTCGACGAACCAGTCTCCCATACCACCCACGTTCCATTCACTTCATGACGCTCGTCTCGCTTGGGATTCACTCTGCGAGAAGATATTGCGCTTCACCGAAACCATGTTTCAGTATACAAACACCACAAGCCCAATGGGTGTCCTTCCGACCTCGCTCAAGCAATTCGGCATGGGGTTTAAAGCCGAGATAGAAGCGTGGTCTAATGCATTCGAGAATATTCTCACATCCAGGACGTCTCCGGGGAAAAGTAGCCAGGAAAAGGCTGCCATTTCGGTACTGAAAATGTTCCAGATTATGGGGGAGATACTGTTCTTCATGACATTTAGCGATAGCGAGTTACAGTTTGACGCATTCTTGCCACAATTCAAAGGAATCGTCAATCTAGCCATAGAGGTGGTTGGAGACGAGGAGCGGAGGGCTGCCGCCAAGAGGTGCCCAGATCCTCAATTCTGCCAACACCGTTCTCATCACCAGGATATGTTCGGAGGCGAGTATACGGCGCGGCACATCAAGCCCAGTTTCAGCGCCGATCTAGGCATTGTTCCACCCCTTTTCGTTGTGGCCACCAAGTGCCGGGAACCCGTGACAAGGAGGCAAGCAATAGAGCTGCTGAGAAGCAGCTCCCGCAGAGAAGGCATGTGGGACAGTGAACTTACCGCCCGTATCGGCCAGTGGATCACTCAAATCGAAGAGGAAGATGGACTGGTAGAAGAGGCTTCTGGCCCTCTGTCTAGTTCACAAGGCATATTTTCTATGGGAAGCCCTGCTGCGAGATCCAATGGATCTATGTATTTTGGCGATGACGTACCATTGGGGCCTGGAGGCAATGCCCGTTGGGGCAGCCGACGTGAAAGTGTGCCACTCAGCGCGTTCAACCCGACGGAGAAGACCATCCCAGAGGAGAAGCGAGTCATGGTGCGGGCTGTCGAATTCGATTTGAGAGAGCGGTTCGCGACGCTTCAGTGTGGCGCTCGCAATCTTGCACCAGGAATGCCTGACATGAAGACTCGGGCAGCGAGGATTACGTGGTGAAGATGCGAGAGGATCGGATGAGGAAACACAATGTGACGACTCCGACTGCGAGGACAGCAGACCAGGGACTTTTCGAGCATCCCAGCGGGGATTCTATTCGACATGGATAGTCGAACCTGTTGGTGAGACCATTTCATACCTGACGCAAAGCGATCATTTACGAGAAAACGGCGGCATTGCATGCGGAGTTTGGACAAGTGAAAACCATATAATGTCTTTCGGAAAGTGTACAGCATTGCGCAAGCACCATTGGCTGTAAACGATTATTGGCCTTGCTTTAGCTGTATCATCTTGACAACGATGCTATTACGAGTTTACATTCCCTCGAGTATTGTATACTTAGGCAAATATCTTTGGTTATCAGAATGCGGTGTTTGGATGGCAATCACAATACGCATAAGAAGCAATGAATTTTAACTCAATGCTGCTTATGAGTGAAGTCATGTTTGCCGTAAACGCAGGACTATCTCACCAACCTGAAGTCAGGTTCTCGAAGTGAAGAGAAAGATAAGCTGCTTATGCTGGTATCTCTAACAGGGTGCTCTCGGACGTTACCGAGGTAATTATAGCGTGATTTGCACAGTACACGACAAGGCCCATAAACTGTCTTTGAGCGGCGGCGGCAATCTTCAACCACGGCACAGCTGAAAGCTTCAGCCAGCCGTTCAGCATCTTGAGAGTCGGCAGCATCCACCCAACGTACCCATCTTTAGATACGTGTGACTTTACTAAAAGCTTCATCACGTCGGGCGCGTATAAGCTGCCGAGGAGCGTTGACTTGGCTTGGCTTCGGTCGTCATTTGTGAGATTCGAACTGGCAACGATACCTAAACCCCGGATTTACGGACACGCCTCTCGAGTCAGTCTGAACGTCCATTCCTAGATCTCCGTAAACTAATATTTCCGACCTGGACTCATATTGTCCTGCGGTCAGCAAAACGGCTCCTTCTCGGCCAACAAGGGGGACGACATGGACGAGAGCGGAGCCGGACCCGGCAACGGCAACGGAAACGGAGGGCCGCACGTCAAGCGGACCCGCATCCTCCTCTCCTGCTCCGTATGCCGCAACTCCAAGCTGAAATGCGACCGTGCCCAGCCCTGCGGCCAGTGTCTCAAGAAGTGCAAACCTTCGGCGTGCGAGTACGCTCCAAAGCCTGAGAAGCACAAGAAGCAGGCCAAGGGCATGGCAGCGAGGCTAAAGCGACTCGAGGGCATGGTCAAGGGCATGATTGACAGCGAGAGCTTGACGCGACCAGCCGATGCGCCGGATGAGCCCACGGCGGCCGGGGGTCAGGTCATCAGGGGCGATCGGGCGACTAGTTATGTTGGCGGGACGCATTTTATGGCTATATTAGAAGATGTGAGTAACATATTATGACTGTGAGTCATGAACGAGAGATGGGGGGTGACTAAGCTGTTTACGGCAGATTGATGAGCTGAAGAGCTATTTTGAGGTGCCCGAGGACGAGGAGACTGAGGACCTGGATGCTTATGAGGAGGCTGCAGGATCGCCGGAACTGCTTCTGTTCTCTAGGAGTGCACCTCGTAATAGGGATGAATTATTGGCCCTATTGCCGGAGAAGAGCGTGATTGATCGGTTGATGATGCGCTATTTCAACTCCAACAGTCCTTCACAGCGTAAGTTTTCTATTGCTCCTGAGCTAAGTGTCTGAACACCGACGAGTCCTACTGCTAATATAAGTAAAACTAACACTTGAAACCAAGATATCCTCCACAAGCCCACCTTCTCCAAAGAGTACCAACAATTCTGGCAAGATCCGTCCAAGACGTCGTATCACTGGCTTGCCTGTCTCTTCATGGTCATAAGCCTCGGCGTCTTCTTTTCCTCCTTCCAAGCTCCCCACGAGCTCGACGCCGACTCCTCCTCCTCCTCACCCACCGGTGCGGGCACGGCTCCGTCGGCCATGGACCGTTTCCGACAGTACCGCAACGCCGGGGGCACCGCCCTCGTCTGGGGCAAGTACTCCCGCCCGAACAACATGACCCTGCAAGCCTTCCTCCTCTACGTCGAAGGCGACTTTATGGTAAACCGCGATACCCAAATGAACTGCTACCTCCTCTCCTCGGTTCTTATCCGTCTCATGCTCAAAATGGGCCTCCACCGCGACCCTTCCAAACTTCCCAACATCTCGCCCTACGATGGGGAAATGCGGCGTCGCTACTGGAACCTTGCCATCCAGATCGATCTGCTGGTCTCTTTTCATCTAGGCTTACCGAGCATGATCCATGGCATCGAAAGCGATACCCTGCTCCCCCGTAATTTGATCGACGAGGATTTTGATGAGGAGAGTAGGAAGTTGCCACTTGCGAGGCCGGCGGCCGATTATACGCCGTTGACGTACCCGATTAATAAGGCAGCACTGTGTAGGGTATTCGGGCTCGTGGCGAGGCAGGCGCATGCGCTTACCGTGCCAGGCTATGCGGAGGTGATGAGGGTGGATGGGGTTCTTGAGTGTACGTGGAGCCAGGTGCCGGGGTTTATGAAGGTTAAGCCGATGGAGGAGAGTGTGATGGATCCGCCTCGTACGTATCAGTTTTGGCTTTTCCTCTTCTGGTTTGTCTCAGGGGCAAACACTACCTCAAGGAGGCTGGTTTTGGAGAGCATTGTTCTTGAGGCAAAACTCCATGGCTCTAAATTACTGGTATGATCACGTCGAGAGTGGTATACACTAACTACAGTTGTTACAGTGCAAGTCGTCCAACGGTTCGGCCTCGCGTCTATTTACCAGAAGTCCCGGTGTGTGCTGCACCGCCGATACCTCACAGAGGCGAACCCCAAGAGAGAGCACGCATATTCGCGGAAGACGTGTCTCGAGGCTGCGCTTGCGCTGCTGGATTATCAGAGTATTATCTATGGGGCTTGTAAGCCGGGGGCGATGTTGAGTCATATGGGATGGTTCATGTCGTCGTTGGCTATCAATGACTTTTTGTTGGCGGATATGATTGTGTCGCTGGTGTTACAGAGTGAAAATTATCCCGAGTTTGGAGGAGATTCTGATTTGATGATGCAGGTTAGTATTCTGGGTTCTGATTCCTAACAAAGTGTGGTTGTTGAAGGCAGGTCAGGGAGATCGAGTGGTCATTTTGCCATGTACTTAGCCTGTCTGGGACAAGCAACTTCTGAGACACACTCCTATTCTGAGAATTCTTTCAACTGATGTTTACCGACCCCCTTTTCTTAGGGAGCACAGGGCCCCAGCAGAGACGAACTCCTCCAGCATCTGAGGAGATCATTGTTCATATGGAAACAAATGGCCCTACGCGTCCCTGACAGCAAGAAGGCAGCCGAAGTCGTCGAAACAGTCCTCAGGAGAGTCGAGATGCAGATGGGCATCACGCCGACCACATTACAGACCAACGAGGAGTTACCATCACAAACGAATGATGGGACCGGGTCCGTGGCAGGCCTAACCATCGATGGGGACTTCTCCCTCATGCCGCCGCCGCAAGGTGCTAGTGAAACACATACCGATTTCCAGGCGTACGATGTCTTTTTGAATCCTCAGGGGTCCCAGGCGGATGCTGCTGCGCAGATGAGAAATAACAGTACTTCCTGGATGGGCGAATCGACGGGATTTTACTGGGTGAGCGACCACTAAATTATTTTCACGGGTGGCTTGCTTGATTGCTTTCACTGACACCCGTAATTACAGAGTCAATTCGATGCCTTAACTCGCAGTGGCGAGGATGCCGTACAGCCGACGTTTCAGATGCAGAATCAGGACTGGCTTGATAGGGATCCGCTGGACGACTTGGATTTCATTACATCCACCATGTCGTGGCAGCCGTCAACATCGCAGGGCTGAGTTTTACGGAGGCGGTTTCAATGAATGCGGCATGATTTTGCCCTTGGAAGAGATCGTAGGGGATAGAATTCAGGGTAGCTTGGGACTTGCGTCTGGCTAGAGATACAGTTTTCAAGGTGGTGACTGAGTTGAGGAACTGATAGCGCGAGCACATCAGTTTCTGTACATTTTGAGGGCTTCTAGAAAGGTACCACCAAGAGTTTTGACTCCGATACTCAGAATGATGAATATCTTGTCCTTATGAGCTACTTGCTTCTGCTCCGACGATTTATTTGCGAAGTTGCCAAAATAATATTAGTCAGAACTTGGTTAAGCTGAGTTTATGACAGTTAACGAACGCTTATGCATACTGAAAAGGCGTACCTGTAACTTTCCTTGCAGCCAGGAATGATTATCTTCTCATGAAGGGTTGTGTACGTACTTGAATAGAAAGGCAAGGGTTCCATGCCACGATAAGACGAATATATGCCTTGTTGTTCGCTGCTTGGAGCTGCCTTTATGACGTTAGGCCAGTTAGCCCATATTCAAAATTGCAATACCTAATTCTGAACTAACGTATTTCACCTATAAGCGGCAAGCAAAATTAAAGCCATGAAAAACGCTATTTCGAAATAAATACTGACGACGGGCAGTGAAACCACCCGCAGGTTCAAGGTGTGATGAGGATGGCAACGGACAACAAGATCCTCAACAAGACCTTACTATCCGGGAGGTGGAAAGAAATAACAAGATCAAAAGCTCTTTGCCCTGATCGGAACGACAAGTACCTCAACAGGTACTAACAACTGGAGCCTCAGCAGGCTGGGGAAGAAAAGGAACCTCAACAGGCCCTTGAACAATCACCTCAACAGGCACAATCAGATCTATAGGGGAACAGAAAGTACCTCAACAGGTACGTCAGACATTGAATGCCTGTCCAAGTAAAGAGAAATTGGTTCAGATTACTGTGGAAAAGGCCGCTTGATTTCTTATCTTTTTCTCAAGAGAGCGACTATGTACAGAAGGTCTTAAATACCCTTCAAGAACTGTCACAAGAGGAGGACCAAGCCCCTAGGCCAATAGACCAAAAGATCTAGAAATGTCAGTGTTACTGACATTTGGTCCCACTAACTGCTCTATACAGCACTATGTGGCTCTGTAATCGCCAGCGCTGTGACAAGGAAGCCCAGCTTGTTACGTACGTCACCTGTTTAAAAGAGGGCCGTCGGGCCATATTCCTCTAGCTCTCTTGTCTATTATTTAACGCGGTGTTTAGAGTATACGTAATCCGATCCGCCCTCCGTCGCCTCGGATTCAAGCGACACGTCGCCCAAAGGAAACCACCTATCTCCGAAGAGAACCGACAACGGCGTCTTGCCCAGGCTCAAGAGTATGCCAACTGGACGATCGAGCAGTAGAGGATAATACTCTGGACGGACGAGACTTAGATTACAGGCGGGCATCACCGGAAACAGTACGTAACGCGCCGGCGGGGCGAAGAATAGGTATTTTAGGGATGCTTCTTAGGTAGCCGGAAGGGGCTTAACGTACTGTAGGAGAAGGAATAGGGTATAATAACGGCTGATACATATTAACAACGGACGATACCTATTATTAACGGTTAGATTCGTCTATACCGCCAATAATATAGGGATAACCTTGTCCTTATATAAAACGGCGCTTCAAGTCACTCCGCTGTAGCAACTCTAAAAGAGTTCGAAGAGAGGGGTGTGAAAGTGATCTCGTAGCCGCCTTACTCGCCAGATCTAAACCTAATTAAGTTATACTAGAACTAGATGAAGGCTTATATTAAGGATAAGTACGGCCTTATTAAGAAGCCTTCTTATAACTAACTACAGGTATAGGTAAACGAGGCTTAGGACGCTTTACCAGATAACTATTTATACGAGTTACTAGCCTCAATACTAGAGCGCTGTAAGGTCGTAATTGAGGCGGCTAACGGGATGCATACAAAATATTAGATTAATAGAGGAATATGCGGAAAATGATGCAGTCTGCTTATATCAGCTACGAATGCCAAGAAGGGGGATGAAAAACTTACCCATCACACCATAGTAGCATAATTAATGGTGGTGCCCACAAAGCGACGCCGGTTCGCCACCTGGAAGCAGAAGCAGCAATCCCGCCACTAGACCTCTATCTTAGTGCCCGGGCTGCTAAGTTTGAAGAACGGCTACGGCTTAGCGGGAAGAGAAATCTGCTTCGCAGCGCGAGCGCTAAAGCGTCACATATACTCCGGCAGGATAGGCCGGCGAAGAGGAAGCAGGCGTCGCAGCTACTCCGACCGGCAGGGTACACTATGGAGAAGGAGGCCCGGGGCTCCGAGTGGATGAGTGAGGAAAAGGAGGTCCCGGCTGCCCTCCTCGACCACTGGAGGAAGAGATGGCTCACCGGAGCAGAGCATCACGATCGCCAGCGACGCGCTATCGCTGAGGAACCGGAGGGCCCTTCGATGCAGATACCGAAAGGGGGCAAGTATTTCGGCCTGAACCGACTGGAGGCGTCTACGCTGTGCCAGATCAGGACGGAAAAAATAGGACTAGCAGCCTTCTTATTCAAGACAGGGGCTTTTGGCGTGTACTCGCCGCTATGCCGCTGTGGCGATGCCCCTGAGACGGCAGAGCACGTAATCCTCTTTTGCGGGCTGTTGGAAGGACCGAGGGAACGATTACGGGCCGCCATCGCACCACGGCCACTATACTCTCGCAGAGACCTCGCAACGGCAACAGGAGAACCAGTAGTTAGTGGGACTATTGTAAGATGGCTGCTAGGGACGGGTCGGACAGCTTCAAGGCCCAGATAGCATCGATCTTCTCAGGGGGGACTTTGTTGGTAGGTTGAGAACCAACGTAGTATGGTAGTGAACGCAACGCAGTCGCCAATAGGGCGAACCGACGACGCAGCGTATGTATTTAGTCCAGCCATTAGGGCACGGTTTGACATACGGGAGTACTAGTAGAGGTACCGGGGGCTTCGAGCCTACGGCGTATTTAATAATAATAAAATAATTAATGGAAGCTCGCTCTCGGTTTGAACGAACATATGGCGGGAAGCTGTGGCTTCGGGTACAGAGGTACAAGACAGGCACGGATTGTACTATGGTATCATGGGTAAGTTTTCAATTGTGTGTTTGTACCGTGCTCCACCTAGGCACGAGCCAACTCTTAGCTACGTGGCTTGAAGCGACCTTAACAGCTGTCTTAGTCAGGTTAAAAGAAAACGTTGTAGTAGTTTGAATTTCGGCTTTCGATTTACCACCGTCGAAATGGAGGGTTCGAATTCGTTAGCGATCTGCTTCTGTAAGGTGTTTAGTCCCCTATTGTAGTTGCTACATACGCGATAATTAGGACGCGTTAACAGCAAGTTGGAATCAGAGGTGGAAGTACCTTTTCGTTAGTATGAATAGGCTAGGTAAGAATCGGTAAGAATCAGTATAGCGTTACCTTGGCAGTGGTCCACTGGTACTTGTCAGGGGGTGAAAACTTTGGCCTGATACCGTAGTAGTATTTACGGACCCCCTGGGGGCCAACTTGGGATTAGTCTCCCGCGCACGTACCAATTTCAGCCACCAATACTCGGAATCCGAAACATACTAGGTTAGGTACTAGGTTCCAGACTCGCAAAACGTGTCAAAATAGATTTATTTCATGTTCCTTTGGGACAGACGACTTCAAAGTGGAATATTCCATACCATCTACCATCAAGGGGTTACTCCATTATAAGATGAGTGTCCTAGAAATGTCTCAACGTTCGCTCTTGGATCGCGGGGTACCCCGCAGATCCTCGCATGTTGCAAGTATGTATTTTCCTTTACCATTTTTTCATTTCATTTTTTTTTCTTTTGGGGTGAGGGGCAAGGCAGGCTCGAACTGGTGGATGGAGGAGGCGTGAAATATTCTCATGAATCGCGTTGTGCAAGCTATCAAGAGACATCAGACCACACCAAATACCCACCGAAGTACCTAGGTCACGGGCTGTGGGATCCGCGGAAATGCTTGAATCTCTTGGCACGAACTCAGTTGAGACAGATGCTGGCCGTTGACAGCCGCATCCAAAGAAGGAATCGCTTTGGTGATTTGTACGTAATAGTCCGCGTCTGAGTTGTGCTGCTAGTCTACTCGTAGTGTAGTAGAGACCTCATTTGGCTGTAGCATTGAGAAGGGACAACCACAGCCATGGTGATGATGACGACGAGAATAAGCCAGCGCGACCACGGATGAGATGAGATTTCCATGACTAGCGGCAAATGCCCATGCCTAGCCATATTCTGGATAGTACGGGTCGATACTGTACTGATCTGACAAGCAGCTAACGAAGCGACTGTCGCAGTCATGCATCATTACATCGGTAATGAACCCTATCCAATGTGACGGGTCGGGTCGAAAAGTTATGAAAGCGTTTACACCGAGATGCCAAGGCCGAAGCAACTGAATGCAGGCAGCACGCGGATGCACGCCCCGGACTCCATCGCATACTTGCTCCCTATCGGCCTCGATGAATAAACCGGGGTTTGTTCTGAGATCCATACACCGGTGTAGGAAGGTAGAAGCGATAAGTTCCCTACCGGTTGGCCCCATCTCTTCTGATTGGCTGTTGTAGCACAAAGCGGCTCTTGGTTTGCGGCAGAGATCTTTAAGAACTGTTCCTCAATCTTACCGAATGCAATCGGTTGCATCATCAAAACATTAAAACGCACCACAATCCCATGTTGCCTGCCTATTTGCGACCTTACCTAGCTGCCCCAACGTTCTACAGTTGTAACCACGGCTGCATATCGTCTGGAGTATTGTCGGGAGCCTGGTCTTGAACTCTATTACCCCATGCCTAGGATCCATGGCCGCGGATGATCGCCCACCTTGCCAACTTCGTGTTAGTCGTTGACGACGTTAAAGTTATCGAGTAATATCTTGTACATGTTTTTTCCTTGGCTGGCAATTAGGCAGAACCAATTACCTGCATGGTCCAGGCCATCGTCCAAAAATACTGAAATTACTATGTATAAGTGATGAAACTACACCTCGCAATTTCTCCACGTCGAATAGAGGCGTTGTGCAACCCAAACTTGGGCGTTGGCAGTCTTCATGCCTCATTTACAAGTGAACGTGGCAGTCAACAAACTAGATACAGCATGATGACGGTCGACTCCACCTGCTCCGAGGAAATTGACACTATCGACCGCGATAATAAAGAATACAACAAACGTCGCTGGATTTGGTGCCGCGTAGAATGGATGAGAGGCGACACGTGTTGCCGACACTGCGACCCAAGGGCCAAAGAATGGGCAGAGAAGCGTCTTCATTTGGGAGGCAGACTCCGCTTCATGAGGCAGTTGAAGTAAAATTTTGAGGAACAGACCCAGCCTGAAGCACGCTCAGCCAACTGTTCCAAATTATTTTACCTAATCCGAACTTGGGCTCAAACTGACGAAAGCGCGAATGAACATTTCATCATGCCGGCAGCAGCAATTGTGTGGTCCTATCCCTGAAATAGACCGTCGAGAGAGCAATCGATTAGATAAAACCAGACAAAGCCACCGACTAGAGGAAAAATCGAACTCAATTAAAAGTGTCGTCCGCGATGGAGCCCATCGTAGGCTGTTGCCGTCCACTTCATACTTTTGCCGTGTCGCAAGTTCCTGACGGTGCTTCTCATTCCCAAGATATTACTTCTTTTATTTTTATGTGAAGCTGCGAGTGGTGGTCGAGACCGCAACCTTCGTAACGAGCAAGTCGCTGCGTCATCGCTAAACGTCTCCGACTTCGCTAACAAGCACAGCGAGACACGTCGCAAGCAAGGGAGCACAGCAACTCGCCCAACCGCGCAAATAGAGTTCTGGTAGACTGGTCGAAAAAAAGAAACAGAGGGAAAGCCCATGTAACAAGCCCAATCGTTGGTCTACGGTATTCATCCTCACCGCCCCAGGGCCTGCGTTTCGCGCATCTTTTGGCACCTCCCGACTTGACTGAAGAGCGTGCCCAAGTATCCAACGAGACGCCGACCTGCACACTGCTCACCCACAATCCCCATCGCGACGTGCACTGAAAGCCCCCCCCAATTGGACCGTTTGTAGCCTGGGGGAGCTACGGTGGGTACGTATCACATCAGCCTTCTGGCTCAGTCAGGCCTGATACGGCACCAAAAAAGGTAGAAATATGCTTCATCTCCTCCCAAAACTCCATCTTACTTGATCGTGGGGCATTCGTCAACTGTTACGCCGTTTCCCCAAATACAAGGTGGATCGTATCCGCGTTTTCAAACATTCCCCGCCGCTGAAATTTTCTCTCGACCAGGTCCACCAACATACGAGTCGTGTTAGACAAAGAATCAACTATTACCAGCAACGCTTGTCATTTGACTACTACCCAGCTGTCCCGACAGTGTGCCGGCTTTGCGGCAGCGGGAATAGGGCTGTCCCTCAAGGTACATCTGAATATTGCAATATTGGTCAAATTGATATAAGGCGCCAAGAGAAAAGCAGACAACCGCCGGCGAGCTTGTGTTTGCGCCGTATCGTCTCATTTCGATAGGTCCGGGTCATTCTTTTTGGAGAAAACTCACTGTCAAAGTTCAAGTAACGGCTAACTTGATTGGCTCTCAGCAACCGTTCGAGGCCTGATTCGGCGTGTGCTTCCGGCTCGTATTTCGCCATATCATCCAGACCTCAACTGCCGTCAAGAGAGTATTATTCGAATTACTCAGATTCATATCTTTTCGCACCCCCTATCTCCCCTTTCCTCTTCGACAACGAGGTTTCCCCCGTTTCTCCTTTCCACCCAGACCTGGCATTTTTCGATGTCCGCCACAAAACCCATTCCCATCCGGACTGACCTGGCCATCAGGCCAGCGCCGTCGACGGAGCACCACAACTACAACAGCGCTTCACCCAGGACGGCAGTAAATCAGAGCAGGCACAAACATACGCGATCTTCCTACTCGGAAAGCTCGCCTCTGGTCTCGAGAAACAACTCGCTGAGTTTCCGGCCTTTGAAGCGCTCAATGCCCTCGCCAGATAAGACGATTGCGGTTATCAACGCGAGTGGCCGCCAAGCTGCGTCCCTAATCCGGATAGCCACCGCGGTTGGCTACAAAGTACGGGCGCAATTGCGTAATCTCGAGGGCGTGATGGCAACCGAAGTGTCCACCAACCCTAATGTCACCGTGTTTGTGGGCGAGCTCTACATTCGCAAAAAGCCCGACGACCACAGGGACGTCACGGCTAATGCTCACATCCCGGGAATTCTCGTAAACCAGGACCTTATCACCCAACTTTTCAGGGGAACCCACCTGGCCTTTATCAACACCACCTTCTACGGCAATGAACTCCAAATTGGCGAGGCCATTGTAGATGCTGCCAAAAAGGTCGGCGTTCAACATTTTGTCTATTCGTCCATGCCCGATCATGCCGCCTACAATCCTGACTGGCCCTCCCTACCCCTGTGGGCAGCCAAGCATAAGGTGGAGGATTACATCCGCAAAATTGGACTCCCTGCCACATTTGTCTATACGGGCATTTACAATAACAACTTCACGTCCCTCCCGTATCCCTTATTTTGCATGGAGTTGCAGCCCGATGGTTCGTTCGTTTGGCAGGCTCCGTTCCATCCCAAGGCCAAACTTCCCTGGTTGGATGCCGAACACGATGTTGGACCGGCCATTCTGCAAGTATTCAAGGACGGGCCATCCAAATGGAATGGCAAACGCGTCGCCCTGGCCTACGAGTACTTGTCGCCGTTGGAAGCGTGCAAGGCGTTTGAGACAGGCCTTGGCAGGCGTGTGCGGTATAAGAGAGGACCTATTGAGGTCAAGGTCAAGATCCCTGAAGGCTACCGAGAACATCTTCAGGCCCTCGAGAAATTGTTCTCGTTGGAAAATGACGAACCTAAGAAACAACCGCCCTATTTTGGAGACCCGGAGCTTGATCAGAGTTGTCCCGACAGTGCGCTGGCATTATGGGAGGGACCTAGAGGCCTCGAAGAATACGCCAATGAAATATTTCCGTTGGAAGAAGAAGCAAATGGGCTGACTTGGATGTTTGACAACGAGGAAGTGCAAACCAACGGAGTCGAAAACGTGGATGGGAGACCGCCTGACGAAGAAGCCGAAAATAGCGATGACGAATCTCTTGATGAGGGTCTGGTGATGAGGGGACTCAAGAGAGATGAGGAAGAATGGCTTGCATAATCCCATGTTTCGCCGACGACAATAAATACTGCTCTTTCCACCTTTTCTCTGCCCGGCCTGGATGGATTCACCGTCTTGGCCGCACAATTACAAAAGCACACGTTCAGGTGCTTAAGTGGTTCGCTCCACCATCCCGGCTAAGGCTACTTCATTCGACCTTTCGAGCATCCATTTTATCTTGCAAGGTCTACGGGACAGCGTCACATACACTTGGCGTTACACATGTTGCAAATAACCGGCCATCCAATGCCCAGGCCTTTCAACATTCCGACCTTTCTACAACAGCGTCCATCTTTTTCTTCAATGTCTCCGGTGGGGAGATAGCATTGGCTGGCACAGCATTTTCACGCGGAAGGGTACGAGTGATATATCAATCATGCTTGGCAGCGCGATACACAGGCAGCGCTTTGGCCCAAACGGTCCGTCGAGCAAATTTGGCGTTCATACAGAGCTACGATGGGCAATGATTATGATGACTAATGTTGTTGTGTGGATAATGGGTGACAACGGCAAAATATGGTTGTGCAGGGACGGACGGTGGTGCTTTGTGATTCCCCCCCACCCCCAAATATGACCAATGGTAGACTAAAAAGCAAGAAACATGAAGACATGTGCTTGAGCACCGCAGACGCAACACTTTTGTAAGCTACAGATTCAATGTGAACATAGCAGAGGTGTACATTTTGGGGCGATACTGGGCATCTTGTAGCAAATGAGCAACGGGATTGGCCTTGATCAAGACCAACTCTGTGGACCAACTCTGTGGCCCACATACATTTTCAACTCTAAAGTAACCGCGAGCAATGAACCATAGCAACATGCAGTTCTCAGAGAACAATGAAGCTGCGGCCAGCAATACAGCTGGGTAGTACGGACCAACAAATTATTTGAGGGTCATTTATGTCAAGCCGGCAAGGCTGTGAAGGAAACAGTCAGTACCTAGATACATTCATTAGTAGCATCCATCAAGGCAGGTAGTCAATGATCCGCAGAGCAGTCGAAGAAGTTTAGGTTCCCTGCAGCGGGCTGGATCGACCCCAGCGAGGAACTTCAAGTGCACGGATCTGGTGGGGTCTGCAGATCCTAGCTATCGCGATAAGATAACATAGTGGTGGCTGGCAATTCTTTTTTTTGACCGGCGAAGCTTCACCTCCAAACCCGTTTGATCGGACGGGGCTTTCTACAATGTCAGGCAGTACAGTTATACTACACAGCTAATCGAGAAATTGTTCTCCCGCATTGCCGCTCCACAGTTTTGCATCACCGTCATCTCACTGCTCCGAAACCTGCTCATTCCATCATGGCGAAAGATCGAGCACATAAGCCGCACAAGGAGAAGCGCGAGAAAAAGGTGTCGGAGGACAAGGTGAGGAAGCCGAAGAAGGAGCAGAAGGCAAAGCCCATCGTCAAAGATGCGTCGGATGAAGACTCCGACAGCTCTTCTGGTGGTGCGCCTGTGGCCGACCCGATGGTAAGAAGACCTCCAATTTGCATGCAATCTGTCAGCTCGTGACCGAAGACTCACAACTTATAGGAATTGGACTCTCCCAATGAGAAGATAGAGAAGAAGGCCAAGAAGGATAACAGGGAGAAAAAGAAGGCGGTCGCGGTCGAATCGGAAGACAACAGCAGCAGTAGTGATTCGGAAGCCGACAAGAAGGCCAAGAAGCAAAGGAAGAAGGAGAAAAAGGCAGCGAAGGAGCCTGTCGTTGAGCCCAACTCTTTCTTCACTATTGATACCAAGCCGATGCCCGTTGAACCCAAAGCTGCCGCCCCCCCCAGTTCCGACTCCGACTCGAGCTCCAGCTCTGATTCCGATTCTGATTCGGACGATGGCCAGAAGGAGCCCTCAGAGGCCAAGGCATCCAAGGCCAAGGCCCGTAAAGAGAAGGGAGATGGATACACGCCTGCGCCAACGGGAATGAACCGAACTGAGCGCCGCCGACTGATGCTGATTGGCCGCCAACGCGAAACCCTGCGCAAGCAACTGGGCATTGAGCCCGGCACCAAGGACGACGAGAAAGAGGCCGATCTGGAAAAGCAGCTTGCGAAGTGGACTGAAGAGTTCGACGGCAAACTGGCCATCCGCACGGAGAAGAAGCGCATACGCATGGAGAAGGACGCTGCGAAGCTGCGAAACAAAAGAGGCAAGCTTCTTACGGGCCGCAAGTTGAAGGAGCGCACGAAGCAAATCATGAAAATGGAAAAGAAGGCTACCAAGAAGGCTCGCAAGGAAGGCAGTTCTTCGAGCTGAGTGACGTGAAGGCTGTTTTTGGCGGGAGGTGGAGGGGGTGTGTTGCTCTGCTTTGCTTTGCTTGGCGTTGATGGTACGGTTACAAAATGCAACTGGATTCGTAGATATTACATTGTTATGCCTGAGGCGTCCCAATGAGGAAACCTGCTGTTTCCTGACCAAATATATACATATGATACCTCTTTGATAATCTTTGAAAGTGTGACAATATATTGTAGCAGAGATCGATTCGCACCGTAAGCCAGCGCCCCGACCCCAATACAACGATTATGCAGCCCGTCCATACGTATTATACACATACTATACCACACCTATGACTGTCCCGTCCTCTAAGACTTCTTCGGCTCCTCATTTGTCCCTTCCCCGTTCGTCTTATCCCCCTTCCCCCGATCCCTCACATCCGAAATCTGCTCCATTATCAACCCCCAGTACCCCTTCCCGCCCTCCTTCAACGCCTCCCGTTCTCTCTGATCCCGCTTCTCCTTCCAATCCTCGTCCGCATCCCCCATCCAAATCGCTTTCAGAGTACTCCGCTCCTTCCTCTCCCTTTCCCTTCTCTGCTCCGCGATCTTCCTCGCATCCTCCTCGCTCATCCCCTCCCGCGCAGCCGCTAGTTCCAACCGCCGTTTCTTCTCTTCTTTTATCTGCGCTTGCACTTGCTGTGCTCGTTCGGAAGGCATCCCGTTGTATTTATCGGAGAAGAACCCACCGCCGCCGCCGCTGCTGCCACCGAAGGATGGGAAGCGCTGGAGGAAGGTCTTGCCGGTGTAGTCGTACCGCAGTTGGTTGATGCCCCAGATGGAACATCCGCCTAGGATGAGCATGCGGAAGTCGAGCCGCCGGGGCGGGAGGAACATGGCGCCCAGGGCGACGGGGGTTACGCCGAGGGCGACGTTATGGAGCATGCGGTTTTCGAAGGTCTTTCCGGTAGTGGCGGCGGCATCATCTGGCGTAGTGGGTAGTTTGGGTGCGCTGGGGGTGGCGGGCGCTGGAGGAGGAGTGGGTGAGGATGCCATTTTGGGGGATGGCTGGTGGGTAGATCTCGAATTGACTGTTCCGTCGGTGGCTCTCGTTGGGGCTGGTCTCAATTCTTATCAAGGTGGTTGCGCTCCTTCTTTGAAGATGGAGCTTGGAGCTGCTATCCCTGTCACTGACGTTTTGAAGCTTGCAACTTTTTGGCAGGGGTTCGAATTTTGACCAGTCTGGGGCGTCCGAAACCCGATGGGGATAGAACTGCTCTGGAAGGGTCTCTCAAATCGTACTTTGTACAACATCACGACAGAACCACATATAGAAATATATTGTTGACATAAGGAAGGAGTCTTTTGTCTGGCTTTGGGTCGTCATCGCATTGGATTCATCATGCCCAAACTGGCATTCAGTCAATGCCAGAAGTCATCAGGGATTCGAAGAAGTGTGCCAGGCACCAGTTCTCTTCGATTTGAAAAAGTTGGCATTTCTCTTTCCTCTTTCTGCTATTCTTTGCTCCCATTTGGACTTGACTGGAAATATCATCGAATGAAAATAATGTTGAGCCAGACTATGTGCAAGATGGGGGGAGGAATTATGTTACTATGCACCTGCTTATGACACTGCCCGTAGCAGCCGTACCCACGACCGCATCCCTTACTCAATACCCCGGTCAACTTTTAGCTAGTCTGTTTGGAGTTGCTGCATCCACGACCAATCTACAACTTCATCTCAGGTTGCAATTATTTCGATGTTATTGACACTTATTGTTGTTGCTATTTCTGTGCTCGCTGGTGAACCTTCTGCTTCAAGTCTGTTGATTTGATGATAACAGTTGGGTGACCAAGCCTTAACACTTTGATCCTTTATTCCCCTATTTACTTCTCTTGAAGCTTATCAGTAATGAAGGCGAGTTTGGTGTGCCCCCGATAATATAGCTTATATCGTACCTTAGGGGCTGTGACTTCCTGTCCCTAAGCCGCACCACCTTACCTTTCACCTCCTTCCCCTTTACCCCCTCCCTAGCCTTAATCTAAAGAAACACAGGTGTACCCTATTTCCCATGGTTGGCATCTATAGGCCCCTCTTTTTTCAGATCTATAGATTCCAATCGTATTCGACTAGTACTTGCTTATCCTTCCTATGAGCATTTTCAAGTTTGCGTACCTCTACGCAAGCCTTTGTGCACAGTGGAACTTCTCCATACTTCTTCCTCCCAATTACTTGAACTTGGCAGAAAGATCGCAACAAAATCGCTGCCAACTCACTCGCGATAGCTGAATTTATATTCACATCCATGGCAAAACTGGACCGTTCCTCAATGTGGATACCAGCATGAGTCGACTAACACCTAGGCTGCTTCGCATCATCACAAGTCCAGTTACTGCTCTTCTCTGTTCTTCTCATCTCTCTACCCCCACTTGACCTGATCTCTTTATTGGCCTTGCATTCCGTAAGCAAAGGAGCTTATTCATATTCCGAAATCAGGTAAGTCATCGGTTTTCCTTTTTCTGTAGACATATGTTTCTCTGATCACACATATTCACTGTGAAGTACTGGATAGCACAGCTGCTTATGTTGGTGCTGTTGATCCGGTCATCCAGTACCTTCCTGACTTCGATCCCAGCTACTTAAAATATGGATAGGGTGGGTTTGCTTTTTCTCGGCACGGCAAACGAATGACAGGAGTGGAATTCGAGCACAGGGTGGAACTCTTTCACTCACCTGGGCAGATTCTCTCCTTGTGTTGGATTGGTTCGCATCCGATAGGAACACCTCATTAACTCGTTGCCGATTTCATAGTATTCATAGCATAGTCTGAGAGATGGGCATAATAGACATCGCTGATTCTGACACCCCCGAACATGAGTCTCATCCCCTTCATCGCCATGCCTTCTTAAGATCTGAGACGTTGTTTCACATGACTCAATGGCTCGACGATGAAATCTATGGATTCTAAAATTGCGATGACACCGAACGTTTTCTGGGTAGGTGCTATAGCTCGACGGTAGCATCCACAGATTCCAATATCTTGAGAATACCGAAGGGTTTACCCCCTTTTCACCTCTAATGAAACACCAGTCGTCCAACTAGCACATAAGCTCTTATTCCTCCGAGACTAGAATGCACATGAACACTTCAAGCATATTTCGTTGGGTAAGTACGTTATCCATGATATTAAGACTTATCTCATATTGCAGCAATCTTCACCTTGGTCACCTCCAACGTCTCCGAATCGACCAACACCAGCTCCTTTGTAGCCGAAAACGACGGGATGGCAATGAGTCTCACAGTCTGGCCTTCCGGACCGAAAATCTTCTTGGTTCCAAACTCGGGCTGGCAGCCTACGAAAAAGAGATGCGGGCTGGTCTTCATGACGAACGGGTCGTCGTCCTGAAACGGATAGCTCCCTGTTTCTTATTAGCCGAGTTTGCCTATAGGTTAGGGTGAAACCCTTACACAATGTGTCAGGTGCCGTTGGCGCACAGCACCTCCACCGGCACATGGCCTCCATCATTCCCAGCCGGTCCTCGCTGTCGACGTACTTGAAAATATCGTCAACGTTCTGTCCGCCCGTGCCCAGCACTCGCCACCCGTCCACCTCGCCCTCCCATGGATTCGTCACATTGTCAAACCAGCTGGTTTCCTTTGATCCTGGCGCGGCCGTGTAGGCTCTGGAGTTAGGAAACATGGCACCGTGAACGGGCTGCTGCGGATAACTAGCGTTGGCTGGATCTTGCGCACCAGGGAGCATGGTTATGGGCATGGTCGGGAGCAGCGTCGAGAGGAACTCGTCGAGGAGCTGCGACGGGAGAGGGTTGTACGCGCTAGCGTCGTAGCCGTATTTCTTGTTCGTCTTCTTTTCCGTCTGTTCCTCGTCGACTGGTCTTTGATCCTCCAGTGATATTGAGTTGCCGGCTATGATAAGACGGCTGATCTGAGACAATTCTTGTTGCGTAGAGGGGTCTAGCGCTTCGCCTAGGAGGTATTCCAGTAGTAAACTGAGCTCAATGGCGTGGGATGCATCTGAGCCAGAGAATCCAAGGCCGGAAACAATAGCGATCTTGCCTCCGCTCCCCTTGCTGTAGGCGTCTGTCATTTCCTCGTCTACGTCCTTGATTTTCTTGCCCCGGCTTGCGCCATTTGCAGCGGGTGGTGATGAAAGAGCCCATCGATCTGGTTGGGGAGCCAAGTCTGGAAACTTCAGGTCAATGACTTCCAGCTCACCATTGACGTTTTCCGTGCCCATCACAGCTATGATGCACCCTGTCACTAGTACAACCGACTTGAGCACATTGCCAACAAGACGGATTCGACCTGATTCATCTTCCAGCGTCACGGCGTCTGAGCCATCTTCCGACCAGTACTTCTGACTCGACGTAGGCGCGGAGATCCATCTCTGCATTCAGTCAGCTCGTGAAGCCCGTCCAGTCTCAGGCACCACTTACGTCCTTAGAGACATCCTCCAGAATGTTGGGTTTCAGGGGCATATCCATGTAGACAGTCCCCGTTACCCAGCATAGCTCACCCTGCCGAATATCCAGCACCCGTTCGACTTTTTTCGCCGGCTCGTCTCCAATGATGGTGCCGGACCACGTATCGACTGCCACCTGCTCAACCGCGGGCTTGATTTTGGTCAACCGCAAGAAGTACATGTCTGCAAACTGCTGCTGATATGACTTGTCTTTCTCCAGACTGAAGGAGTTTATGGGCTTGTAGGTGGACGCCTTCCTCTCCAGCTCCTCTTCTGCCTCGCCCCTGGATAGCGGTCAGTATCTTATTTACGCAGATCCATTCAACGTATTTAAATTCAGACTTACGTAGGCTTCTGGAGCATATTTCCCGGAAGATTATCCAGGGCGGCCATTTTTGGGAGCTACTTTTCAACTCTCACGCTGTCATCTTTTGGGATGAGTTGAAAGGGTGAGACGCGTCGGGCCTTGCTGGACGCGAATTTTGGCGTAAATTGACTTGTGGCTCAGTTGTGGCTGAACGGTACAGCCCAGCCTCTGAGAAGGTACCTAGACACCGAGTTTGGCCGCGTTTGAGTAATTGCAAGCTGGCGCCAACAGAGAGAGAAAGGCAAATGATTGACTCAAATGATTGAGTCTTTCTTAAGATCTACCCAATGATATGATACTTAAAACCATTCTGCGAGTGCGTGAACTAGGGGTCGGTTTGTAGGGGTTAAGGTGTCGGCCCGGGATGCAGCATAGCGGGGTCGTCCATATTTTGATTGGTTAATCTTTTAGCGCGGGGTAAGGCTGCATGCAAGGCTACGAAAGGTCCAAAAATTTTATTTTCCCAGTGCTGATCTTCACGTAGCAGCTTTCTTGCTGAAGCTACATTCACCCTACTCCGCTCTTCACCACATGAATATGGCCGGAATGGAGAGCCAGAATTTGGCCACTGAGGCTCAGCAGGTTAGGGTCAACTTTACTTCATCAGAGCCAGACTTGCAATTGCCTGAAGGAAAGAGCCAATTGCTGGTTCCAGGAGGTTAGTTCAAAGGCGATCGAGCAACACTGAAGCGCAATGCTAATTGCACTAGATATCAAACGATATGGCTTGTCCAGGGTCCTGAACTCCGGTTCTATGCTCAATACTTCTTCACCTGTTCCTCTCGATTTCCTCGTCAACGGCACTTTCCTAAGGGGTTCGTTGGAGGACTACCTCAAGGAGAACGGTCTTTCGTTCGAAACGACAGTAACGCTGCAATACGTACGGAGTTTGATACCGCCGGTTTACCAAGGAAGTTTCGAACATGATGATTGGATTACGGGGATTGATGTGTTATCTGGAGGCAAACAACGCCTCCTCACGTCCTCCTACGACGGTCTCTTCCGAGTATGGAACGCTTCCAACCAGATAATTGCTACTTCGCCGTCAAGCAGCAATGGTGGCCACAGCGCCCCGGTAAAGGCAGCCAACTTCTTGAGCTCCTCTCAAATTGCATCGGCTGGCATGGACCGCACAATCCGGTTATGGAAATATACCGAATCGGATGATTTCACGGGCCAACTGAAGCCAACTCTCGAGCTGTACGGTCACAAGGGTAGTATCGAGTCGATGGACATCCACACATCTTCTGGGAGGATAGTGACCGCCTCGAGTGATGGCGGAATCGGTCTGTGGTCTACATCGAAGTCTTCAGCGCCAGAAGCACCGGCGAGTCTACTTCCCGGGGCTGGCGTAAACGTGTCAAAAAAGCGCAAAATCGCTTCATCAGCTCCTCAACGAGGGCCTCTATCCATAATGCAGATCCACTCATCGCCGGCATCAGCAGCGATATTCCATCCTGCGGACTCGACTGTCGCATACTCCGCATCCGAGGACCACACAATCAGAACGATGGATTTGACTACGTCGCTGGTCGTAAGCACCCTCACTACCGCGCATCCGCTCATGTCGTTGTGCTCGTTACCTGGGATAAGCAGTGCGCTCCTGGCAGCCGGAACAACAGCGAGGCATATCACGCTGGTGGACCCCCGCGCATCGGCAACGAAGACGTCCGTCATGACATTGCGAGGACACAAGAACACCGTTACCTCGATTTCTGCGTCGCCGGAAAATAACTATTCCCTTGTCTCCGGCTCGTACGACGGCACCTGCCGTATTTGGGACTTGAGAAGCGTGCGCGCAGGATCCAAGGCAGAGGGCGGTGGTAGCGTGAGCGATGCAGTGTACGTAATTGAGAGAGAGAGCCAAAGAGGCAAGAAAAGGGGCGATGTGCCCGGCCGTGGCTGCAAAGTCTTCGGTGTCGTCTGGGATAAGCAATGGGGTATTGTGAGTGGAGGTGAGGACAAACAGGTGCAGATCAACCGGGGAAGTGGTTTGCTTGCAAACTAATGCGATGGCGCGGCGAGACGAGTAGAATGGAATGCGAGTAACCCAAGGTGGAGGCTTTCTGTGTTTGCTTCATACGTCACTTCGATACCCAATGGATAGCATTTATGGAATGACCCTGAGTATTATCTTGTCTTGCCGGTGAAAACTCTGATCCCATAATCTATCACCTGAGTGGAAGAAGCAATGCTATCACCGCACCCCATATGTACTAAATGCTGCTATAATGCTACTCGAAGTCTGGTTTACCCTGCTTTAAGGGGGTTGGCTCAAAACTCATGTAAGCATTCATGATCATGGTATTCTAGCCTTTCAAACGGGCAACCGAGTGGTCATAGTTACAAACTCGTGACATATATTGCCGTTCTCGTAATTTTTCATACGGCAAACAGCAAAATAGAACGGCGGCCCTACCAATGTAAATATGCATCTCTCCACTCCTTCCCAGACCATTCCTTCTCACGCGTCTTATCCTCTATTCCTCATCCCCTTTCTCGACTTTCATCACAAACTAACGGTAACCGTCATGTTATTACTCAGCACCAACAACACGGGCGGCAACTCATGACACAAGACCTCAATATCACTCAAATACCTCAACGCATCCTCCTCCTTCTTACTCGTTCCCTCTTCCGGAATCGGCAGGGTAGTCAACAACACCACCGCCTCGCCGCTGTGCTGCCGCATGAGCTCATTCAAGATCAGATGTTGCGCCCGGCTTGGTATATCGTTGAAGGATAGCGGGAGAGACTGGGTAGAGTAATTAGACCGGAGTTCTGTATTTGCGTCCTCGTCTTTGTGACGAGCGTAGGGGGAGGAGGAGGAGGAGTACTGGTCGAATTCGTACGATTCAAGCAGCTTGGGGATATTGAGTTGGGGGGTTTGCGGTGATGATGATGATATGCCCTGGGATAAAGAGTTCCGCTGCGAACGAGTGAAGGAAGGAGGCTCGGTGGGCTCAGCAAAGGTGAGGCGGGGTCCCGAACCGTCCTCGCTGTCAATTTTCTTCATCTTGGGGGTTGGGCGGCTTGAGAATCTTGCTGTGGAAGAGTTGCGTGATAGGGGAGGTCGGTCCAGCTTGGGAGTGTTTGAACCACCGGGATCTCTGAATGTGATGCTAGGCCCGAAGCCACCCTCTTCGAAGTTGATCTTGGTGTCGGGGGTTGGGCGGCTGGAGAACCTGGAGGCAGATGACTGTCGGGAAAAGGCGGGTCTGGTTGGTATTGGACTGGCCTTGGATGGTGATTCGATGCCTTCAGTCCCGCTCCTAAATTCTACGACTGGACTCATCACAGGAGTTGGAGCCCTATCTTGTTGTTTAAAGGAGTGTGTGCGTGTTGTGCTCCCGATGGTGCCATAGCTGCGACCCGGCGTACTACCCCCGCTGCGGCCCTGAGCTGCTTGAGAGTTTCGTGATACATCTGCCTTCTTAGGAGGATCATGTCCTTTGAGTAGGTTGCCATGGCTTCTTCGTCGACCTGAGAACAATAGAGGTTGGCATGATTGAGCAGTTTCATCGAGGTCTCCATCACTCATGACACTTGCAACGTCATTGAACTCTCCCTCAGACAAGGACGAAGAATCGTCTTCGTCATCAGTGGAAGAGTCGTAGTCTTTCCTGTTTTCCGACTGGTCTCCGAACATTTGGGAGTCAAGTTGGTGTGTATGGATACCAAAGCTGACGCCTAGCTTGGATATCTTGGCAACATTTGCCCTCTTGGGCAGTTCTAACAGGCTCTGCATGCTCAGTCTCCGCCGAGAAGCGTCATCTTCATGACCACCAGCACTTGGACTGGAGCCACGACGCCTCTTGACCTCGAGCATCTCTCTTGAAGACGAAGGCTCTTCAGACCGGGACATGTTGTAATCCCCTTTCCGCAGCCGCTGAAGCGCTTGCCACCACTCGTCGTCTTTAAGCAAGTTATCGATGATCCGCTCGTTTTCTTTGTTGCTGGGTATGCCGTTGATAATGCTTTCGTACCCGCCCAGTTGCCCAGAAGCCAGCCAGAAGACATTGATCTCGGCGTCAATTCTCAGTTTCTCCAAGAGGGTCTGGAGTCTCCCTTGCTCCGCTTTGACCTCGCTCTCGTACTCTACAAACACCAGGACTCGGAGACGGAATGCATTCTTCCAGATGGGGACACTGAGCAGAATGTATCCGAGCTGAAGTATCAATGTATCTAGAGTAGTGTTAGCGTTTTGGCTTTCTTGTTATTTTGATGTGCCAGACAGTGTCCTATAAGATGACGGCGGATCGAAGTGTCTGGCCCAAACGTACATGTATCAAAATTAGTGGTCAAAACACTCTTTCCTTGGGATGTGATTTCAGCCGACATCTGAATGGGCCAAAGATCAATGTACTTCTTGGTGTTTTTTCCATCTCTCCGTGGAGCTTCCAGGGCCTGAAACCCTTTTCCAATGGCGACATTGAGACGATGCTTGAGCGCAAGATCCTCAAGTATCGTCAGGTAACTCGTGGGAGACATCATACCTTCCGTACGTATATCGTCGGTCGGTAGGAAACCCTCCAAGAGGCGAGCCGATGTGTCTCCACGCCCTCGCCGTTTTCCTTCCGTCTTCGGTGGTATCTTTGCCTTGCTGGGAGACACCGACGCCTCCGGGCCGCTGGCGAAAGGTCGCGATCTCCGCAGTTCATCCATGTTGTAGAAGCCGAGCACGGCTATGTTGGGCCGCATGCCACCGAGCCCGGCGGAGAGGATGAGATTCCGGATGCCCCATTCGATGGTGGGGGACATGGTAAGCTGAACGAAGGCCTTGATCCTCGAGTACTCGGTGATGTATCTCGTCCATGCGGATTGCTGTAACTTTGCTTCGTGGATGCCCGTGCTGAAGTCGTCAGTGACAATGACGTGTCCCAGGATGTACAAAGCCCCTTTCTTCATTGAGTTGCAGAACTGGATGAGCCGGGTATGGTGTCTAGGATCGTTGACGAGCAGAATGATTTGGGGTCTCCAAAACTTGATGTGCTCTGGCTTCAGGCGCAGCAAGTACTTCCGTACTTGATGGTAGATCAAGTTCTGCGACACATCGCCCCAGTGCTTTGGTGGGCTCAAGTAATGAATAAGCAGGAACAAGGCAATTAGAACGCAGATAGCCGCAGCTGCAACTGTTTCGTCGATGAAGAACATTGCAGCTGCTGAGAGTATACTGCCTAAGAATGCCGTCTGCCAGCTGAAGAATTTAAAGGCCGGCCTGAAATTAGGGGCTGATCCTATCTTCAGCAAAAAGCAAGCCAGATTCATGACGAAAAATGTCATCTGTCGCAGATCAGTCTTGGTAGATCGACGCCAATGTGGATGAAGCGCTCACCTGGTATCCTATGGATATAAATGTCGCTATTTGGTTCAAATCAGCAAACAGGGCGATCTGTGCAATAGCAAACGTGATGAGTACAGCGTAAATGGCATCATCCCCACGTATCGTTCCTTGCCCAAATACTCCCAAGCCAGGAAGGAGTTTATCCCGAGCCAAAGCTTGAAGAAGTTTGGCAGCGCCTATGATGCCCATCAAGACGGAGAAGAATGTTGTCGCACACTCTCCTGCTAGGACTAGGGGCGACCATAGACTCGTGATAGATACAACGTTCGTCTGGTGGAGCAGGGTGCTACGTGTTATACTAGCTGCCATCGATATGATGACGAGCAAGTAAAGAACAAAGGTTGAAAGCATTGCCCACAAAGTACCCTTTGGTATAGCATGACTGGGATTTATCAGATCCCCCGACATCGACGCCCCCGCGAAGATGCCAGACGTGGCCGGGAACAGTATCCCAAACAACTCTCTGAAAGTCTCGAATCCCGAGTAATGTCGACTTCGGACATGAGGATACAAATTGGATACCAGAGTCTGAGCGCTCAGCCCAGTGAACTCAACGTCGAGGCTCCTGTCCTTGAATGGACTCTTCACAATGGCCGAAATTGGTATGCTCAATGTTGATATGACCAGAATGACCAGGAGTAAATTGCTGGCCTTGGAAAATACGGAGCTTCCAGCAAGGCATAGGACAGTGCAAAGAGCAAGAGCACAGGTCTCCATGAGGTAGTTTTCCCAGTAGCCGCTGGGGACAAACCCCTCCAGGTTGAGCTCCAAGCAGTTGATGAGGCCGACTACATTGAGAGCAGTGTTGAGAACCTGAGACAGGTAGAACAGCACTCCGATCGAGCCACCAAATTCAGGACCCAATGACCTGGAGATCAAGTAGTAGGCGCCGCCTCCTCTGACTTCCCCGTTGGATGCGATGGCAGACAACGATAACGTGGTGACGAGGTCCACGAAGTATGCAATGACCAACAAAGCTATAAACTGATTTCAATATCATGACACTGGCCTCGATATGTAGTAGAAACATACCTAGAATACCCAGTAGGCCGATGCGTCCAAGGATAGAGCCAAATCGTAGAAACATGAGGATGCTGATAACACTCAACACCACTGGAATGTAGACACCGGACACTACACCCAATTTTGTCTTCTTGCTCTGTGGCAAAGACTGCATCATATCGGTCTCACCACCACGAGATTCTGGAGGCATTGTCGCTATTTAAATATGTTGCTGGCTGGGAGACGTTGGTTTGTTTGGAGTTGCTATAACGAGCTTGGAGGAACGCGAAATATCTGTGGATGCTATCTTGGTTTGGAATAACGGCTCCGAGAACCACAATATGGCCTTTACTTCAGACAAGTTTTGAGCTTAATCCCAAGGACCATAATATGTCCTTCACTTCAGACAAGTTTTGAGCTTGAAACCCAAGGACTAATCGATTAATCCAAGTCTTTAATCCTGAACTCCTACATATTTTCAATTAATGAATTGGAGTATACTCTCTCGTCCGCCTGACGTCGTGCCCCTCCAAAACCCCGCGTGCGTATCCAGCCAAACTCAGACAGACGCATAGACGATCTTCTCAAGTCGAGCAAGTCCAGCTTGCAGTAGTTCCCCTCCACATGGCGTTTTGTGGTTTGACTGCCGTCCGATGAGCCGGTAAGAGGAGAGACACGAATGCTCACCAGGCGAAGTTAACTGGTGATTCTAAGACAGTAGGTTCCAGGGCTTACCAGTCAGGCCTTTGGCGAGGTCCGAGAGAATTAAGTGCGAGCTGTGGGTATACGTCATTTAGCTCCCTGGAAAATTTGAGCATCTGAAGGTTCCACGTTCAGATGCAAGCATGCGTGCAGGTCACATATTTCGGTAAAGCTTCAGTGGCTACGGCGGCATGCGAATTTTGAGCCCATGTCGGCCGACATTCGCTGATTTCAGCTCAGTGAATCGCTGCAATTCGTTAGCTTGTGTACTGGCGCCAGCGGATCCAGCCGTCCGTCTGAAATGATTCAACAGTCTTCGGACGAGAGTCTTTGTAGTTGGATCATAAGTCCGTTGACCGCATATATCGGGACGGGGCTTGCCCAGGAGACCCCTCAGGCATCCAACAGGACAAAAGTAGCGACAACAATGTCGCCGCTGGCCTCTGTCGAATCCCGATGTTGACAGCATTGTTATGATTACTCAAACGATACTCCGCAGCACAGATATTTCCACATGCTCGCACTGTAGTGGCTTCAAGGGTAACCTGACGGTTGCTTTGTACCCTGTAACACCCTGTAACGGTAGTATTCAGCGGCTCTGCATCAACCCTGCCGATAGATCCATCTGGGGGCGGCACACATGTGCATCCGGAGGGATTTAATGACAATGCAGTTCATAATCGAATCCATAACTTTATGCGTTTTCTCTTTGTCAGGCAGCTGGCTCTATTGTATACCTGCTATTGGCGGTTTTTTGACAGTGTCCGAGTGGCTGCGGTGAGAGACTATCTTGGCATACAGCGGGCCGGCAGGCAAATAGAGACCAAGATCACCTGCCTGACTCGGCCTCAAGCACTAACACCACGAGGGCTTCCTGCAGACTTCCCTGACAGACTGTGCAGTTTTTTTGACAGATGACCAAGTCCACATCACAGGCCTCGTAGTGTCGGCTTTTTGTGAGTATATACCTGCGTTCTGGTCTCTTATCGCGCCTTCTTCAGCTTATCCCTTGTTCTTTCGGTACGAGCATCCTGTCCTTCAAAGCTTCCGTTGATCGCTGACTTCTTTGCGATCCTACCTAGTCTCACGCAGTGGGTCAAGACAACGCACACCTTACCCTATCGTCCCTAATATCCTCAAAACGTGATACGAGCTAGAAATATTATACGGAGACAAGTTTTGGGCATTCTTTCCAGGGAACCGTAACCTCGGACAGCACAATGGCTACTCCGGATCGAGGCCGAAGCTCGACACCCGGTCCCTTTGGGCAACAAATGTCGACGTCCCCAGGCTCGCTGCGCAGTCGCAACTATAGCACTTCCATACCTCGAGCTGACGCGACCGCCCGCTTGGCCTCGCCCGTTCCGTCCCAGTCGTTCGGCACTCCTGCTCAGCAATCATCTACGTCGGGCCGTGGGGAAGATGGCGGTTCGGGGAGCTTGACACCTCTCCCAGGACCAGGACAGAGCTTCGCCGGCCCGGGCGTCTCTGCGCTCGCTGCAGCCTTGTCCAACTCATTCGACGGGTCACCACCGAGGTTCGGCACTCCGCCAGTGCGTTCCGCATCGCCAGCTGCAGCAGGACCTCAATTCCAGAACTCGGCAACACCGACGAACTACGGTTCCTTCGATGCGAGGGCGAGATACGTGCAAAGCGGCGGCGCGGGTGCATATGAAGACCCTGAAATCGTCAAGCGGCATCTGGTTCAGCCATCAGACACGTCGGATTCGCCCATGGGACAACAGAACAGCGACGCTGCGAAGGGCAAGCAGCCTGGGAATAAGACAGAGCCCGACTTTGATGAAGACGACGAGTTCTCTAGCTTGAAGCTCCAGGGAGGTGATATCACCCGCCCAATCTACAAATGGACCGAGGAAGCTGAAGGGCGCAACCGAACCCAGCGCAGCAAAAGCTTCAGCGTCCACCGACCCGACCCGGAGAACGAGGTGCTGGATATCAATAACATCAAGATTCCCGGAGGGTTCCGACGCAATTACCTACGGAGAGCCGCTAGGAGTCCCTCGGTAACCCCGGCGGATGGCGGAGAGAGCGGTTCCCGTAACCAACCCCAGCTGTTTACCAATAGTTTTCTTGAATTTCTATCCATTTACGGACACTTCGCCGGCGAGGAACTTGAAGAAGATGACGAGGTCCTTCGTCCTGGGGAGTACTTCTCGTCGGGTGAAGATGATGAATATGATTCTGACGAAGGGAGCGAGGACGACAGAGAGCCCATGGAAGACAGTGCTTTGTTGACACCATCCCGACGCAAGAGGCGGCGTAAGGTACGAGGTGGTAGTGGGAACAACAGTCCTTTCAACGCCGCCCTGCTTCTCCTCAAATCCTTCGTGGGAACCGGAGTTCTGTTTCTACCGCGTGCCTACTTCAATGGTGGCATGGTCTTCAGCAATCTGGTTCTATTGTTTGTGGCCGCGCTTAGTTACTACTGCTTCGTCCTTCTGGTTACTACCCGTTTAAAGGTCGAGGGATCTTTCGGCGACATTGGTGGTGTTCTCTATGGAAAGTGGATGCGGACATTGATCTTGTGTTCCATCGTTATCAGTCAAATAGGCTTCGTTGCGGCCTACATCGTGTTCACAGCCGAAAACCTGCAGGCCTTCATCCTCGCGGTGACCAATTGCGACAAGTATATCCCAGTGACCTGGTTGATCTTGATGCAAATGGTCATCTTTCTACCCTTCGCCCTCTTCCGAGATATTGGCAAGTTGGGTTTCACAGCCCTGGTGGCAGATGCTTTCATTGTCCTCGGGCTAGCCTATCTTCTCTACTATGACCTCCTTACCCTGAGCGCCAACGGCATCGCTGACATTATCCTGTTCAACGACAAGGACTGGACATTGTTCATTGGTACCGCCATCTTTACGTTTGAGGGCATAGGCCTCATCATACCTATCCAGGAGTCGATGAAATCGCCGGCCAAGTTCCCCAAGGTCATGTTTGTTGTCATGATCATCATTACGACTCTGTTCATTGGGATGGGCGCTGTGTCCTACGCCGCCTACGGGTCCAAGACTGAAACGGTGGTTCTGCTCAACCTGCCGCAGGATAACAAACTTGTGAACGGTGTTCAACTGCTCTACTCGCTTGCCATTTTGCTCTCGACACCGCTCCAGATCTTCCCGGCCATCAAGATCGCAGAAAATGCCTTCTTCACAAGGAGTGGCAAGTACAACCCATACATCAAATGGCAGAAGAACTTGTTCCGCTTCTTCGTGGTTTTTACTTGCGCTTTCATCGCTTGGGGAGGCGCCGACGACCTGGACAAATTCGTGGCCCTTGTGGGTAATTTCGCCTGTATCCCGCTGGTCTACATTTACCCGGTAAGCTCAAACAAGTCTACATGCAGTGTTCCCCGAAACCTATCACTGACATTGAACAGCCACTCCTCCACTACAAAGGCGTCGCCAGAAGCAAGCTTTGGAGAGCTTCGGACATCGCTCTGTGCATCTTTGGGTTTATTGCCATGGCCTACACTACCAGCTTGACCGTGATCAGCTGGGCCAGTGGACCCTCTGGACCAAGTCTTCCAAAGTACTGCGATGACAAGCATCTTTGAGCTCGAGAGACGTCGTGATGGCCCCCATTTTCCCTCTCCCCCCGATTTCGTTGAATGTGCTTTACTCGTTGTAGCGGCCGCATTGGGATTGAGAATAGAGTGTCGTCTATTCATGAATTAAGCGTAATGTGTACAGTACCAAGATAGATTGCACGAGACTCAGTGGCTTAAGCCCTGGGTCTTTCCAGACTGGATACTCCATATAGCATGAAAAATAACTAGACTATCAAACACAATCCAAATTGACAATACCTCGAATATTTGCTTCCATAAGTCCTCTGAGGCCATTTGGCTTGACTTGACTTGACAGTGTTGAAAGGGAGGCTTTGGACGAGCGCCGAAGTTTTGCCGGCGCATCTTCCACTCGCTATCCATTCCTCGGACTCTGAGGAACAACACTTAATTCGCTTCGGACCGTCCATCCTCTTCGCTTTCAATAAAATCGACTTGCTTTGTCCTCCCCTAGCTCCATCACTTGCTCAAAACTCCAAAACTTTTTTCGGCCCATCTATCATCTACTCATTCGATACCCGTGGTGCTGTGCTCCCTCATTACTGGGATTACTGTTTGCTTGTTGAGTACTCGGAGGATTTACGGACACCACAATGAACGCGCCAGACAGGTCGGTAACCCCATCTATTCCTTGAGTTCCAAATGTTGTTATCTTTTCGAAAGCAGGAGGTGGACTTGGAAGCAGGGAATTGGAGATGGTCGAGAGTTATCTGGATTTAGTGCTGGGTTGTGGCCAAGCGGCCTGTAGAATCAATGCCTTGTCGGCGTGGTATACCAAGGGCTTGAACGCAGAACCCGTCGAGTTGATGAGATTCGGTTTGGGTATAAGGGTTGGCTTATTCCCAACTTGTACCTCAGATTTAGTTACTCTAGAGACAAGTGGTCTCGAAGTTTTCCACGTTGGGTAGGCCCCAATATCGCACCTTCCCTCCCGGTGATCGAACGCGTTTCCTGCCCAGTTCTCATACATCTGTACCCTCGCCCGCCTCTAAAATCATCCTAAACGAATCCGATCACCAAACGAACCGCCAAGATGAAGAGTGACAACGTTCCCTTCCCGTTCGAGTCACTTGCCTCTTGTCGATCAAGCAGACGCGCTGACCAGATACCAGGTTCGAGCTCTTTCTCGTCGATGAGTCTTCGGGAGAGAAGAAGATCACGGAGAAGCCCTTTGCCGGTGAGTCTTTCTAGTCCCTCTATGCTATCGATCGATAGGGAGACTGCTGACTACCCCAGGCATGTCCAACTGCTCCGACTTTGTCTTGCTGAAGGAGGACCACACGCTTGGCAATCTTCTCAGCGAGTACCTCAAGCAGTCCCCTCATGTCATGATGGCCGGCTATAAACGTGAGATCCCACGGTCAGCGCACGTTCGATGATTACTAATGATGTCCAGTGGCCCATCCCAATGTTCCCGAGGTCTTTATTCGTGTACAGACGGACGGCAGCGTCACCCCACGCGAGGTTATGATCGATGTGTGCAAACAGCTTGTCGCTGCGTATGGGCAGCTGGGTCGTGAGTTCACGCGAGAGTACGAGCTCCGCCGCATGGTCGCGGCTGGAAACCAGGACCAGACCAACGGTATGTGAGGATTGCGGGAAGTTTCATGGTATGTGGACTACACAGGACGGCGTAAGGGAAATGGTCTGGGATTTGAGCATAGGGTCAAAATTTGCATGTCATTGAGGCGCTATCATTTGATATTCAACGTGGTATACATGTCCCACGAAGGAAGCGGTCCGTTTGGCCTATTTGTAACCCCTATCATATCGTGCGCTGGCGGTTTCCAAGATACCTCTGATAAATACCCAGAGTCCGTCGAGGGATCTGCACAAAGACCCTTCCACGGGTAAACCTGATTGGCAAGTCCTTACGCATCTTGCCAACAGAATGGACCGCCATGGTGATTGTTAGACAGTTGGATCTGCATAATTCCTTGCTTCGCCGACGACAGCAGACCCAGTGGTTATACTGCTCGATCGCCGCCTGCAGACCGCAGTTCGTGTCTCATCGATCTCTCCGCGTCCACGCTCCCAATCATGATGCCGCGACAGGTCCTTCTCCTCCAGGTATCAGCTGTTCGACATCAAATTAGCTTATATCAAACCAAACAAAGCGTTGCTCTTGCGCCTTACCATGCAAATATTGTTGCCATTCAGAAGGATCTTAGCAAGCTTGGTGTGGTTTCCGGAGTAGTCAAACTCGGTCACGTCCTCAAGCACCATGTCTAGGCAGGAAAATCAGTTTTGAAGGAGCTTGATGATGTGTCTTGATTCGATAATACTCACTGACATAGTCATCGAAGCCTAACAACGTTCCGCTGAATTCTGCAGATGTCTGTGAGTCGTGGAACATAGCCATGAGAAGTTGGGGACCATACCCTTGTCTCCCTTCATGACTACCCATATTTTCGAGCCGACACACTTGTCGATGAGCTCTGTATCATGTTAGCGGGGGATCTGCTTCTAGTGGTCTAGGTAGAGATGAGACTGTACCGAGAGGGAGCAGGGAAGACGCGGTAGGCGCAGCAGCCGCCATTTTTGCGCTCCTGTATCGACGTGAGTGACTGTCCAAAAGAGTCAATTTGACACTTGGGTTTGATGCCGCCGGTCTGTATCGTCTCGCGGTGATAAGTCAAAAGCAAGGTTATTTGCATGTGGGTGCGAACAGCAACAACTTTCGGTCACCTGTTTTCGTGATGGAGTCGGGATTTAAAGCGGGACCGCCAGGTTCGTCCCCTGCCAAGTCGACAAACACCCCGCGCCGTCCGCTGAAATTACCCTAACCGTGCAATCGCATGATACCCTGATACGCATCGCGACTTGATTCGCCCTGTCCCTCAATCTGTCATTACTTCATCGGCGTGTCTGTCTGCCTAGACTTCATTCCCTTCTAGTGATATTGCGCCGAGGTTCCCTGGTAATTATGGAGCGTGCGTGCACGCCCATTTCGTTTTTATGTCTATGATACCCCACGGCATCTTGGAGGGTGCTGGCAGTGCCTTGAGATCCTCGGCCGCATTGCGACAACCGCGTATTTCGAGGTTTGGATTCCCGCCTGTGGGACATTCGCGAAGCGTGCGCTGCTAACAGTATCGCAGACTACACAGAGCGATCAGAATGACTGCGAGTCCACCAAGTCATCAATTGTGGCATCCGAGTCGCGGGATTTGTTTCTCCCCGAGTCCGCAGAGGACGCCGTTGGAATCACCAAGATCCTTTAGCAATGCTGCTGCAACGGAATCAGAGGAGCAGGCCACGGCACTCGAATCAAAACAAGGTGAGGGTTTGCTAGGGCAACATATCGGTGAGCCGGTTACCGACCCGACGTTACCTACCAGTGACGCGGTATTAGCTGCGCCAGACAACGAAGTTGCAGCAGGCGGGAACATCGCTGTCGAGGTGATCGAGCCGGAGAACGCCATAGCAGAGAGCCCCGCCACCTCCAACGATATACCGTATCCTGCGTTGGATTGGAAAGTATCAGAGGAACTCTTCCGTGCCGCGAAGAATGCAGCCCCGGAGACTCCCGAGTCCTACTGGTCATATAGACTCTACCGTGGGCCAAACGCGGAAGGCCCGGACGAGAAAGTCAAGGTCCATTACTGCAGGAGCAAGCATACAGCCGAACGAGTCTGTCAGGAGTATTTTGTGAATGAGAAAGTACTCGGATTCGATCTCGAATGGGTGGCGGACGCAACAAAGTGGCAGGGAGTCAAACGCAATGTCTCCCTGATCCAAATTGCCAGTCCAAGCCGCATTGCCCTGTTCCACGTGGCTCTGTTCCCAAAATCGGACGACTACGTGGCTCCGTCTTTCAAAAAGATAATGGAAGACTCGAAGATTACCAAAGTGGGTGTTTGGATCAAGGGCGACGCGACGAAGTTACGCACTTACATGGGTATTGAATCTAAGGGTTTGATGGAACTTAGCCATATGTACAGGCTGGTGACATACTCCAAGACGGGGCAATTCAAGGCCATCAACAAAAAGTTGATACCATTGGCAACTCAGGTGCAAGATTACCTGCATTTGCCCATGTTTAAAGGTCAAAATGTTCGGTCGAGTGACTGGTCGCAGCCTCTTGGAATGGATCAAATCAAATGTCAGTCAAAGTTTTCGGTTTATTGGATTTTATTGCATAGGGCTAACTCGTGAGTAGACTCTGCATCTGATGCGTATGCTGGCGTCCAGCTCTACGCGGCACTCGAGCGTGAAAGAAAGCAGCTTGACCCATGTCCACCAAGGCCGCATCACCTGGAGCGGGAACTGCCCATTCGCCTTACCGATGGTATGGATTTAGAGACAGAGTCTGAGAAAGACTTGGATGAGCCAGTCGATGAATGCCTCAGCCCCGGATTTATCTTATCGCCAGCGCAAAGGAGGCGACAACTACGTGTCCACCTCAGATCCGTGAGAGACCATCCGTGATGCCAAACAGATCCTGACCAATGTTGACGAGACCATAAAAGCAAACCAAAGACAACGTAAAGGACCCTCGGATCATCGCCGCTGAGGCGTGGGCCAAGGCCTTTAAAGCCGAGAACCATGCTTCGGACAGCTCAGCCAGGAGAGGAATATATGCCACCACTGCTGAGCTGCGGGCCTACCGTGTCTGGCATACAAGCGAGAACCTGGACGCTGCTGCGGTGGCCCGACTGCTACGGGACCCACCCCTCAAGACATGCACGGTCGTCGGGTACATCCACAGAGCGGTCAGCAAGGAAAAGTTGCCGGTGGATCGCCTGAGATATATGAAGGAAATCTTCGAGTGCATACCGGAATACCAGATGAAGGCACAGCCACCGTACCTTGATCCGAGGAGGCAGCAAAAGCTGTGTTGCCCTCCCTTGCCGCAAGATCAATGAAGGCATTGGGAAAGGGTGCACATAAATCGGAGCGTATTGTTTTGCGAGCAGGCTATACCCATCCGAGTAAGTTTCCTTGAACGCAATACATCCGATTTCCACACTGTTCATCAACCGAATGTCCACAATGCAGAAATGACCTGTCCCAAGGCTCATCCCGGATGCTATGGATGGGTAACCAGCCTCGTCTGATGTACCGGACGGAGCTGCAAGCAACACACTGACACACCAAGTCTGGTAGCTCTATCCCCGGCAGAATCAAAGGCTCAAGGCCGATTCTGCTGGCCATTGTCGTCTTTTCGTGGTCTCTCGTTGACCATGCTGCATGCAATACTTACATCCTTCGATCAGCAGACTACTTATAACAGAGGCTAAGCAGAAAGCAGCAGCATACTTGACAAAAGCTTGAAATAGCTGAAAACTGTCTTGAGTCAAGTGCAATGAACCCGACGAAGCTTGCCGTCGCATTACATGCCAATCTGCCGAGGCGACCATCGCCAGCAACCACAATGTCATTCACAAAAGCTTACACACCGAATGTTCCGGTTGCTTCCTCGACGTGCACGGTTTTTTGAAGAGAATTCCAGAACAATCGGCGTGTGGAGAGCGATACCGTGACAATATAGCGATGCTTAATTCTGTTCGCAAGTAGAGTTCAGACATCAAACTTGGGGTACCCAGGCCCAAAGCATCATGAATTGCCTTTCTGCCGAAGGGTGTACGCAGTAGAAAGAATATCGAACGAAAGCCAGACCAACTCAACTTGTCATCCGATGTGCTCATTGAGTAGATAAGAAACCAACAGAACAGCTCACTTTCATTATTTTGGTGATATCATGTTGGTTCCTCGAAGCATTCGATGGGAACAAAGAAACCTTTTTACGACCTCGGTTACAATGCAACGTTGGATCGTATCGTCAAACGCTTCTTTATATTTGGAATTGAGCTTTTATCACGCAGAAATAGGCACCGTGCCGCCACCTGTTGTGCTGGGAAAGTCCTACTTCGGTTGATTCGATTTATTTGCTATATTCAGTCACTATACGACCACTTATGATCTACTTTTATCTATCTTTAGGAACTCACAAGATACAGCACTTGACACTTTCGCCATCTCATTCTATCTTCCCCTTTTGCCTATATCCCATTTTAGTCTCCCATCTACAACCTTCGCCACGGATTGCATGTTGCACAGAAACAAGACCAGTAGACGCAGCAGCTGCGGTCACGCTCACACCCGCTTGAGCAAAGGACTTTTTAGCGTCTTCTCGGGCTTCACGAGTAGCAGCAACAACAGAACCAGTGCCGCTACCACTACCACTAGCACAACCCGGCGCGAGAAAGTTGCAAAAAAGATTCTGCGTGGCAGGACCCAACGCCAGCGACAACATTCGCTGGATGGTTTCCGGCAGGGCCACTACCCTGCCCCGCCCCCCCGGGACAAAGCCCCAATGTCCATCGGCATCCTGCAAAAGGAGACGCCCGCCTCCATGATGGAGCGCCCCGTCCACTTGCACGGGCGGCGCGGCCTGCCGAGTCTGAACACCAAGATGCCACCCCTGAAGGGTGTACCTAACTTCTCGCGCAAGAGCCCGACACCGAGCCCTGTGCGAACCAAACGGCCCATGTTCAGCGAATCGGCACTCACGACGAACTCGTCTGCGTCCTGCGAGGTGTTTGTTTGGCTCAACGATAACGGGTCCATGCCAGTTGTGCGGACGCCGAGTATATCGTACTATCATGGCGCGTCACTTGACCACCGCAACAGCAGCAACACGAGCAACAATATTAGGAGTAGCCACAATGACACCTACGTCCTCCAGCCTCGCACGTATGGTGAGAGTCCCCAGAAAACGAGGAACACAGCAAGCTGCCAGCCCCAAGAAGACGGCCTTTCCACCATCCACGAAGCGCCGACTGAATCACAACCCGACGTAGCTTGGACAACGATCCCCTCAGCACGGGGCTACTCTTCCCCCACAACGCCGCCAGTTCCCGAATTAGAGGATGGGGACATATCACCAGACATGTGTTCGCTGGGCGGCCCAACTCCGCCCACGCCCAAGGACACCGACGCGTTAGATCTGGGGCGCCGGAAACCGACCAAGAGCATCACTGAAGAATGTGAGGACATCCTTGACAACTTCAACAGAGCGGCCACGCGAGTCGAGAAGCAGAACACGAAGAAGAGGAGAGATACGGCCAAGGGCGTCCCCATCGTAGTCCCCCATGCACCTAGCATGGCGACATACCTCCGCGGTAGCATGGCGCAGTTTGCGCATGGAAATCACTATGCCCATGAGCCTCTTTTTGGTCCGCAGGCCGAGACACCGCTGCCCACCACCAATCTCTCTGACGGCGTCCGGGAGAAAGTCGGTGGGCACATCGACAAGAGGGTCCCCAGCATCCCTCCTATTAGCCCTCCGAAGGAGGATATCTCGACGAAAGGACCCGCGGAGCCGGACAGGGGCCGAGATCCTGATATTCCCTGTGCAGACCAAAGCCCGCCTCCTACCTCGTCTGTTGAGAACGTGAAGGTGGACGAGCCTACAAGGTCCCCAATGGGTGAACGGGGTGGTCGTCCTGATCGAGAAAGTACTGCGATGGGGAAGGCCGCAGGCGACCTCGATTCGCCGGTCGTTAATGACGCACCGTATGCCTCGCGGCACGTACCCAAAAGCAAATATCAGTGGCAGCTTATAGAAGAGGCTACAAGAAAGGCCAAAGAAGCCACCAAAGATGTCAGGGAGTCAAAAGATACCATACATGCCAGAAAAGCCGCTAAAAACATCAAGAAGTTCAACGAGATCAGGGAGTCTAAAGGTACCAAACGGCCTGTCATTCTTGATGCTAAGCGTGCCAACGCGCCCAACGACAGGTTCAGTCTGGGCCCCACGTCCGACAGCCCCCTTGCCGTCCAGAGACGCCGTGGCAGGACGCATTGCCCCTGCCAGAAACAAGCTCCATACGTGCACAGTTCTGACCTGCCGCATTCAGCCTCGGTGGGTACGTATGCTATGTCAGAGATGCCGGCGGACGCCGCTTCAGAGGTAATTTCCAAGGTGTCGCCTCCATTGGGCGACCGCGACGATCGAGCCAGCATCACCATAAAAAATGTTAATCAAGACATCGACGACATCTTGGCCTTCTATAGCGACCTCTGGGACTCCGAGCGGGAGGAGTTGAAGAAGTGGAAGAAGCAGCTGGAGGAGGCGGAGGAGGCGGAGAAAGAACAGGCGGAGAAGAAGGAATTTGTTCCTGTACGGAAACAGCTGGAGAAGGAGCGGGAGGAGGCGGATAAGCGGGGCGATATCGCCGCCTTCAACAACTGCGAGAGGCAACTGAAGTTGCTTGACGGTATGATCTAGACATCACCAAGCCCGATCCTGCCGTACCAAAGGTGAGAGAAGAGAGGCCTGTGTGTATGTTCGTGCATAAATGACAGATCACCGTCATAGAAAGTGCAGGGGTGCAAGGGTATAGCCATCTTTCAGGAAGTAAAAGATAAATGCATTCATAAACTCATCTTTGGAGAGAATAACCAAGTCCGCCAGGACGCCCCTCAACATGATTATTCTGTGAAAACGCCTTCCATATGCCCAACGCTATGCCAACCGTCCGTTTTGCGTAGACGCTTTTGTCAACTTCTGATAACCTCGGCCTCGGATCTCGACCGTCCTTATGGGGTATCATTCGCTCCTCTTATTCGGTTTCCACAGCACTTCCGTCACGCCTGCCGGATCGCCATTAGTACTCGTTCGCCCACCCAATCTTTCGTGCCCTGCCGCTTCTCTCCCGTCAGGACTGATCCTCAAAGAAAATACTCACGGAATATAAGTAATCCTAAACTCTTCCTCCATAGTAGCCTTAACTTCATCAGGCAGCTGCCCGGAGACCTTTATCGCATAGACGCCCTGGACGTAGCCATCCAAACGCTGCCACTTGGCGACCCAGGAACGGGCCGGATTGGCGAGGGTGATTAGGCCCTCAAAGACCTGGCTCGTGCAGCTCTCGATAGCCTCGGTGTCCTTTCGCAGACGCAGGAAGTCATCGCAGTTGGGGCACCCGTCGTCCCGGAATTTCGACTGCAGCATCACGATGGAGCATACCATGCAGGCGCGCAGGCGGCTGTGCTGGTTGGGGGGCACGAAGCTCGGGGCGTTGTTGGTGGATGACATTGTGGATAGTGCCGTATTCTGTGTTGGGAGGCTTTCGTCCTTGTTCTCCGGAGGTAATGCGGTGAGAGAGAAATTCTTCGGCTCGAAAGATTAATAGAAGTGTTGTTGGGTAGTCCAGTTTGGCGCGCCGTTTTGTGGTGCTGGAAACATTCGAAGTTCGGGAAGCTGTACGCGAGGTACAACTGCAGAAGCAATTAATGTATGCACGCGTTCGGAGTATGCCCTAAGCCAATATGCAAGAAAACAGATATTGTAGTAAAGCGGGTCAAAGGCACTCACCCGCTCACTCACTCGATCGAACTTTAAAATCTGCAACCAGAAGACCGGAACAGTACAATTAAAGAAAATCGAACCGAAAATACACAATGGCAGATGCAGGAGATCGCACGATGTCAAGTATAGCCAGTATAGCCAAAGCCCAAAAATCCCGCGATCTTGTCACCTGCACCATCCGGGCACCGCGCTTCTCTTACGTGCATCTGGAGAACCTCACGCAACGCTCTGAGCCAGCCGCGTTGGACCCGATCCAGATCCGCTCCTATTGCACAGCAGCTTTGAAGCAATTTCTCGGAATTACAGGGACTTCGATATCTCTCGACTTCCTAAAGGTTGATGGCGCCGAATGCTGGCTGAGACTGCCCCGAGACGACCTTAGTGCCTTCTCAGCTGCCATTACGGCATGGCAAGGTACTTATGAGAATGGAGTACATGCTACGCTACATGTCAAAGGATGTTCGAACTGGCTTGGGACTCTGATTGATCGGAATGACGAAGACAGGCTTTGGAAGGGTTGAAAGTAGACCAGCTCAAATTCAGGGAGCAAGTCAAAATGAGCAAGCAGTCCTCCGCGCACATCATGAACCGAAGATGCAGCTGTGGTATATACATCTTTTTAGCCCCTTTATCCCCAGAACGCCATTGCTTCTCATGATGCAGCGTCATATATGCAGAAATGCTATGTGATCATCCCATGTCAATGTAGCCTCCCGAGATCGAAATCGGACCTACTTCTACATCATTGACGTTAGGGAACTATTGGCGTACGCCTTGAAATCCGGTTAGCTAACGTGTTTACTCAGAGATTAAATCGTGTAACATACCATTGGCTTGATATCCGGATGGGGCACAGCGTCGAACTGATGGAACGCCAACTTGTAATCAGGGCCGATATTGATGTATGCGCCTCGGTTCTCCGTTTGGTCACAGTACTTCGGTGCCGAGAAGACTAGGAAACGGTTAGCCATAATTCCAGGTGGTTCATGACGATGTGGGGCGTCCTACCTGTAATGCACTTTCCATCGTGCTCTTCCTCGTAACCATCCATGCGAACCTCGTGACTTCGGATGATAGCTTCCAGTCCATTCTTATCGCAGAAGCGTTTTGTCACGTCCGGTCCAAACTGCATACCAACACCCCTCTTGCTTGGACCTCGGCCCGGTGCTGTTTGAGGGTCTGTCCAGAGCATCTCCATCATCAGTCCGGCTTGGCCCGGTTGTCTTTGGTTGTGGCGGTTCAACTTTCGGATGTCGTCAAGCGTCACGTTGTCATCTGAGAACAAACCTCCGTGCAGGACCAGATACTTCTCCCCGATAAGTGTAGCTAGAGGCAACGCCGAGAAACTCTCAGAGAAGAGCTTGAAGACACTATTGTGCGTTATTAACGTGTTCGAAACTTCCGACTTCAGCGCAACGCTGGCTTACCGTTCATTGTACTTGGCCTTGCATTCTCCCTCGAATCCATAAACCTTGTTCATGTCATCCGTCTCATGGTTGCCTCGGTTGAGGTACAAGCCATGAGGCCGAAGCCACTTGTAGGCATATAATAGCAGGGCAATCTCAGACGACCATGAGCCTCGATCCACAAAGTCTCCATTGAACAGATACCAGTGCTTCTCTGTGGGACGGCCATTTAATCTGAAGAGTTCCAGCAAGTCAAAATACTGGCCTATATACCATGTCAGCACTGCTGCGAGTGTGCGGTAACAAGATATGGTTCATACCGTGTGTATCTCCACAGACCGTCAGCTTAACGTCATCGGGTATCTTCATCTCGACCATGGTTGCCTCTTCGTAGACAATCTTCTTGACGGCGATGACGATTTGGTAAACATATTTCTTGTGAATCTTCTTGCCGTTCTTGAAACGCTCAATCATGTCATCAATGAATTCTTGCGTCATCCCGTCCTTCAGCGCGACACCGTCGTAGTTTTCTTCGATAGCGATGGACTCGATGTCCAGTCCCTCGGCTGCGGACGGCTCATCCCCAATCTCGATGGCAGCGAAGAAATTTTGCTGACGCACAATCTTCTGGCACTCGGCGAGCTTGAGCTTCGCATCTTTGCTGTTAGGGTCGAGCTTAACGCACTCCTTGAAATCTTGTACAGCGTCCTTGGGCTTCAGGATGGCAGCGTAGGCCAAGGCACGCCGGTAGTACGCCTTCACGAGCTTTGGGTTCAGTTCGATCGCCTTGGTCGCATCGGCAATAGCATAGCCATATGCTTCAGATTTGATATTGGCCTGGAGAGGTGGTTGTCAGCCACGCGAGCGACTCTCATTGAGCAAGGCATATTGGGTAAACAACGAACCTGAGCTCTGTTGGTGTAGTATGTGGGCTCCTTGTCGTTCAGTTCGATCGCCTTGGTGTAGAGCTCAATAGCTTTCGGCCAGTCGTGCGCTGCAAATGCCTTGTTGCCATCGTTCTTGAAGGCAGTGGCCTGCTCGACGGCGGAAGCCATGTTTGGAGGGGTAGTGGGAGAAGATGCAGCAGGACGCGGTTGGAGGGAATCGCTGACGACTAAAACTGGTCTTAAGTTTCACTAAGTGCAGTGAGAGTAGCTGCTCGAAGTAATTCTACTTCTTGGATCGAATTCGAAATCGGCGACGGGGAAAAATAAGCAAGACTCGATTATTGCGACTCGGCGAAGAGTAGGCAAATATCTAAATTCGAATGGGCTAGACTATCGGAGCCCGTAATCGCACATCGGCGCACGGAATGATAGGCGGGGTTCCCTAGATTTAGAGGCCTGGAGCTCGAGCTAGGTACGATAAAGTTAGCCCGGTCCCGGGTAAGCCAATCTGATAACGCCGTGGTTGGTCCCGGCCTCCAAATCTTTGAACAATTCCATCTGTGCCTAAAATGTTATGCGCTGGCTCATACAGCTCCAATACGTACGACATATTCCATTTTGCTCTTTGTGGAGCTTCACTTCGAATCATAGAGACGCGAGATTTATTGTTTCCGGTCCAGGCGCATTTGGTGACATTCATCGCTTTGGACTTCACTTTGGGCTTGGCGAAAGCGCAATGTCAGAGGAACTTAAGGACGAAGTTGAGGCCATCAACTCCATCTATGGTGATGGATGCTTGGTGCAATCAAGCGATGATACCAACGTCTACATCTTGACACCCCCTGGAGAATCTGCTTCTCTTCGAATTCAATTTCCTCCCGCTTATCCTGCTGAGCCTCCAATGGTCATCGGTACTAACAGCACCGGCGAGCATGGAAAGAAAGGAGATGCTGTGCGCGAGCTCTCGATCCTTCGGGAAGCCGTTGGAACTGTCTTCGAACCCGGAATGGTCTGTGTGTTCGATGCGATTGAAGAGCTCACAAGACGGCTAGAAGAGTCCATGGATTTCGATCAGGTGGAAGAAGACGAGGTAACGCTTAACGAGCCTCAAGAAGACAGCCAGGCAAATCCGAACGTTGTGGACTTTTCGAACATGCCAGAACCGCCGTGGATCATATCTGACCCGGTTATTGAGTTGAAGTCCACTTTCATTGCTCGCTGCGCAGCTGTGTCCTCTACCTCGGAAGCGGAAGCCTTCGTACAGCACTTGTTGTCTACTGACAAGAAAGTCCGGGTCGCAACACACAATATCACAGCGTGGAGGATTAAGGGGCCGAACAACACAAGTTTCCAGGACTGCAACGATGATGGAGAGACTGCAGCTGGCGGGCGTCTTCTTCATCTTATGCAGCTTATGGATGTCTGGGATGCCATGGTTATCGTGACGAGATGGTACGGTGGACATAAGCTGGGACCACGTCGTTTTGCTCTCATTAACCAGGCCGCGAGAGATGCTTTCATCAAGGCTGGTTTAGTCGAAGAGAACTCGGCAAACAAGAAGAAATCAAAGAACTGATTGTGCAATGTTCAACAGCCCGAAATGGCAAGCGTTGACACAGCCACACACTGTGTAAGCTTCAATGTACACCCCCGCATTCATCGCCAACGGCCCCGGTACATGGATGACAGAGCCTCGGTTCCCCACGCAATTCAAGACGCCCGAGCGCTGCCCGTGGCTATCATCATGACCAGACCACAGTGGCCATATATAGCCTTGTTTTTGCTTCAGTGCCGGCACTATCTTCACCACGTAACTCATTGTTTCACCACATCATTGTTGGTGCAATATCAAGATGGTCGGTCCACCGCCACTTCAGGGTATTAAAGTACTCGAGTTTGCCGGTCTTGCGCCTGGTAAGCATTGATCCATTCCATCCCAGGAAAGTAAATACTTACACAACACAAGGTCCCTTTGCCGGTTTGCTACTGTCTGACGCCGGCGCCAACGTCCTGCGCATAGACCGAGCCATCCCGGGTAGGACGCACACTCCGGGCGTCAAGGTCAATCCCACTGAGGACCTGCTAACTCGGCGTAAATCCTCAATAGTGGTGGACTTGAAGTCACCGCGAGGCATTGCACTTATCAAGGATCTTGCCAAAACCACCGACGTCATCATTGATCCTTTCCGGCCTGGCGTGCTAGAACGGCTGGGGCTCGGCCCCGATGTCCTGACCGCCATCAACCCCCGGCTTATATACGGCCGCATGACAGGATTCCGTCGTGACGGCAAGTACGCTGCCATGGCCGGTCATGATATCAACTACCTAGCTGTATCTGGTGTTTTGTCATTGCTTGGAAGGAGCGGCGAGAAGCCACACCCACCGTGGAATATCCTGGCTGATTTTGCTGGTGGTGGAGCTACTCTATTCCAAGGTATCCTACTGGCAATGATTGCACGCCAGAAGACGCAAAGGGGGCAGGTTGTCGAGGCGAATATGGTAGACGGGGCGAGCTATTTAACCACCTTCCCACGACAAACTCTCAAAACACCACTGGGATCCGAACCGCGTGGCGAGAACATCTTGGATGGAGGATGCCCATATTACGACACATATGAAACGAAGGATGGTAAGTACATGTCAGTAGGAGCATTGGAGCCACAATTCTACACCATCTTGGTGCAGGGCCTAGGACTGGGAGACCAGGGTTGGGAAAAGAAACGGTATGACCGCACAAATTGGCCCGAGATGAGACAGCAGTTCGAGACAGCATTCAAGGCAAAAACACGTTCAGAATGGGAGAGGGTTTTTGACGGAACCGATGCTTGCTGTGCTCCAGTGCTGGAGTATGCCGAGCTGGAAACAGTAGCGGGCCGTGAGGGCGACCAGAGACCACCTGTCACCTTACGCGAGAATCCAATGTTAGCTGTCAGTCAGAATGTGACGAATCCAAGTGCGCAGGGACAAGGAAATGGCTACTCTGGAAATGGGTATCAAGGGCACCCACTTTATCCTGGTGAAGGCGGCGAGGCCGCTCTCACCGAGTGGTTTGGGCTCACCAAGGGGCGGGAATTCGATGTTGAGGAGGGCGGCTTGGTATTGAAGCAAAAATCGAAGTTGTAAGGCCCCTGAGGTCATACAGGTCCATGCTGAATGTAAAACCACATACTGATTTATGAACTCCCTACCTCACAACCCTTTGTCCCCGGATTAACTCCTCGAGCTGGCATATCCCACACATGCACCCTCGACTCGATGACTTTTCCAGAACCTGTCCAGCTCTGCAGGTCCTCGAGGCTTGGATTAACTGCGAGTGCGCCTTGATGCTCGAGTATTTTTTTCGAATGACTCGATCGCTGGAGGTTGCGCCTGACAAGGTCCACCAACGCCAGGAGTCAGCAAGCCTGTCCTGAAACAGCCCATTGCCGTACGCACCACCTACCTTCACTGTACTTCTCTGCTTAGCCACGACAACGAGATATGTCGCGAGGGACTCGGCGGAGGGGTTGGAGGCAGCGACGGTGGGTCACCGTCTGCTGATCGCTCGATCATGAAGATCCATTTCGCAACGAGAGCCATGATTACGGTGGCCGGGAGATCGTTGCGTCGAAAAATATGAATCAAACGACTTAGCGCATCGACTTAGGGGTGAATCGGCTTTATTGAGCTTATAATTGCTTGTTCGCGTTGTATAGGTATTGACAAACACAATGGTTGGTATAGTGAACGATAGCAAGGTAATCCAGTGCATTAGATGGAAATAATTTAGTTATTTCACCTGGGGTGCGCCGTTTATTCTATCCTCGACTTGCACACCACCATTCGCTCACCAATGGCCGAGCTGTACCCTACCTAATAACCCAGTCTATAAAGCCTGCAATCTGGACACCTCACGGCTTGAAAAAGCCTGACATCCAATGGATTCTCTCTCCCAGAGGCGTTGGGTCTCGTCAGCCTCTCAACTCTTTCCAGACTTTTGAGAGCGCCTCAACCGGGTTTCCCACATACGAGGCACTCGACAGGACAGGTTACAGGCCCTTGGGCGTGGGATGAGGCGGGCAAAGGAAAAAGGCAATGTGCTGTTGGTCAAACCCAGGGACTTGGAAAGGGATTTGCTTTATTCTATAAATCCTCATACAAAGTCTAGATACAAAACCAATAAGCACCTACATCCCATAGCTCTAGCTCAGCTGCTATATGCTACCCTATTTTACATACACACCCAGTGCCCCTAAGCCCGGGTCTAACCAGCATTGTCCCGCCATACACAGAAAACAGTAGTATGTGGAGATGGGTACCGCGCTACGAGGAATGCTGCCCAGTCAACCACTGACAGACTTGTCGGATCCGAGACGTTGCGTCGTGTCCAAATGAGCAAACGTCACCATGTCGTCAGGTTCCGTCACAGAGACACAAGGCACAAATCAAGACCGGAGTGCTAAGAAACAAAATATAATTTCTACTGGTCGATCTGACCGCCCGCTGATTTACAAGCTCCAGTGAGGTGTCACTAATGTAAAAGACGCGGTTCATTGGCGTGCACATTATAAATCACCATACTGCTGCTAACATCTATCGTTTCCCAACAAGCCGGCCCTCAGGCAGATAATCCCCAAGGTTTGGATTAGCCCCGTCTCAGGCAAGTAGGATATCATCTAGCCACGGCTATATCATCCTTTCCAAAACCGGTAACATTTAGTTACTGCCCTCCTAGTGAATACATCACAGCAAGTAACATCGTCACCATCACATTCAACCCAGTGACATTCTTGCGTACTGCATCATGTACTCGTTGTCTACCAACTACCAACAATCGTCTAAGTGTGATGTGACCAGGGGGTTTCTCAAACAAAAAGTCGTGGAGGGGGTTAAACAGTAGGGGAAGTAAAAACACAGGACCTCGACCTCCGCCTTCCATTCTCCTCGATCTCGCACATTGCCGCCATACGATCAATTTCTCCTTGATCTTCTAGAAACCCCAAGCCAGCCCCAGAACAGCCCATGCCCACCAGGCTGGAACTCCTAGAGAGACACTTCGTGATGACCAACCAATCATAATCGGGGCCCCGGGCGAACCTTCTACAATTTCTTTACAGAAGCTGCGGGGCCGAGAACCACCTTTCCCCCATATTTCGTGGTATCGAAAAAGAAAAAGGCTATAATTTGACGCTACCTCCAGCATTGCTTTTCCGAACGGGCCCACTTTGACGAGTCCTTGCATTTCTGCCCTGCAATCTACGCACGCCACTGGTGGCGTGTTGTTACTAATGATGGGGAACCAGGCCCGCTTACTGGACCTGGCTGACGATCTCGCTGGCCTTGCTCAGCGACTCGACCATCTGTTGACACTCCTTTCGTCGTCGAATGGTGTAGTCGGATTCCTTGAGTAGATCGTCTAGAGTGTCTTGCCGGTACATATTCTCCAGCAACTCTCGTTGCATCTCATCCTTGGTGAATCTGTTCCATGTTAGTAATATATCGTACAGTGCGATGGGGTGCTAGGACTTACTGGACGAGAGTGAGCATAATAGCCTTGGGAACCATGTCTATCATGGTTCTCTTGACAATATTGAAATATGAAGCAATAAGCAGTTTGATTACCTCGACCTCAATGTTCTCACGTTCTGAGAGAGTACCCGAGGCCTTAAGCGATGGGGGAGGGGCCTCCATTGCCGCGGCCTTCTTCTTGTTCTTTGCGGCGAAAAAACTGCCGAAGAAGCCACCGTTGGTCTGGTCCATGCCCTCTATCGAAGGGCTGCCAGCACGAGCCGGTGTAGCTGATGATGGCAAAGGTTTACCGGTCTTAGGGTCAACCTGAACGGGCTTTGCACCGGTGTGCCGCTCGTTGACGATAGCCATAGCTCGGTGACCGTTAATGAAGTCGGGATGGCCAGTATTTACGTAGCAAGCTTCCATTGCCACGAGATCCTTGACAAGCTTGTTGGTGGGTTCCATAGCCTTCTTGAAGAAACCAACGACTACACCGTGGACAGTCTCCTTGAGCTGAGGGTACCTTCGGTAAAGCGCCTTGGTGAGCAGCTGGGTAAGGATACGAACGAGTTCGTCGTATACGAGAGACACACACTTCAAGCTGGGCTCCTCAAGTCGCTTGATCTGCTGCTTGACAATGAGCTCGAAGGCAGTTGTGCCGACAAACAGTGCTGGGGAGGAGCCGGACGAGTTGTACAGGATGGTTCGGATATCGATATCCTTGACCATATCAAAGGGATCGACTGCCTTCACACCGTTGGAGTACAGTTCATGGAACACGAAGCTGATTCTGGCACCACCAGACAGCTCTGTGCTCGACAACTCGCCGTTGTTTCCATCCAATACAGTCCGCCACTCGTTTGTGAATTCCGTAATGATGTTGAGGACGATATTTGAGCTGTTTCCCAGCATGGACGGGCCCAGACTATCCAGCTCAGCGCTGTACTTTTGCAGAGAGCTTGAAATCCTCGCCTTGATGTCTGGCAAGGTTTGCTTGATGTGCATCATGAGGATCAGGTTGAGCTTTCTCGCCAGGTACGGTGTGCCGCAGTAGGAACTCTTGTTACGGTAGGCCTTGTGGTTCTCGAAAAAGTTCTTCTCTGCCTCGAGAGATGCCATGATAGGTTTCTTGTTGTCGATGTCTCTCTGCCCTCTGTTGACTACAGGGACATATCCAAGTCGCAGGGGGATGATACGGCCGGCCAAGATGTCGACAACATCGGTACCCTCGTCCATCAGATCAACCTTTGTCAGAACACCAATGGTCCTCTGTCCCTCCGGGTCGACCTCTCGAGCAAGCTTCAGACCATCCGAGTTGGCCAAATCTTGATTAGCCGCAGTGACGGCGAGGATGATGGCATTGGACTTTCCAATGTACTTCATAACCATATCTCGAATCTGTCGCTCGATGTCGCGCGGCTGGTCTCCGACAGGCACCTTGGTCAGACCAGGGAGATCGACCAAGGTCAAGGTGAGAACGTTCGGGGAGTAAACTCGCAGGTTGATGGGAGAGGGTGATATGCCGGCATTGCGACCGACTTTGGCCTCTGTCTCCCTGCTGATCTCGTCGCGGATTTTATTAAAGTCGTAAAACTTCTGGCCAGGAATGTGCAGGAATTCGCCCCACTCGTCTTGGTTGGCCGCCTTGTCTGTTGAGTTGGAGACCTCCTCGTTGACGCCGTTCGCTTGCCCCGTCCCAGGTCGGTTGATGAGCTGTAGTACCAACGGTCGTCTCGTCACGATTCCAGAGCCTCGAGGCAAGCTGTAGTATTGATGTCAGTGGCCTGCGTGACCGCAAGGGGGGTATCGTTGCATACAAATCTCTCCCAACAATGTTCTCCAGCACGGAACTCTTGCCGCTCGACTGACTGCCGACAACGGCGATCTGGGGCAGATCGATGGGGTTGTTGACACCGACTGTTGCGAACACATCTTGAAGCTTGTTGACGAGTCTGTGGGCGGAGGAGTGTTAGCAGGCGACCAGTACGAATCAGGGATGGGAGCGATGCGTCGCAAAGGGGCCATGTACTTGATGAGGGCCGGGTCCGAAATGCCACCAGGCGTGGCCAAGCTATCCGCCATGTTGGGTCTTTTTGTATTGTCTTGAGGCTGCCCAGAAATACTATTGAGGGTAGCGGTCTGCAGGTTCTAGGTGCTGTTGTTCTTCGGTTGGTATGTTGCAGCTCTTTGGGTAACGGGTCGGTCGCCGCCTAAATCAGCTGGTGGGGCTTCCTCTTCGAGGTTGACAAGATCCTTTGTATCTCCTTTCTTGTCGATATCAAGTGAGCATCTGTAAGGTGGTGACAACTAATGAATCGTTTTCACGAGGATGAAAGATGGTGTGGGCAAATAAAAGCAGAATGTGACGTTTATCTTGGTACAAGTATGCATTTGATGACTTAGGACGGGACAGGTGCCAGCCAACGCTAGGATCAACCAGAGTTATGGGTGACGCGCGCTTGAGTGTGGCTCCCTGGTCAGTGCCCTCATGGTCAGTGCCCTGGCCCATTTGCTCTATCTGCAAGTGATACAAGCACATTCCCTACCATATCTCGCGGAGATAGAGCTTCCAGCCTGGAAGAGAGGGAGTGTGCTGTGTGCAATCACCTGTTATCCGTGCTTGTCATATCCTACTTTGGAATACCTTCCTTGTATATATGGTATACGAATGGGGTGAGATGCGTCCTCGACAACCCCGAAGTCTGTGATACGCAGAAGTCGAATAATTATCACTGTTCGTGCAAAGTGTTATGCAGGTAGGTATTCTCGAAAGAGGCGGATGGTCCAGATTCAAAGTAGGCTGCAATGATGTTGTGAGAGTTGTGTTGATTGACATCTGAACTACGGGGTCAGCCGAGAGTTATTCTAAGTTTGCTCTCTCAGACAAGCATGCGGTACCCAATAATGCCGCACCATTACAAACGGGCAACGTCTCATCCTACTATTTCCCGTTCTTCGCCCTAGATGGGAGGGAACCAAGGCAACCATCCTGGCCAATGCATCGCGACCAAGATTTCTTCACCCCTGATCTGTATAAAACTATGATTACCTACCTCGGGTAGCAGGTGAAGAATAAGCAGCTGAATCAAGTCCCCGACTATACAACGCCCAAAGGGCTTCTAATATCGTATGACAGCGCATAAATCGCCCCAAAAGAAATCCGCTCCCCTGTCATGTCGTAGTACCCTACCTCCATGATGGAGGATGCCTGGCCCAATTATACGCCATGCCAATGGATGGAAGACGGGGTAACAACATGTCGAAGAGGTACGCCCTGAGGTATCGACTCTCAAGCAAGAGGCCACAGTAGCCGACACATAAGGGGATGTCGCCATAATCAACCGAATTCGCCGAACCATGCTGGTGGTGTATCATCAAAATGCAAAGTCCAAAGGCCGTGAAAAGAGATGGTGCATATTGTGAAGGATCTCCTAAGCCTCCCCCATCTCTCCACGCCAACCGTTCGAGCTTCGGCCAGTCTCATGATTATGGTGTGTAGCTTCGTTGTGAGATCGCCGCCATTCGTTATTGGACCATCTTGAAGGATAGTTAGCACACGACACTAGCACAATTCTTGGAGTCAAGTGGGGATCGTACATCTTTATCTTCCCGTCATCGCCGCAAGACGCGAATAAACAGGGGTCAGTGGGGCTCCAAGTAACGGCGTTACATCTGGGATGGTGGCCGTTCAACTTCTCGATGGGCACGGCACTGGCCTTATGCCAAATGTTGATCAAGCCATCTATGTTTTGCAGTCAGATAAGCGTCAAACCCTAGCGGTGCAGAATATCTTACCTTCACTACCGCTTATAACGAAGCTCTCGTTGGCTCCCCCAAATGCAGTTCGAATCAGGTAGTCTCCTCCAGTATGTCCTGAGTAGGTCTGTACAGGTTCTCGGTTCACGAGATCAATTAGGCGCGCAACACCATTTGTGTGGTTCACCAAAAGATATCTCGAGTCTTGACTGATACTTATGGAAGTCAGTCGGACTTGAAGGTCCATTTTGTATGCAAGTTCGCGAGTAACAAAGTTGTAGACGTGGATGTGGTGCCGGTCGTCCATGGCTACCAGCCAGTGCCCATCTGGCGATACTGCCAAGTCCTCGACCCTGTGGGCGTTGGCCCAGTCGAAAACTTTGTCGCCGTTAAGGTTCCATTGGCAAATACTGCGCGTCTTGTCTAACGCGCCAGTGATGAATGTGTGGCCGTCTGCAGCCCAGATACAACTGCTGACAGGCTCGGCAAAGCGTTCCAGCTTCCTGATCAGGTTTCCGGTCTGCCACATAACATCAGCTCTCAAGTTTGTGAATGTGATGGCAGACACTTTACTCACGTGAGGGTCCCATAATCTCGCATGTCGATCTTGACAACATGTTACGAGCATGGAGTCATCCCAACTCCAGGCGACATTACCGACTCCGGCATCGTGGTCTTTGAGATAGTGCACCGCTTTGAACGACGGGACGTCCCAAATGATGACTTGTTTGTCGCCACCGCAGCTGGCTAGTTTGGTCCCGTCATGAGAAAAGACCACTTGCCAGACCTCCCCGGTGTGGTCATCGAGCTCTATGATGTTTTCTGACGGGAACTGCCGCCGGTCACAGTTGTGATCCGCGTACAGAGATGGCGAGTCGGAACTGGAATGGTACATGCACATGCCGATTTGGCTCTGCTTGACTTGATGCAGGAGAACGGCCAAGCGATGCTCTGGGAGCATGACTGACGCCGATATGCATTCTGCGACAAAATCAGCTACACCCGAGCGAGTACAATGGGATATTTTATGGCCGGGTTCCCACTTACTGGAGAGTTCGGATAACAATATCTGACGGGACTGTCCATAAGCCCCATCCCACTCCGATTTCGACTTGAGGTCATCCGGGGACTGACACATGAGAAGGCTAGAAAGAAAGTGGAGTTTGTGAGTATCTTGATACAGGGGCGTCAGTTCAGTCCGGAGTACCGTCAAGGCCCTGCTAGTTTCCCTCTGCTCCAGCAGCTCCAGGAACTTTTGCTGTCGTATCCAGAAGCGCATTACGTTTCTGTCTGTGCCAGGTGCCAGCACTAGGCCATTCCCATTTTGATTTGACCTGTCTTCAGGGGTTGCGGCACCAAATAGCAGCTCCTCAGCTTCATCCCATGCTCCTTCTAGCACCGCATTTCTGAAAGCTGCGACCGTTGGGCTCTCAAGTTCGTAACCACTGTCCCGACTGACGCTCTGCGCAGCCGAGTGGTAGCCCATGTCCGACAAAGCTTGTATGAGTATCCTGGTCACCTCCTCGCGGTCATGGCCGAGGTACGTGTCTGGCGGTCGGGATTTCGAGGACCCGTTGGTGGAAACAACGGGTTTGTGAGTTCCATTCGCGCTTGCTGCCGGTACTGTCCGATGATGCGACTTCCCATTGGCATATGCTCGTTCAGTGCCGTTCGATGCCGCCTGGCCATCACTGTCTGCTAACATGGTGTCCTCGGCCCGTCTGCGTTTGGTCCGGTGGTGATTCGGAGGGGAGTTTCGAGAAGCCGAGGCTTCAGCAATCTCGTCCGTCGAGTCTTGAACAACGGACTCGTCGTCTGAGGCTCGTCGCCTCCTACCCAGAACTTGGTGACGTGCTGAATGTGTACCGAATGCTGGCGGAGACTCGACTGGGAAATTCGGTGTAAGTGAGGATTGACTCGGGGTACTATCGACGGATTCGGTCGTATTAGGAGCAGAGAGGACTGTGTTGGTAGGAAGAGGAGGGATCTGCGGAGTGATTGGGTCGTCGGACGTGGATGGGGTGAATATGGGAGGCTGCTGGGCAGCCACTTCGACGACTGCGGGAAGTTGACTCCCGCAGCGAACAAGGTTTGGAGAGGGTTATGACGGCCGGGTTGGACAGATAGGTTGGTGTATAGGCCGTTGGTTTTTGCCCGTAAAACCAAACTAGGGTAGTAGAAACAATAGGTAGGCGAGGCAGCTATGGCAGGTTGCCAGCGACGATGTGAAATGAGCACTGAACAATGGCTGACCTCATGTCAAGGTGGACCGTGAACCTAAAGCCAAGGAAAGGTAGAAAGGCAACTAAATATCCAGTGTTGCTCGTAGTTGCCGAGAGAGAGGATTCGAGATGACAGTAAGTGCGTAAATCGGATCTGGACCATGAGGTTGCTGGCTTCTGTCTAGCACGTTCTCGAGGTTTACGTGTCGGATGCTTTGGAGATGTTCGGAGGCTATGGTGGTATGGAAGGTGCTCAGGTGCTATTGCTTGAATGACAGGCCCTGGTTAGTACAGCACAGCACAGCACCCTGCCCAGGAGGGATGCTGGGGGAGAATAAAGTACCTAGGTACTGATGGGGCACAGGGCGTTGACAGATCCGGCGCGCTCTTGCCCTTGCTGATTGGTTATCAGAGTGGGTGCCGTAATGCCTGTGGCTTGGGGCGAGCGGACTCCTTGACTCCTTCCCGCGAGTGCCGTTCAATGTTTGCAACGATCTTGTTACACCCGCAAGTTCAGTTTGTGTGGTTCAGTTTGTGTGTATTCTCCCGATTTAGTCTTGCTTGATCTGGATGTTAAATTTGCGCCTACTCGCTTTATCGAAGGCGAAGTACTTTTCAAGTTGGACATTTGAGTTGGTAGATGTCCTAAACTATTGCTTCCGTTAGGTGAACTCAACAATGGCTCCGACATCCCTAGCTCGCCGAGGGGTAACTCTTGCGATAACGATAACCAGAATCTCCACACCCGGATTGCAACTTGTGACCACTCAGTCCCCAGCTAGCAACCGACCTTGGACAGTCAGGCGCCCTATGCGTTACGTATCACTCACGAACTTGATTGCCTGTGCCGTCCAAGTACTCACCTGCTTAGGTAGGCATGCTACTTGGAGTAGCTGATACGGTTATCATCAGAGATCGGTGTGTTGCAAAGGCACAAGGCACAACAGGTCTAACGAGTTCCTGTGGAAGGCAATGGCGCAACCATGATGGATGGGTTCGATGATCTCTCGAGGTCTACATAGCTCTCCTGCCGAGGACGATGATGGGCGGTTGCTTTCGCTGTACCATACTGAAGAGCTGACATATCACATGTTAGGCTATCTCATATATCGAATGAGACACCATGTCAAGTCCCTTGCTTATCGAAGCCGCAGCAAGCTACTTAACTACAGTTCGAAGTCGGATAAGGACGGTCAATATGCAATGCATCTACATAAAGCAATTCCTAGTTGTCAGCTCTCCTTGAGTTTATTAATCAACTGCAGTATGCAGGTATAAGGGCAGTAATCCGAACGCATTTTTACTTGACACTCAATCAACCACTGGCATTTCTTGGTCAAACTCGGGCACTCTGATAAGGGTACTCACTCGTTGTTCCCCGTGATCGGAACCAGTGGTTTCATCCTTCAATCCGTTGTCCGATGGCTTCGTCAAAGGCTTCTTCTCCCATCTTCTTTCGGCACTCGAACCTAGCGGTTCTTCCTCATAATAGGTAAAAGCACAATCTGCACGGTAGGTCTAGTATCAGTCAGGCATGTAGGATGCAAGTGGGGCCGTGAGCCTATCGAGTGGCAGGATCGGGCGTGGCGGTTGATAGAACGTAAGGAGCAGTTGAAGACGGATGACTGGGCTCATGGGGATGGCAGTGGCCGATCTGACTGCGTCGTCGTCTGCGGTAGTGAGAAAGTCGTCGGGCTAAGTGGGAACGGGAAGTTTCGTTGGTACGTAATGGGTGTGAACGACGGGTGGTTTGCCAGGAAGAGGGAAAGAAACTCGGTTGAAAGTTTGTTCTGAAATGGTGGTTTTGCTAATTGTACTTACTTCCTAGCATTTTTAATGATTACTGTCTCGAGACTCGAGGGAGAATCACCGTGGGAAACGATGGACTAAACGGCTTGGGTGACATATCGACCCGATAAACACCTCTCATCAGTTATATCGGCTTGCAAACGAATTATACGATGTCTACCTCCTCAGCCTCGCTTACATCTACTGATCCCATTCACAGTTTCTCCTTGCCAGCACTTAAAACCTCATCTTTCGCAAACTGGTAGTAGTAATCCAAACTTTGTGGATTCAACAGCGTGCCACTGGGCTTGATGATATGCCCTGACACAATCTGCTTGACCGGAAGCTCGACCTTCTTCAGGTTGACCGTCGTCTATCACATCGCGTCAGAAAACAGTAATTTTTCCCCGCACAATGCAGCAAATTCAACTTACAGGGATCTCCGGCGTCTCGAACACATATTTCGGAACATGCCTTTTCGACAAATCCCTCTTGATAGCCTCCTTAATCTCATACACCAGCTGCTTGTTGAATCTTTGCCCCGGCCTCATCAGACAGAACAGCATCACACTCTCGTCGTTATCCTGCGGCCTCCGTTGACCCACGCAAATCGAGTCCACCAACCGGTCCGGGAAGTGCCTCTCCAAAACGGAATATATCTCGGCCGAACCAAAGCGCACTCCCGAAGGATTGAGCACGCCGTCTGCACGACCCAAGAATGTCATGTTCTTTGTCACGGGGTGGATGACGACAAAGTCCCCGTGAGCCCAGACGTGATCGAACCTGGCAAAGTACGACGAGTGAAGCTTTGTCCCCGGGGCGCCAGGGGGATGCTTGTCCCCCCACAAGAAGGCCGGAACACTGGGGAATGCGGCGGTGGCAACTAGCTCTCCTGGCGTTCCATCCGGAACCTCTTTTCCTGGTCCATTCGGCAGCAGTGAATCGTACACGGCGATGGCCGTTCCTAGGCTCGGCCCCTGAATGCCACCCTGGTACACGGGTGTCAGTTGATTTCCAATGGCAAAGCACCCAGCCTAAACAGATAGTTAGCATCGTCTCAGGAGCAAAGGGGTTAATGGAGTTGCAGACATACAATATCAGTTCCGCCTGACATATTGGCCAGATGAGTATGAGCAGGAAATCCTTTCTCATAGAACCACTTAAACAACTGCTCAGACAAAACCATGCCAGTACATGTGACGACCTGCAGCTTGGAGAGGTCGGTAATCTCTCTCGGCAAGATGCCAGCTTTGGCAACTTCGTGCATCCACCGGGGACTAATACCCAACCTCGTGACTTTCTGGTCCCCAATAAGCTTGATGAAGGTCTGAAGGTCTGGCTGGAAGGGCGAGCCGTCGTAGAAGACGGCCCTTGCACCAGAGAGGAGCTGCCCAACGTTGGCTAGGTACATGATCCATCCTGTCGTCGTGTACTGCAGCGAAACCGTATCCTTGTTCACACCTTCGTGTATCACGCCCTCTTTCGTGTGGTTGATGAGGATACCTCCCACGGTGTGCACAATGGCTTTGGGGATGCCAGTAGTTCCAGACGAGAAGCAGAGGAGGGAGGGCTCGTGAAATCCAATCCGTTCAATGGGTGGGATGGGCCCACTATTATCAATGAACTTGAGCAGTGTCTGTGTTCTTGGAATGTTGCTGATGTCTAGTTCGTATTGAAAGCGGCGGATGGAGACGAGTCCTTGAAATTGATCGCAGTCTTTCATCCCGTCCATGATCTCAACCATCTTCTGCCGCAAGTCGACGCGTTTGCCGTTGTACAGTGTTGCATCATCCATGAAAATATACTAGTCGCTGTCAGTATTTATGCGTAGTGCTGCCGTCGAAGCGATCATCTACGCCGTACGTACCCGTGGGTTGATTTGTACCGTCCTTTGCAGGATTCCCGGAGTTCCCATGTCGGTTGAGCCAGAGCTGAATATGGCGCCCAGCCAACTCGTCGCAGTAAAGAGAATCAGAGTCTCGATACTGTTTGCAGCAATTACCACAACTCGGTCACCCTTCCTTACTCCTCCCTTGTACATTGCAGCGGCATATTTGGCGGTCAGACTGCGGTACATGACCCATGTAAGCTGGCGTGTCTCGCTCACACCCTCTCTTACTTCGGTTACAGCAATTTTGCGGTCTTCCTTGCCGACATTGCCATGGTGATCAATGGGATCGTCAACGGAACGGCTCCAAAGCAAATTCTCGGCGAAACTGACTTGCAGCCCCTCGAACCATCGGGGAACGCTGTCAATGGGCTTCGTCTCGTCCACCGCCTGTTTGAACGATCCAGTGTGGATCAGAGGCACGAAGTTGAATACTTCGGAGTGGAATTCCGAACGCTTGGTTATGGAATATTGGTACAAGTCCCAGAAGGTCTGCGGTTTCATGAGTCTCCTGGCCAACTCGCCCCGCAAAGTAGTTCTACTTACTTTCAAGTCAAGACTGTGTTTCTTGTTGACGTTCTGCATGAACCGATACATCTCTGTTTCCTTGGGGTTGGGATGCTCCCAAAGCTTTTTTGGTATTGGCATTGCCATGCTGGGCTAGCTACGATGGAATGCCGGTTCACGGGCACAAACAGTGTCTGACGGCTATTATATAAGAATATAGTTGTTTCAAGGCCAGATGGCAGCGTCTCGATCCGTCCGTAAGATGGTGACATTCGGTCCTGGAGATCTTGAATCAGCGTAATCCGGAGCTCTTCACACTGCTTTCGGCTCTGTCCGGCGAGGTCATTAGACGGGAACTAACTGCCTAGTAGTAGCAAGGCTGGCTATTCAAAGCAAGCCGAATGAAAGCATGATGCTTTGAATGAGGGCGATTTCGGGCCACGGGTATTATCCCCGTCGCTTACATGGTGTCAGGTTCTCCAATTATCCTCCCCGCACTACCCCAGACGAACTCCGCATACTTTTTTAATCCAGCGCGAGCAGTCATCGGTAGTTCTGGCCACACCGGAACCCCATACATACGTCAATAAACCCACAGAGCCTCCGAAAAGCTTATTCGTAACATGGTGCAAAAAAACCGTGCCTCCTCTGCAACTTGTTCGTGCTTTCACATCCCCCCCGGTTAAGTTGTGCAAGCAAAGCCATTCAGCCGTTTTGTCTCAATAACATTGCCGTCTCTGTCTAGACCGTTTGTAATATCACGTACGTATTGATCCGCCTCGTTCTGATGCTCAGACTCCGTTATGTTAGCACAAACGTCAGTATGTGACGTGAACTTGACAATTGGGACCAGTGTGATATACTTCGTGGTAATTCGAGTTGCATCTGACTGCAAAAAGCGATATTGACCGCCACGACCTCAACGACGGGATCTCATTGGATTGGCACGGCTTCGTGTGGAATGCGGATACCAGTGAGCGAGAATGAGCGACCAGGCTTTAGTAACGAATAGAGATGGGAGCTAGTTCCACAGTTATCGTAGCGATTTTGGATACAGGGTGAAGAAGTAAGTAGATTCATAAGACATTCGCTGCTATCATACACCTTAAGAGTGTCACGGCTCTCATCCGCTCTGGGTGAGGCCCACTGAGTGATAAGATACGCCGACTTTTTAGGCCGCCCCTGCACACGTACTTGTACATAGCTACATGATCGGACAGGACCTCTGCCCTTCTTTACGGTACAACAAAATATAATAGTTGATGAGGGATTCAACCCTCAGATGATGACTCTGTACAGATCCTGTATTGGTTACGATGCTCAATGCGCAGTGTGATGTGTGTATTGACTGCTCGGAGTGCTATGTAAAAAGTTACATCTAAGGTAGGTAGGTAGGCAGGTGCCGACCTTTTTATCTACACAAGCGATTTCACTGCCTTAGGCACCACCTCAGGCACCACCTCAGGCACACATATGGCGCTCAAACCCACAGTTGACCCATAAATATTTCCCGCTAGATCCGGTAGTTATCTCGTACGAAGACACAGCACTTATAATATAGTAATCCGTTCTCCTAGCGCTAGGTGCTTAGTACGTCGTTTACTTCAGTATTATTCTTCAGTCACTGCTATCTAATACCTCGACCTTAAGTTATGCGACTTGCCAACTGCAGGCTCCTGAAATTTGTTTTAGCTATCGAACGCTACTATGATGGTCCTAGAGACAGACATGCATTAAAAACATCGTCTTACTACCTACCTCACTAGTTAACTGTACCAATTACTCGCAAAGACTACCTTTTATCTCTCGTCAAACAAGATAAGTAAATGAATGAATCATTTATTATTTTAGGCAATGCCTTAGTCCTCATCCTCGGCCAGCTCAATTATCTTTTGCGAACAGTTATACACTAGGTCAGGTTGTCATAGGAGGGCTCGCTTCTCCTCGTCAATATTCTCCCTCCAGTTGAACATAAATGTATCATCCGTCGGATAATTCATAGCTCGATATATAATCTCTAGGGGTCGCCAGGAGTGAAGTAAAGGGGTTGGACGTGGCCCTCGTCCTCACTGTCCGACTCGCCCAGTTCATAATCCTCACATTGAATAACGATTACCAGCCAGAGTAAGAGACCACCTCAAGCCGAGGATCCCTTTCTTCTGACTAGCTGTAGGTCCCACAAGCACACTAAACGAACGACGTTAGCTTGCGAAGTCATGAGCCGAGAAGATATCCAAGGGTACACGGATTTCGCTTTCGATAAATCAGGATATGATGTCGATATGGGACAACTTCACTAATGAGATCATACCTGGAAGGAAATATCTTTTCAAAAGTGAATTACAAGAAGCAATGGCCATCGTGCATAAGAGGTAGAATATCTCTATAAGTGAAATTGTAAGAGCCTCGTATGCTGTCGGTATTAGGTATAATGTCCAACGCAATCGCCTGTGCGTATGCAGGTCGCATCCTGGTTGTGGCCATGTATATCTCTTTGTTTTGCAGGTTCGTTTGAGGCCTGAGCTGAACTTATTCATGTGCCGGCCTCAGACTGCTTAAGAACTAGGGATGTCGATTTGAAATCAGATGATGAAGCTTTGCTTACTTCGAGACCGTGGGACAGGATGTTGCATCGGCTTGCAAACCAACCACCGCGTTCCCATTCTCCTTTGACATAGAGGCAATTGCTACGTGTGTCATCGTCAAACATTCCGGTTAGCAAGACGTTCAGTCTCTTGAAGTTGATTGGCTTCAATATCCAGCCGTCAAAACCAGCATTTATGTAGACTGCTTTCTCCGACTCTGCGAGAGATGCCGATACAGCAATGATTGGCACCCTACCTTGGTGTTGTGCTAAGGATGACAGACCGAAGCACTCCTCCGACTTTTCGAACGCCCTTATTATTTTAGTACTTTTCAAGCCATCTACGATGGGCATCTGTAAGGTCGAGTCAGCACATAGTTTACTACCACTTCTACTCCACATTTTAATAGAGCCCGAGACGAACCTGTATATCCATCAAGATCACATCGAAATCTTGGGGCTTGTCGATGTATACCCTCGCACAATCCTCACCATTGGCGGTAGCTGAAACCGCATGTCCGGCTGTTTCTAAGCGTTTTCGAATGATCATCATGTTGATGGGATCGTCCTCGGCAACGAGAACGTGTAATTTGCCACCAGTTGACGTAGATGCCGAAGCGTTGGTGTAGCTACTGGTTACTGTCGATGGAAGCAAAGTTGGCTTGTCGTGATACTTGTGAGGCGCTCTGACATATCCCATCGGGGTTTGCGTATCCGTTGGTGATTTTGTTGTACATCGCCCGGACTGGGAATGCTTACTTCCAGTGCTGAACGGACGTCTATCACTATTCTCAGGCTGCGGTACGTTGCTGGTGATAGACTCTCCACACAAGAGCGACTTGGAGGAGGTTTTCGGGACTTGGCGTTGCTGTCTTATCTCTTGAAACATCGGGTCTCCAACAGGGTAAGAATTTTGAATTGCATCAAGCAGGCGTTCACCATCGGTATCCTTCCTAACACCACAAACAGGACTGCCGATTATACTAGTCCCATTTGGCATAGCGAGAGCGTGGTCCAAATTGGCATTAGTCATCATAATAGGACTTCGACGGTCAACGAGTGTCACCTCGCCAGACTCCTTAGGGTGTGGAGTGTTCGTGGTCGTGGCTGCACTTGGTTGTGCTCCAAGGATGATATCGTTAGTACTAGCGTTGTCATTGGCAGCATTGTTGACTAGACCTAACGGCAGCTGTAAGACGAATCGTGACCCCTTGCCTTCTTTCGATTTCACTCGAAGCTGGCCACCCATGTTTTGAATGATTCTTGCTACGATGGCCAAACCAAGGCCCATAGTGCGATTATCCCCAGACTTTCCTACTTTATCTCCGTTGCTAGACTCGTCCGCATGCAAAGACACCTGTTCAAAGTCTCGGAAAAGCGCATCGAGTTGTTGGTAGCTCATGCCGCGCCCGGTATCTTGGACTGCAACCTCGAACTTAACCCTGAAATTGATGATTTCTGCAGCATAGCACTCTACTTTGATGCGCCCCTGAGAAGTAAACTGGAAGGCGTTCTCTACCAAATTGGTAATTATCTGACGTACTCTGCGTTGGTCGCCGCGGACAAGACGGGGTAAGCTCGGGTGCTCGATTATTTCGTAGTCGATGGTCTTTCTCTTCGCAACATCCGTGAAGGGCTCCGTGGCTTCCTTGATGCACGCCATCAGGTTGAAGATTTCGTCCTTGATAAGCTCTTGTCCTTCCTCCGTCTTGGTTAAGTCCAGCAAGTCATTGATGACACAGATTAGTGACTTAGACGCCGAACGAGACTTTACAATATTGTCCCTGGTCTCCTCGTCAAGATTGTCTTCCAGCGCGATTTCGAGACAATTGATAATAGCGTTCAGGGGCGTTCGGAGTTCATGCGCTGAATTTGCCAACAGCAGTTGAGTTTGCCGACTGAGTCTGACCGCGGTCTCTTTTTGTTTCCAAATCTCCAAGAATTTGCCTATATCGCGTCAGCGGTTGCAGACAACATCATATTCACCACATAGAGTAATCCTAAGTTATTAAGGAGATATATGAGGCAACATACCATAGACTAGGCAGAGAACTGCCGCAGTTTCGATTTGTTCACTGGACCATTCTTTGCATTTGGAACTGTCCACCTCGTGCCACACTTCGAAACTTGGTCGCGGCTCGAGGAGCTTAGAAGTTCCTTCGTTAATAACGTTTTTATAAGGGTTTCCTGCCCACTTAACCTCTACAACCTGCCCTTTGCGTAAGAACACAATGAAGTCCTGCCCGTCTGAGCTGAGAGGCACATACAGAAGACCAGCGACGGTGGAGAAGCCTGGGGGGTATCGCAGTTCGGGGAAGTCGTTTCCAATATTTTGCGTCGTTATCACCGACGTGAACTTTTTGATACGAAGGTACTCGAGCACTGCAAGAACTTCTTGGGAATCTTCGGGTTGTCCCATAATGCTTGTCTCCCCGAGTACATACAACATGCCACTGTTAGCATCAAACAGTTTTAACAGTTCTTTCGAAGAGGATATAATGTTTCCGGTCGGATTGTTGTCGTTAGGTATAGTGTTGATCAAATTCCTTGCCTCCAAACGTGAAACGTAGGATAGCCGCTCGAGGTTCCTTGAGGCTATATCTCCAACGAGTCTACATATCTTCCGGATTGGAAACGCAACTCTCATCCCATGAGGTCCGTATGTGTGGCAGGTTATCAAGCCCCAAAGCTCATTGGAAGCAGTGATAGAGATGGAGAGGGACGCTCGCACCGCCATGTTGGTGACATATTTCCGATGAAATGGCGACAAGGCACGGAGGTAGGAATGAGTTAGATCCAGAGGCTGTTTTGCATCTTCCACCGACCGGTATACAAGTCTGGCGGATTCCAAATCTCTGTTGTACAAAAGACGAACTTTGTTGATCTTGTACAGTTCCCGCGCCTGCTTTGGGATATCGGAAGCTGGGAAACACAGACCCTTGTACAGATTTTGAGAGTAAGCCAGATCAGCAACCTCAGTAATGACCTTCCCGTTCAAGGAAGAATCGAACTGATATATCATGACTCTATGAAAGCCCGTTAGTTCCTTAACGATGTCAACGACAATCTCCAGGAACACGTCCAAATTGGGGGCCGACCCCAACGACTGCTCTATCTGGGACACGAGATCGATAGTATCCATGGCGTCTATTTCTTTCCGTGGGTTTCGCAGATCTATAAGATGCTGTCGAAGTACCTCGATCTCCTTGTTGGATTCCTGAACGGCCAGGTCTTGGTTTGGAGTGTTCTTTGGCGGAGATGGTTTCATTTCATCCGAGGGCCGGAGAGGATGATCGCAGTCATCCTGTAACTCAAACTCGCAAATAATCAGATTGGAGTGACTGGAGGCAATATATATAGCACACCAGAGCTTGATGCTTTTGTCTCTTGGTTGCTGCATGGATATGCTAAACACAGCGGGCTCATTCGTGACGGGATTGCTATCCTCGTTGCGTATTGAGCGGATTCGATAGCGTATTTTATCAGCTTCCTCTTCCTTAAAGACGTCTAGGAAACTGTTCAGGGAGAACAGTTCTTGAGGAGAATAACGGACGATGCGCCCCGAGTTCTCGCTGGCAACACGAACCGAGAAGCGGCCATCGAACTCTTCCCTTAGCCCAACTAGGAGTCCAAATCCCTGAATAGCTCCTGGAGTATGGATGGGCTCATCCTCACATCGATGGAGCTCAAGGTCCCTGCCAGTGATGACAGCATGGCCCTCGTCAGAAATGGCGTATGTGATCCGCGCCGAACCCAAGTTCTCACCGAAACTTGAAGGCGAAGCGATGCCCGAGCTGTCAAGCTGGATGTCAGGCTGTATTCCTGTGGCTTTCGAAAAGCGATTGTCCCCAGTCCTGTCAGACGCACTTGCACTCAAGGAAGCATTCTCAAAGACAAATAGGTTGGGATTGTGTCCTTCGCCCTGCAACACTGAACTGCACAATAAGTCGGATAATATGCCGTTCCTTTTACCTTTTGCAGCTACATCTCTCTTCTCCAGTGAAGATTCCATACTTGACGAGACCGGTGGTTCCGATTTAGTACGCCTCACTTTGGCAGGTGATTTAGGGTCGATCCGTGGATTGCTAGGCCAAGGACGGCCATCCGGTGTACTCTCATTGCAAGAGGAATATCTATGTTCTCGTAGAGTTGGCGGCAGAACGCAGAGCATTGGCTGCTTCTGGTTGACGGTGACAATAGATCGAATGGGAAAGACACGGTCTGCGGAATTGGAGATACTGTTGATGCTTTCAAAGCCTAACTGGAGGTCGGAATTGTGACTCCACAATAATAGCGCAGCCGAAGATGGAGCCACAAGCCTGTCAATATTAATCATGAGGGTGGGAGTGCAATCAACAGCATCGGCTGGTAGCGAAGTGGGCTCGCCAGAGAAAAGATTATCATGGTCGGAGTCTTGGTCGCGGCTGTTGAATTTTTCAACTTCTGTAACGCTGTCTCTTCCGTCCACTCTCTGCACAAAGTTAAATGAACTTTATCGCCGATGGCAGTATGAGGTTTCTTACTGGTTTGGGTGTCGTTGATTGGGGAAGATGAATCTGCAGTGAGGGTTCAAGCGAACCTGGTAGTTGTTGCTCTTGAAGTCGATCGTCAACCGGGTTCCGCTTGGACTCCATATTGGCTTCGGAGCCCACTTGAACAAAGTATGATAGTCTCCGATTCGTTATTAGTTCAGAAGTCCACTTGGCAATGCCTGTAAGGGCGTATGACCAGTAAGTAGTCGAACAGCTGATCATTGAATATGAATTATTACAGCGCTGACGGCGATGACGTACATTCCTCCACCTGATTTGATAAGCACGGCCTAAGCCTAAGCCTCTCGTACCTCCTTCCCTACATTACTTGGTGGGAGACTAATTTGGGACAGACGCGATTAACAGAAAATCCGCGTTGTACCGACAAAACACTATATTTGCAAATATCTTCAACACCTGTATTTTTCTCAACTACTTTGATAATAACCAAAAATATTTATAGGTAGATGATTAAATTCCCTAAAGGCGGTTAAAACCGATATTGCGCAGAACGCCTTGCATAACTATCAGTTTTGAGGTTGATTGCCATATCAGATATCACAACCGATCCGTGACCTCAAGGAAGGTTACCCTGTACCTGTAAATGCGATAAGATAGCCAACCCAATGTATCCTGCTGACTGGTGACTCCTTTCCCGGCAACTCCAGAATCATCGGCCCGCGATCTCAAATGTTTTTTGTAATACCCGGCTCGACACCTTCCAAAATACCAAGCAGTTCATCGTAAGCCCTTTTCTGAACCCTCTTGCCCTCCTCACTGCGCACAAAGCGACTCGGCTCCATCATCCTGCAGTCACCAAGGTACTTGCCATGCGTCTCCTCCCCAGCCAGTGCAGCCGAAACCAGGGTTCGCGATCCCATTTCGGACGTGCGCGCAAGCAGCAAGAACCCAATTGCTATAATCCACGATATAGGCCACGTAATGTGCCGGAAAAGTTTGGACTTGCAGAGTCCTGGATGCACCAAGTTGAGGGCGACTCGTGGCTTCTTGGGTGATGACTCCATTTCCGTTGCTAGTTCGCGGACGACGAGGACCTCGAGCAGTTTGGAGTTGCTGTAGCGTCCACTCATACCCGCTGAGCCTCGGAGGGCTTCGAAGATTGAGGGGGCATTTCGTGCTCTTGTCAATGAGGTATATGCGTGGGCGTCCGAGGTAACGATAACCAGGCTCGGCACAACGTTGAATCGAGTCGCGGTGCGTCGGAGACTTGGCAGTATCAAAAGAGCCATCAGGAAGGTTGATATCACGTTGACCGTGATTTGTTGTTCGTAGCCCTCGTACTGGACGAAGTCGCCCGTTGCGACCCCTGCATTCTCAACGACTACATCGAGACGATGCAGTTTCTCGGCGCGCTGACAGAACTCCTTGACGCTGTCAAAGGAAGTGAGATCGAGTTGCCACACTTCGGCCACTCCGGTCCTGTTTGTTGATGTCTCGATGTCAGTCTTGGCCTGACTCCCTTTTTCGACGTTTCGGCAACCTAGAATGACCTTTGCGGCATTCAAGCGAACGAAGTGTCTTGCGGCCTCTAATCCGAGGCCCACATTGGCTCCAGTGACAATGATGGTCTTTCCCGAGCAATCCGTCTCGGGATATGGCAATGGTTTGAGTTGGTTAATTATTCCTTGGATGGGCGACCTTGTGAATGTCAATTAATTGCCTGGGAGGTTAGCTCAAGCGAAGCTATGCTGCTTACCTCTCGAGCCAAGACATATTCAAGATTGGTTATTGAGAGCTTGATTTCGTACTGAGGGATCTTCTAATGTGGGAAGATGTCAAGGGGAAGACTTGCAGAGCTTTCGAGGGAATTCGTGACGCGGGAAATCATATGAGCGTTCATGCACCTGCGAAACATGCACATTCTTCAGATGATTCACTTGACGTTTAGCTATTGAGACGTACCTATAGCTGTTAAGCTGTCAAATATTGCGCATTGGTTTCATCACATCTTCCAATTTTCACATACTTATCTAAAGATGAAACCGGCTCTTTCGATTATCCCGAGGTTAAGCTGAACACTCAGATATCCAATCCCAAAAGGAACGTGCTGAAAGTGTTCATAACGGATCGGGGATCTCGGAGCCGGACTGCAACTATGGCCGTATGATCTTCTGGGCAACACTCCAGGACACCGCGATCATAACTCCGTCAATCCGATCTGCTAATCCTTCAACTCTTAAAACACTCCGAACTTACTCCATAAATCGGCCAAGTCGGCAAAAACACCGAGTTGCATCAATTGGCGGATGAACTCCCTGTCGACATTAGCCGCCATTGGGCACCCCACGTTAACCCCAAGTGCTTCCCCTCGTCATTGTCCCGAGATGTGAGGTTAATTAGGGTCCATCAGCTCATCATGCCACCTCCACGTAGGCGGGACGAAGCGTGGCAATAAGGGTCTTGAAGACATGCTAGCCTGAAAAGTCTGGGAACCTCTCAGAAGCCGACCTTGGTATTTCCTCTTATCTCATATTCCTCGAAACTCCATACCTTCGTATTCTGATTGTCAGGTTTTTATCATCACACAATGGAGCCCAAGACCGGTCTCGTCCTCGGGTATAATGGAGTGCATCCATTCTCCAAGGTCAAGATCACAGACCGGGGCTCGGTCCAGGAGCTGCTTCGAACGCTGTTGGACCCCCTCGAGCCCTTTTTCTCGCCATTAAAGTCCCGTGTCAAATGCCCAGGCGCAACTGCTGTCCGGTTCGACCAGTCTGCCTCTGAAGTTGAAGGCATATGCCGACCACTTTGGGGCTTGGCTTGCCTATTGGCGGGTAATGGAGAGTACCACGGCACTAAATGGTGGGTTCAAGGGCTCAAGGCAGGAACTGATCCCGAGAGTCCCGAATACTGGGGATATCCACGCGATAATGACCAGCGCATGGTCGAGATGTGCCCTCTTGGTAAGCAAGTGTTTCTAAAAAGAGGGGATACTCTTGGCTAACACGGGCCAGGCTTCGCCTTGGCTGTGGCACCTGTATTCTGGCAGAACTTGAATGAGAAGGAGCGCGGTAATGTTGAGGCTTGGCTGGGAAACTCTGTAAATGAGAAGAAGTAGGTCGTTTGGCAGACTGTCCGTTGTGTGGGTAGCCAGCATATCTAACACCCATCAGCATGCCCAACACCAACTGGCTCTGGTTTCGGGTCTTTGCCAACCTCGGACTCAAGAAAAACGGCGGCAAGTTTTCTCAGGGGAGACTGGATAGCGATATCAAGCACCTCGATACGTTCTATCGGGGCGATGGCTGGTCCAATGATGGACCTGAAGGAATCCACCGTAAGTCTTTGCCATACGTTCTCAATGGGGACAGACGCTGATTGTGCGACTGGTGCAGAGATGGATTACTATTCGTCGAGTTTTGCAATTCACTTCCTCCAGCTCCTTTACGCCAAGTTAGCTGGCGACGAGGAACCAGAGCGAGCCAAAGAATTCAAAAAGCGTGCCCAAATGGCTGCACTCGATCTCGTCCACTATTATGACAATGAAGGTAAACTTACGTGTTGAAGGCCCTCTGATACCATGTTGACGAGTACACCAGGCAGATCCATTCCTTTCGGCCGCAGTGTAGGATACCGTTTTGCTATGGTCTCATTCTGGGGCGCGTTGGCGTATGCTGGGGTCGAATTACCGGCACCTCTGACGTGGGGAATGGTGAAAGGCATCGTTCTGAGACATCTGCGCTGGTGGCAAACACAGCCTGATATCTGGAGTCCGAGTGGTACACTAACAATTGGGTACTCATACCCAAATATGTATGTGAGTAACGAGTGCCGTAATGCTCCCAATGCAGATTCTGGCTGACCAGGATGCAGATGGCCGAGAACTACAACAGCCCCGGCAGCCCGGTAAGACTTTTCCTTGATCTCATGTAGGTTCCACTGGCTGACCAAATACTTATTAGTACTGGGCGTGTCTGGCCTTCATTTGCCTAGCGGTGCCTCCTGAACACCATTTCTGGACCTCTGAGGAGGAACTGCCGGGAGACAGTATTCCCAAGGTCAAAGCCCTGAAACATCCGGGGCATATCATGAGGTCAGAGACTTGTTATTGACTATCCGTCAACACCTGCTAACACCGAACATCCAGCTATCTTGGAGATCACTGCATGCTGCTTTCATCTGGTCAGGCCTGCAGTTACCCAATGAAGGGCACACACGCCAAATACGGAGCCTTCGCGTACAGCAGTGCATACGGTTATTCTGTGCCACCAGGTCTGTTTACTCTGGAACAGTACGCCCTGGCGTCTCAGCTCGGTCTCTCGGACGACGGTGGAGAATTCTGGAAGACGCGGAGAAAGTCTGAATACGCCAGGCTCGAGACACGAGACGACAAGCCAGTTCTCGTGTCCATTTGGAAGCCATTTCCCGACGTCACAGTGAAAACCATCCTGGTGCCGCCGGAGGAATCAACTCCAAATTGGCATCTGAGAATCCACAAGATTGAGGCCGGCCGCGAGGTCATGACAGCGGATGGCTCATTTGCGATATGCAACGAAAGAGCCGTCGACGGGCGCTACCTGGACCCGTACGACGCAGACAAGGGCGAGGGCACTTACCCCAAGATTATCGGGAATTACGACCTGAACACCCCCGAGGGCTGGGCCACGGGGAAGCAGGGGGCCTTTGCCGTCTCCAAAGGAGCCGTGGGCATCAAGGCGCTCGAGGATAGTGGTAACGAGGGTGAGCGCAACGCCATGCTGGTGAACGCGGACCCCAACTCCAACCTTGTCGAGAGCAGGACCGTCATCCCCACGCTGCAGCACACAGTCAAGGCAGGCGGCGTGGCTTGGTACGTCTCGGCAATCTACGCCAAACCGTCCGGGAAGGGCATCGCGCGGGGGAGTTACCTCGATGGATGGGAGAAGGTGCCTGAGGTTCCGTGGTGGGCGAGGGAGGAGAAGGGGGCGCAGATTTAATCAATCAGGCAGCCAACAAGCCTTATTCCTGCAGCACAGTTTCTTGACGTCTCAGAATTAACTGCAGCCAAGGAAATTCTCCGATATCTTGCGTGACGAACTTGATGTCTCTCTACCTTGGTCGGCGACATGTGTTTGTGTCCGACTGTGAATGCCAGACCCTCTTCTCCCCCTGATTCTATACCTAGTCAGTCAGTTCCGAAACAGGGCTTTTTGAGGTCTGGCTCGTAGCCCTCTCGGTGCCTTCGGGTCATATGATTGGAAGTAACTGGGGGAGCGGCACGCCCATGTGTGTGTACTTAAAAATTGCGGATAGCTGCAGAGAAGCAGTATGTGCCCTCGGGAACGATTGGAGGAGTCTTGGTGAAATGCGTAGGATCTACTCTAAAATCTCTAATTCGATGTCGACTAGCCTAGCCTTTTTCCACATTAGATAATTTGGCCACCGCGGCAGGAAGCGTGCGGCGAATTGATAATCTTCATGACTATCATGGCTTCATGCCCATTTCCGTTTTTATCCTGCCATCTATTGCCACGGACACGCCACAACGGCACAGTAGTTGGAAGCACATTGGAACAGGGCGTCCTGGTTCGTGACAGTTGCCCCATTGAGGACTGGGAAACCCAACCACCAAAAATTATCCCACGATGTTTTCTTCCAACAGGGAGGAGGAGTCGGCTAAACCCTCCATACCTTCCTTCGCAACGGTTAAAGGAGGAGGGTTAATCAATTTATCAACCCACTGTGACGACAACAATGTAGGTTGGCTGGATCTTATCACCACAAAAGCTTTCCGTCTTGTTTCTGACACCAATCACTGACTATGAATCAAAAGAATCCAAGAAGTTGGAAAATCGAGGTACAGTAGCAAGCATGACAAAGAGCTGACCCAACCCCGGCGTGCAGCTCCGAACCTGCATTGCATAGACGCAGGAGACGCGCATTAGAGCAATGACAACGTCTTATGTCAGTTGGTAATTCCCCAATTATCGACGACGGGAATCTAATACCTGTGTTTGTAACACCTCGGGGAGAGGCTATCAGAATAGGAGCACAGACAACCGCAACACCATTTCTGCTATGGAACGGTCGTCCGTTGCATTTCGCTTTTGTCGTGGAATTGCACTATGTGTCCCCTTCCCCCACAACCCTGGTTCAAAACTGCCTGGGTAGGTTGCTACCATGGTAGGCAAACAATCTGGCATTTTATAAACCTGCTAGAGTCCCAAGTAATGCTGTCACATTATTGATGGGAATCCGGGAGGGTATAAAAATGGTCGATTTAGCTTTGAAACGAGTATGGCTTTTTCTTCCCGACTTAAACCCCCAGCTGGTGGTCTTATCAAACCCCGGCTGCCAACATGGAAACTCCGCATTGCAGTTGAACGACAACCCAGTCGCCCAGGTCATGGTACTAGCTTCATATGCAGGTCGGCGCATGGTTGGAGACAACACGCGTCCTCCAATACAGCCCTACTGACAACCCCCCTCTGCCTCGCGCGCGCTTCCGCCGCCCCTGATTGGCGTCCGTGTGCATGGCAGTGTGCCGAATATACGGACATGGATATAATACAGGTACGTCGGTGTGTGGCCGGAGGAATGCTTCTGTTGCTATTGTTGTGAGGGAGCTCATCGGCCTGCCAGCCAACCTACCTTGCTTCTTTCTACCAAGTCTAAAGTCTGCGTTGCTGGACTCACCGTGGTGGCTAACGGTTGTGCGCCCTACATACCTAACTGTCATATTCTCTCTATTGTCTCTGCTTGCATATACTTCCGAGTCCCTTTTCTTCCTGCCTACTCCTGTGGTTGGTCCTTTTATCTTCCCTCTTTTTCTTTGTTTTTCCTAACTGAAGGCTTGCTGCGCACGTTAGTCGAGTGAGCCTCAAACTGGCTCTTGCTTTGGCCCCCATTTTATTTTGACACAGTCCATACAGCTGTCATCAAAATTTGAGTTATTCTATTGTGCTGTACAGTACTGTAGCAGCCATGGGGAAGTCCTTCGTCAAGTTTCTGCGGCTTGTGGTGAGGAACGATGCTATGCGAGATGAGTATGTCGAGTTTGTATTCTCGAAGAGAAGCGCAGACGTTGCGATTATAATGTGAATATGGTTGATGGCTGATGAGTTGAAGCCCACCTCAAATATATGGATGGAGAGTCTTCGCGTTAGTGTGCGCATGTAAGTGAAGCCCAGCCAAGCAAGTTGAGCAGCTGTTATTTGTACAATACTGACAAGCTGACCAACCGCAGCATGGTAAGAAATCTTTTACATGAGATGAAAGATTCGCTCGACTAAATCGAATTACGAACAATAGCTTCGGTGGCATGCTCTTCGGATGGGAGTAAGTGATTTTCAATCACACCAACGTAATATCGTCGATGCTTATCCTATTCAGTATCGGTGCCATTGGCGGAATTCTCATCATGGATCCCTTCATGCGGTGAGTTGTTCGAGATATTTCGAACATTTGGCCCACGGGCTTACCGACCAAGGGATTACGGTGTAGACGAGAGCGAGAAGGACATTTTGTCTGAGAACAGTATTTGCAACCTAACCCTATTTCTCTTCACATACACAAAACTAATGTTGCAAAGTTGTCTCAACGCTCCAAGTAGGCTGCTTCGTGGCGTCACTCGTGGTAAGTCGCTCTTAGTCAGACTTCTGTAGCGACATGGCATCGGCTTATTATTCCGCTGTCTACAGGCTAGTCCCTGTGCCGACAAATTCGGGCGACGATGGTCATTGATAGTATCGGCGAGCATCACCTGCGTTGGCGTTGCACTACAGGCCATACCGACTCGCAGCCTTCCATTTATGTACACCGGACGGCTGGTCGCCGGGTTTGGAGTTGGGGCCGCCTCGATGTTGACCCCCTTATATGTCTCCGAGTGTGCGCCAAGAGCGATTCGAGGAGCCTTGACTGGGTTCTACCAGCTGTTCATCGTAAATGGGGGTATGCTCTCATTTTGGTATGAACTACATACTCCCTTCTTGGAGAATCGTGGATAGTGTTTGATGCGTTACAGGGTCAACTTCGCTAGTGGATATCATTGGCAAGACAGATACGCGTACATCATTCCACTTAGCCTCCAGGCAGTCCCTGCCATGTGAGTGACCACACATCATATGTCTTCGAAATGCTAACTGCGACGATAGCTTGATGGTTACTGGTATGCTTTGGTGTCCAGAAAGGCAAGCTCGTCGTCTCATCGCTTGTGAAGCATCCGAACTATCTAACATGTTCCAGTCCACGATGGACGGCAAGACAAAATGACTGGGAGAGAACAAGTGACATATTGTGTACCATCACTAGGTATGCATTTGTATCCCGTTATGAATATCATTCTTGACTAACAGTCATCAAGTTTGCCCCCGGATCACGACTACGTCGAGAACGAACTCCACGAAATGGCCGAACAACTTGAGATCGAGCGCCGTCTCGTCGGTGATGCCACTGCATGGACTCTAATGAAGGAAATGTGGTTCATCCCTGGCAACCGCAAGCGAGCGCTGATCTCCATCGGGCTCATGATCTGCCAGCAGATGACGGGCACCAATGCTATTGTTAGTCGGCCCTGTCATCCATGAATCATGAAAATCGAAACCCCTTAAACACTTGCTGACGGAAGTGCGGTGGCAACCAGAACTACTACGCACCTCAGATCTTCCAGGCAATGGGAATCGGCGGCACCGATAACCCCCTCTTCGCCACGGGCGTCTACGGCATCGTCAAGGTGGTGGCTTGCCTAGCGTTCCTAATATTTGCCGCCGACTCGCTGGGGAGAAGAAAGAGCTTGTTATGGACGAGCATTGCGCAGGCGATATGCATGTTTATTATTGGCGTATATGTCTACAAGAATCCTCCCACTGAAGATGCACCGGCATGTTTGTTGATCGTTCGTTAGCCAAGTGTTTATCTAACCCGTCCCAGATCCCCCCTTTTGGATACGTTGCGCTTGTTTGTATATTTTTGTTTGCGGCGTAAGTTGGATATCATAGGCGAAAAAGGTGACTCTCGGCTGATAGAATTGGCAGCTTCTTCCAGTTCGGTTGGGGGCCTTGCTGTTGGATATACGTGAGGTGAGTGTCTACAACACAATGCTGGAGTGGAAGTGTCTGTCACTAATACAGAAAAGCGAGATCCCCAGTGCAAGATTGCGAGCAATGAATGTTGCGCAAGCCGCCGCAACCCAATGGTTGTTCAACTTTGTGGTAGCAAGAAGTAAGTTCACGCATACTTCCTCCCTGGAAACACTGGCACTAAGAATCTGTCAAGCCGTACCGACAATGATGAGGAACATGGGCTACGCAGGCTACGTAGGTTTTTATCCCCTCTAATCTCATGTTGTCTCTTCGAACACAGTTCTCTGAATTTAAATTAACCTGGTGTCCATCCCTAGGGTACCTATTTCCTCTTCGGCTCCTTCTGCGCCGCCATGTTCTTCTTCGCCTTCTTCCTCGTCCCAGAGACCAAAGGTATGAGTCTAGAAAAAATGGACGAGCTGTTCGGCATCACGGATATGCTGAGGGTGCTCAACGACATGGAGCGCAGGCAGCCGTACGACCACCGCGAGACGCGCGAGTTGGATGACGCGGACGTGGAGAAAAAGTGGGAGAGGTTTTCTGGCTAACGATCGGGCGGAGGCTTTACATTGTTTTGGTTCTATTGGTGCATGTTCCATATCTGGCGTATACAAGTGGGGGTTTGTGATCTGGGTCTGGGGAAAAGCCAAGGAGCGGCTAGTAGGTGACGTAGTCTGTGTTGTTCCCACTTTTGGGTAGAAGAACTCGAAATACATGATTCTGAGAAAGAATGTGCTCGGTATGTGAAAATATGACTCGAGACATTTCTTAGTCGCCAGCAAAGAGCAAGGTGAGATAGCTGAGCATAACCCCCTGAGTGACTCACTTCCCGGGATAGAGTGTGCAATCGATAACTGCTCTACATACACCGGCCTCATGTAGTTGATTGCTGGGCATCAGTAACAACCACTACGAGAAGCTAGTGCGATGTAACAAATGGGTCAAAACATGCAGATTCTACTCATGTAACATAATCTACCACGAGCCAGAAAAAAAGACGGAACCACCCAACCGACGAGCAAATGCAAATGGAACCCCCGCCACAGTGTCAGTATTTTAGTGCACCCTAGACCCAATCCTTCACCCATGAATACTGAAAGCCTACCTATACAGTGTGGCCATCGCCCCTTTTTAATGCCCTTCAGTCTTTAATCCAAATTTTCCATTTACTTTTTTATTGAAATACTCTGGCAACGACCACTTAGTAGACCTGTCTGATATATCTCTGCTTATGCCTTGCCAAACTCATCGAGGAACTTCACTAGTCTTTCGGCTCCCTCGAGCGGTATAGAGTTGTAGTTGCTAACACGAATGCCGCCAACGCTTCTATGGCCTTTCAGACCCTCAAGACCAAGCTTCTTTGACGCATCTAAGAATGACTTTTCAGAAGCATCAGTGTCGTCTCCCTAAAGCTTAGTTAGTGAAGTTCCGGTCGCGGAAATATGTCAATGTAACGATGGGATGGGAAACCACCGTTCCCCGAAGTTATTTCACCAAAAGAAACAATTCATTACTCTTGGCGTCGGGGACGGGGGACACTGTAACTTGACAGTGATCATCCGAAATCCACACATATTCCCTTTCTTCAGAGACACTTACCACAGTTACACGGAAACAGATGTTCATCCTTGACCGTACGGTCTTGTCAGGGACGATTCTGTAGACATCAGGCCTCTTCTCGAGTGCGCCATATATCAAGGCTGCTTTCTTGTCCGCCACGGCTTGTTGGCCATCGACCCTGTCCGGATACGTTGCGAGAAGTTTCTTGAGAACTTGGCCAGCGACGTAGACACTATATACACGAGTCAGATCTACTTTACCTTCCATGATGTTGTGATTTCAAGGCAGGGAGACAACAAGGAGAAGACTCTACTATTGCGGGTGGGAAAGCAATGCGATAGAGTAAGGGATGAAATTAGGAAGATCACCAGTCAGACGCGATTCATAGAAGAAGGAACGTACTCGAAGATGCTAAGCGTGTTGTACAAACTGTTATTCTTGGCGATGGTCTCATAAGACAGGACAATGGGTCCAATTGGCAACCCGAGCTGCCTCAACAATGCCGGCGCAGGCTGAGGACAGGAGGGTGGCAGCAGAGTCTTCTTGACGACGGCGACCGTGATACCCGTCACACCGAGGTTCTTCTGAGCCCCGAAGAAGATGGCCGAGTAGTTCTTGACAGGCACCTTTCTGGAGAGGATGTTGGAGGACATGTCTGCAATGACAATGGGGCCGCTCCCGTCGGCGGCGGGCGCCAGCACATCGGGGAACTTGGGGAACTCGACGCCATCTACGGTCTCATTGTCACAGTAGTAGACCATGGCCGGGTTCTTGGACAGCTTCCACGTGCTCTCCCCGGGGATTTTCCCAAACTTTCCCTCGTTGATGGTTCGGGCGTCGGTTGCCAGGTTGACATGTTCGGAACCCAGCAGTCGGCAGGCCTCTTGGTAGGCCTTCAAAGACCAACTTCCCGTCACCAAATAATCGACCTTCAGCTCCTCGGCCACCAGCTTCCTAAGAGCCTCTTCATCGGCACCAGCCTGCTGCTTCCTTGTCACCCACGCTCCGACAAGGTTGTACACGGTGGCTGAGAACTCGCCGCTGCCACCACCCTGCATGAAGATGATTTCATAGTCGTCGGGGATGTCAAGGTATGTAGACAAATCGGCCTTGGTTTCTTCGATGATCTTGGCGGCAAGCGCTGAGCGATGAGAGTGCTCTGCGATGCCCAAGCCGGTGCCCTCGTAGTCGACCAGAGCCTGAGCAGCCTTTTCCAGTATGTCGGTGGGCATGGCCGCCGGGCCAGCACCAAAGTATGTGATTTCTGATCTTGTAGGCATTTTGGCTGATCACAAAGTCGCAGTTTGTGGTGAGTGACTATGCAGTTGCCGAATTAGGCACGGAGTGAACAGATTTAGATACTTTCAGTGCTCCACAATGTATCCCTTAGTGGAATGATACCGCACTCGTAAGGTTGTGATGGTCGTTTCTCCAGTGGTAATTCGTGGCAGGCAAGTGACGACCAACGCTGTAGTGATGATTGCTAATACTGAACCCCGCAATACATAGCGAAGTACGACTGCATCTGCCAAAATTTCGAGTCACCAATGACCCCTCCTTCCCCGACATCGGACTAGCTCTGGGCCGTACCTGAAGAAAGGAAGCTTTCCCCAGACTTGACATAATCAAAGCACCCGCAGCTTTCCATATCACTGAAATGCAGCGTGGGGGACGGTGTAGCGTAGCATTGCATTTGGGCAACAACAGTCAACAGCTCAATCAACCACTCTCATCACCCAAGACTCCAAAAATGGCCCGACCCAAGTGGAACAATATGGAACAGCTTCTGTCGCTTGACAATTGATTCGACGAATCCAATTGATTATCAGATGATTATTCTACACACCCCACCCCCTCGAGAGTTCGTGAGGAAGACTTGGATTGGTCGAGGGGATGTCCCGCCATTGCTGCCTCAGTTTAGCTTATAGTTCGATTTCCCCCTGTCCTGCCAGGACATCAGGAACGTGGCAACCTGGCAGTAAGCTGCGATTGCGACTGCGGCTGCTGTCTTTTATCCGCTGCTCCAGGTTCCGTTTTGACGACGGGTGTTCGGGCTCTTCTAGGTGCAGGTGCCAGGCAGGATGGTGCATGTTCTACACGAAGGTCTACTGGTCCCGGTGATATTCCAAGCATGATTTTTCTCCAACCACCAGGTCAACTCAGCTCGGCGTTCGACAGCGGGTCAAGCAAGAACCTGCAGCACACCACTGCAGCACACCACTGCAGGATAAACTTTCGAACGGTGAAAATCGAGGGGAGCCAGCTCGAATCGTCCTAGTCGGGGCAGCTCGCGGTGTAAAAGCACCAACTGCCGGGCGAAGTACAACACCACAGCACCTATTTAAGATGGAGGTTACCCAAGAGGGACAAACGAGTGACTTCGTGGTCGAACAATACCAGAGGATGTTATTACTCGTAACACTGGTATTAATTTTTCATGGTTCTTCAAACAGAAATCTTATTGTGCCCTCCTGTCCATGTTGTTGCAAAGTCCGTTCTCTCTCTCTTCTGCGTTAATTAAGCGCAGAAAAAAGGAGTGCAGTTGAAATCTGGTGGTCTGCCATGAGTTGTTGCCGCAGGAAGTAGTGTTAATTGTCCGTGGCTTGCAAAGCGCCGTCAGCAGAGGAAAAATGTCCGACAAAAAGAACCCTGAACGACATACTCATTCCGTCCCTGCGGCTTCGTTTCGTACGTCACCGCCCCTGTTTCTTGTCACTCCTCAATCCACGACTTTCATCAGCAAAATCCCCTAAATTTATACGACAGCACGAGCGCTGGGCCGCTGCCCCTCAAATCATCTTATGAGAGCTCGGCCGTTTGGTTGCTTTAAAACGCTGAAGGCCCAACTAATGCAGAGCGCAGCGACACACAATTCCCCGCGTACATGGCTCCTGACATCCTCGTTCTCCCCGCTTATCATCCGACTCATACGCCTCCTGCTAGCCCACGGAGACTACGTCGTAGCGTGCTACTCGCCGCACGAGATCACCCATGATGATCGGAGCGCTGAGTTTCGCGAGTTGATTAGCGACTGCAAGGGTAATCGCAAAGACCGCGAGGGCTGGAGCACCCGTTTGCGGCCCGTCAAATGTGACGGCCGGGACAAGGCGCAGTGCGGCGCTGCCGTGGCCGAAGCCAAGGATGCGTTTGGGAGAGTAGACATCCTTCTGTGTTGTACTTCTGAAGGTATGCATGGCCGTGGACTCTATTCCCGTCTTCACTTCTTGAGCTTGTGCGGATTACTTACATTGAAGCCCCGCAGCTATTGTTGGCACCGTCGAAGAACTCTCAACTTCGTCTGCGACCCAGAATCTTGTACGGGACCAATTTGAAACCATATTCTTCTCTCAGGTGAATTTCATAAAAGCTGCGCTGCCTATACTACGGGCACAGCATACTGGTCACGTTATGATACTCTCGAGTATTGGGGGCCACATTGGAACCCCTGGAATGTCGATATACACGGCAGCAACTTGGGCCTTGGAAGGATTTTGCGACTCCCTGGCATACGAGATTGCCCCTTTCAACATTAAATTAACCATAGTGCAGCCTCACAAGGAGATCCAGTCGCTGACGAACAAAATTGTCTTCTCGCCGCAAGTACCACATTACGACCGGGAGAACAGCCCGGCACCAAGTGTCCGGGACATGCTCGGCAATGTCCTCAACCTCAACCCGGACACGGCCGTGGAGCCTTCAGAAACCGACATTATATCTAGGTACCCGAAGCTGCCTGCCTCCTCAGTAGACAAGTTAGTGATGGAGACAATCCACGCGTTGACTGCGATTGGGGGTCATGAGAACCCTCCCGCGCGGCATATTGTGGGCTTCGAAGGGGCGGAGGCCGTGAAGGAGAAGCTCAAGACGGTGACGGAAGAATTGGAGGATTTCGTAGACGCAAGTCTGGCCGTAGATATCTTCGACAGCGAGCTGCAAGCCGAAGCGCGGCAAGGTCAAATAACGTCGGGAGAGGCTCCGGGTGGGAGTTCATCAATGCAGTCTTGAACGAGATCTAGAGCTAGAGCGTACTGGAACGAAGCAATTCTACGTCAAGATTTCCATCGTACGATTGTGAAGGCGACTAAGTACTCGAGAAGGGTTATTCCTTGTTTGTTGAGAAATAGTAGTTTTGTATAGCCCGGTCTGAGAGGTTAAGGTTCATTGAGATAGGCTACCCTGTAGCGAACGTCGATTTTGATGTTTATTAGGAGAGCGGGCGGGCATGTTCCCCACCTGCCGGCCCCCAGGCCCTTGCAGAAACTTGATTTCTTATTGGTTGAGTGTTCAAGCCTCCTGAGAAGCTCTAACATGTTCACAAGGCAAACACTTGCAGGCAGCATCTGAACAACCTTGTTCTCCGTGCATGCTGAAAGCTGCTCGAATTCTCCGTACAACAATCATACCTCAAGTTACATCCGTGACATTAAATAGTACTTTATTTGCACGCGACCGATGCGTCTGATGGAATAAGCTTCCCGTTCCCGCCCACACCGCCGCCGCTCGCCCTTCGTCTGCTATGTTTCGCGCCAAGTAGGCAATGCTGGCGCTCTCTAAGGTCGGCACCACACTGAGACCAATGTCAGGATGAGCCTGGAGTCTGTATTACCCATCGCTCCGGCGAGGGTAAGAGCATTGGTCGTACCCGTCGGCCATATCAAGCGAGAGCGATTCGCGTCATTTGTCCAGAGGCTCAACCAGGAACATGTCGTTCATCTGCGGGACATCAGCGCCGACGGGCGGCCGCATCGAAGTCAGTCGCATTGCGCATTTAGAAACTTGTGGTTAAGGAAGCTGATTCTGTGAATTCCAGACATGTTCTCGCCGTTGGCCTTCCCCGATGGAGCCATGTTCTACGACCTCATCACTCATGTCCCGCCCCCGTCGCACCTTGCGTTGTCCCCCTTCGACCTATATCGAGAGCCTCTTGCGGTCATTGCCATCGCCGACGGTGGCGAACTCGAGAACGGTACCTTTAGCAAGAGAGAATCTGCAAATGGCCATGCGCCGACTTTGACGGAGAGCAATATCCGGACGCTGTATCAAGAGCTGGAGAACCTACGAGACTCGTACCCGAAAGCGCTAACGCACCACGTCTTGATATTCGACTACAAGCCACCGCCAGAATACGAAGCGCCCATACCCGAAGGCATAAAGACGATACCGCCCGTCGAGGTCTGCAAGCGAACAACGATGAAGACCATCATGTGTGATATCTCCTCTTTATTACTGGCCGAGATGACCACTCTGGCCAGATCTATCGAGGCCATGACGGCGATCGATTCCCCCGGCCACACTACTCGTCCACAGTCGAACGGTGCATCCTGGACGGTCGACGAGCCAACCACGACCTCTAGGCGCAATTCGCAGTTTTCACTACCATCCGTGACAAGGTCTGCATCAGCGGGCGGGGCTGTTGATAAAAACCACGCCCGCATGTCGATGCCAGTTCCGTTCAAAGGTCTTCCTTTTGGATCAAGCAGCTCCACCCCTACTGGCCGCCCTTCTACTCCCGTGCGAAGCGGATTGTCGAATCCTCCCACTTCATTTGAAGATATGGCCAATGGAGGTGGCTCGGGACCGACAAGTCCGGAACAGAAGGAACAGAGGCCATTATCTACACGCCCGGGAACAGCTGAGGGTGCAAAGTCGCCAGGGCAGGACAAAGTCTCGGTGCAGGGCTTTGGTCCAGGTGGACTTAATGAACGGTGGCGCAACAAGGGCAGAGGCCGAGCCACCATTGTCATCGGATCCTTACATCTTCAGGCTGGCCGTTGGAGTGATGCCTTGAGGGAGTTGGCCGACGGCGCAACTGTCGCAAAGTCTCTCAATGACCATTTATGGCACGGCAAAGCGCTCGAGTTGATCACATTGTGCCTCATCCTCCTAGGCTGGGCTAAACTCGAGTTCCAAATTCCCATGATATGCCAACCCGAGAAGTCTTCGAGCAGCTCCATAAAGGCATTAAATGATGAGGAAGCCGACATAACTCAGCCAAAATGCTTGCGACACTTGCAGTACATTCTGCCGGAACTTTTAGAGCGGATCATCGGATTATATTCCCGGATATCTGGCGAACAGCTTCCCCCGTTGCCTTTATCGGAAACCGTCATTAGGTTCTGTAACTTGTTGACAGCTCTTCACATCTGCGAAGGGAAGCTGGACAAGAAGGCTCTAGATATATTGGTTAGTGGCAAACTACCCGGCAAACCGTTGACTACATCACCTCGACTCAGGATAACGCCAACGCGGACGCAAATTACAACTTTGTTGTTCAAAGCGTTTCCTTCCTCTGCGCCCGAGTTGCTCACCACGGTAGATCGCGCTATTATTTTTAGTGGCATCGCATCAGTCCTGGGAACTCTGGGGTACCACAGGAAAAAAGCAATGGTAACCAGAGAGCTGGTGTCGGTTCTGATTGGAGGTCTCGTTGAGGCTCGCACTAGAGGTGCGGCTGAAGTTGGCATCCACCCAGCAGCAGGCTTAGTAGGTTTGAATGCGGTCAACGGTCATGGTAATGGCGCAGGTGCTCTTGAACTCGGTGAGGGAGACATAGAGCATGGCGTCGACGCATTCTTGGGACTGTTATGCAAGACGTACGGGGTGGTTGGCTTGGATGGCGTTTCAAAAGCAGGGCCACGCGAGGGAAATCGCGATGACGATAGTGACAGCAAAGTCATTGAGAGGATCCAGAATCAGGCCGCCGCTAGGCATTTTGGGATCCAAAATGTCAAGCTCAACATCCTGAGAGCTTGTATCAACTTCTCCGAGGCACTTCCCGACTTTGATGGCGTCCTGAAATTCTCGAGCGACTTGCTACGTACAGCAGGAAGCGGTGTTGCACCAGGGCCGCGTCGGGAGGATGCAGCTCCCATAATCACACGAGATGAACAGGTACGACTCGCCACTAATATCTCCAAGACTGCGAATCTGTCCAAACGGTTGGGCTTGGAAAATCTGGCTGCTGAGTACTGGGACGAGTTCTTAATACGTGGAATATTGATGGATCCGCTGGCGCCGACAAGGACACCGGTACCACACGCTAAAAGCGTCCTACCAGGAGCAAACACGGCGCGCACCTCGCAAGATGTCAACCCATTTATTTACAACCCCTTCTTGAGAGCGCCTGACAACGTAGCGATTGCAAAAACCCTTGTAACAGGCGAACCCGCCAACTTCAGAATTACCCTCCAAAATCCTTACGAAATCGACGTGGACATAGAAAGCATTAAGTTGGATACTGAAGGGGCGGAATTTGAATCATCTGCAGAGAGCACGGTTATTGGGCCTTATCGAACACAAATCCTCAAGATATCTGGTACGCCGAGAGCAGCCGGAGACCTCAAAATCACAGGAGCCCTTGTGCGGGTGACAGGATGTCGGGAAAGGAGGTTTCCGATCTTCCCTCAACCATGGGCGGCAGACACCGAGATCAAGGTCAAGGGCATCGGACTTTCTTCGATTGAAAACAACAAGGCATTGCCAGCCCCGGGACCGGCCTTGAAGACATACAGTATTGGGTTGGGGGTAATCCCTGCGCAGCCTGTTTTGGTTGTGAAGTCGACAACTCTCGCCCAAGCTGCGGTTATGATCCTAGAAGGAGAGCGACAGGTGTTTTCAGTGACTTTACAAAACCTCTCGACGGCAGTCCCTGCAGACCTACTACTCTTCTCCTTTCAAGACTCGACTCAAGGGCCTCTGCAGAGTGCGCTGACAAATAGAGATGCCACGCCCGCCGAGCTCTATGAGTACGAACTCGTTCTGGCAAAGAAACAGGCATTGCGTTTGAGAAAAATCAACGACTCCAAAAGATACATCGCTCCTGGTGGCACGGGCACCTTCGAATTCGAGGTTCTAGGGAAGCCAGGTTTGACGAATGGAACGATCCAAGTCGACTATGCCCACCTCGGCGTGCCCCAGGACCAAATCGCCGATCAGTTCCATACACGCCAGGTCTGTGTGGACTTGACGGTAACTGTCAACGCCAGCGTTGAGCTAGCCAGGATGGACATACTGCCCATCCAAGGCGATGTCCCTGAACCGCTCTGGAAACAGCTAGGGTCTGTGGGGACGGAGCACGACATATCCGAATCGGAGAAATATTGTCTTCTAATGATGGACCTCCGGAATGCCTGGCCGAGCAACATGCAAATACACCTCGAAACCGACAAGGGACTAACCATCGAGGAGCAAATACTGCCCGGCAACACGAACAGAGTTATGTTCCCGGTGCCGAGGGTGTACCTTGAAGACCCCCACGCATCTATCCCTGCTCTCAACCCGTCTAGGCAGCGGCAATTCGTCGTCAGCAGCAGCAAAATCACGCCCGACATAGAACGAGCCAACCGAGAGGGTTTCTGGTTCCGCGAGAAGATCCTCGACTCCCTGAAAGGCTCCTGGAAGACCCTTTCGGGGCCCTCACGGGAAGGCAGCATCGAGCTCCGCGGCCTCCGACTCACTCCCCGTATGATCGAAGCCGTCAAGATTGACGAAGTCGACATTGCCATCTCGGTAGAAAGCTCTGACAGCGGCAACCAAAGCACCATCTTCGTAGACGATTTTGCGACCATCAAAGTGGTCATCACCAACTGCACCGCCCAGCCCATCTACCCCACCGTTCGGCTCATGCCCGCGCTCTGCCATCGGCCCCTTAACGTGGCGCTCGACTTCACGCGCAAGTTCGCCTGGAACGGCACCCTGCAGCAGTCCCTGCCCCTGCTTGACGCGCACGCGAGTACGGAGGTCAGCATTGGTGCTACGGCGCTATGTAGGGGTGAGTTTGAGATTACGGCTAGTGTGGAGGAGACGCAGTTGTGGACGCTGCCGCTGCCGCCTGGGACAGAAATGGGAACGGGCACGGATGGTGCTGGGGCTGGAGCGGAGGCTGTCGTGGGAAGGCAGAGGTCGGACACGCAGGCTATGTTGGATGCGGTGCTGGGGGCGAAAGAGAGGCGGATTTGGCATGTGAGGCATCCGTGTTTAGTCAGGGTTGTGGATCGGGATGATGATTAGAGGTTAGAGGTATGAGATAAGTAGAATATTTGTGTGAATGTTATGGAAGAATACCCTGCCTGTCTCTATTGAAAGGCATGGTCTGAGCGAGACGTTCAGCTGCGCTTACGCACAAGTCCTGGGCGAATGATCTTGCAGCATATCGACGCAGTCACTTGGCGTGTTCACTGTAGCTGGCAGGACTACCTGGACTCGTAGTATCGACGGTTCTATATTACAGCAACCGGCTGTCACTTCTCATCAACCGTCACGGGAACTTGTACTATGGGAACTTAGCAGCGGTCATCAGTGTGCCTATCCATACCCATCTCACGTGTCATACAAATAGGGGTATCCATTTCCCAGGTCCTTGAGCTTCACAAGCAAGAGTGAGATAGAGCTAATCACGAAAAGGTTTCGTCACAGCATGTTAATGGCTGCTATTGTACATCTAGAAATCGCTGCTGTTTGGACTTGTTTATCCGCACTGCTGGCAAGATCAACGTCTATTTTTGGTAGTCCCAATTGGTTCCTCACCCTACGCCAGGAGCGTGAAACAGCCGTAAGTCATACTGCGCTAGCGGAACCCATCAGACGGCGGTCGAGAAACTCTATGGTCGATTTCGTGGCAGACTTGGTCGTTGTCAGAAGCGGCAACCCTTACTCGTCAACTTGCATACCCTCAGCCGCCGCCCCGCCCTCCTCCGCCGCCGTCTCACCACCCGCATCAGCATCCTCCTCAACGCTGTTAATCCACTCCTTCACCTCCGCCCCGTCATGCACTTTGAAGAACTCCAGCGCCTTCTTCCCGGTCTCCTTGAATCCTACCACGCCCACACTCGTATTATCGACCGTCAGCTCACGGTCCTGCACCAGCGTCTCCTTGAGCGCGCGCAAGCCATGCCTAATGAGCTCCTCGCGGCCGCAGTCGTTGAAGTTGTCGGCATTCTTTTCGAGGTACGTCCGGGCCATCTGGGAGCGGGCCCCGATGGCGCACGCCACCATCTCCTGGGTCATGCCGCTGGGCTGGAATTCGAAGAGGTGAGGGCCCGTCTCGTCGACGCCCGCGATCAGCAAGCCGACGCCGTAGGGCCGCTTGCCGTAGTGCTGCGTATTGAGCTGGGCTTTGTCGCCGATCATGGACACGAGCGTCTCGATGGGCATGGGCCGATCGTAGGTTAGCCGTTGCGAGAGGCATTGCTGCTTCATGAAGTTGGAGAGGACGCGGGCGTCTGAGGTGAGGCCTGCGATGGCTAGGCCGACATGCTCGTCTACTTCGAACAGTTTCTTTTGGTAGGAGGAGAGTTCTTCGGCATTGCGCTGAGAGTGGGAGGCGAATTAGTTAGTTGGGTGACTTTCTTGTGATGGTGGGATACGAGGTGGTTGAACGGGCTGAATTTGGGGCAGCGTACCTTGATGGCGACCAAAACGGCATGTGTCTTGCTTGTCAATCCCACAACGACGGAACCTTGCTTCACGGCCTCGGCGGCATATTCGACCTGGAATATTCTGCCCTGCGGAGAGCTATATGCTGTTAGGAAACTAAGATCTTGGAGTTGGTAGGGACGCAATCGGGGGCAGCTTACAATGTGACGGAATCGTTGTCGTAATTGTTGCGAAACATCGTGGCTGCGTTTCCGATGTACCGAGGGTTGTGGAAAGAGTATGCGCGCTTTCAGAAGGTGTATGGAGGTGGATTAGTGGTTTTGGTATTCGTCGTTTGGTCGTGAGGATTGATGGAGATGCAAGGCTGCAGCTATGAATGTTGAAGGTCGCCGCCAGCTCTCCAGGCAGGCCAGCCTGACGAAGCTCAATTACTCTTTTTCGGGTTTAGCTTTAACTAGGTGGTGCAGGGGTATCCATTAGTAGCTGCAACCTTTTGGAGTGTGGCTCAAGCTCCCTCAGATCCGGGCTGAGACGACTGACGACGCCCGAATCACCAAGTTTCCAATCCGGCTGGCGCTCACTTCGCTACCTAGTAGACCTACAACTCGACAACTTCCATTCCGTCCCAGCCAAACCGTACCCACGCATTCGCTTCTTAAACTCCCTTCCCCTCCCCTGCAACGTAAATCTGCGATAGCTTTTGCGCAAGCCCATCCGCCCGCATCGCCAACCAACCTCACCATGCCGACCGCGGGGCTAAAAACCATCATCGCCCTCTCCTTCGTGCTCGCCGTCGGCTTCCTGCTCGTCATCCTATCGTGCGCACTATGGAAGGTCTACTATCCGCTGCTCGTCGTTGCCAGCTACGTGCTGGCCCCCTTGCCCAACTGGATCTGCAGCCGTTGCTCCAACCCAGATGATTTCGTCGAGAGTTCGGGAAATGCGATTTTGGACCTTGGGCGCTTCTGCACGGGTTTCTTGGTGATTATGGGTATTGGTACGTTTTGGGAAACTTTGCTACGCTACTCCGGCCCAGGAGCATGGTCTCTAGGTCGCAAATCGGTTCAGCGCGAACGAATGGGGCAGCTTTTGCTAACTGCCTTTTTCTCTTACAGCCTTGCCGGTTGTTCTTGCACACTCCCACTTGATCGATGTCGGCGCTATGGTCATGTGCATTATTGGTGGACTGCTGATTTACGGGACCATCGTTAGTTTCGGTATGTTCTTCCAGGAGGAGCAGGAGTTCTAAAGGGTCAGACGGGGTGGGAGAAGGAGCAGCGAGTAGGCAGTCTGTACTATAAGCCATCAGCCAGCATGCGGGACAACGGCGAACATTGGGTCAGGTTAGCATCTTCAGAGGGTTCAGATCGATTAACTTGCTATTTTTGGGAGGACACGAGCCATCTAACAATCCATATTGTATTGAGCTGTAGGAGTTTCCACGCTGAATCGCATACACCAGTCCGGCTATTACTTCAAGTCTGAGGCCTGTTATCGGTTTTCCCACTCTAGGTTGTATCTGTTTTGCGATACCTTGTAGTGACGCAGTGCTTTCACTGCACCCTCGGCGTCAGTTGCAGTAACAAGAATATCTGCATTGGCGCCCCGCACAAAATCCTCATCTACAGCTTTCTTGACCCAGTCTAGTAGGCCATTGTAGAAACCGTCAATATTCAATATGCACACGCCCTTGCTGTGGATGCCCAGTTGATTCCACGTCGCAGTCTCGAGCAGCTCCTCCATGGTGCCATAACCGCCGCTAAGAGCGATGAAGCCGCTGCCCGGGCCACCCTCAAGTACCTCTTGGGCCATCATCTGCTTGCGGGTGTGCATGTCCCTGACGACCGTAGTCTTGCCATAGATTTGCTCCTCGGGAATAGACAAACCGTCGGTACCCTGCTTCGACGTATATGTCGAATCCCGCTCGTACTTGACAAGAGCCTCAGGGATGATGCCATGGACAGCGTCAGGGCTGGACAGGGCTACTACCGTCTTGGCAACCTCACCCATCAGACCAACTGTTCCGCCTCCGTAGACTTGTCGAGTACGTTAGACGTATGCGTTGTTCAACCATAGGAAGATTTTATACTAACCCAATCCGATGTTGTTCTCGGCCATGATCTTGCCCAGATCTCGGGCCGCTTGCATGTGTGCTGCGCTCTTGCCCTTGGAAGAGCCGCAGTACACGCAGATCTTGGTCTTGCGCGGTGTATTGGGGTCGAGTTTAGACATGGGAGTGGCCGCCCGCGACGCCGGGAATGAGGGCATCGGGGAGACGCTGCCGGACTCCATCGTTCGTGTCTAGGTGATGAGTTATCTGTTTTGGCTTATTTCTGCTACTAGATGACATATGCTGGGACACGGTTGAGACTCAACAAAGTGCCAAATGGCTCCGTATATATAAGGTGACCTTCCTTCGTGACTGCCGTTCTTATAAGTGGGATATGCAAGGTTTGGGCAGCAAATTGGGAAGGAACTGATGTGTCTCTTAACCAATCGGAACGAAAGCATACTTAAGTCCATGTGGGAAAATCGGCAGGCCCGGTGATACAGGGCGAGTATGTAGTCGCCACCAATCATGCAATATATAGTGGATATGTTTCATAACAGTTGGAGGCAGTGAAGTCGGAGGACAAGAAATTGTGAGCACGATGAATATATTGTTTCATTCATTTACTGACTGAGCTGCGACTGACCGCTTCTTCTTCTTCTTCTTCTTCTTCTTCTTCTTCTTCTTCTTCTTCTTCTGCTTCTTCTTTTCTTCTTCTTATGATAAGGTGAGAGCATTGAAGAGTAGTCACGAGTAATTTTGTTGTGCCCACCAATTATGGAAGGCGGGATGAGAACAGCAGTCAGTAAGGTAAGCTTGTTTGATTGGTTGGGATTGTTTCTGTCTAGTGCCTTCACGTTGTACTATGTACTTACTTCACGAAAAACTGTGAGAGCAACGCCAACTGCAAGCTTGATACAGTTAAGTGCACGAGCGTAAATCTCACAAGAGAATATGCACACTTATCATCATTATTTTTGCTCCAATATCGAGTGTCAGTAGTGTTTCCGGCCTTTTGGCTGTGGTTTCGAATTCTCCTACCATGACCCTATGAGATGTATAATTTCACCCACTTGAATTCAAGGGCGGTCATGAAAGTACAGCCGGTTTGCCTGCCATGCATAGAAGTAAATAAACATAACCGAGATGGCTCCAGCGACTATATTCGCCTTGTCCAACGCATGTGTCCGTTTCCAAGCTGTAAACAAGCCAACCCAAGATAGCCAACATACTGTTCAAGGCCTTTTGATCAGACAACTTCAATTTATGGGAACTGTTGTCTCCTCTGTAAGTACTCAGGGTGTCGGTAGTCAACTAAAGGCGTTAATCAAGACTGGAAGTGGTAGTACCGGGTTTATTCTCCTGGTTTAATCGGTCTCCTATGAGAACGTTTCCGCATTATAAAGCATGGTTTGGCTCGAAAGTTGATTGACTTCTGAAAGTTTGTGACTTTGAAGACCAAATTAATCAATTTACTCGCTGAGAACACAGTTTTTCAGCTGCGTAGAGATGGACAAAATGGATCATCGTAGCGGTCGGGAAAAGAGGACGTTGGTTGACAATACCCATTCTTGAAGCCGAGGCTGTGACGTCAACCACCGACACCAGGGTTTCGTTGGCTGAGTGGTTTATGGTTTGTGCTACACAACCGGAGGAAGGAGTCGATGTTGGGGGATGTTTCGACTTAGAAGAGTTCATTGCTTGAATGCTTGATCTATTGACACCTTGACGCAACCCTTCAATTCTCTACAAGAAGCAGGTTATCTTAGAATCGCGTTGAATCGGGCATGAGATAAACTGAGCGTATCGTCGCTAGCATAGTCTTGACTCTGAAAGTGGGAGATCTGACTTGTAGTTAGAATTAATGGCGGTGATTTGAGCTATATTCGCATATCGACTTATCATATCTACCTTCTTGCTGAAGGACAGGTGCCTGTCTGCGTGAAGAGGTAGTTAGTTGGGCGGAATTCAACCCTGCCAGTTGCTTGCATTTACAAGTACCACCCCCACGTTTGCAGCTACCCTAGATCGGAGCGGGCAGATAACTGCGGTCGCATGTCGGCATCTGATTTGCCGATGGCCACTCGGAAAACCATCTCTCCAACTCGGTGCTTCCTTACCAATCTATCTTTTCCACGGTGTACTCCTGCAGCCAGCTCGCAAAGAAAACCAAGGCTGCGACGGTGACAGAAACCCAAATTCGAGTTTTATCACTTCTCAATCAAACCACCCACCATCTTGAGAATCAGTCAAGCTTACAAGATGCCCGAGCCAATTGCGGCCGGAGGGCCAGCTCAGGAAGAACAAGGTGGTGGCGTAAGTCCCGCGTCCCATCAGGATTCGAGTATTGGACCCAAAACTGACACAATTGCCTCTCTATAGCAGTCGATGATGTATAAAATAATCCAGGGTGTTGTAATGTGGTACGGTATTCAGCTGGTCATGAAACAGTTCACGGGAACCAAGCCGCAGACGACCGAGGTTCAGGATTCGACTGGGAATATTGTCAAGGTCCCCGCCAACAATGCAGAGATTCCAGCGTACCAGCTCCGTCCGAAGTCTCTCGACGAAGGTGCAACATATGATCCGATTCCCCAGCGCATTGCGCCTATCTGGCCTTCCAACAGCGCTATCGACATCGTCGTGACTCTGTCGCAGACCTTCGTGCCCATCCCCATCGCAAAAACCGAGGAGCAATACCTTGTCCTTTCTGAGAAGAACTTCACCGTGGGTAACTACAGTGACAAGCGGGCCATTGAGACCACCTTCGATGTCCCTCGAGCTGTCCAGAATAACGGCACTCTGTGGGGGCACTTTTACATTGGCTTGACTGGCGCCAACCTCGATCCCAAAGAGCCGGGCTTCGATCCTGCCACAGCTGTACACTTCGCATACCCCTTGACTCACTATATCCCTAAGAAAAAGGAAGCCAAGACCCGCAATCTCTTAGAAGGCAAGGTCGACCCTGACGAAGAAGAGATCGAAGAGGAGAAACCTACTGGACCCATTATCGCAAGCTATTATCACCCAAACACAAGCTTAGCCTTTATTCCCGAGACCGGCGTCATGAACTTCCCGACCACGCCCCCGGCTGTGCGTCAGTTTCTGAACCTCGAGCGAACCGGTGCTCGCGACGGAACTGGGCAGAATGGCTGGTACTACCCTATCCTATACGTGAACACCTTCTGGCAGTTGAAGAGCCACATGACTTTGCTCAATGATACTGTCAAGACGCTTCCGCTCAGACTCGACCTTGGCAACATGAAAAGCTGGCAGTTCAATACCATGGCTTCCATTGACCTCTCATCCAAGGAGCAAGCTCGTCAGGCTGCATTCGGTGGCCCCATGGCGGGTGGTAGCGACGGGAGCGAAATTGACCTTATTAAGGAAATTTTCATGGATACTAACCCCTATCTCTTAGGCGTCACAGCTGTTGTGAGCGTCGCCCACATTCTGCTAGAGATGCTTGCATTTGGATCCGACATTGCGCATTACCGCAAGAAGAAGGACAACGTTGGTATCTCTGTGCGGTCGATTCTAGCCAATGTCTTCATGCAAGCTGTTATCTTCCTCTATTTGGTTGATAACTCCCAGAACACCAGCTGGATGATCCTGGGTTCTCAGGGTATCGGCATTTTGATCGAGTTCTGGAAGATCACAACGGTAGTCAATGTGCGAGTGCGACCAACCGCCCCTGGCTCGTGGATCCCTTACTGGGTCACATTCGAGGACAAGTACAAGCTGAGCGAAACCGAGGAGAAGACCAAAGAGTACGATGAAATTGCTTTCAAGTACATGTACATTGCAGGGGTCCCGCTTCTGATCGCCTATGCCATCTACTCTTTGGTTTACGATTCTCACAAGTCATGGTACTCATACATCATCACTACCCTTGTCGGGTCCGTCTACGCGTACGGTTTCCTGATGATGGTCCCGTCTCTTTACATCAACTACCGCCTCAAGAGCATCGCGCACATGCCTGGTAAGGCGATGCTGTACAAGTTCTTGAACACCTTCATCGACGATTTGTTTGCCTTCACCATCAAGATGCCATTCTTGCATCGCATGGCTACTTTCCGAGATGACATCATCTTCTTCATCTACTTGTACCAACGCTGGGCGTACAAGGTTGACTACACGCGTGTCAATGAATTCGGCCAGGGCGGTGATGATGAGCCGGCGGAAGAGCTCAAGGTAGAGCCCAAATCATTGCCTAAACTGGATGCCGAAACCGTGAAGAAGATCGGTGGTGGCCCAAAGACTACTGGGGCTAATACCGGAAAGGCGACCAAGAGGAAGTGAGGCCTTGAAACCTCTGTTTTGGTTACAGATCTTGGAAACTCTTGAATTCGCAGTTTCAACTTGGAAGGGGCCCGATGTTAAGCTTCTTACTAACTGGAGTTAATGGAGTGTGCTTGACGTACTCCCCTAGCGGCCTATGTATATTATAGATGACTATAGCTAGGGTACGCGAGTCAAGCAGGATTGTGACGAATGCACCCCAAAATGGCCTCCGGTTTCAATCGATAACCAATACGACGTAAACACGTTTCCCAGCATCAGATCAAACCTGTATAGGTCCAAAAGAGGTGGTCTAGGATTCTGACTGACATCTGATGTAAATATTCAGCCCTATGGAAGCAGAAATAGACTATGCATTTCACATGCTGTGAACCCAGAGAGCCGTCAGCGGCTAGCGGCATACAAGGGCCCCGTACCTTCTCCAATCAGCCCCAGAAGTCTGCATAACAATTAGCCAATCATCGTCAACGTTCGACCCCTTCCAAGTTCTGGAGCTCTTCTCAGCTTGTCAAGGTTGCAGGCCTCCCACGTTCCATCTTCAACCCAACTGACGGGGATTTTTCGTCAAGCTGGTCGTCGTACTGGACGATATAATTCAAAATTGAGATCCGTCCGTCCTTGAAGAATCGTGATACGTGGCCAGCGTTTACGTGATCGGCCATAGCAGTAGGACCAATGGACCGGTGACGACACCCTCGGCACATAGCGTCGCATTGATCACTGTTCTCTTGGGACTTTACGAGATATTGACCGATAAAGCACACACCACGCTGCTGCTGCTGCTGCTGCTTATCGCAGAGCCAGCTAGCTACATTTACACATCGACGCCTCCTTACCCCTCGCCATCTCAATCGACTCGACTTGCACGCGCTGCCGGAGCTCCTTCGTTTTGAGCCCCACCAAGATATGAACAACGAGACGGTCGGCTCGCTCCTGGCCGTCATTGCGAACTCACTCAACGATGGATTGCGCATCATGATGTTCGCCGACAAGCAGGGGTGGTCGTCGGACGAATTCGATCAGTTGAAGCTGCTGGAGGAGACGCTCGATGAGGCGAAGCGGGACTTTCAGGAGCTGCCCGCGTTGGTGCATGGTCAGGTTTATTATGAGCATGACCGGAAATGTAGGTTCTCCGTTTTTCTCGTTCTTTCTGTTTGTTCCCGTTTCTGGATATGTACTTGGGCACTTGGGGCCAAGTGGTGATTTGCTCGCAACCGGCTGGAGCATCAAGACACGTGCAATGTAAGAGAAAGCTGAAAGAGAAAGTTGACCCTAATAAGTGCCCTCTTCCCTCTAGCCGAATCCCTCGAAGATCTCCGACTCCTCTGCACCCGCTTCGAACTACACATGCAAAACTTCAAAGACTGGGCCCGCACCGGCGGGCCCATCAACCCAGTCTGGGCGCGCGAAACGATCGAGCTGCGCCGGGAACTCCACCGCGCCCAATGCCGCGCAGCAAGGCGCATCTTTAACGCGGAGCAAGAAACTACGACGCGGTGTCTGGGGGCCTTCCAGGTCTTCCGCGTGCAGCGGTCGCCGGAAAAAGCGCAGCAGCGCAACCTCGAGGAACTCATGATGAGCAACAAGGTGGGCAAGTTCGAGCGCTTTGGCGAGCACGGCATCGCCTTTGTGTGCGACTTCTGCGACGGGTATATGGTCTGGGATGACCTGCGCGAGATGCCGTCGCACCGCAAACCGACGACGACGCCCGACGGGCTCGAGCCCATGAGCGGGACGAGCACAACGCCCGCAACGCAGGATACCTGGCAGGCTACGGGGTTTAGCGCATCTGACGGGACCGAAAAGCCTATCGTTTTCGCGCCCGTCGTCATTGCGAATCACATGCCACCCGTGCCCGGGGAGTGGCAGGCGAGGATATTGTGTCCGTATTGTGACGAGTACTACGAGTATGAGCAGGGCGACGACGAGATGGAGCGCGTGAAATGGAACCAGGACGAAGACGGGTTCGAGGACATGGCTGCTTTTAAGGAACACCTCGAATGGAGCCACGTCGGCATAGTACCCAGCACCACCAATTGCTCCGTTATGTGAGCAGCGCACAAGAGGAACGTCGTCGAAGAAAAGAACAATCAATGCATTGGATCCCGCTCGTGGATCGGCGTTCACGGGAAATCAAGGAGTGGAGGCGTAACTAGACATCGACCACAGGACAGACAGAGTAAGCATTGGCGTTCCGGATGAGTTGCGAAACGGTCCTATCCATTTCAGGAGATATAGATTGGTTGGGTTGCTTGGGGCAGCACACCAGAGGATGGAGCATTTTGGGGGCACATTTTATATCAGCGCCAGGTTTGTCTGGGGAAAGGACGTTTGCACTGCCTATAACCCCCCCTTCCCCCCTTCCCCCTAGACATTTCGAGATGATTGCCGGTCTTGGTCGTTACGTATTCAAATAATACAATTGCAAGCCACTTGGAGTGAGCACACGTATGCTGGCTTTGTTGTTCCGAGTCCGCCTCGCCAGGTCGCTAGATTCTGCTGGCGTCGCCCATCTACCCTCTGGATCTCCATCGCTTCTATGTTGCACGTTGAAGGCGGGTCTCACGCCAATTGCGGTGCAAGAAGGGCCAAGCTGGCTGCTAGCCAAGTAGCCACTATCCCATCCTTCCCAGAGTGCAAGGCGAAAGGCCCCGAGCCTGTCTCCAAAGTTCCCTCCTCGTCGTGCTTTGCATGTCCACGTAGACCCCTTCAAAAGAACCGCAAATAAATAAACAGCAACACAATCAACCCAAACACTGCAAAGGGTCCGTACTGCTTGAGCATCAAATCCCAATTAATCTTGACAGCCGCCTTACGGTATTTCTTCGAATCGTCGCGCAGCCTCGAGCTAATCTCCCCCATCCTCTCGAGACTATCCCCACGATACAGCAAATCCTCAATATTTTTTGTCATGACCTTTGTCACGTCCCTCAACTCATCATTCAGCTTATCCAGATTCTGCGTCGCCCGCGCGTCCGCATACGTGGCTTTCGTCCGCGCGATGAACGTGTCGAATTCCATGAATGCGTAGGGGCGCAGCGTGGGGCTGGACAGCTGAGTTGCGGAGTACGAGTTGCTAAATTCGGCCGACAGGTCCGAAAGGTAGGTGAAAGAGAGCTTGCGCGGGTAGGAACGCTCGCAGATGCAGAGGAAGACGATTTGCGATTGCGACTGCTCTGAGATTAGGTAGTGCAGGGTGTAAGGGCCGGACTCGATCGAAGCTTGGGGTTCCGAGTTGCGGTTTAGGCGCCGCAGGATCAGTTTTACTTGGGACTTGATCTCGGCGAGAGAGGACTCGGTGGCTTCGTCGTCGACCGAGGCGCAGAGCATCAGGCCTGGAGATGGAGGACGGGGTTAGTGGGTGTTGCGAGGCTGCTGGGCGGAGGGAGAGAGCGCACCATCGCCCAGACGGGCTATTTGTGTTGACCTGATCATATTCGCTGGGTTTGACGTGTCGCACTTGATGGGCGAACAGGAAGGGTTTCAGGAGTCAAGTGTCGGAGGAACAGAGCCGAGTTTATGGCCTATGTGGCTTTATCCGGCCTGCAACCTCGGAGATTCTAGGTTGCCAATTATTGAAGGCGATCGTGTCTTACACTGTTGGTTTTCTTGAATCCCGGCCCTGGGCGATTCTCCGTGTTGGTCTTACTGAGGTGGAACAATATCTGCAGTCTCAAGTTACTGGGATGGATGATGGAGGTCAATGTCCTTGGATCCGAGCAAAGCACGAGCTTCTCGTCAATCGACGTCAGGGGTCTGGGCCTGGTCCGTCCCTGCCAGATTGCAGCTCAAACCCGACCAATCAAGATTTAGTGGATTACAGACAGCTAGGGACATATTGTCAACTTGTCGTATATCAGTTCAAGAATTACAAGATGGCATTCTGATTGGGTGAAGTACTCAGAGTTTCTCACTGGAAAAAGACAGAGCAGTCTGTATTTGAGCATCTCAGACGCAGGTATTCCCTTGGAACGATGCCAGGGTTGTCCTGCTCGCATCGGAGCGGGCAGGCGCGCTTGTAGCGTCAGTACTGGCAAGGCACTAGTGAGCGTGCATGACAGACTGACCAGTTGGCGTTGAGGCATACAGCCGGTAAGCGCAATAAGCGCAATGAATGCAATAAGGAGCCGTGCACAAGACGCTAGTAACAACTTCGCTTAGCAGCCAACTCTTGTCAACATAATGACTTACACAGTGGCCAAAGCAAGTCTTGAAGGTGTTGAACCGAGGAATCGCAATTGTACAAATCGTATTTCGAAGAGTTGGAAAAACTGGGTTCTATTATAAAGATGCTAGCACCTAAATAAGCGCCGAAAAAGGACCCCGATGCTGGTCCTCGACTTCCCTACTTCATCTTTGTCTCAGTCAAGTGAGCCTCCACCGTCAAGGTCCTGATTCATCACACCATCAATTGCATTGGAAAATTTCCGAAATGGCTGTCCCTCGGGGAATGAACGGCGAGCATGGGCAGTCCCGTAAACACCAAATTTCGGAATCGGAACCGGGAGCCGAAATCGAAATGATCATTTCTGCCAGCAAGAAGGCTGAGATTCTTGATAGCGAGGACGAGATGGAGGATGAAGTCGATGAGGACACGCCCAAAGGAAAGACAGTGGGAAGGGGGAGGGCAAAGCCCCCCACCACGACCAGAGGCAGACGCAAGGCACCCAGAGAAACATCCGCAGAGGCCACGAAGAGCACCGGTCGCTCGCAGAAGCCCTCAGGTCCAGCTGAAGCTCCCGCCATTTCCCAGCCAATTAATAGCGGTGCCTCGTCTTCCCTCTCGTCCGTGCCTGATTCCGAAGCACCTGATCTAATGAACCTTGACGAAGTCCCTCTTGACCCCGGACTGGACCACAACAACATAGACACCTCCTCTCATCCCACAAATAATGCAAATACTAGCAACGATCTCATTGCCATGGCAGCCGGCAGCCCCACGGTCAGCGATCGATCTTTCGGTAAGCGCAAGGCGCCGAAGAAGAATTCTGGGGACTCGCCCACCAACGCCCCCAAGCACATGCTCGACGATCCTGTTGAAGCTACTACCAATCCTAAGTCAGCTGTCGGTAGGGCGAATCTTCGCGTAGGTCAATCTCTCAAATACATTTGACCACGGTCACGTTCGAGCCATGTTTTTAAACGGCTCATTGAGCCCGCTGCAAACAGATTCCCATCCTTCCTTTATTCTTGCTAACCAACAATCAGGACGTCCTCCTCAGTTCACAAGCGTGGAACTGCCTTACTGCCTCGGATAAAAAGATGCTACTGGATCTCATGCCTGACGACAAGGAAATCAAGAACAAGGACACCGATGAGTGTGAGTTGGATATTGAAAAGCTGCGAAACAATGACGACTTTCGCTTTGACATTGCCAGATACCAGGAGAATCTGCGCGAGGGCAAGCACGACCCCTTTTGGATCTCGCAGGCTGTTGGGGCGCACGAGAAGCGCTGTCAAGGCGAATACACACAGTTCGAGGCCGAAAAGTTCGCGAGGGATTGGGGTATGGGCATGCATGATGCCCCTGCCGAAACGGCAGAGAAACCTCCCGAGGCCGTCGACGCTACACTGAAGGACGACATGGAGGAGGTGGACGAGAGGCTTGGCAAGACTACCGTCACTGAACGCCATGCTGAGGTGCAGAAGGGAGCGGATCCTAACAGGGTAGTCGGGGCTGATGAGCACCACGAGGCCCACAAGGGCTTTGTGGCTGATAAGCAAGGCGAGCCTAGGGCAGCACACGCAGAGGAGCAATCCCAAGCTCGGCAGACTACTACACGGGTTGAGCATAATTCTGAAAATGGCGCGGTCGCAACGAACACCGAGCTGAAATAGATCGAACACCACGATCAAAACTAGTATGAATAGTTTCCGCAGAAATTTGTCTAGGGAATTCCCAATAAGGCCATGATGTAGCATAGAATTCATATACCCCTAACCAATGAGCTTGTAAACACACCTGGCTTCCTTTAGTTCAATGTACTGATGTGGCCTCTCTGGCAAGTAATCGCGGCAAAGTATTCACTATCCGAGTTTTTCTTCTACAACCACCTTCCAGTAGGGTTGGCTCTTCCCCTTCGACGAAGGCAAGAAGTATTATACAGACTGGAATAAAGAGATTCTTTTTTTCTTAATTCGATCAAATAAAAAGACAATCAGAAAAACAGACTAGCACAGCTCAAGGCGCGAATCGAACAATCGCATCCCGTATCATGCTGCGGCTCTCCAGGCAAACAGGCAACTTGTCCCTTGGATGCGTAACTGCTGCAGCAGTACGCTCTTATGTTGCCAAAATGCTTCTTCCACCTCTCGATATTCCAATATGTCAAGAATATACAAGATACACAATGACACAAGGTGCTCCCCAAGTGAACGTGTTCGACCCTCCCACGTAAGTCCTCTCCTACTCGTAGAAGACAACCGATCTGTTCCTTTCCTGATAAGTACTGTACTAACTGTTGTCATCTAGCCCCCCCAAACGGATAGGATGCTCACATCGGGGCATGATATGGACCAGGACCTTCCTGTGAGGGATCTCTACTCAGATAGCATCTGTATTGACGAGCTCGCCAAAAGTCGCTTCTCTTACGCTTCTCACGTGTAGCATACGTATGGCCCTTAGCCGATGTGGTCAAATCGGACAATGACTATCCACTGTATTGGGTTTGAGGCGTTTGAACAGGAGTCTATATCTCATCCTCTTCATCATCAAAGTCGTCCTCGCGACCCATTTCATACAAGATACGACCGCCTTCTCCAGCTCCGATATCTGTCTGTGCGTCGAAGTACGGCAAGACAATGCCTTCCCTGTCCTTTCTTTGCTTTTCCGTCAATCCCAGATTGAAAGTCGTGCCGCCCTCATCGCCGCCCCCTCCACCAACATCTTCGCCTGCATCGCTCGAATCCCTGAATAGCGGATGATCAGACAAGAGCATTAATTTTGCCAACTCTGTCTTCCCCGCCTTCTCCGGCGACGAGACCAAGACAAATTTTTCTGCCACCGAGCGACCGCTCCGCCTTCTAATCTCCATCTCCAAGACGAGGCCATTTTCAGTTCTTGTCGTGCCTTTGCTTCTCAGTCCGATCAAGACGCCCTCCCGACCTTCCTTTAGACCCCATTCGGGCTCCTGCAAGCTTCGATTTCGCGCCTGCCTGCATTCGACAGCCTGATACAAGCTCGACACGCGAAGAATTGCTGTGGCAAGATGAGATAGCACCGTCAGGGGATGCGGCTCGTACTCATTGAAGGTCCTGGGAAGAACCAGCGGTACGTCCGTGTGGTAGACTCCTACCAACGAGACGGCAGGGGTGATGAGGCTGGATAGAAAATGCGCCAGCTGCGACGGAGCGGAGGACGCGATGGGGTTGAGGGCATCCACGATCACCAAGACTTCTGTGGTGGGAAAGCATCAGCAAAGATGCTTCGGAAACGTAGGATTTGAGAAGGAAGAAGCCTTACTGAGGGCGTGGCCCGAAGCCGAAAGGGGGTAATGCGAGACGATCTCAGAGCGGAGCGCCTCGGCGGATTTGCCCCGCGCTTTCACGAGGATATCTGCCTCTGCCGGCTTTCCCAAGGCGGCGAAAGACACGAATATGATCCTGCTCTTCGATACCTACCGAGCGATCAACCCTAGGTCAGCAATATACCGGGTGTCACGATCTGGGTGCGGAGAAGCAAGAAGCCTAATACTTGGACATGTACGGGTAGGCATGAGGGGTGTGGAAGTCCGCCATGATAAAACAACTACCGACCTTGGCTCTGGTAATGAAATCGCGGATCACTGGCCTAGCACTTTGTTCCAGAGTGTCGAGAACCAATGTCAGCGGGCTGGCGCTATCCCGCAAATTGAGTAATTTCTGGAGAAGCAGTAACGCATGAGACCGCGAATGCGATTGCGCCGGCGGCGCCATGTCGATTAAATTGCTTCTCGTTTGGAGATTCGCTGCCGGACAGATGGGGTTGCTGTCGGTCTGCAGGTAGAAGGCCTGGAAGTATACAACAAGATGCTGTGTGCCAGGTCAAAATTCGGGTCAACTTGGAAGTGCCGGATTGACAAGGGACATATGCAACTGCCCCGTAAATCGATGACTTTTTGTGTAATGAGCCAGTAGGGTTAGTCGGTTTGTTGCATATCCGGGGAAGCCTGTTCATTTAGCACATAAGTAACCAATGAGGCTTCTTCCCTAAACACCTTCTCAGCCCGATAACAAGCAATTGCAACGACATCTACCGGCTTGAGATACATAAAATGTTACGAATCGAAATGCGTTATCACGAGGTCTTCTGGGTAAATTGGCTGGCCGTATCTCAGAACCAATCTAGGGCGGGAAGATCTTCATCTGAGGAACGCTCCCTCCCGTCCAGCTCCAATATGCTCAGACAGCATGCCTTTCCCTGAAATGGAGTAATGTGCCCGTCGTATCTTTTTGCCCAGCGTCCGGCTGAATACCTCGTCGTGCAGCACAGCGTCTCGGTATGATTGCTTCGAGAGTATATGATTCTTGGCGTCGTATATCATCGCGGCAGTCTTGCAGATGTCTTGGGTCTCTTGGAACGCGACACACATATAGGTATCATGTGTTCCTTTCTGGGAATTGCGGGGGTTTCAAAGAAGGTCTCTTTTGCCCATCTCTAGAGAATACGTCTCGTTGTTCTCCTCTCTCTTGCGGATCTCGTCGCGTCGCCTTGGCTTTGAGCTTAGAGTGGCATTGTTATGGCCAATTACCTGTTCCAAGGGCTGGTTGGCAGCCTTGCCCTGATGCTTGGAGCAGCAGCAGCTCCCGTGCGCGATGGCATAGAGCCTCGCAACTTCCTTGCAGAGGCGGGTTTGTCGGTCACAGACGCCTACCACCCTCTCATCAGGAACTCGGTTGATCGAGAGGCACTCAGAAATCCGCCGTTCCCAACCTTGAGGCAAGATGGACTCAATTTGCGACAGACTAGTCCAGGAACCGACCATATCAAGGCGATACCGTCTCAAACGCAGTACCTAATGTCTGTCGGAATCGGTAATGGGACTTGGTTGATGATACCAGATACCGGAAGCAGCGACACGTGGTTGATGTCCTCCAGTTTCAAGTGTCTCGATCGTGCACACAACCCGCAGGAGCAGGCTTACTGCAAGTTTGGTCCCTCGTACAACGGAGACTTCTCTGGAGGCAAGATTACCGACCAGCATATGAACATCACATACGGCGGCGGGGACTCTCTAAATGGTGACATGGGCTATGCCGAGTATGTATTGGCTGGATGTTCTCCTCTTGGAGAACCTCTAACTCCGAACCCTGCACGTCTTACTGAATTTCCAATAGCGTCACGGTAGCTAGCATCACAGTTCCCAGGCAGGAAATGTCTCTAGTAACCACAGCTAGCATTCGTGGCAACGGCTTGTTCTCGGGAATCCTGGGGTTGGGCTTGCGCGGCCTTACCACCGCCTATCAGGGAACAGATCCGTCTAAAGATAATGAAAACACCACGACGAGATATGCCCCCATCATTGAAACCATGTCCCTGGACGACGCCATCGAGCCGGTCTTCAGCATTGCAATGTCACGAGACGATGATCGCTCGTACGTCTCATTCGGCGGCGTTCCTCCTAATGTGCAGACCGGGGAGTTCGCCAGCACACCGATTCTACAGGTGAGTCCAGAAAACTCGAAAACAAGGCAAACAATCCCGGATACCATTGGAACTAACATGCTACCAGATGGGATATAATGGCGGGCCCAAGGACTATTTGTACTACGCCATGCGCCCGGAAGTACTCAAGTGGAACAGCAGCACATATAGTCAGAACTGGACCAAACCAGACGGCATGATCGTTGACACAGGCACGACGCTAAACTACTTTCCCAGCGATATCGCCTTCTCCATCAACTCACTCTTCAGCCCTCCAGCCGAGTACAACGGCGGCACATTTGCTGTATTGTGCGATGCCACTCCACCGACAGTCGAAATCGGCATTGGTGGTAAGCTGTTCCAGATCGCCCCGAGCAGTCTGATCCTGCCAGAAACGAAGCAGAGCAACATTGATGGCGACTATTGCTTGACTGGGATCGCCACTGGGAGCAACGTTTTGATTCTCGGAGATGTTTTCCTGCAGGAGATGTTGGCCGTTTTTGACGTCTCTGATAAGAAGGAATTGAAGTTTGCCATGCGCACCGACAAACCTACCTGAGTCGCGGCGATGCTTTTGGGAATTTGATCTGGAAGAAGCAGTGATGAGCAAAGTATGCAAGGAACAATGTCAGGCTTAGACATCACGGGGCTGTCAACGATTTTACGTTTGTGATTTAGTATGGAAACGTTGCTCTTCAGATGAAGGCAATATTGAATCGAAAAGTATATGACTCAAAGAGCCTTTCTGCACATGATCGAGTTCCCGCGACAGGAAACTATGAAGGCTCATAGTCGAATGCAATCAACGCCGTAGCTGAGTAGCTCCTCAACTCTGTCTGGAGGACAACCAAAGCCCTATATGTACCCTGTGTTGTGATCAAAACTAGCTCTCAGTCAAATGTCAATCCTGTCGTGTCCAGTCTTGCAGCAGTCACTTTCATCGCTTAGACAAAGCAAAGGAACATCGTACTTCAACTAACACCGTCTGGGTTGAGACATCGGGCAAGTTTTCCAGTACATTGAGAACAGGACCGAGAAACAAGGATGAATGCAGATAATTTGCTGCTTGCCTATACCAGTAATGGTGATTACTTGCTATTAATCAAGAATTTAATCCAATATGTACGTGCCGATAGGCCTTCACAACTGAGACGTGCACTCTGGTGCCCAGAAGTTCGGATTAACGGTCGTAACCTTGTCAGAGAGATGTCAGACCATGGGAGGTTTCAAAGTCTCCTTGACATGCCGTTCTACCGTCGTCTAAGCGCGTTAAGGTTGAGGCGGGCATAGACGAACAAAACCGGGGGTTTTCGGGTGACTGACTACTCTGGTCCTTACAAACTCCAGTCAGAACTGACGCAGATGGGACGAATGGACGAACATGTTGATTGGCTTACAAAAATAGCCAAGCACAATAGAGACTCGGAATGACAGCGAGTTATTATTTCAGTCCATCCCGTGACGTCTGGCAGAACCCCGATAGGCATGGTCCAGTTTGTTGCTTGCCTTGAAGAACTCTATTAGGGGGCAAAGATATCTAAGCATCCAAGGACGGGATGATTCCAGTGATGTTTTGCGTATTGTAGCCTTGGGAATCGGCGTCCAATCTCCATATATAACAGGTGTTTTGATGTATGTGACAGTCTATGGAGAATCACATCGCTACTGGTCAACCAAACTGGCCGAAACTCCTTTCTTAGTAAGCCCGGTGTCGACGGCCGTTATTCTACATCGCCGGCAACATGAAGGCAGAGCAGAGCCCCGTGCCCGTCAGTAGGCAGGCATACCTCAACTTAATTTCAAGGTCAAAGTACGGCTGAATTCATGCAGACGCGTTCGGTACCACGGCACGTAGCTATATATCTACACATCACTTATCCTTCTATCACATCTGGCGGCACTGCACCTTCATACAATTCACACATTGATCATTACGCCCCAATATCTCCTCCAAAATGTCCAAACCCACCCACGCCGGCCTCCCCTCCAACCGGTCCAAACTCCTCCAAACCGCCCTCTCCGTCATAGACGGCTACAATTCCTGGTCCCTCTCCGAAATCGCCTCCCCACGCACCAAAGACTGCACGCAGCAATGCCACCCCATGTCCCTCAAAGGACCTCTGTACACCAGTCCCGAAGAGTACTGCGAGTACTACAAGACCATGATCCCTTTGTTTCGCAACTTCAAAATGGAGGTTATAGGCTACGCCGAGGACCAGACGCAGAATAAGGTGATTTTCCATGCGATGGCTACGGCGGAAACGGATGTCGGGCCGTATGAGAACGAGTTTGTGTGGATGATCCAGACGACGCAGGATCAGGACAAGGTGTGTGGTATTAGGGAGTTCCTTGATAGTGCGTATACGGTGGACTTTTTGAAGAAGATGTGGGAGAGAATGCAGGAGGAGGGGAAGACGACTTGGGGGTGATTCTGATTTTCAGGGTCTTCATTGAGATGGAATGGTAGAGGAGCCGATCAGAGATATACGGGATAGCCCTGTCCTTTGCTGCCTGGGGTAGCGGATATTCGCTTGTCTTTCGAACTGGGTATATTGACGAGATAGTGGGAAAACTTGATTCTTTTGTCCGCGAAGAAATCTTGCGCCTAATTTGTGTCAATAATGAACACTTGGTGAAACACTTCATTCCGACCGACGGGAGACCATTCCCAGAAGGCTTGAAGACGCGGGACAGAAAACCCGCATATATACCTACATATTGTCGATGAACAGAGATTAAACAGCTGTGCAAAGAGAATAATATGATGCCAAGGGAATAACATTCATGGTTGTGTACTCTACTAATATTACATACCCAGTATCTCAAAGAAGTCTGATAGAAACTCCGGTTAGAACGAGATATTTTGTTCATACGTTTATCTGATCAATAGTTGAGTAATTATCATGTTCTAGTGGAGTCAAAGGACAGAAGAAATTGGTTTCAAGAACATGTATACTGTGAAAATTCTCATTAATTAGTACCATTTTATCTAAGACAAGCCTATAATGAAGCAATGACGTAATTTTCAGACATGAGTCTTGGGTATCAGTTGAGTTGCTGACATGTTACGTAATCCAAATGCTTTGAGGGGTGTACTCCGGCGGTGCAGGCAGCCACAGCAACTTCAACAATTAACATCAATACAACCGATGACTACACAATAGAACAAAACAAAAGAGATGGAAATGGCTGAACTACCCACAACAGCGGTGCGCGTGAATCGTCACAGACAGGAAGATCAACCAGAGCCCCTCGCCATCCCCGCCACCGCCACCACCGCCACCACCGCCAGTCCAGTAAACAATGACAATGGTACAGACGAGGACACGGCGCCGAAATTGTCAAGCACTTCCATCGCCCTCATCATGTCCCCCCTCTGCCTCTCGGTCTTCCTCTCCTCCCTCGACCTTACCATCCTCACCCCGGCCATTCCCTCCATCGTGTCGTCCTTCTCCTCGGCGACGGGGTACGTCTGGATCGGCAGCGCCTTCGTGCTCACCCACACGGCCGTGACCCCCGTCTGGGGCTCCGTCGCCGATATTTGGGGCCGCAAACCCGTGATCCTCACTGCCCTGGCGATCTTCCTGGGAGGCAGTTTGTTCTGTGCGTTGGCCCCCACGATGGAGGGCTTGATCGCGGGGCGTGCGATCCAGGGCGTGGGAGCGTCGGGCATGGGGACTATGGTGACTGTGATTATTTGTGATACGTTCTCCATGAGGGATAGAGGGCTGTATTCGGCGGTTACGTCGGTGGTTTGGGCGGTGGGGAGTGCGGTTGGACCTGTTATCGGGGGGATCCTTACCACCAAGTCGGAGCAAGTTTGACAAGCTTCATGCTCCAGGTTATTTTGGTTCTAATGAGGGAGCAGCTGGAGATGGTGTTTTTGGATCAACTGTGAGTGAGGGGATACGTCCCCGCGTAGATGTCCATTTAGAAGCTTACAGTGCTTGTAGTACCCATTGGCGCCGTCGTCTTCGTTGTGTTGCTCTTATTCCTGAAGGTTCCCACACCGAATACGCCCGTCCTTGCGGGACTGAAGGCCATTGACTGGGCTGGCAGCTTGCTCATAGTCGGTGCCGCGCTGATGATCCTGCTCGGCCTCGACTTTGGAGACGTCACGTACCCCTGGTCCTCCGCTACCGTTATCTGCCTCATCGCTTTCGGCTCTGCCGTTGTCGGCATTTTCATCCTTAATGAATGGAAATTTGCCCCCAACCCCCTTATTCCGTTGCGCTTATTTTCCAATAGATCTTCAGTCGCTGCCTACGGCGTCTTCGCCTGTAACTTCTACGTCCTTATCGGTCTCTCCTACTATCTACCCCTGTACTCCCAGTCGGCGCTTGGCGCTAATGCCTTGAACTCGGGTCTTCATCTCCTGCCTCTCATCGTTTCGAGCTCCCTGGCGGCCGCCTGCGCTGGAGTGTTCATTCAGCAAACCGGCATATACCTCCCTGTTATGTACGTCGCCCAGGTCATGCTAACCCTCGGCACCGGGCTCTTCATAAATCTCGAGCTTCAGGAAAGCCTGGCAAAGCTCTTTATCTTTGAGATTATTACCGGGATAGGCATCGGCATGAATATGGAACCTCCGCCCCTCGCCGCCATGGCCGCCACGACGGTGCTGGATACAGCTGCTGTCGTCACATCCATGGCCTTTGTGCGTTCGCTCGCGACTGCCATCGCTATTGTACTCGGTGGCGTCATTTTTCAGAATCGGAGTACGTTCAAGAGTTATTTATTACCCTATCTGGTCTGTCTTAGAAAGGTGCCAGATTGAGTAATCTTGGGAGTTTTGCTCTTGAGAAATGACTTAGGAATCCTAAATCATCCCTGAGATCATTATAAGTGGGAAATACTGACTCAAGTTTTTGCAGTGGACGCAACTAACGATGATCTGGTCGACCAGCTTGGTCAACAACTCGCCGGAAACTTCACCGGAGGTCAGGCATCGACAAATATTGAACTCATCACATCGCTGCCGACCGACCAGCAGGTCCTGGTTAGACGGACATCCTTTGGAGCACTAAGAACGGTCTGGATCATGGTATGTTTCGCTTGTTTTGCGCAATGTAGATAACTTGCTGGTATACTAACGCGCCGCTCATAGTACGTGGTCGTCGCGGGCTTGTCATTAATTTCGAACTTCTTCGTCCGCGCCCACCATCTGAGTGACGAAATCAAGGCGTTACGGCTTGGAGTTGGCAGGACGAGGCGGGACGAACCACAACACGATCAAGTTGCGAATGCAAATCCTATCGAATTGGACGAACTTGGCGAGAATGGAACGCGTTGATGATGATAGTTGTGGGAGTCTTGACGGAATGCCCGACTCTAGCAAGCTTCAGTACATCAGCAGGAGCTGCCTGGCTTTGATGAATAAGAACACGATGTCTAACTTACGGATAATCCAAAGAGCGTTCGTCTTCTCATTCGCTTTCCCCAAGAGTAACTATTCGTGGTTGGGTAAGTCTGTTTAGGACCCTTGAACGACATCCATATAATTGATCGACGGAATCTGATGAATTCTCTCCATCCACCGAAACTGGGCCAAGATGGGGAGTACGTAGCGAACTGGCACATCGTTCACGGGATGATGCATGTTCGGTCTCATCGGAACGTTCAATTCTCACAAGCAAATAATCACTTTAAGCTTTTGTAACTATGATTGGTGTGATACGCATCCTAACGCAGGGGCCGCAGCCATCCGTTTTATGTTGCTGGGGAAAAAGAGAAACAAACGGCCTTCAGTGTGACTTATCAAGTCATCATTAGAAGTCGTCGGGTACCAAAGAAACGAGTTGCATACGTTAGTTAGATTGGATGAGCATGGATATGGAGTTTAGGATACAGGTGAGGTAGGAAATAAGTGAATATCTGATCTAGACCAGGTCGACATGAGCAATCTACGGATCGGTAAGTGAGTGAGCACGCTCTCAGCATGTCCGTAACTGAGAAGATCATCCTGTTGAGCCGTTCACCAAACTCGGCTCACCAAAAGCAATCAGCATCGCATCGCAGGGCGGGTCAAGGGTACAGCATTACCGCACAGTCCCTGTAGCCGATCCCGTGTTCTACACCTCCTCCTGCATCTCATCTCCCAGATTAGCGTCTGCACTGTCCCATAATACTAGCCTCTACTCCCAAGTTCTACGGTTTTCGACGTACCGAAACCCGTGCACACAGAAATTCTATGTATTTAGTTCCATGATATCTCATATACGTTTACCTGTGTCCGTTGTGCCTCGACGTGGGGCATTCCCCAGGGTAATATCGGAGATGCCGGAAGGGGTGTACGGTGCTCTAGCACAAAAACACCCATGAACTTGCCGTTACAATTAGTCAACGACGCCAATTCCTCGATCAGTTCGATCCCTCGATCAGTTGGGGTCAATCGTAATGCCGCACAACCCCATCTGCCAGTGACAACGACCAAGATCAGTAGGGTGAAATCCCTGCACTTCAATAGCGCCATAGACTTAATAAAGCCAGAGTTTGAGCCCACCATATTATCCACTTAGAATCAAGGATGTACTAAGTAGACTTGACATCTCCTTTGGTGGTATTATGTTGTTCCGATTACGGAATACGCGAGCTGTTATTCACTGTCGTCCGTGCCCCACAGGACCTGTTCTCGAACCAACTCACACCAACTCACTACTTGCTGTCATCCAGACAGCTTAACAGGGTCGGGTTGCCAAATGCAGATCGTTCAGATTAACCACCCGCTAGGATCGGATTATGCGACGAGTGGTCAATTTTGGCTCCATATCATCACATATCATATTTTGATCTAGCGCTCCGGATCTATCTTCCATTCTATCCAATAGTGGCAGAGATGCGGATTGCCCCAGGATTTTGCGTCAGGGGTAGATGCTGGACGTGAGCCTCAATTTGGGGTTGCTCGTTCCCTGCATTGTCATTTTCACTAGCTTCGTGGAAAACCTTTTGGTCGCGCTAGCCAAAAGCTGGTAGCTAACGAATGCAACGGTAAGGGAAGCGTGGCAGTCCACGAGGCACGTCGGTGTCTGTCGGCAACAAGATGACTTGTCCTCAGAGGCGCCTTTCCTCTTCTAGACCTGAATGGGCAATGATTGCGACGCAAACCTGAAGCCGTACATGGCTCCATCTCTCCCAACATGATGCTGCCCACGCGATCAACCCAGCTTGCTCGCATGTGCCATGCAACGCTTGTCCCTAGCGGGCTTTTGGCGGCAGCTCAGCTCTCAGCCCGGGTGGGTGCATGTTCGGGTTTATAGTTCGGCGAAGGAGTTCACCAAGGGAATTAGGTTCCCACATGGCAACCCCTCTTGCGCGTGTCGTTTGCTGAAAGCGAACAAGCACGACTCGAACTGGCATACGGTTTAGACCTTTCACACAGCATGGCGGAGACCATGGCGTGTAGATCCAGCGAGCGATCCAACCTGTTGGGAGCTGTTCCGGATGTAAGTCTTCATTTCACCGTCCATGGCTGCGTCCGGTCAACGTGCCGCCAAGGAGAACAAGGCCCCCTAAAGCGCCATGGCCAAGATGATGATGGGCTTCGCTACCGCCCTTCAACAACCGACCCTCAGTCCGCCCGATCGTCAGACAACCGAAGTTCACCATGCATCGAACGGCGGACATCGGAATCGAAGAACCAAGGTTAGTAGCCAAAGACCAGAACGTCTACGGCCGTGGCCGGGACGTTGATGTGGTGCTTTCATCAGGTTGATGACATGGCATGGTGTTCGTACGTTGTTGGGTCTATCGAGCTACTACCTCCTGTTGCCAGTAGTTGCCATGACATCAGGCTGCTTGTTACGCAACGGCTCGCTTGAAAGGCCATCATCCAGTCGGTCACGTTCCCGTCTGCATTAGGCCGCATGCACATCGTCTGCCACTCCTTCCACTCCTTCCCAACTCCCTGTAGCGGGGAACGGAACCCATGCGGTCTGTTCTCCAGTCCTACGAATCTCATTGTTGACTGCGCTGATCCACTTGTGGCATATTAGAGATGAGTGTCTCCATTATCAACCGCTTGCGCCTATCCACTCACGCTAGCTGTTGTGGTGCTGTCGGGAGGGCACATCCAGCCTACATAGGCCGCCACACTAGTTAGACGCCTCTCCGTTTCTCATGATGAAACCTCGCGCACGTATATAACATGAGCGGCTGTCTCCTTTCGTACTTCGGCAAGAGGTGCTCAACCTGAAACGTGGAAATTTGTTTTGCCATAATTTCGTTGCATGGCTATTTCCTTCTTCGCGAACCTCTGCTGTCCCCCAGGGACCGACCAATGATGTGGTGAAGTCACAATCAAAAAGAACGTTCAACACGCCATGTGAAATTGGCTCCATCCCCCTCGAACCTTTTACGAGGCTTTTACCTACCATTCCACTCTCTTGATATCACGATAGATACTGTTACGTCGTGGGTTCTTTGTTTTCTCGAATTATCGAGCACCTACAGCGACGTCCCCGATAAAAGCAAGTCAACAGTTCGAGAAAGTGCTTAAGCAGTACGGCCTGACTCCGACATAACAATCATACACGTCATGCCTCAAGGTATTCTGAATCTCAGGCGTGGTTCAGGACAACAATTATCTCCGCCAGACAGCGCAGGAAGGCGAAGCTCTTTGAGTGTTCACTCTGTCAAGGCTTACGACGAGGACGATGAAGGAGGTGCTGATATCCCCGATATACCACTGAGGAAGTCAAGCAGCCCTTCGAGTCAACCATCTTCTATCTTTGACTACATTTCTACCGCTGGTTCTTTGAAAAACATTCGCACGGGTAAGTTTAGAGAGGAGTTGGACGTCCCATCCAGGAGTCCAAATCGACGGCCCATAAACCCAAATTCGCTGTCCCCGAAACACCCCACGAGGCAAGTGAAACTAGATCTTCTCACATAACCTGCGTGGCTGATATATATTTAGCATGCATAGCAACTTTGAGCCAGAGGCGTGGGACTGTGTAGTGACATCTGAACCCGAGGATGTGTACGTGGATTCGGCGACTCGTTCGCCTTCAACGGATCCAAAAAGTATTCTCTCGCAGTCTTCGCACTCACGGCACAACAGCTCAGAATCGTCCAACTTTCCGGGACCGGGACACAACAGCTCCTTGCCAGCGCTGCAAATCAAGGGTGGTGCTGACTACGATGGTCTCGAGCCGTTGGCCGAGGAAGAGATTGACCCGGCGTCTTTTGACTTGGTAGTACCGGCACACGCGCTCGGCAAACAATATTCTCTGGAGACTCAGTCGGAGCTCCTGTTCTCGGTGAAGCATCTTGGTGTCATATTCGAAGACCCGCTCCTGCTGCAACGATTCACCAACTTCCTCTACTCATCACGCCCTCGTTCCGTGCCCTTGCTGGTGTACTATTTGGACGCGTTAAAGGCCCTTAAAGCCATTAATTATGCCAACGCCGTTACGGCGGCGCTGAATCCTATCGAGGGTTTAGATTATACCGAGAGCTCCATCCTCTCGACGGTCAACAACCCATTGCAGGAGAGGGCCGACAAGGCTTTTGAGACACTCGCAAATCATGACTTGCCGGCGTATATCACTCACACTTACGTCCAAACTGTGAGCTTGACCATCAAAAGGAGGATTTCCGACACTCTGCCTCTTCACTTGAGAGACATGTCGGAAGGACTGGCCGAAGTGTTTTGCTTGACGGATCCATCAAGACCAGACAGTCCCATCGTCTTTGCTAGTGAAGGTAGGCCATTCGTCTTTTCCGGAACTTATGGGACATCGACTAACCTCTTCAGAATTCCATAAGACGACTCAATACGGCATGAACTACGTCTTAGGCCGGAATTGCCGATTTTTACAAGGTCCAAAGACAAACCCCTTTAGTGTGCGCCGTATCCGCGAGAAACTCGACGCTGGCCAGGAACACTGCGAAACGTTTCTCAACTACCGTCGTGACGGGTCCCCATTTATGAACCTTCTCATGATTGCCCCCTTGTACGACAGCCGCGGCATAGTGCGCTACCACATTGGCGCCCAGGTCGACGTTTCGGGTCTTGTAAAAGAGTGTTCTGGCCTAGAATCGCTCGAGCGTCTCATGGCACGGGAAATGCCACAGTCGTCACACCCCGCAGACATTGCCGTCAAGACGAACGGCGAGGACGAACAAGGCAAGAAGGACGAGTTCCGGGAGTTGACCGAGATGTTTAGCCTGCAAGAACTGAAGACGGTGCGTGAAGCGGGTGGCAGTCTGCATCGTGTCCACCAGCAAGAGATCCATCAAACCGAGGGAGTGCTCAACTGGCACAAACCACGCCTGCTCATCCGGGACGATGCTACGATTGGAAGGAAGACGTCAGATCCTATGCTTGACGTTTCCGCCAACATAGTCAATGGCGGCCGTCTTAGTGGCGTCTACGAACACTACCTACTTGTTCGCCCTCATCCGAGCCTGCGCATCCTATTTGCCTCACCGTCATTACGTGTCCCTGGCATGCTACAGAGCAGCTTCATGTCGCGCATCGGCGGCAGTGGTTTAGTGCGTGACGCACTCGGCCAGGCCTTCGCCGACGGCCACGGTGTCACCGCCAAGGTGCGCTGGCTGTCCAGGAGCAGCCAGTCCGTCTCCAACGGCCGCAGTCGCTGGATCCATTGCACACCACTTCTCGGCAGTAATGGCGCCGTAGGGGTCTGGATGGTGGTGCTCATCGATGATGAAGAGTCATCATCCAAACGAACGGCGAGGGATGCGCCCCCTGTTAAGCCCACGAAGCGTATCCAGAGGCAGTTTGACGACGGGCAAAGCACTGATGGGGACAATATGAGTTTGTCGAGCTTTGCGGCTGCCCATCGAGCCGTTGATGAGGTTGGTGGTTTCTGCGAGCTGAGGTCCGAGCCGGAGTCAGGGGCAGGGCGTGGTGAAGTCGAGGGCGGTCATGGTGGCTATGGTGATGTGAAGACGCCTTCGCGGACGCGGAAGTCGCCTGCACCGCAGGTTCATTTTGCTGAGAGGCCGAACGGGTTCGGCGTCGCCACCAGCGAGGTTTGACTCCCCTTGAGTGTTGCTCAGGTATATTACTGAAGAAATGGATGGGGTGGTGCATACGAAAGCGCCAGATGCTCCATCATTGGTATTGTCCGCCATGGGCGGCACAATTCTTGGTGTTCGGGATAGTTTAAGCGATGATTTTGATGGATGGTTGGGTGACTCATCTGTCAGCCTTCGGTATACCCGGTTTCCTTGGTCATTCTCGATGTCGGAATACTATGGACTCGACATATACGGATCGACACTTAAATACTACAATAGAGGTGACTGGAAAGTAGAACGGTTTCACCTCACATGCTATATATGTAACAATACAACCAAAGAATATTGAACTGATACACAATTGTGTCTGCTTATACTTGCAAGATACTATATTCTGTCCGTCCATCATAACCAATGTCATTTCATCTAGCTGCTATGCTACTAGGTCATCACATGCATACATAATGATGCTTTGTGTCGGGCGTCTGTCTTTCTATTCCAGTGACATCCCCAAACCTTGTAATCTTAACCAACGCCTCGTTCTGCTTCATATGTATGTGTAGTATCCGCCTTTTTTCTCATATCGCAACACAGCTCAAGACAAACACGGCGTTGTCGTCGCTGTTCTGATGGTCAGACCCGATCATTTCTACCGTTGTGTTGATGTTCATGGCATATATCCACGGGCTGATTGGTTATCGGGGCCGCAGGAACGTCTCAGTTGTCGGACATGCGGCATCATGATACTGCTGAGGCAGTCTGTTAGCCAACAGACTTGACAGTCATGGGCGGGAAGCATTGGCACTAACGTCTGGTACGCATCGTGACCACCCTTAGGCGGCCAATAGATGGAGCCTTCCTGTTAGAATTCTCAGATGAAGACAGAGTTACTTCTTTCGAACTCATATCAGCCGTCCTGGTCCTCATGCCGACTCCGCCTGCGCCAACAGCCTCGCCCGCCACCCATTACACACCTCCTCAAACCCGCCTACGACATCCCTACACACACTCGCACACTCGCGATTCTTCAACCTCTCGCCCCAATTGCCCCTCGAAAGCCACTGCTCCCCCTCCTCCTTGAGCTCCTCCTCCCGCTTCATCTCGGCCACCATATCCTTAGCGCTCCTCAGCCTCCGCGTAGCTGTCGTCGTCGTCTGCCTCGACATGTGCAGCGTATCGGAGAGATAATTCAGCGTCTGCACGAGATCATTCGTCACCGAGTGCAGCGCCGCTAGCGAGTTGTACGCCGATGTCGCCGGGCGCGGCATGTTCTCTGATAGGGAAACCAGGACGGGCAAAAGGTCGTCGATGGTCTCTGCGTCCGGGGGCGCGACGAGCGGCGACAGCAACGGGAAGGTGAGGTTGTGCAGCTGCCGCGTCTGGTGCGCGACGTGGGTCGCGAGCGCTGAATGCGCTGTTATCAGCCTCGTTGTGCTCCCTTCCACGCCCGACTGCGAGCCCAGATCTTTCAACCCCTCTGTGACGCGCTGGAACACGCTGTCGGCTGGCCCGCTTTCGGTGCCTCTCCTCGCAAGCGACTCGACGGCGTCGATTCGGGCTACGAGGCTGGGTGGCATTAGGCCGGGCGACTCGAGGTCGGATTCGGAGCCGTACTCGCTTCCGTCGTAGTCGCTTGCTTTCCTGCGATGGCCGCGAGCCTGTGGGGAGGGCAGACTGAGGTTTGTGACCTTGAGTCGGGTGGGCAGCGCGCCGGGGTCGCCAACGTGGCTCTCGACGTCGACGCCGCTGTCTCGGATACCGTCGAAGCCATCCCGGCCGTCACCCTCGGGTAGGTCGAAGTTGATATCGGGTGCTCTTCCAAACTCCTCGTCGTCTTCTTCTTCCTCCCCCCCCTCCACGTCCTCATCCTCGTCCGACTCTGACAAAGCGTCTGCGAGCTCGTCGGCCAAGTTGCCTAGTCCGTTGTCCTGGATGCCGCTGTTGCCGAAGCCGCTGAGTTCCCCTTGCAGCGGCGTCATCGGGTCGCCTTGGAACGAGGATTTGGATTGCCGGCGGGCGATGGGCGACGAGCCGGCGCTGGAGATGGGATAGCCGTCCATGGCGGACGAGTGCCGCGAGTGCCGTGGTGTGAGCGGTGAAGAGGGCATTGTGATTGATGGGTGAGTGACGGTGACCCTGAGAGGCGTGGACCGCTCGAGGTGTTGGCAACCACTGTCTATTCTCTTCGGCCGAGTTGGCGTTGGAGGTCGGTGTTGGTGGGTTGGTCAGTCACCGTAGCCAGTCGGTCAAAAAAGATTGATTGCTGCTACTCCTTGCTTGTCTCCGTAATCACAAAAAGGTTTCGCTTACGAAGGTGCGTAGGGTGGATCGTGGCGTTTGGTGTCGGTCGAAGCAGTAGCAGCATGGATAAAGGCTGCCTCGGGGAGAGTTTGATTGTTTCAACGACGACGATGTGGCTCTCGAGTCTCGGGCTGCCTAAGTGGATTGTTTTGCTTTGGTTTCTTTATAAATTGTCGGTGGTCGTTGCGGCCGAGTGGGGAGACCGGGGCCACTGGCGAAATGGCCGGCAGGGGAGATTTGGGAGACGGTAATATGACAATGTACATCAGAATACTTCAGTCTCTATCAGAAATACTGCACATGTGAGGCTCAGAAGCCACCACATCTTCTTCACTGCGAGACAGTTCTCGAAGGTTGGGAAAGCAGGCACTTGAGGGAGTTTAACTGAATGACCAAGTCTGTCGATTGCCCACTTGGACCCCCTTCATGTTGTCGGTTCAAATTGTTATCACCTCCACAAAAGTGACCAACGCGTAGGTAATTTTAGGTTATGCAATGCGCTGAGTCCAATGTGACTTTCGGCACGTTGAGGCGCTTTTGCTTTGACGGCAGGCAGCGTGCCTGGATGACCCTGGCAGTTGTGCCTGAGCTGTCAATCTTATGCGTTAATCCCTCGGCAGAAGAGTATGCCTCTCAGAAGCAATATGGCGTCCCCTGTGCGTTGCACTAGTCGAAGTCTCCAAATCAAAATGTCAATCTCACCTCTAGTCTTGTTATTCCCAACCTCACTAACAATGTTAATTGAGATTACTAGCTGCAGGGTGGGTTCTGACATGAGGTTAGATAACTGCATTTACAACTAGCATATTCCCATTTTTTTGTGCTTCCGCCTCGGATCCCTATCTTTCTGGGTTTGCTTATCTTCATTTTCCCAGCTGCTCTTTCGCTGCTTGTTGCTTTTACCTCTTCTAAGCAACACTATTCTCATATCCGGCTCTGCTCACTGGAAGCATCTGATGAACTTTCCGCCCTCCCTTCTCAGAGTTTGCATTCGAAGCCGCCACGGGCACCACAGACGCCTCGGACTCGTGGCTCCCCGAGCCCTCGCTGCCGACATATGTTTCCAGCATCGTCTACTTCTCCGAGGGCACCACCTGGTCTTCTAGGCGAGCGTTCTCCTGACTCGCGTCGAGGCAGCTACTGCCTTCACTAGGAATAACCTCGGTGACATGCCAGCCTAGCTGGCAACATGCCCATCTCTTCGCAGCCTCAGGCGTAGCAGCAGTCATTCACTACATAAACCCACTTTCTTTCGAGTTAGAAAAAGAACGCCAAGTTTCCCTCCCTAATCAATTAAACGCACCCGACCTTGCTCTCGATTCTCAACCCGAGCTCTCGCAGAAGCAGGTCGCCTCCCTCGAAGTCGTCCACGGCCACTATCCCCGCGAAGTCGTGATATTAGTCGCTAGTAGTGTCCCGGGGTTTGTTGGTCATGAGATTGATCAAAGTCACCTTGAGCACAAAAGCCTCGCCCTGCCGGCGCGTCTCGAAGGTGATGTAGCCCAGTTTCTCGACTTATGCTACTTTCTGGAAATTGGTAAGTAACCCGGGGTCTACCAGGCTGGAAAAGAAACGGGCCAGCTCTGTGCTTGCCCCGAAGGCGCTGTATCTCAGTCGTATTAGCTGGCGTAGCACCTGTGCTTTGTCAAGAATCCGGAAGTAGATTTCGGCCTGCTTGGCAAACCAGTCGATCCAGTGTAGACCGTGTCTCATCATACCTGAGATGGGCATGGGTTGCAAGGTGCTGAAGGTCTCATGGACTTCGCTACCTCGTTTTCCATCCCCCTGCTCAGTGATGACGTGCCCCGCCTTATCCAGAACCACGATGATATCCGTACCTTTGATGTGATAAAATACTCCGTGATACACTGCGTACCATTCCTTTGCGCCCGGTGGTACGGTTTGGAGCTTTTCCGAAGAATCATCTCTCGTACAACATCAAGCATTTTCGCAAAGGCAGGGTCGTTAGCCTGTGCACCTCTTTGAATTTCCTGTCATCGTACCTTGTCCTCGACATCCGGGTTCACGTAGGGTTGCTGCAGGGCCAGATGCCGTGCTTGCATTTGCTGTATGGTGCTCCTGCCCCGAAGATATCCGCATCTTCGACGTTGACTATTGCCACAGCACGACCGCGTTGCTTGAATGCTTGAATGAAGCGACCTGCTTCAACGTGTCGTTTGACTGCTCTATCATTCGCGATCTCACTGGTAGGTTTTGTTCTGATGTCGATGATATCCTGAGATAGTTCACGCACACTGGTGCTTGGGATGTCAATGCGTGTATCCTCAAAATCGTCCATTGCCAGCAATTTGTCATGGGGGAACCTGATATTACTCCAGGAATACTGCGTAGGCCCCGGAACAGGGCCCCTCCTCTTTGGCCACCGCCCGGTTCCGTTGTAATGGACCTCAGTGGCAGCATCACATCAGGTTTGGGACCGTAGATAATCTTCTCTTCCTCCTTCCCATCCTTTTTAGCCGCATACTCGACTGCTTTCTCTATCTTCGCCTCGGGTGTCTTCTTCTCTTCCCATGTGGGCAACGACTCGTCGTGGTTCCCCTCACAGCTGCCTGGGATACGACGCTTTATGGCGGCATCAAATGCTAGAAAGGCCATCTTGAGTGTTGTTGCAACGCTCTCTGGCGTCCTGTCCTGTAGCGGCTGTTCAGTCGGGTAGCGAGGCGGACGTGGCTTGTTTGCCTTGCTAGCTGGTTGCGGGAGTGACAAGATGGGGCTTTCTGGCGTTCAAGGCCAACTGCTTGAGATTAGTCTGGCTCGGGCTTTGGGCAATTCTCCAGTGGAATGAATATTGTCGTGAGGCCATGTATGCATGTGCAAACGAACCCCTCTGGGGTTTGATGCAGTTCAAAGCCTAGGACTCCCACAGAGAGAATAGCAACTTTGTGACTTCATAGCTGTAGCCAAACTTCCAAAACCAATGGTGAATCACTGTTAGAAGAAGCTAAGTTGTTCTTTTTTTGGTCATCTCATGTGCCTCCCTGTAAAGAGGTCGTTTGCGCTATTAACTGCATTTGCCCATAACAGAGAAAAGGTATGCTAATCCCATCTCGTATCATCAATTCCGCTTCTTTGTATTTCGTGATAGCATAAAATTCAGGTACTTGACAATATTCCCCTCTAGCGGGAACTTGCAGCTATTCACAGTATTACATAGACATCCTTTTGGTCACAACACTTCTTTCTCTCTCCATTGTCAGAGAATAACCATTTATTTAACACAGTGGATCTTGTAAATTGGGTGGTCCAGAGTTACACAATAAGTGGACATTATATGACATGTTCCATACATAGCAGGAGAAATAACATCAACTAATTTAGACTTGCTCAAGGAACTACTTGACATACTTGCTTATGGATTAAAGAGCCCCTCGGATCAAGTTGAGGCGCCGATCGAACCTGGCCTGGAATGGTAGATGTGGGAAGAAAGTTGGATTACGAGTCTCCGATGTTGATCGTGTCGTAAATTTCAACCTCGTTGTAGGCTATGCTGCAAAGTTTTGGCATAAATGAAGCCTTGTGGAGGTTTTCACATTCTTTAAGCCTTGCAAGTACTCTAGTTCAAGCCCATTGAGCAGGATGGCCATGGCCGGAAACTTCTACGCCGTAATAAAGACATCCTTGCCATTTGATTCCACCATTGCGTTGATACTATAACGATTCTTATCCATGCCCACCCATCCTTAACCCCCCGGCTATGGCGCGATACGCTGCAGCCAAGGGCTGCTCAAATCCGTATAGAAACTCGCCCCCTTAACCTTCGTAGGCGCTCCCTCAATAGTCACATTACAATTGGTAATCCAATCACCCTGCGCCTCATACTTCGTCTGAACATACTGGACATAATCGCTCAGCAGACACGACGAGCCCGGCCCGTTCTTACAAGAGGGCACCGGGTATACAGCGTCGTTCAGGCGGATACGGATGTAAGTGGCGTTCGAAGACTGGCGGCGGTCAAGGATGGCAGATGTAGGGGCGGGAGTTGGGAAGACGCGGATTGTTGATGCTGTGGCTAGAGCTGAGGTCGACAGGGTCGTTGGGGCGGTTGAGGGTCCCGCAGATGCGGTGGCGTTGGGGTATTGGATGGTGCTTGTTTCATCGCCTCCAGAGATGATGCAGTTGAGTCGTTCAAAAGCGATAGTGCCTCGCATCGATACATATCGAGACCCTACCCATAATCGGTCATCATCTTTCTCCGTTGGTGACAGAAGGGCTTGTTCGTCAAAAACACCACTAGCGGTGACAAGTTCAGTCAGTTGTCCGTCGTTCAAAAACGACATGAGCAGCTTAGGCAGCTCGAAGGTCGACCCATCAGCGTCGGTACCGGTGATCCCCGGCCCTTGCTCGAAGAGATCGATAAGCGCGTTGAGGTATGGCGTCATCATCTTCTGCGGGAGGTCGGTCCCAGGGCCTATGCCATAGTAATAGCGGAGATCGTTGGAGTACTCGTACTGCTTCAGCTCCTCGTCGGTAAAGACGTCACACCATGGGGATAGTCGTCCGGTGATGTGGCTCTCGAATCCGCACAAGTACGGGATCTGAGCTATATCGCTGGCTGTTAGGGTGAGGTTGCCGTCAATGAGCGCTTGCAGGCGCTCCTGAACGGGGGGAATCCAGATATTGTCCCATATGGTTTTGTTGTCTCCACCCGAAGCATCTTCGAAGTTTGGGCACATGTCTGACGGAGCCAAGGAGTCGCCAATGCCGGCTGCGAAGCCTTTCGATGTCACTGAGACGACGCTGCCGTTTGCCGGGGCTGAAAATCCGAGGAAGCCACGGACGAACATTTGAGCCGTTTGGAGGACCCGGGTGTAGTTGTTGGCCCAGACCATGAATTCATCCCCATCTTGATACAGGTCCGGGTATCTACAACAGTCAGGCTTTGGCCGTAGAAACAGACGTGGAAGACTCGCCTTGTTCGAAGTGTATAGCCCAGGTCATGTGCTTCTTTCGCCCCAGTGGGGTTCTCCATGGCGATTTGGAGTGGCGGGTTGGTTAGGACCGTCTTCCACTCTGGCAGGAAAGACAGACTCCCACTTGCAGTGTAGTTCCCTGCGTAAAACTAATGTTGATCAGCCGGGTCAACCTAGTCTGCGCAAGTATCAAGGACGAACCCTTGACTGCATCTCTACCCATCCATCATAAGCGCCAGCATCGGGATACCTCGAACCATGACGAAGAACATAGGCGGCCTGGTCCACATAGCAGTTCTCGGGGACTTCAGGCGAAATGTCATTGACATTGGGGCCTAGCGTCATCTGATTAGTATCGCTCAAATGCAGCAATAAGAAGATACTTACCGGCATACCAAGGACCATTGGCCCCGAGCCATTTCAGAGGATCGATGGCACTGCCGCTTGACGGGTAGTTGATGTCTTGCGTAGGAGCCAAAATTTGACCCGCGGCAGACACACCGACTGCAGCCAGAGATGCCCCAAGAAGAAGCGAGGAGGCCATGATAGGGGGTCGGAGACAAGAGTGGACGCACGCAACGAAAGCAAGAATCACATCACGTACATAGTAGGGAGACAAGAACTACTTATATGGAGCCATTGACCCGCATATAAGGGAATGGTAATCCATCCTGGTCTATGAAGTCAATTCATGGTGACATCGGCACGACCTTGAGGTTCAACGGTATCCCAGAGCTTCCTCCCACGTGGGCATCGGGTAAGCACCCGACTGTATGGGAAGCATGCCTAGATGATCATACGAAGGAGTTGTTTACTAGTGATTAAAATTGGGTTGCCCAATCCTCGCCCTATCGCACCTCGCAAGACACGTAATGTGGATTGATCGACAGCACGTGTGAGAAGAGCAGGCAAGTTGTGGTTTGAACGGAGGTTGTCTCGTCTTTTAGTTCGGAGATTGAACTCCAGAAACGGAGAAACGGTTACAATTGATTGTGGAGACCCACTGCAATCCGGGGTGTTCGATCCTTGTAGCTTTGGACTTGCCGTACTCCGAATTACATAAGGAAAGTCAGCTGAGAGTCAGAAGAGCTATGGCTTGGATGAATTTTCAAATGCCCATGTTTGGTATATTTGGTAAAGCTGAAATCAATAGTTATGACAAGGCTCTTCTATGAGTTTGGCAAGCGGCAAACGGACCCCGGGTGCCGGGCGGTCCGGAACACCTTCCGAAAATACAAAGTGTCGTCACTTCTCGCCGGGCTTCACCGTGAAAACCACAACCAACGGCAAACTGTTATTCTCGTTGCGACTCGGAACCCTGCGCACAATAACTCGTGGTAAACCCACCTGAATAATCCCACTAAATTTTGATCTTCACCAACGCAACACGATATTATTTCACCAGAACAAGTCATAACAACCACTTCCACCCACCTCTCCAAAATGCCCACCCGGATCCCCCAACCGGAGGACTTCGCCCCCCTCTCCCCCGCCCTCAACTTTACCCTAACCTACCCCGAAGTCCCCGAGACCACCACCGCCATCCTACTCATCTTCCACGGGCTCGGCGACTCAGAAGTCTCCTTCACCACCTTCGCCAAGAGCATCGCGCTTCCCGGGGTGCTAGCCATCACCGTCCGGGGCGTATCCCCTTTGCCGCCGGCACTCCTAGGCATGACAGACGAAGAGGCCGCTACGAGTCCGACGAAGCATTTCCACTGGGGTGATGATTTGACGCTGGCACCCGATACGGGGGAGCTGGATCCCGACCCTGGATTCGCCAAGGCGGAGGAGTTGGTACTGGGGAGGTTGGTGCGGGAGACTTTGATAACCAAGTGTGGGTGGGATGTGAGGGATATTTTGCTGTTTGGGTTTGGGCAGGGGGGCACGCTGGCGTTGGGCTTGGCCTCGAGGTTGAGGGGTGGGGAGAGGGTGGTGGACGTTACGGAGGGAGAAGGGGCGCAAGAAGGGAAGGTGTTTAAAGGGACTGTGTCGATCGGGGGGCCGTTACCGGCTAGTATGGTTCCGACTGTGAGTGCTAGAGATAAGTCGCGGACCCCGGCCCTGGTCTGCCATGGGAGGTCGAGTGAGGCGGTTGATGACGAAGCGATGGAGGTGTTGAAGAAGGAGTTTGTGGATGTCAGGGAAGTGAAGTGGGGGAAAGGCAATGATGGCATGCCGATGAACAGGGACGAGATGCTGCCAATTATGCAGTTCTTTGCGGAGAGACTGCAGGGTGGATGGTGAAGACGATGGTTATCTTTTACTCGAGCACATTTCCACGGTTCCAACCATCTTGCTCCAGATACCTACAAAGTCAACTATGGCCAAATGAGCCATAGTCAACGACAAATGACTCACATCAAGGGCGAGATACGCAAATTTGATGTTGATAATCGCAGCTCGTATACACTCCAGGGGCTCCATCTGAGTGTTTTTGTGATGCACGTCTTGTTTGGACCTAGGGATAAGCTGAATTTGTCCCATGACATTTACGGGTTTATTAAAACGCATACTGGCTGACCTACATTGTGGGCATTTAGTGCGTAGCTCTTGTTAAAGAAGAGTACTCCGGTGGAGACGGAATACTCGACAGCACAAGTTGGAAAAAGTGAAATTCTTCTCGGCTTTAGCCAAGTTTTTGTGGTTGCAGTATCCGAGCCCAAATCCAGTCACTATTAGCCGGCATGAAGCAGCAAAAGTCACATTTGACATGGGAATTGGAATCGAAGCATTCCTGTCATCTTCTCAGAACATGCTTGATAACAGCTCATAAATCAACCTCCATTACTTGTCTTCAACCCATACCAACGGACCTGCGTGTCTGGTTTGACTCGGATCTCACCGGAAGCCCTCAATTTGTTGACATAGCCAATCTCAACCTCTATACAGTGTTTCACATGTCTAGTATATGGATACTAGTCATACTTGTCATGGGTACAGTGTTCGGAGTCTACCAACAGGTGCAATCAACGCACCCCTCACCTGCTCATGCCTTGACTTTCCCCACACCAGCCTGTACTAACATCCTCACATACCACTTATGCAAGAAAGTAATCTTGGGCGGAATACCATGCACCGCACCCTCAGGATACGTGCCGGCGCTATCGAACAAAGCCGACTTGAGACTAAATTCAGCAACCTCCTTCTCCCGATTTATGCGAGCGCTGATGAGAACCAGACCATCCGAGTTTCTCAACCCGGGGTTGAGCGGCGATCCTCCACACCGGACGGTAATTTCATTGCCCTGGTTTTCGACTACCTCAAAATGGTTCGAGAACTTCAGGCCCTTCTCGTACTTGGCTACGGCCAAGTCCGCAATCTCCCACGTCTGCTGCTCTGTACCGGGAGGCGCATCGTAGCGCTTCTGGAACTTGCTCTGCGGCCAGTATGCTGGAATCCAATCTTAGACATTTGATTTCCGCTGTGGTTATGTTGTCAATGGAAAGTTAACGTACCCCACCCACTCCAGATGCCGCGACAAAACTCGAGCGTAAGGGCTTTCTCGTCGTCCCGCAACTCCGGTCTAATCTTACGCAAAGGTATGCGCGACGTACAGTCGTCCTGAAGGGCAGGATTGCCCTTAGGGTTGTACTTGGTGTACGTCTTCGTCTTGTTCCACGGGTCGCTGTGTGCAATGCTCACAATCGACGTGCCAGCCGCCAAGTAAGCCATTCCGGCGCCTACGCTTGCTACACCTCCTGTGACGCCTAAAAGGCCCGCCGTGAACACTGTTCTCATTATCCCCATCGTGGCTGGCGAAGATTGTATCTCTTGCAACAATATTTGCGGGAGAAGAGTTCTGAGCAGGCGACACTGAAAACGAGAGGAGGTCGGTAATGAAATGTGGGTTTATTGGTTAGAAATAGCTTTGATTTCGGGCACAAACATAACCCCGCCCGCAGTGTGCTTGCAACTGTTAGGGAATAACTCTCCCCACTCAAGCTGTCACGGTATGTTTATTCAAGGCGCGATAGTGACGATAAGCATACTTGATGTCATGCTTGAACAGAGAATCGTTGAGCCAATATCAACAAACTCGACAAGTATAGGCTATATGAACGATCAGCAGATAATCCGAAACCGACGCTGAATAACATGCCAGAATTAATTGCATCAGCTCATCGCGAATCCCAAACGGTAGGCTCCAAACTGCATGTTAGCAGGTGAGATGGTCGCTCTGCGCATTTAGTCTGTGCATATCGCGTAGATTGTTCATCAGCGGGAGAGCACATGACCTATGACCGAATCGTGAAGAATTTGACCTCGCGATTTGTGCCAACCGAGAATGTTATCATATCTACGAGGTCATGGAAACATCGTATTCACCACAGGTAGCATTGGTGACGAAAGTGCCAACATAAACAAGACGAGTTGGCATTGCTCCGAGCACATGCCATGTCCTTCACAGAGGGACTATTTTCGCTCGTTCGTACGCTCGTGCGCGACCAGCTTGTAGGAGCACCCCCGCTATGTGATCATTATGTAACCGATGGGACGAGTTGCTCTGACACAACAACGGACCCAAGATCGACAGGTCCAATGCCATTCCTGGTCTCAACTTTTGAGCTTACACTGCTTGACCTAGAATCCAAACCTTCTAATTGACGATTTTAGGTTCAGTCCCCAAGGTCTGGAACTGGCTAATTCTTTATCAGCGTCAAACGTGGGTGTGGCTTGCCATTGATACCGTTTCTAAATTGACCGCCGTCGTATGTTCCACTACTATTGGGTTGCTCTACGCAACAACAAGAACTCGCGCACCAGCTCCGATTAAGCGATGCTTCCCGTTCAGTGTAGGCGCCAACGCCACCACCCCTTGTCAGAGGCGTGGCTTGTGGCTACTATGCTGCACATGGCGTCCGTTGGAGTTGGAACCTTCCCCAACAAGGTCGAGATTATTGTCATGCTTTTGACACGGCCGCCACTGTTCAAGATTACGTACAATGACACCGAACGACGTCATTTCTCAGGAACAATTTGAAGCTGGTGTCAGGCTGCAAAATTTGCGCATCACGAAGTAGTCAAATCCGAAACGTCCGCAACTGCCACGTTGAAGCATGAGTAACCAGCAACTATGTCATTTCCTTCGGACAGGATGCTCCGGCGGCACGGGCAAGTCCGTATGCCGTATGGGGGCTTATTGTTCGAGACTGCGTCGCTCTGTCAACTGACCAGAGCAGGCAATCCGCAGGAGGCAACTAAAATTAGACAATTACTGCAAGAGCAAAACGCGATCTCGATCGTTTGGGGTGCTTAACCTTAACAATTCGTCCTTTACAGCCAGACGGCTTTGCATTTATCGTTAGCTTCATCGGTAGGATGTATATGGCATTCTTATGAAGTTCATATATTCGCAAGCAGAATGGGAAGCAGAGAGATGACGACATTCAACCAAGTAGTGCTCAACCTGGCAGGCATAATCCCCGGCTAGTCAAGGCGTCATAGTCCGTTTCTAGCCAATTGGCAGCCCCACAGGCTGCGGGAAGGCATTTATTTATTTAACCTTGCAGGCAATCATGATTTGACGTTCGGACCTAGCGTTCCCATGAGCCAATCAAATGGATTCGATAGCTCTGAAAGAGCTCCGGTGGGAATAGTAACATTGGCAGGAGCTTATAAAGGCTATCAAGCTTGTCACTCCGCGATTGCGCGTCTACAGCGAACAATGTGACAAGAAAATTGAAGTAGGATATTGAGCCTCGGCCCAGTGTCGGCTTCCGTAGCTTGGATTAATGATTGTAGGCAGTTTCTCTGGGAAAAGGCAAATAATATAGGTGCGAAAGGACCGGGAAGCTTGCCTTCATGTGACGTCAGATGCCAGCAAGGTCCCATTCCTCCACGAAACTGGAACTGGCACATGGAAGAGCAAAAAGGAGGGGCACGCATCCTTCCTGGATACCCCTCCATTGCACGGGCAACGGGCAAGCTCTAGGTACAATGATACACAGCATATGCTCGGACGAAGTGGGCTATGACGCAACCATGCTCTCACATGCCTGTTCTTTTTGACAGCAACTGACTGAGTGACTGACTGTCTTGTAGAGTGACAAGTGAATCAAGCAATAGCGAATGGTGAGGCAAGCACGCAAACAGGCACAAGTCACTCTTACTGAGGCAGGTACGGGTGGTAAATGTGAGCCAGCCAGTCGTTCTTCCAACTACTTAAACCTCCAAACCTCCCACTCCGGTCTAATCTTTTTTTCTCTCATCCCCAACTCACCAACTCACCAACTCAAGCTATTTCAAGATCCTCAAAGATTCTCAACACCAATAAGCCACATATCCTCGAGCCTTCTCAAGAAGCAAATCATCACCATGGACAAGATCAACAACGCCGCTAACTACGTATGCCTTTTTGCGCTCCATTCTACACTTCCAAACGTACTTCGCCTGCTGACTTTGTATGGCTAGGTCTCTGACACCGTCAAGGGTGCCGTTTCCACTGGCTCCAAGGAGGCTAACAAGGAAGTTGCCAAGGACAACAATGCCAGCGTTGGCACACGGTGATTAGTCCTGTTGCCTTGAACATAGTCAATTTTTTACTGATGGTCAATAATTTAGCGCCTCCGCTGCCAAGGATGCCCTTGGTGATAAGATCGACGAGTCGAAGCACAACACTTCTGCTGATGTGAACAAGGAGGCTGCTAAGCACTAGACCGTATTTCTCTCTGTGTGTTGCGACATGGGAATATTTTGGCGTCTGTCACATGGGTTGACAATGGAAGTATGGAAAGCAGAGGGGACGTTACGACGAGGCACACATCAATACCCTCTATGATAATACCTTAGAATTCAGGTGCCTCCCATCCTCAAGAAATCTGGTAAATATGCTGATAATTATGTCTGTGATGCGAATGTCTATTTTCTTACGAAAGTATTTGCGATCAACACGTGTATGGCATGTGGCATAATTTAATGCTGATTTTGGGACTAATAGTATTCAGGTTGGCTGTAGAGATACATAGCTACTGATCTTGATTTGCGCACGGTCCACAATCGATTCAATGTGAGTACCTCTAGAACTGATACGTTACAACCCCAATTTGTACCACCAATCCACATCACGAAATCTGTCAAAACTACCACCCACTGTCCGAACCGACCAAACAAAATTTATGCTGTCCATAACGGCTTCAATCATGGATTCCCTCCCACCCGACCTCTTCGACCGAACTACTCTAGTCTCGCTCACCTCCACGCTAGCCATCCTGGGAGTGGCGTATCTGGCCTCTCTAAATGCTCTGCCCTCATCCACGTCGGGCAGTCTGAGAGGGTTGTTCATTTGGCATGCTTTCGACGCCCTAATTCACTTCTTTCTGGAGGGCAGCTTCCTCTACCACTGCTTCTTCAGTTATATCCCGCTCACGCAGGTTAAGAACCGGCTTGCTCTCGCTCCCACCGCGCATAATTTCTTGGGACACAACGATCGCGCTTATGGCCCGCAAGCGGGCGGAAGTAATCCGCTCGCGCAGCTTTGGATGGTTTATGCGAAGGCGGATCGGAGGTGGGCGGGGGCGGATTTGGTAAGTTCGATGATCGATTCCCTTTCTAGATGATGAGGCACCTCGTTGGGAGGACCAGAAAGAATCAGAATTATAGGTGGAAGCAAAAAGTTAACATGAATTTTTTTCCAGTCTGTCATCAGTCTCGAACTCTTAACCGTCTTCATCGCGGGTCCGCTTGCATGTCTCGTCTGCTACGGCATCGCCAAGAAAGACCCCCGAACCAATATCCTCATGATTGTCGTGGCGACCATGGAGCTGTACGGTGGGTTCATCACATTTTGCCCCGAGTGGCTGACGCAGAATTATAACCTGGACGCGAGCAACTTCATGTACAAGTGGGTGTATCTTGTGTTCTTCAATATGCTGTGGGTTTTCATCCCGTTGTATGCAGTTTGGGTCTCTGTTCAGGATATCAATGATGCGCTTGCGATGCGGGCCAGGTTGGAGAAGGGGTTGGAGAAGTCGCAGAAGAGTTTGCAGAAGGTCAGGAAGTCGAAGTGACGGATACTCCGGTCTTGATCGACTGCAAGCTTGGCTCGGGGAGGGGTTGGTTGTCACGGTTTTGAAAAGTATTGTGAAGGGGGACGCATTCATGGTTCAGGAACGCGGACTGTACAAAGCAGGGACGCAATCAGTTGACTCTGTGAAGACTTGCTGGCAGGCGTTTGAATATATGTATGCATCCTCTTCCCAAATGGGGTACTCATTGTACAGTCAGAAACGAACATGTATATACAGCCTTGCTGATATATGCTGGTTTTCCAAGGTGTCTTACTTCTATCTACCAAAATCCGGGACTTTGAAGTTTGGGCTGGATTCCCCCAACCGTCTCTGCGCCTGATTGTCGCTGTGACCACAGGACACGAGAGCATGACATTCAATGCGAGCTAGTTAGTGCTATGGTACATTCTACTGTTAAGGTATGTTCTATCCACTCTATATGAAATTGCCAGTATTTTCTTCACTAGTATTCTGGAAGACATCATGAGAGTAAACGGAATAATTATATATTACTGTCGATGTGAAACAACAAACCCCAGGTCCAGACTGGGGACCAATCTTTCAACAGCTCACTTGGGAGTTATCACATGGCCATCGGTCACTGGGCGGCATCAAGTCCGTAATTGCTCTGCAGCTCCTGGTTGAAGGGGTGTCGCTGCACCGCTACCATCGTCTCGACCAGTACTCCGACCACTTCCTCCAGCCCATGCTGCTGCTGCATCAGACCCTGGCACAGCTGGTGCAGTTGCTCGCCTGCCGTCCCCAGTCGGTACTGCATGTGGTCTCGCCGTTTGTGCCATTGTTGTTGTTGTTGTTATTCCACTGATTCCTCGGGTCATATATATGGTTGTTCTGGTTGTTATTTTGGCTCCATAGACGGTCGCGGCCGTTATTATCATTTTTTATGGCTTCCTCGGTGATTGTTGCGGCCGTTATGGCCACCATGACGAGTGCGATGTCTAACCATATTCAGGGAAAGTCTTCAGGAATTAGAGAATATATAAAGAGGAGCCTAGAGAAAAAGAAAGTTACTTGCAAACATCTAACTGAATAATGTAGAGGGCAGGGCCGGGGCAATTAGAAGATTATTTTTCCATGGGGTTTATGTGTATATGATATATGTATGTATGTATGTTAGATCTTTGCGGATTTGGGGGTAAAGCTTCATGGTTCTTATGGATAGGTCGTTCTTTCTCTCATGGCCATATTTCCCCGGCTGCCACCTGTCTATTTTACGATTACAATACTTTTTCCAGTGCGGCTGATCTTTGTTCTCATGTGTGGTACAAATATGTCAAATTGTTGGCCTTCGTCCTGCACAGAAGCTCGTTTGGTCATGCAAGTTGGACATGTGACTGATTCTGTCACCAGATTAGTGAAAAAACACGAATTTATGGACACTTGTTCATGATTCACCGGACTCTACTCTGCTCTTTGGCATAGTGTATCCCCAGAGTCATTACCAAGTTGCAGTCTGGGGGAAACTCAGTTCCGATCTGATTGAATTGCAGCCATAGCCAAGGCTACTATTTATTCATCGCTTCATGGCATAATTATGACCTCTGCGGCAAGAGTGATCCCAACATCTGTTCATCCAAACTCAGGCTTCATGTTCGCGTGATGTAGAGTTGTGGTGAGTTTAGAGCATTGGAAGTCATCAGAGAAAGAAAAGAGAGATGTGCTCAAGCAATAAACTTGCCATCTTATGCTTCTCAGCAACGCAGATAGTTGACACAGATATATAACTTCAATGCTGTACAAAATCAAGGGAAATAAAGCATGATCATAGCGGCATATCGCACAGCCTCGCCCTATTAGGTATATTTGTAATAACCAAGACACGAATGTAGACTATAATCTTGTGGAGCTGCAGTACTATAAAGCGAGACCATCGCTGTGCTCTAGAATCTTCATATTCGCTACAACACTAGAGACTACTGATATATTAATAAGGTGCTAAAAATACGAAAGTAGTGGCAGTCGACACTTCAGATCCTAAAACAGTCGAGAATAAATGAGATTCGCTCTCTATTTAGCGAAATAAGACCTCGGAGACCTGGACCTACCCGTTAACATTCAAGTTCACCTACTCATTCTAGCAGTCTGTCATAAAATGGCGAGTGGATCTCTTAAAAGATCGAGTGTCACACGTCCATCTCCCCATACCTGACTAGAAACCCCTTACCCGCCAACTCTTCCTTACGATGGCCCCGCAAAGCTCCCCGTTTCCCCATCGTCCCAACAATCGCAATTAGTCTCGCCTAGCAGCTCATCATGCATAAAAGCCGTCTGTTTCGCTTTGCTAAAGTTAAGAAGGATGCTGCACCCCGCAGATTAGCAAACGCTATCTGACCTACCCCAACAAGGCGCCCGCCCAGTACGCAACGGGTATAAATCCAGGCATGGCGTATCATTACATCCAACAACTGCTAACTCAAGCAGCCCCATTGGATGGATCGTACATGCTAGCGATCCCGCTACTGTCCCGCTACTGCGTGCTGAGGCCGGCAAGCTGGCAATCCATACTATGCCATGGCATTGTCAGGGTTTTAATTTTTTGATTGTGGCAATTTGGGATACTGCATCGAAGCTAATGCGGTATATAAATAGGCGTTCATTTCTACCAGATTGTATATTTGGGATTCTCGATGGCCCTTGATCACCAGAAACCTTCTTTGAATGATGTACTCTGGTTAGTAAATTAGCGGTCTTTTGTCGGTCTGATCTTGCCTAACTAAGTTATACGGTTGCTGATTCAGTTTCGCAGCCCTCGAGATATGGAAGGCTATACCCTATTGCAACTGAGTCCATTTCGATGCCAAGTTGGGTCACTCGAAGTCATAATCACGTAATGCTCGGATCCGTTAAGATATCTGCATTGTCAGGAGAATTTCCCTCAAGCGATGGCAAGTCCGTGAGTACCAGAACGAACACATGTAAAGTGACTAAGGCGGTGGGAAATGAAATTCTTCGATGTCAAGGTATCATATGTATAGAACAGGCCTCTTGACCTCATAATTCCAAATTGAGTTGAGACATCGGTACCTAAGAGTCGCGTAGACGTTTTGGGGTCGCTGTAAACGCTAACTTATCTCAAATAGGCATTCGCATCACCGGGGTATTTCAAGAATTCAGGATCCAGATTTTGAGATGAAAGACTCTGACGAGAACACTCTTAGTTTAGGGAGGGAGAGTTTGTAAAGATCGTTCGCTCTTGCTATAATACGTCAAATAGGCCATGTGGGTTAGGAGTTGGTACATGTGACTAATTGGTATCAATACCGGGAGGTGCCCCTTTAAAAACAAGAAGTTCGACATATTGCATGATTTCTGCTCTGATGCCCATACACTATTTAGCCTTGAAACTGTCTACTTATCTAATATATACAATTCTAATGATGATTGATTCTCCTCTCTAGCATGTGGCGTTGAATGCACTGATCCACTATAAACTCTAGTAATGCAAGTTGCAAGCAGGCCACACCCCTATTCGATTGGATGAATTGTCTTTTCAGCCGAGTTACAAGTCCAGCTATGGCCAGCAGGAGGTGCTATACGACTTTTTAACGCGATGACCAACGTAAGCTTACCATGTGATTCTGCTACGCAATAGAAAGTCCTTATACTACTACTGGCCGTCCCACAAGATGAGTTATGGATATAGAGATTGTGATTGCCCTCAAACTCTCCATTTGTACCCTGCGTACCTTTCTTCCGTTTATTCACATCCCTAAGGACCTATGCTCCCCCTTCCCCCATCCCTCTATGTCCTCCTCCCCCAACGCCACCCAAGCACTCAACGGATCTGCCCAAATATGCCAGTTCCCCAATTTCCCCTGCTCATCCCAACCCCCTAGAACATACGAGAACTGCTCCTCCCAACTTCGTCCCGTGCTCACGCTTTCAAACCTCCCCTTCCCCACAACACACACCTCGTTCTTCTCTGCGTCCACCACAAAGCCGTCTACGCTTGGGAAGCTGCCCTTGCTTAATTTCATCTTCAGCGTCTCGGACAGAACAGTGAAGTACTTCTCGCACTCATCTACTCCAATGAACTCGCGGCCTAGGAACGGCAGCCGCGAGGTTGCCCAGGAGGGGCCGTGCTCGAAGATTGTGGGTTTTCTGTCTTTGGAATCGGGGATGAAGTGCTGGGAGAGCAGCTCGCGTGGTGGAGGGGCCGAGAGGAGGGATTGGCAGAAGGCATGGGCGTGGGTGCGTAGGAGGGTGGTGCGGGCTGCGCCGGTTTCGTGGTTGACTTTTTGGACTGAGGTTGAGATCATTGTGGTGACGGATTACTGAAGTGAGTTGTTCAGTCGCGGCTCGAGTCTTGTCTTCTATGTTCCAGGGTACCAGGGATGATGCCCCGAGTTCAACGGTTTTGAAGCAAACCAAAAGCGAGTGCGGACTGACGCAAAAACTGATTCACTATGACATCACTGAATTGGAGATCAATGTAACAGCAAACTACATCCACTGTTTTAAAGACTTAAGGCGGCTTCAGAATAAAGACTGATAACATTTGGGTTGAGATTCCACACGTAAAGTAGCTGAGGTTACATCAGTATGGCTGACGACTTCAACGTGGAAAGACCGCCCTGGCATTGCTAGAGCATCATGCAGTTGACGGGGCAGTTGCTGCTCCATTTCAACAATAGAAGCCTCGATCTTGCGGTTTAAAGCTCTGCAGAAATATTGCGGAACAATGGGATTGGACTGCCAAACACGGATTGTACTGAGTCCACCTGAGCCGTCGCTTCCGTATTATTAGCCATGTGGAGGACAACTTTATGTCCGAGGTTCTTAAGTGTATTTCATCAGAGAAGTGACCCTTGAGCTACCCGGAAGCGGTAGGGAACCTACCCTGTAGCTTCAACTTCGACTAACGTTGTTTGAGCCGAGCCCCTCTTCGCCTTACGATCATGCATATTAGGCAAGCGGTAAGGGCTCACCCCACCATGGATGCGATTTTGCCATGTCGACTGTCCCGCTATTTGAACTTTTGAATTGCGACTCTAAAGTCTAGGATTAATCCATCAACCCAGCCTGTAAAGGCTCGTAGACTAGTTGCACTTCCTTTATCCCTGTGATCGCGGCGAGTTGAGTCGCCAAAGTCGCCGAGATGGTGAACATTACGGAGAAAATCAAGGAGTGAGAAGTCTTTCCATTTTTCAAGCGTTTGGAGACTCACACTGTGACAGGATTGAGGATGAGATGAGGAGGACGCAGAGTGAGATCTATGTAATCAATGCAATATGAGAGAACACGAGGTTCTGACACGGCTTCAAAATTTCAGAGAACAAGGCCACAGGTAAGCAGAAATGAACCAGGGCGTTTTTGCAACCTCGCATGTTGACAAACCTCTAGAATACCACCTTGGTCTGTTGAAAGGGTACAGTCTCCCCCACTGTCGGAACTGCGCCGGGGATAACGTTCCTAACATCTCGCCAGAAAGCTCGCCCGACTTCGCGCACAACTCCTCGAACCCGGCCCCGGAGCCGGCGGCGGTGGCGGCTCCGGCTTCGACGTCAGCAAAAGCGGTGATGCCCGAATAGCCCTCGTCGGGTTTCCGTCCGTGGGAAAATCGACGTTCTTGTCTAAAGTAACCAAGACGAAGTCGGAAGTTGCTTCGTACTCTTTCACAACCCTGACGGCAATCCCGGGTGTACTCGAATACGGTGGCGCCGAAATCCAGCTGCTTGATCTACCCGGTATCATTGAAGGAGCTTCGGAAGGTAAGGGGCGTGGGCGACAGGTCATCTCGGCAGCCAAGACGAGCGATTTGATTCTGATGGTGCTCGACGCGACCAAGAAGGCCGAGCAGCGGGCGCTTCTGGAGGCTGAGTTGGAGGCAGTGGGGATCCGGTTGAACAGAGAGCCGCCGTAAGTCAAGTCAAGCTAAGTTGTCGGTGGAAAGAAAGCTCATGTTCTGCAGCAACATCTACCTCAAGCCGAAGAAAGCGGGCGGCATGAAGATCACCTTTCAATCGCCGCCGAAGAACCTCGACGAGAAGATGCTGTACAACATCCTTCGGGACTACAAGATGCTGAACTGCGAGGTGCTGGTGCGGGACGAGGACGCGACGGTGGACGACCTGATCGACGTCATCATGAAGGACCACCGCAAGTACATCAAGTGCCTGTACGTGTACAACAAGATCGACAGCGTGTCGCTCGACTTCCTCGACAAGCTGGCCCGTGAGCCCCAGACCGTCGTCATGAGCTGCGAGCTCGACCTCGGCATCCAGGATGTCGTCGAGCGGTGCTGGGACGAGCTCAAGCTGATTCGCATCTACACTAAACGGAAAGGTATTGACCCAGACTTTAGTGAGGCGCTTATTGTGAGGAGCAACAGCACCATCGAGGATGTATGTGATCGCATCCATAGGACGCTGAAGGATACGTACAAGTACGCCTTGGTGTGGGGGGCAAGCGCGAGACATGTCCCCCAGAGGGTTGGGCTGTCGCATCCGGTGGCAGATCAAGACGTCGTCTACATAGTTAGTGGTTATAAGGCGTAGGTTTGTCTGCTTGGGCACCAAATACAGCAAACAATGTTGATGTCACAAGAAAGCAGCACTCGCATTCAGTCGTAATTCCGCATCTATTGTGTCATATCATATCGTGATGGACCTGTTCATCCGGTCGAGAGGTGTAAACCTACAACGTCCTCTCCTCTAAAAACGCCTAGTGCTCGTAAGACGCCTGTCCCTGTATGATACAACGAGAGCAAAGCAAAGCAAAACAAAGCAAAACCTTCCTTCCCTATGCTCTTCTTCTCTGGTTATGAAGAGAGAGAGAGAGCCTATGTCATGAGAAATCTGTCAAGTAACCGTTCCATTATCCGTCCACCCCTAAGCAAGCGAATCGCCCAATGTCCAAAGCAAAAACCGGCTTCTGCCACAAAGCGGAAAGGGATTGCGCGTGTCCGTTTACGATGAATACGGAGAAGACGGCTTGGTGTTCTTGGCACCGAGGACGTTCTCGCCTTCAAACTTCTTGGACGATGCTTGGGCGAAGAGGGACTTCGGCTTGGCTCTGTGGAAAGAATCAGGGTTAGCAGCCGTCTCTAGCGGTGGTTGTACATTAGCGCGTGTAGAGGTGTGCTTACTTGCTAACTTGCTTGTTGCGATAGGCATTCAGCTTTGCGGTGCAAGGGCTCATGATGGTGTCGGAAGGCGAGACGTAAGTCTTTCCGTTCCTGTTGGAAGCCAATCGGGTTAGTATGGCGGGTTTCTTGGGATGCGATGATGTTGCATCGTTAGACTTACTTCTCCTCCTCAATCTTGGCCTGAAGGGCCTGGCGATGGTATTCCATGCTCTTAACATCGCCCTTGGCAGAGCCGTCCTGAGAGGTCATGTTGGCGTTAACGTCCTTGCTTGCGAGTACGTTGGACGACATTGTAATTGTTTGATTCTGGTATCAGCGAGAGCAAAGACACAAAGCTGAATTGGCTCGCTGAGCTTTGATAGATGGATGGATGCAGATGGCGGCGCAATAGTGGTTGGTGATGGTGCGAGTGAGAATGATCTTCTGGAAATGCAGATTGATTGTCCGGATGCAAGTGTGATTGACTGATGTGTTTTATCGGGCACCGGCAGTCTGGGTCTATTGACAGGAAGATCGAGACTTTCAATACTCAATATAGTTGTGGAGCTCCTTCAGAAACTGTCGACTCTGGGACTGCCGGAGGGCGGAAAGTCAACAGTTGCGGGGCCTGCTGGCATGCTGACCGGGCAACCGCAGGGGTTGCCAACTACGTAAGAGGCAGGCCCATTCTGAGCTCTAGGGCCCCGTCCACCATCAAGACCCGCTGTATCGAAGAACAGAACATGTTGTCCTACCAACGAGAAATCATTCTGTCATGCGACACCATAACTACCGTGCGAAGTTTACACTGACTCACTCATGGAGATCAATATTGGATTGCCTTAATTTGGCAACACAGGTCATTAATGCATGCATGGTCAGAGGGAATACAGGGGTGACCTCGAGCCGGCCACTCCGCAACTGCTGCAGCCATGAATGTGAAGAATCGTGAATTTTCAAGCTGAGGATACATGCGTATATCATACAATGATCATCACAGGCGGTGCTTAATGTTGGTACCGGGCTGTAGCGTCTGCACACCATACTGCTTCAACAACTGCTCCGTTTTCTCTTTCTGCCCGAGAATCTTCTGAGTCACTGCCATGCCCCTTTTGTTTTCGTTTCGGCCCATCTGCTGGAGGTGAACCTCGTCTGGCCCATCTGCCAAACGGAGAGTCCTGATCTGCGCCCACATGTTGGCCAGAGGTGTATCTTGACTGACGCCAGCCCCTCCAAATGCCTGGACTGCGCGATCGATGACCGTCAGGGCCGTCTGCGGTACAAGTACCTTGGCCTCCGCGATCTCCTTCAATGTCGCCTTCGGTCCCAGGTCGTCCATCTTGACCGCAGCGTTGAGCACGATCAAGCGCGCGGCATCGATCTCGATACGTGACTTGGCAACCCATTCGAGGATAACGCCGTGTTCCTTCAGCTGCTTCTTGAAGGGCGTCTTCTTCGGATCGTTGATCCTCATCAACATCCACTCGAGGGCTCGCTCCGCAGCACCAATGGATCGCATGGCGTGGTGTATACGGCCTGGTCCGAGACGACCCTGGATGATTTCAAAACCACAACCTTCGCCGAGCACCATGTTGGTTGCTGGCACTCTGACATCCTTGAAGGTGATGTGGCCGTGTCCATGCGGCGCGTCGTCGTATCCGTACACGTTCAACATGCGATGGATTGCGATGCCCTTGGCGCCGGCCGGCACGAGGATAACAGATTGTTGCTTGTAAGGGTCCTTATTGTTGGGATCTGACTTGCCCATGACAATGTAGATCTTGCATCGGGGATCACCAGCTCCACTTGACCACCATTTCTAAAGGCCATTAGCTAATGCAGCGTGGATGGTGCGTCGGAGTAAATCTTACCGCGCCGTTCAGAACGTAATCGTTGCCGTCCTTCACGATTTTCAATTCGATGTTCGTAGCATCCGAAGACGCAATATCAGGCTCTGTCATAAGGAAAGCTGACCGGATCTGTCCCTCCATCAGAGGCTTCAGCCACTGAGCCTTCTGTGCGTCATTGCCATACTTAGCCAAAACCTCCATGTTTCCTGTGTCAGGAGCAGCGCAGTTGGTAGCCTCGGAGGCGACCCGAGACTTGCCCAGCCATTCTGCCATCAATCCATATTCCAGGTTGGTGTACCCAGGCGACTCCTTGTAGTGTCCCTTGGGCAAGAACATGTTCCACAAGCCCAACTTCTTTGCCTTTGCCTTCAGGTCTTCAACGATGGCTGGGTGTTGCTCCCATCGCGAAGCGCCCTCGCCGATTTGGGCCTCGAGCACGGGGTCGGCGGGGATGCATTCTTCCTCGACAAACTTGGCTACAATATCTAATGTCCTCTTCGCTTTGTCGCTGACGCGATTTACGACCTGGCGGTGGCTGGCTGTCAGTACTGGAGCTCGAGCTAGCGTTTCTGGGAGGTCATCATACCAAGGCGGGAATCTGGGCTGACATGACTGTTAAACGGCGTTGACAATTAGATCACACACTAAACCACGACGATAATGGAAGCAGCCTCAGTTGTAAAGGAACAATGAATCCATTGAACTATATAGAGAGGTCGGATTGGCGCCGAGGCGTTGTCAAACGGCGGGACCGGCAGTGTCGAAACTTGGCCGAGGTTAGGTCCACCTTGATGAGGAGGGGGGAGCTTGTGTGGGTTAAGGTGACACTAGCAGGACAGGGTTACCACCAGCCGGGGGGACAAAAGCTGGGGAAACGCTCAGAGTGCATATTGCGGGAAGGCCTGGAGAACTTGAGAACCGTACGATGTCGGACGACTACAAGTTGCTTAGCTGGTGTGTTAAGTTATAACTTTGTAAGTTTATTCAACTGCCAGTACTTTGTACGAGGTCACAAGTTTGGTGTTGGAGTATCGTACTGGAGTTGCTAAAGGTAGCTAGTCGTTTATGCAGAGAAAATTTTATATATGCATATTCTGAAGTTTGTAGCAATAAGGACTCATTGATTTGTACAGGCGCCGCCATTTTGAAGGCACCGCTATTTTCATTAGATCTCAGTAAGCAATGCCACAACTTCGTTTTCAGTTGTAATAACCAACACACGCTTAATTAGGATCACGGTTTCTTCGTGCCACTTGTAAAAGGCCTCCTTGTAGAAAACTATAGCTCTTCCTCGGGCGATATTAACCCTATTCGCTTCTCTCACTTATCTTATACCTTTCTAATCGCTACTAAGTTAGTAAATACTTTATTCGAGTTAGGCTCAGCGGCCTAGCGAGCGTGAAGGGCGCTTTCATCGTGTTCTTTGCTTACATCTTCGGCTTTAACATGCTACTAGGCTACAGTTAAAGCGCTAGTAGGAACAGTTTTACTTGTAACGAGAATAGACACAACGAGAACGAATCGAGGTGTGGATTTCGTATTGATTGCTGTGTCTTCTCTACGCGCTGTTGCTATCTGTCACGACCTGGGTTGCATCGCATTGGTAGAGACCTCGATTAGGTGCTATCGACGAAGATTCTACTCTAAGGAGCGAAGGAAAGAAGATGACAACTTAGGTTTGAGGGAGCGCGACTAAGTCGTCCACGCTTGGCGGGGCTCCTGCAGGGGTTATGATTGGCTTCCCATCTGGCACTGCCATGGCAGGTGTTCCAGCTGTAAGTCACCTGGTTGTAGTGAGTCTGCGAGGGTTGACCTTCACACTATCTATGTTTAAGGAAGAAAGGAAGATAGCTACACCACCTTCGGCCTAGGGCATAACTGTGGTGCTCAATCCCACAAATACCATATAATCTCTATACTGAACTAAAGAAGAGAGAGAAAGGATCACAAGTAAAGGTGCCCTGTGCGGGAATACGGAGCTTATGGTGGTTAATGCGGTTACTGGGTTTAGACTTGTTGTTTAGTTGTGTAAATCGAACTGTGTAGCTCATTGCGAATAGACTGCCTTACGAGAACTGATAATTCGCAAACCGAGGTGGATATGCGTTTCTGGGCTTGTCTCACTGGCAAATCCCGATGTGCCCTACAAGTACAAAGCAAGTATCCAACCTTCTGCGTAACCATACTGTTTACCTTCAACTTAGAGCTGCTTCTTCGAGACTTTGAGAACGATTTCTTCACTTCCTGATTTGACATATTGCAAGAAAAGGAAGGAGGAGATGGTGGCTACAGGCACCTCACTGAGATAGTAGACTAACGATACCTCTACCCCAGATCAGAGCAGTAGAGAAACATTTCATGTCCGTATAATTCCAAAGAGAAATGTTCCCTGATGCTGCTGTGTGTACAGCCTTGCATGTCTGAAGTTGTGAAGTGGTTGATTGTAAAGAGTGGATACAGTTGTGAGATAGAAAGTGGCCGAAATCAAAATTCGGACATCCTGAATTGGCCACGAACCTCACGTCTCAAAGCTTCGCGTCCTAACAGACCCAGAGCATATAAATAACCAGCGACCTGATCTACGCCTACAAGCCGTCACAAACCCTGGCAGTTACGCAATAAAATTTCCATTCCAGCTGCTTCAACAAAAATTTTTGCAACCATGGCAGAAGAAAATGACCAGGCGCTCGTCGCGCAATCGAGCGAAGTCGCCGCACCAGCACCCAAAAAAGTCAAGAAGATCATTCGCAAGAAACGCCCAGCGCGTCCCCAAGTCGATAGCTCTTTTATCACCTCAGAGCCTCCTCCTCAAACTGTATGTCGCGACTTCCGCTCCTTCTTATTTTTCTTCCTTTTTCTCGACAGGATTGTCATACTGACCACCGTTTCTGCAGGGTAACATCTTCAATATATGGTACAACAAGTGGTCTGGCGGCGATCGCGACGATAAGGCCTCGAGCCAAACTGCTGCAAAGGGCAGATGCATCGTTGCGAAGGACAGCGGATACACCAAGGCTGACAAGATCCCCGGATCCTACTTCTGCCTCTTCTTCGCACGCGGCATCTGCCCCAAGGGCCAGGACTGCGAATACCTGCACCGCTTACCCGGGATCCATGATATGTTCAATCCGAACATCGATTGTTTCGGCCGCGACAAGCACTCGGACTACCGCGACGACATGGGAGGCGTCGGTAGCTTCATGCGCCAGAACCGGACTATATACGTCGGACGGATACACGTGACGGATGACATCGAGGAGGTGGTCGCGCGACACTTTGCAGAATGGGGACAGGTAGAGCGCATCCGGGTTCTTAACACGCGCGGCGTGGCCTTCATCACATACTCGAACGAGGCGAATGCGCAGTTCGCCAAGGAGGCGATGGCGCACCAGTCGCTCGACCACAGCGAAATTCTGAATGTGCGGTGGGCGACGGCGGATCCAAATCCGATGGCACAGGCAAGAGAGGCGCGGCGGGTCGAGGAGCAGGCTGCGGAGGCTATACGAAGGGCGCTGCCGGAGGCATTTATTGCCGAGATTGAGGGCCGGGATCCGGAGGCGCGGAAACGGAGGAAAATTGAGAGTAGCTTCGGTCTGGATGGGTACGAGGCACCGGATGATGTTTACTTCGCCAGGGGATCACAGGCCGTAAATCCGGTGGGGAGAGCAGGCTACGAGTTAGAGCACGAGCAACGGCTCATGAATCAGAACGGAGAGGTGGACGGAAACGGCGATAGAGGTGCGCTGCCGGCTATTGAAGAGAGGAAAGAAGACGGTGGTATATTCTCCAGTAGCACGCTGGCTGTGTTGAAGACGGCGAACGTCTCGGCAGCACCGAAGAAGGCGCCAGCCGCATCTTCAGGGCCCTTAGTGGCATATGACAGCGATGACGATGACGAGTAGACGGCCATATTCCATCACAGAATGTTCAGAGGAGTCCCTGAAATTGTGCATGTCAGAACATCACTTGCAATATGATACCAGCATGGCCCACCATATCTTCGCATCCGCGTCCATCTCTCCATCACCTTCGCCTAACTATTGAAAATTCTCGAATAAAGCATCTCATGCCTCCCAATCCACAAATCCATAACCGGCACGCTCTGCCCGGCCTCCTCGATCCTAGTCTCCCACTCCCTCTCCACCAACGCCGTGATCATGGCCTGTACCTCCATCCCCGCCAACACCTTCTGCGCCTGGTACGGTCCGAACACGCTCGCCCGCACCGCGGCGGAGATGAGCGCCTTGACGTGGCTCAGCAGGAACACGTACGCCGTCTGCTGCAGCGTCAAGCCTAGCACTTTGGAGATGGCGCCAAAGAGGGGGGCGAGGTGGGCTGATACGGGTGGTATATCCGTGTCCGCATTTGACGAGGACCATGACTTCGAAATTGTTGCCGCTGAAGAAGAGGAAGAAGACCTCAAACGCCGGGCAAATTTCCTCAACACCTGGTCCCCTTTCTCGTCCTTCTCATTCCCTACTCCTCCCGCCCCGACCCCAGCATCCCCCCTAACAAACGACCTCTCCCAAATCGACAACAACGCCCGCCCCTGCGCAACACTTGCCCGACGTCCAACGGTACAGATAATAGCTGCATCGAGCTGATCGTCCAATTCCGCAACAGCGACGGGATCGCGATGCGCGGCCAGTACAAAGGGAAGGGTGGTGGATGCGTATGAAGAGAGGGAGAGCAGCAAGAAAGTAGAGAAGGATGAAACGCCCCTGTTGTGCGCTAGGTAGGATTCGAGGCCGGAGCTGAAGGCGAAGGAGCCTAGCGGGAGGGCGGAGTCGGAGAGGAGGAGGAGATAGTGGTGTGAGGAGGTGGAATCAGGGGCATATAGGCCAGGCGGTGGTTGGGTGAGGAGAGCGTTTGAGTTGGCGTTGCCATTTTGTTCACGTTGAGGGAATGTGGAGGCGAGGCGTTGTTTGGCTGTCCGCAGCCGGGCCTCTAGCTCCGCGATTTCATTTTCGAGATCTTCAAGAGTCTCCGTGTTTGGTGCGAGGCTCATGTTGTGAAGGGTAAGTACGAGTACGTCACAGGTGCAACTTGAAATGAACGACGTGCGAGTACTTGGCAGATACGACGTACTCGCTTAATTCATATCCCCGCTAAACGCCAACTCCGTAACATCCATGAACGTCGGTGCAACAACACAACTAACTATCTTTGAGGTATCAACAATCAACTCCTACCCATGCCCATCACTCGTTACAGTCCCATGGCCTGCTCATGGTCGAAAATTCTCCTTGTCATTCAATCGACTGCCGACATCCCGCCTCGATCGTCGCTTCTGTTCCAGACGTGCCCTCGCAGCAGCCTGACGTTCCGCAGGAAGAGTGCAGCGGGATGTATTTGCCGTCATGACCGAATTGTTCAAATCTAGACCGCCAAGTCTTGCAAAACGGTCTCGCACAAGATCGATACCTGGTGCTTCTATGGTGGGGGAAAGTGGTCGGCTGAACCTCGACGATGGCTTGCCAGAGGTAATCCTGTCCAGAGCACCGTGCATCATATCATCTTTATTCGTACTGGAGGTGGAGGTAATGCGGTCATTTCTCCTCCGATGCGAGTCCTTAGGCGATGACACGTTTGACTTGTCGAATAAGACATCTGTTGCGCTCCTTCGAGACCCATGCGCTGGTTGGGAAGGATTCGGTGATGGAGCCTCTTTCGCCTGATTGCCTGTTCGTCCAAAATCGAACTCATCGGTGAACAGCTCTCGGTCACGCTTCAGGGATTCCATCTGCTGCTTCTTATCTCGCTTTAGCTGCTCGTCAATATCGAACATGCTGTCAGTGAAATCGATGGAAGAACGGCGTGACAGCCCGGTTTCCATGGGTCTCGGATAAGTGTCGTCATTGAGAAATGATCGCTGGGTCATGTCGAGAGTAAAATCCTCAACTGAAGCCGATCGCTTGGGCGGATGCCTGGACGCGAATTTGGCGGCGTTAGTAGGCTTGTTCAAGCACTCGATGTCCGACCTCAGGCCTCGAGCGATTTTCTTGTGTTCCTCGAGACTTGCACTGAGACTCCTTGGTTGACTGGCTGCGTCATCCCTCGCCTTGAAATTCTTGATCTCCTTTTCTAGCTCCGCAATCTTGTCATTCTTTTCTTGAAGGACTTGTATGGCTTGGCTATGTGATGCCTTCGCATTGCCCTTAAATGTATCAAAGTCTTTCCTCAACTTCTTGAGCTCGTCATCCTTCTGCTGCGACTGGTCCTTAGCCTCTCGCAGTTGCTTTTCCAATTTCTTGGCTCGGGAAGGTTCAAATGCCTCATCGGCAAGTCTCCTGTTTTCCTCCCCTAGTTTAGTTGCTCGTTGTTGCGAATATAGCAAGTCCGACTTGAGTCGTTCCACCTCCCGCCGTAGGCTATTCATTTCTTTCAGCTCAGACTTGACTTTCTTAAGCTCTCGGTTTGCGTCGTAAATGGCCTGCTCAGTTCGAGGCGAGGCATCCATACGGCGGTGGTTCGCATTGGATAACTCCTGGATTTTGAGCGATTTCTCTAGGTCCTTGACCTGCTCTCGGTATTCGACGGCCAACGCAGTCTTTTCGGCCAGTTTCTTCATCAGAGAAGCGGTGTCCGTATCGACGCCGCGTTTTCGCTGGTCAACCACCTGTGCTGCCAGATCCGAGATCTTCTTCTCCATCTTGACTATCTTTTGCTGTTCCTCCTTGAGCTTCTGGTTGAGGTTGACCGCCTCGGCGTCTTTCTTCTCGGCATAGAGCTTGGCTAGATGCTTGTACTTGACCAGCTTCGCCATCTCGATGCGTGCATCCTCGGAGTACTTCGTGAACTCAGACTTCCAGTACTTGCCCGACCTGGAGTGGGGCTCGTTAAGATCCACTGTCACGTCGTGGTTGCAGATTTCGTCTTCCCACTCGCCTTCAGAATGCTCCTCGTCCGATTCAGCAAGTCTGGCTCGAGCTCTGCCCTCGTCCTTCGCTGGACGTTTCCCTTCAGTCGTACCATGGGAGCCACGCGCGAGCTTCTTCGCCTTCGTGCTGCGAGAGTTCTCTAAAGTTTGCTGGAGTGTTGTCTTCTTGCGAGTCTGACCTGTGCCATCTGCGCCTGCTGCCAACGCATCCGGATCGCCATGAGTCGTGGTTTTGACATCATGACCAAAAGATACACGTTTCCGACGCACCGTTCCAGTTCCAGGAGTCAGCAGAATGCCTGATGGCCGCATTGGCGACTTTATGTCCTTGGAGGTTGCGTCCGTGGTGGCGGTAGTTTTGGTCGTCGTTGTGGGTTCGGCGCGTTTGGCTTCTACGGGCACATCTCGTGGCTGGACTGGAGTCCCGAATAGGGCATACTTGATAGCGCGCGCTGCAAATACTGGTGCAGGGGTATCTGGAGCCTCAAACTGAGCTGTATCGTCTGCTTACTGTCAATACGAACCCATGATTGTGCGTTTGCTCTAAAGCCATACCTGTCCCAACAGCCGCGTCTGTTGGGCCGGTCGCGCCTTGGAAGCCCTTTTTAATGGCCCACCCAAGCATCTTGCCCAAATCCTGGGGCAAAGAGCCATCAATTGGTACTAGTCATAAGGAGAAAGCAGGATGCAGCAAGTGCCATGCGTTGTTGGGGGCGAAGTCGTTGACTTGAGGTAGTCTGAGTACAAAGATTGTTTATTTGTAGTCCTATTTGGGACGAAACAAGTTCAAGCTGAGCCGCTGTACAACCATCAACGATAGGACGGCCCCACTAAAAACCGGCGCTGCAGTTAGGCGTAATAGGCGGGCGGCAAGGGCGCCACTTCTAGCTCAAGAACCTTGAACTAGGACCCCACTATTCATTGATGGTCGGTCTAGGTGTTCTTGAACCTCTCTTCCTTATACCATAACTATTGATAATACCACTTTAAATCTGCAATATGGTAGATTCCCGGTAAATGATCCACGGCTTTGGCTGTGGTCTTCATTCGTTCGCCTTTACTCCTTTCGAACGACACTAAACCGTCAAGATGCCGCCGTGGAAAAGCCCAGGTCCCTTGAAGGCACCTTTGCAGCACACAAGGAGCAATGATGAGTCAAGTTATTTTGGGCTGAACAAGCCCACCAGCTCGGAGGCGATTTCCAAGACGCAGTATACCGACATCCAGCAAGAAGAGATTATGGTGTTGCAAGCCATATATGGCGATGATTTCCATGAGCATAAGGCAGCAAATACGGCCTGGCAGCGGTCTGAACCTTCTTTTGACATACGCATCAAATCTCTACCTGACGAAGATTTGAGCATTACTCTTGGGGTGGTCTTTACGGCGACTTATCCAAAGTCAGCCCCGCTTCTGAGTCTTAAAGATGACGGCAACCTGGGTGAATCAACCTTATTCAAGGTGAAGAAGTTCATTGAGACCAAGCCCAAGGTTCTCGCTGCGCAGCAGGACGTCGAGCCCATGATACACGAACTAGCCTTGGGAATTCAAGAAATCCTGGATGCGGCTGCTCAAGCTAAGGCGCAAGGTTTGGTATTGCCGTCTCTGGCTGAAGAACAAGCGCTTCATGAAGCAGAGTTGGCCAGGCAAGTTGAGCAACAGCAGGCTGAGACTGAGCGAAAGAAAATGGAGGCAACCGAAGAGGAGGAACGGCTCATGCAGAACATGATCCAGGAAGAGCTGAAACGACAGCGCACCAAGGAAAAGGAGTCGAGGAAAAAGACCAAACAACAAACAATGGCCAAGCAATACTTAGAAGACTCGCAGGAGTCCGAGGTCAGCAAGGTCTTCTTTGATCAACCATGCCGCATCACGGACTCCGCAGGGAACGATCTTTTCTTCAATACGGTTGTGGGCAAAACAGAGTATCGTCAAGGATTAGTCGCGACAACATTCACGGTGCGACCAATTCTGATGAATAGCCAAGACTGTCCAACGCTGGCACTCAAGGAGTTTGAGTTGCGCTTCGATCTGAACCCATCTTCGCAATTCAAGAAGCAATTGGTGTCTCTGGAAACCAAGCTCAACTCGGTCAAGAAGCTCGCGCACCGGAATATTCTTGAGTTGCTCGACTTTCGCATTGATCGAGACACTCGAGATAATGAGGCGTCGCCGGATCGCATCGTACGAGTGCTCACACCCCTAGCTGACAAAGGCCCACTTGACGAACTCCTGGACCTCACTGGCCAAATAGCCATTGGTAAAGTCCGCTCGTGGACCACAGATCTTCTTTCTGCGTTGGGATATTTACATAGCCAAGGCCTAATCCACGAAGACATTCACCCCGGTAATATTCTTCTGTTTAGAGAAGGATCAGGACATGTCGTACCCAAGCTGGCTGATGCATCATACCAACGGGAGTTGCACGCAATATGCCGTAAATCCCGAACCATTTCATCCTTGAACTCGGCAAGGTCTGCTTATTGGCTCCCACCCGAGGTTGCCAACAACTCTGGCCCAGTCAATCAAAAGACAGACATTTGGGACTTTGGTGTTGTTTTCCTGCAAATGATCTTTGGGCTGGATGTCTTTGAAAAGTATCAGTCGCCTGCAGCGCTCATGGAGACACTATCCCTATCTAGCTCTTTGCAGGAGCTCGTCGCGAAGTTCTTCAAGGCGGATGCAAGTCGTCGGCCTCGAGCCCTGGACTTGCGATCAAGCGAGTTCCTGGCTACCGATGCACCTGTCCTCGCGGAAGACTCTTTCGACACATTGTCTCCCTCTCATTCTATGAGTTCCCTCCTTCATACATTCAGAAGACGGCTAGATTCTACTACTCTAGCGTCATCTTATTCTAGATTTAGGAATGAGTTTTACGAAGAAGGTCGCCTGGGCAAAGGTGGCTTCGGCGAAGTAGTCAAGGTCCGTAAGAAGATCGATGGTCAGACTTATGCAATCAAGAAGATCACCCAGCGCGCCTCGAAAAGTCTCACCACGATTCTGAAAGAAGTCTTGACACTATCACAACTCAGCCATCCTGCTATCGTTCGATATTATGATGCCTGGACAGAGAGAGTTTCTGATGTATCTGATACCGACGGTGAAACATCCACCGAGGGGATCATCACTGAGGAGTCCGAAACAGGCTCCGAAGGAATCGTCCAGTTTGGCACTAGTACTGGAGGCTTGGATTTCATGTCGTCGGCGAACGCTGGTATCGAGTTTGGATACGAGGAGTCCGACGACGACGACGACGACGACGACGAGGAGGAGGAGGAAGAGGAGGAGGATGACGACGAAGAAGAAGATGAGGACGATGAAAATGAGTCCGAGGACGAAGAAGGTGGTTCCAGCCTCTCAATTGACTCCGTTGTGAGACAGCAGTTGCCTGCGGCGCCGAAACGCTTGCGAGGCCACACACAAAGCAGTTTTAGGAACGTATTGTATATCCTCATGGAATACTGCGAGAAGAGGGTATGTTTTCCGTCCGATTTCGTGTTACTACAAGGGCATGAAGCTTTGAAGGGCGATGGCTTGGTCTTGAAAGAGGCACCAGCCATTGCCGCTTGTGTCGACGTTTCCGCTGATATACATTAGTCGCTTGTGTCCCCATTAATCTGTTGCTGTATACCCATTGCTAATATCGAAACTGCAGACTCTGCGGGACCTTATCTTGCAAAACTTGTACGAGAACACAGACGAAATTTGGCGTTTGTTTCGGGAGATCCTAGAAGGGTTGGTTCACATTCATGGCCTGAACAACGTCGTCCACCGAGATCTCAAACCCGAAAACATATTCATCAGTCGCGGTACGGATGGAGTGGCGCATGCCAAGATAGGCGACTTTGGACTGGCAACGAGCGGCTACATCACCACGGTCAATGGCGTACCAGCGCCTCCCGAGTCAAATGAACTGAGTAACGTGGGGACTGCAACTTATCTCGCCCCTGAGCTGGAGCAACCTGGTAGCCTGGACGATGCCCGCAAAGTCGATGTAAGTCTCTCAAGATTTGGCTAACCAACTCGGAAGTTTTTGGCTGACAATAATCGAGATGTATGCTCTTGGAATCATTTTCTTCGAGATGTCCTACAAGCCCATGCTGGGGCACGAGCGGTTCAATGTCCTGAAAGATCTCCGAGGAAAGCCACCCCGTCTTCCAGCCGACTTCAAGCCTCACGATAAGGTACAAGTAGATATTGTGATGTCACTAGTCACACATAATCCCAAGGATCGTCCTTCGAGTTCAGAATTGCTGCGCGGCGACAAGTTACCCATACTCATGGAGAGCGAAAGTATACAGCGGGCCCTTGCAGACATTTCCGATCCTTCTTCTCCGCACTACTCCAAACTAGTGGCATCTATGTTCTCGAAAAGAATAGACAAGTCGAAGGACTACGCGTGGGACATGTCAGCACCAAATCCAACGCCGACTGAACTCCTGTACCAAGGGGTTGTCAAGGACGAACTCATAACCATCTTTCGCCGCCACGGTGCCGTCGAAGCAAACAGGAATCCTCTATACCCGCTATCCTCGCACTATACTCAGAATGTCGTTCAGTTGTTAGACCGAAATGGCGGGATCGTGCAGCTGCCGTACGACCTTATGCTTGGCCATGCCAGAATCCTGGCGAAACAATCTGGCTCATCCGTTGTCACAAAATCTTTCACATTCGGCAGCATCTATCGAGACCGACAAAATGGTAGTCAACCTCTGATGTTTGGCGAAGTCGGCTTCGATATAGTCTCTACGGACACTTTGGACCTTGCATTGAAGGAAGCCGAGGTGATTAAAGTCCTGGACGAAATAGTCGATGCTTTCCCCTCTCTCACCCAAATGTGCTTTCACGTTGGCCACTCCGACCTTCTACAGCTTATATTCGATCTTTGTGATGTGGACCTCAGTCTGCGGAAACAAGCAGCCGATATCCTTAGCAAACTCAACATCCATCACTGGGGCTGGCAGAAGATTCGAGCCGAGCTGCGGCTTATGGGGCTGTCAGTCACAAGCATCGATGAACTGCAGAGGTTTGATTTTAGAGGTACGTTGAAAACCACACAAGAACATCTGCTTGATCTGTCCACAGAAGCTCACTGTGCCTGGCAGATCTCCCCACGAAGGCCTTCTTGAGACTGAAATCCTTGTTCGAGGGGAGCCGCGTGTACGAGAAGGCACAATCCACGCTCGCCCACCTCAAGGAGGTCATCACCTTTACGAAGCGTTTTGGAGTGCACAGCAAGATTTATATAAACCCTCTCAGTAGCTTCAGAGAAGACTTCTTCCTTGGTGGAATCCTTTTTCAGTGTGTCTACGATAAGAAGTTCAGAGATGTCTTCGCTGCCGGAGGCCGATACGACAACTTGATCAGAGAGCATCGGCCTAAGATTGGCAGTCAGTCTGAACAACGCCATGCTGTAGGGTTCAGTCTATCCTGGGAGAAGCTTGCCAGGATACCAAAGACTACCGGAAAGGCGTTTCTGAAGAAATCTGAAGAAGTCCATAATATGTTTAACGCCAAGAGGGTAGGGTTCCTGTTTCCCACAAACCGCTTCATGTTTGATTTACTGATTTTATTCCAGTGCGATATCCTTGTTGCGAGCTTTGATACGGGAATGCTCCGTAGTGCCGGGGTGGAAATCCTCCAGACGCTGTGGTTGCATGATATCCGTGCAGAGTTAGCTCGCGACTCGCGGTCGCCTGATGATTTGATGACGAGGAACCGAGACGAATCATATTCATGGATCATTATTGTCAAACAAGACGGAGTCTTGAAAATCAAGACCATGGGTCGCAAAGACGTGGCAGATGTCGAGGTGCCTACCACGCAACTCATCTCTTGGTTGCGCGCTGAACTGCGCGAACGTGACCGCCAACTCACAGTGCGGCAAACGGACGCAAGCAGCACTGCAGCGGCTCTAGAGAAAGGCGTAATCCCGCCTAACCCAGAACAAGAGGTCCGGATCCTAGTCGGAAATACACGGTCTAAAAAGTTCAACCGTCATATAGTGGTGGAACAGGCTCAAGTCAACGCGGCAGCTCTGTTGCAGAGCTTCCGCTATGGACCCATCGCTGCTGTGGAGGCATCAGACATTGTGCTGGATCTCATTGACGCCACAGCCTTGTCGGATGCCGAGAGCTGGCGCAAGGCGGAGCAGTCGGTCAACATGACGGAGCGCAAGTACATGGGCGAGATCCACGATATGTTGTTGACGTGGCGAAACATGTCAGAGACGAAAGGTGGCAGCAGATATGCGTTTGTCTATAACTTCAGGACGACTAAATGCATATCCTATGACCTGGGAGCTTGATGATAACGATGATGGTTCATTGGTAGATAATGGTCGGGGAAGCTGGAGTTTTTGTGTATGGCTTGCTACGTGAATATGAGAATAATACGAGACACGTTTCTGGGAGCACTGTTGATCAAGGAGTCGGCGCTATAACGAGGACTAACGAGGTTTTAGATATTGCTCAATACTTATTGCAGGCCACTTGAAATCGTTGGAATACTAAGCACATCGTTCGACCACCCCAGGAGCATGCCCCAGGTTGAAGTCTGGAGCTTCCGATTGGCGTATAGCATCGGGGCTTCTGGGATAAGCAATGGGTGGCAATATGGACCCAATGATACGACTGCATGGCCTGGGTTTCTCTGATCCTTTCTCAAATAGTTCAATGAGGCAGGGTGGTACCGCAGGCTGCAGCACACAGCGGCGATGCGCGTTGATGGGGATATGATCGCCGAGGCTTGAATCCCATCGGTATATTTAAGTAAGACGCAATCTTTCCGCTTCCGCTGACGTGGCATCAGCTTTCCGTCCCCTTCGCCAAGTCAGAATAAGCCGCAAGCTACCTACGATGCTATTTGCCATACTAGCAGTTCTCCTTGTCATTCTCATCCTTAGCGTTGTCCTTCGCGTCCTCGTTGTCCCAAAACCCCTCCCAGGCATTCCCTACAACACATTAGCCTTATGGCAGCCGTGGGGAGATTTCCAAGATGTAGGAATGCACAATACTCTAACAGGAGAGGTGTTCGACTGGCTTTCACTACAATGCGTCAAGCACTGCTCCCCCGTCGTGCAGGTCTTCATCCCATCCTTCTCGATCAAGAAACCTGTCGTCATCGTGGCGGACATAAAGGAAATCGAAAGTATTACCACCCGGCGTCTGCGGGAGATTGATCGGGCGAGCATGATGCGGGATTTCTTCAATGTTATTCCCAAGGCTACGATCGGCATGCGCACCGACTCGGTCTTCAGACAGCAGCGTAGGCTTTGGAATAGTATTTTATCGCCTAGGTTTCTGACGGAGGTGGCTGCGCCGCATTTTCATGCGGTTATGTGCCAGCTCGTGCAGCTGTGGGATGTGAAAAGGGGTTTGGCGCCCGGGTTGGCATTTGAGGCGGCTGAGGATGTGAGGCAGACTACCCTGGATGCCATGGGGGCTATGGCCATGGGGATGAACCTGGGGCTTCTGGACGCGCAGATTAGGGGTTTGCAGACGTTTACCCGCAGCGGTAAGCCTGCGCACAAAAATAAGAAGGGTGCGGTGGCATCGTTCGGTCGGGTGACGTACCCACCTTCCTACCGTGCCTTCAGAACGATCCTGGCGAGCCAGGACTGGATCATGCAGGGCGTGAGTCCGCGTCTGAATATCTGGATCTCCAACTACACGCCCGCGTACACAAAAGCACGAAGCGTACTCAGCAAGCACCTCACCAACGCCATTTCTCAAGCGCGCCAGCGCCAGCAGCAGCTCAATGACACCCCTTCATCCAAATCTCACTGCGGCCTCGACCAAGTCCTTCATCAGGAACACCTCAAGGAAGCGCCACCCGGCCACACAGATGAAGCCCTCCACGACGAGCTCTTAGAGCTCTTGATCACAGGGCATGAAACTACAGCATCTAGTATAGGCTGGGCGCTGAAGTATCTCGCCGACAACCAAGAAGCGCAGACACGGCTTCGCGCCGCGCTCAGGAGGGCTTTCCCGGGATGCTCCATGGAGAACCTCCCCTCAGCGAAGGACATTACCACAACGCAGCTCCCCTACTTGGAAGCAACCATCGCCGAAGTCCTCCGTATTTCGCGCTCGGGGCCTATCTCGTTCCGTGAGGCCGTCATGGATACGGAGATCCTGGGCCATCGCGTCCCGGCGGGAACGCCCATCTTGCTAGTTACGGCAGGTCCGTCGTATGAGTCCCCCGAAATACGGGAGGTGGCTGAAAAGGCGCGGGTGCGGAGTGGTCGCAAGACGATTTTTCAACTCGAAGATGAGCGGAAGTGGGAGTGGGATCCTGCGATGCCGCAGAATGTGTTCTCTCCTGAGCGGTGGCTGGATGAAGATGGGGAGTTTGATCCTGAGGCTGGGCCGAGTTTGCCTTTCTCGGCGGGGCCGAGGGGCTGTTTTGGGAAGAAGATTGCGTTGCTGGAGTTGAGGATCATTTTGGCGGTGTTGGTGGTTAGTTTTCGGTTTCCGAAGTTGGAGGAGAGGTTGAGTCGGTACGCGTCTTTCGATGGGTTGACGAGGAAGCCTACTTGTTGTTATGTTATGCCAGAGTTCTTGTCATGAGGGGGATTGGGTTCTGAGCCGAGGGTGGGCTACTGAGAGAATGATTTATGAGGTTTCTGGGTTCTCAATCATTTCAGGGGCACGCGCTGTCATTCTACTACGGTTCAGTTATTTTTCTTGAGCAATACTGAAGCTACATCTTCACACAACAACAGCCGGGCCACCTCCAGCTGGCCCCTCTTTCCTTTTCACTTCTGTACCGGCAATGCCACATTTTGCAAGTGCGTAAGAAGCATCCACCAATATTGCATTATGAACTGAGCCTTTGCCTCCGGCCAAACCTCCCCCCATTTTTTCACCGTGTCTGCGTACAGATGCAAGTAAGCAGCCTTATTATCACCAAGGTCCACCGCGCCTTCCTCAAAGTTCCTGTGCTTGTCTTTGCTGATGAAGTGGAGAACCTGTAACGAGGTTTTGGTTAGTGCGTGGTGATCGGAGCCAGGAGATGGAACTTTGTGCTCATCGCGGTATCTCAGAACCGCGGGGATGCACATGCAGTAGACTCGGTGCATCTCCATGTGCTACGCGTAGCTCCTATTCGACAAGGGCAAGAGGTCAGCAACTGTGTCTGGTATGCAGTATACAATGGCGGCGGCAGACATCTAAAATCTACTGATTCCCACCATCAACGACCCCTCCCGTTCCACCCACCCAGACAAGCCCCTGAATGTCTCCTCGTCCGGTGTGAGAACCACAATACCGATGTTGACACAGTCCGTATCGTCTTGGTTCTGGTCTCAAAACTTCCAGCAGAATATCTGGGACCGATTATATGCTGCAATGCTTTATGTACAAGGTAAGTAAGTGGACTGAAGCAGTGTCTCAAACCGTGTCTGGTAGATACAAACGGCTTGAGTAGAGTTCAGGACAAATACCACAACAGAACTATGGCGCTGCATGTTCACGAAGGAGTGAAAAATACCTATTACAAACAATATTTGATAACTAGAGGATTGGGCATGGGTAGATTGGCCCTATTGCCGTCCTCGGAACTCACTAGGAAAGGCTGTATTATTCGTGCTATTGCAGGTGGCTTATCATCAGGACCTATTGGGACCTGTTTATCGGATAATTTGCGTCATCATACCAGCGACAGGGTTGAACGATTTCATCACATTCAGCGGATAGAGGAGGCTTGGTACTTGATACTGACCACCGTGATGCGGCCACCCGCTTCGCCGGAGACTTGCATGGGCAATCTCACACGTGAGAAAATGAAGTGATTTGTCCAATCTCTACCGGTAAATTACTAGTTATGGTCTGAATACGTGTTGTCACATGCAACAGGGAATAATGTAAAGTTTGACTACGCGAGAGAATAGAAAGTATGCCCCGAAGTCGCCCTGCTCCCATTGCTGAAAACAGGGTAGTGGGAGATTGACTACAGACTGTAACTTCACATGGTGCGTATGGTCATGGTGTACCTGATGGGTGTCAAAAGCTGCTAGGTACCAGATTAATTCACCAGTCTAAGTCAGCCTCAAAGCATGTGAAAATATAGGAAATGCGGACCAGGTTGGATTACAACCAAAGCTACGAACTCCGCCTTGCCTCCCTTGTTACGCGTTGCTATTAAAAGTCAGCGGGTATACTGTCGACCTGAAGTCGCAATGAAGATGTAGAAGAACTTGACTTTCACCAATACTTTGATTATTATTTGCAATATACCTAAGCTAGGTAGTAAGGTACCACATCCGAACCAGTTTCGCTTTGTATTCCAGATTGGCACCTTTTCACAGCTTAAAGTCACTCGCTCTCGCTTTGACAACAGACACACAAAAATACCTGTTACAACTCGTGAGGTGTATACGCTCGTATACGCGCAACTGAAGTACTCGCCCCGCCATGGTCATCCTTACATGGGTTCAGCAGTTGTCTGCAGGGGCTACTGCAGGAGTTACCGTGCTGTAAGCACCTCTATATATAAATATCTACGACCTTTTGAATTTATATTTGGGGACTCACCGGAGATGTTCTCAGGATGTCTTGTCTTTGTACCGTTTTGAGGTGTACTCGTAAAAGAAGAGATGAACGTGTTATGGGACTTCTCTTGAAAATTAATGCTGGGAAATAGAGAGCCTTTTTGGTTTACCAATTAGGGACGGGTGCGGGCAAGTTTGTCTTTTCAAACGTATTTATGAATCTATCTCAGCAACCCCTCCACCCGGCCGGGTGCCCCCTACGCATGGCTTCCTTCAAACTTCTGTGGTATACGACCCTGAAAAGTTCCAAGCACGCAGGCTTGATTGCGAGCAATGATGCCAGTCAAGCAGCCCAGCTTTGTGCATACACCACCAGTGCCTCTCCCAACAAGGCATACTCAGTTTCTTTCACTCCTAGCCAAATTCGAATGCAGGGTATGCTGCTTCATCAAACTGACAAAAACCAGCCCCAGAAGCACAAGACCCAGCATAGTAAACCACACGCTGCGGAAAGCCTCCATGAAAGCCGCAATGACCTCGGCGACGTCCCACCCCACCGGCAAGTGCTTCAGCTCATCCAAATCATCCCTAATCCTGCCAATCTCCTCCGCCGCCCCGGGCAAATCGCCAAATCGCTCCCACAGCTCCGTCTTAAGCACGTTCTGGTACACAGCGGATGCGATGGTTATCCCAACCGTCCCGCCTACAGACCGGAATGCGTATGTAGCCGAGGTGATCGGCGCCTGTTGCGAGTGGTCGACGGCCGAGAGGCAAGCGATCAGCGTAATGGTGAGCATGGAGCCGTAGCCGGCACCGAGCAAGAAGAAGGAGAGCCTCAGTTTCCATGGCGGGCTCGTCTCGTCCAGCGTCGTGAGAATGATTACGGATGCGAGCTGGAGCAGCAGGGCGAGTATGCCGAGACCGACGTAGCGGCCTGTCTTCTTCATCAGGTAGCCGCTCCCGATGGAGCAGATAGACACGCCGATCGGGGCGAAGAGGATAACGAGGCCGGCTTGTGTGGCGGTGCCTCCGCGGACCTGGAGATAGATGGGAACGTAGAAGAGGGTCATCATGTTGGCCTGGAGGATAGGGGGTCAGTACAACGGCACATTAAGAGAACTTGGGGATGATAAGCATGTCCAAAATCAAGGGGTTCGCAGAAGATTGTAAGTCTACGCTTGTGGCTACTTGGATGAAAGAAAGGGTCATATAGTGGCTCGAGTTACATACCATGGTACAAAAGAGGTTAGTAAAGCATGATGTGAAGACAGTCCGGTGCGTAAGGAGTCGCACAGGAATGACGGGCTGCGCCGCTCTAGCTTCCCACAGGACGAATCCAACCAACGCAACGATAGATAACGGAATCGTCGTAAGCGGGAGGGGATGAACCCAGGGAACCAAGTTCCCGCCAGCATTCAAACCCAATAGTAGAAATACGAGGAAGACGATGATCAAGAAGGCGCCCACAAAATCGATGCGTGCGAGATAGGACTTCTGCGAGATCTTGGGCGGGATCCTGACCAGATAGGCGACGAGACACGCAGAGACGAGAACCGGAGGGACCTGGATCAGAAACGCGAGCCGCCATCCGTGGCTGGTGTAATCGTTTATCAGTCCTCCAAAAACACCGCCCAGCATGGCTCCGGAGCCGTAGCAGATGTTTCCAATGCCCTGAATAATGCCTCGTTTGCGCAGCGGCACCAAGTCCGTACCTAGAAATGTCGTGATGCTCATGAGGCCGCCGCCGCCGATACCCGCGATCACCCTCCCGAATATCATGACTCTCTCGCTCTGAGCGAGGCCGCAGATAAGATTACCGGCAGCGAAGAATATGTTGCTGAAAACGAGACCCGGCCCTCGACCGAATATGTCGGTCAGTCGCCCGGATATCGGCTGGCACGCAGCGTTTGCTATCAGGTAGGCAGTCGCCAGCCATGATACGAGACTCAAAGACTTGAACTCGCTGGATATCGGGGCCGAGAGGGTTGCGATGATGGAGGCATCGATGGCGCCGAGAAAGACTCCCACCCAGCCAGTAAACAAGATGAGCCACAGCTTAGCTCCTACAACCTCCTCGACAATGACCGTCTGCTCATCGTCGTTGCCTCCCGTCTCAGGTCGCTCGGCTGGGATCACATTCTTGTTCTGGCCCTGCAATAGCGGCGTTGACTCGTTAAGCACGTTTTGGTTTCCGGCCACCAGCACCTCTCGTTCCCGCGCTGTAGAAGTGGAGCCGTCCGAAGAATCGTCCATTGTCATTTTGACCCCAGTGTTGCTTCCGGAGCAACAGAACGGCGTAGATGCCTTCACACACAAATTCCCGACCAAAGCTGACTTTGAAGGTTCCCACGCCTACCGTCTGTCCAGCTCAACAATGCCTCAAACTGGTTCTGCAGCAAACAATTGGAATGAACCCCCGATCACTATGATCGGACTCAGGGCACTCCAACGAACAGTTCGACTGGGAGAAACCAAAAAAGCGAAGGGTGATATTTCTAGGTGAAAGACGAAGGGAGATAAGTGGCGTCTCGATTTGTATGATTCGTGATTCACAGCGATACATAGCATGATTACGAGATCAATTGCACTAACCCGTAAAAAGGTGCCTCCCTTTCCCTGGCGGATGATGACATCTGCAAGCCGCAGCCAATGACCGGCCTCCAACTTGATCTACGAATCGGGTCCGATGATGGACGGACATGGCCGGCGTATCTTTGAGATCCGTGAAACTCAATTGAGCCACTTGGTCAAGTCAGGTTGGGCGGAGTTTGCAGCGCTTGTTCCTTACTGCGCAGGATGGTATCTGTGATGGATGGCAGAGTGCTCGCTTTAACAACTTCAGGTTCGCTGTCAGGTTTGGCAGGTTGGCACGAATCCAGATCGGATGCAGCTCTGGCAGCGGATGCGGTGTACGTCAACTTGTGGACCGGTAACGCAACTCGACACACACCAGACGGTCCGAGTTCTGGCCGGGGTCCTCCATTGTCGTCGTGTTTTGGTTGCCATGACGAACGGCACATATATCATCTGGCAAGCGCACTGAAGCTGGCAAGCTGAACTCATCGGCAGGCCAATCGCTTGGAAAAGAACAACAATCAGAGGGATGTGGATATTGGGTATAGGCGGGGCGGGTTTTGGCCATCCTTGAAACAGAACGCAGGATAAAATTGTCCGGCATTGTCCCAAGATGGCACTACACTTGGAGGATTTGGAGCTTTGGACGGTCTACAAATCGCCTTCAGCCACGGCAGATTCCAGAGTTGCTCTCGCCTCAGCTGCTGGCTCTCAGCGTCGTCTGACTGGCCAGCGCAGTTAGGTCCAAGCCATGCTCAAGCGCTGCGCCACTATATTGCCCTGCGAAACGTCTCCAAGAGCATGGCTGAGCCTAAAAAAACACTGGAGCGGGCTCTTACGCGTGTTTGGAGCGATTCAGCCAACCATCTAAGCCTTGATTCATGAAATTTCTCGGACTCCTTGGCCCCCTGCCTCAAGTATCTACCTGTATTATGTTGATTGCATAGCGCCCAAATATATCAATCCATTGGCTTTCTAGTTTTTCTCTTCCTCTGCTCTTGATTTTGACCTCTTTTTGGCGTCGCAAACCTTTCACCACTTCCACCTTGCACGGGAACAGCTGCATCGAACGCGATCGGCGTTCAGCCTTCTATTGAAAACTGTCCCGTTGTCACCTGTGCTATCTGGGCACCCGACGTCAGCCCCCTAACGAGACTCGCCTGTGCCGGAGAACAACCATCAACATTGTCTGGCATCTCTGCCACTTTAGCAAGGAAAATAACTCTTACTTTCCGGATCGCACACTGAGAACAAACCCCTCAAAGCCGACGAGATGGGGCTTTTGGATAAGGAATGGGACGTCGACTACGTCCCTGGCGTCAAGCTCGGCCTCCACATAATGCAGATCATATGTGGCTTCGTGATATTTATCCTCGAGATCATACTATTCAAGTCGGAAAACGCAAAGATAAACAGCAACAATGGCTGGACATTTGGGCTGGTAAGTGGGCGACAACTTGTACAAGGAATGTGCTTTTCTGTTCGCAAATTGCTGACCACGGTTCATCTGAACAGTGCTTCCTGTCCGTACCTGCCTGGATCTTCCTAGTCATGACCCCCCGATTCGAGCGAACACGAAGGCTTGCTCAACCCCACGCCATGGCGGTAGTTGACGTCGTTTTCGCCATCTTCTGGCTCTCAGGCTTTGCCAGCCAAGCAGCATACAACACGGCTAACTCCTGCGGCAAGGGCTGCAAGGTATCCAAGGCCATCGTCGGCACAGCGTTCTTCCAGATCGTCTTTTGGGCCGGCACTTCCTTCCTCAGCCTCTACACGGTGAAGTACTACCAGTTCAACGGAAGCCTCCCGGGCTACGACAAGCTTGGCGCGGGCAAGCCGCACGAGAACATCGACCCAGATAAGGCAGCGTTTTCGATGGCGCCCCACGACGAGGAGTCGTACGCCCGAATCAACGTAGATGACCACGATCCCGACGATCACGACACCCCCTACAATGCTGATGCGTACGGCTCTCAGAGCTCGCGCCCCATGTTCGACAGCGAGACCGAGTATCGGCCACACAGCGTGTCGCCGGCTCCTCCCTCGGAAACCCCGTTCGACGGCAGCTACCGCGCGCACGGTACCCCGTCGCCGCTCAATGACCCGTACAGCTCTGGCTACGGCTCCGCACCTGATGCCGCTCCTCAACTCTACGCGCCACCTGCTACTGGGCCGGAGTACAGTGATAGTCCGGCGCACTTCCCGGTTGCCAACTATGACCGAACACTGCACTAAAACATGCTTCTATACTGTAGTATGTTGGTTCATTGGAGCAGATGGCCAGACCGCTTGAAAAGGGGTACCCCACAGAGGCCCTACGATGAGTATGAATAGCCTGCTTTTAAAAGACTATACTGAAGTGTGGGTTTGGGATTGGGCGATCCAGATCTAGGGGGGAAAGCTACTTGCGATTTAGGCCATGAGGGTTGGGGAGCGTAGGACCGGCTGAAGCTATACAGGCTATGAGGATCCAGGATGGCTCTACCAAACATACAGCTTGTAACGTTATTGGAGACTGGCGTTCCGGATATTTTTGCTTCCCACGAGAATATGCCAGATTTAAATACGATGTAGCATCATAGTGTTCATGACAACTGGAATATCAACGGAATATAACGTTCTTCTAGTGGCGTGTCCAGGTGATGGTGGATGGTGAGATAGGGAGGTGATACTATTGTGGCATAAACATTGTGTAATGTTGGGCTAACAAGCAGTACATTGCACAGGTATTGTAGTATGCAAAGCGTTGGTAACTGAGATATCAAGGTCGCTCGATGCCAAGGCATCTTGAAGGCCCAGATTTATATGGGAAGCAGGCGACAGTCATGCGTTTAGTCGATTTTTCTCCATCAGTATGTTGTTAACTTTAAATCTAGAAGACCACTAAGACATAGTCATAGGAAGGATCGTGCCTTGTCATCATTGCCACAAAGGCAGTCCACACTTTTGAATAGTGAGGTTATACGACGATGAAGGATTACCAGGGAACAGAAGGAAGCCCTCTATTCTACCTGGAATTTAGAGGATAGACAAGAGTAACAAATTCTATCTTAATAAAGAAACTGGCTTTCACTATAATAAAAGAACCAAACTGACAAAGAACCTATATCTATCAGTAAAGGGCCTAATTCCCCTCTACATAGACTTTGGGAAAATATGTACACTATTACAATACACAAAAATAACCAACTACTACATTCTATTACTCTTTCACCTAGCGAACCTACCTTGTAGCTACTCTGTAGCTGCGCAGTAGCAATCCACAAATATCCGCTGTATGCTCGTAACCTTCAAACGGTGGCGACACGGTATGATGAGCAGTCTCTGGGGTTCGTATGATAGGCGACACAGGTTTCTTGGCCGCCTTAACTTGTGGCTGCTGAAAGGAACAGTATCTTGGGTTTGCCCTCCCGCCCTGACATGACACAGCACGCAATTGTTGAAAATTTTTGCATTCGCAGAGCTCCTTCAGCGACAAGGTTCGCAGCGAGTAGAGCGACACCAGGGCTTTTCCTAGTGTATGTGAGGGCAAATGTGGCCCCAGGAATAGAGGAGTACCCGGCATCCAGGCACGAACTAGTGTATCTAGGAATCCCCGGGGCGCAATGCGGCGGTTCTTCCCCACGCATCTTCGTAGTACGAATATAGCTCCCAATACTCGGGACCCGACAGTCTGTACCGAAACAGTGAGCATGGCTTATACAGCCCGTCTAGTGGCCTTGACAGCTAGCCAATATATTGACTAACGCACATTGTATCAAATAAATTCCCAACGCCATCTCATGCATCAGTAGGCCCACTGGACTTGTCATTCGCAGACATCCAGCCACGCCAGCCGACTCCATCATGACCCACCCTTCAACTTTCTAATCCTCCTCGCAATATCCGCCTCAGTCTGCTGCATGGGATTCAGCCTCCTATCCCTAAACATAGCCCTCGTATCCTCGCCGTGCCTCTCAATCAAGCTCTCCAACCACTCCTTCTCCCTTGCACTCAACCCTCTCACCTTCCTCTCCACGGGCCGATTCGCCTCCGCCTCGAGCGCCTTCACCACCTCCGTCGTCTCTTCGCCCTCGCCATCAATTCCACCCCACGTCTCCCCGTCATCGTTCATCTCATCCTCGGGATCCGTATCCAAATCGTTTAACGGATCATTCAGTGGATTTGGCTTCGGTTCTTTTCTTCCGAAATCAATCACTCTAACGATCTTCCCCTCCTCATCCCGCTCCACCCGCGCCTCGCGGAATAGGGTCTCGGCCCCCGCGGGCTTAATGGCGAACGGGTCCACGGGCTTGGTGCTCGTGCTCATGCCCTGACCTTTGCCCTTGGTCTTCTGTGTGGCGCCGTGGATGCGCAGGCCTGGTTCGATGCCGCCCGTGGGCGCTTTCAGGTGCGAGATGAGGCCTAGACGCCGGTAGTTCTGCGCTGTTGTGAGGTTCTTGTCCCAGTTACGTGCGATTATGTCGTTACCGAGCGGGTTGGGGATGCGTTTGGGGCGGTTCGAGGAGGGTTGTTTGGTTGTCGGGCGCGAGGAGCGCGCTTTGCGCTTTTGGAGGTCGCGGCCCATTGTGTATTGTCGTGCTTGTGGACTTCTGAGAATGTTGGTTTGTATGAGGACTTGTCGCAAATTGCCCAACTTTCTCAGTTCGGCAATTGGTATTTGGGGGAGTTTTGTGGATTGTTCTTGTAAAGAGACTGTTGGTTGATTGGACTGTCCCAGTTCATATGAAGCTCTCAAGCGCCTGTCCAAAATTTCTAAATTTCCGCCCGCTCTGATTAGATAAGATTAGAGCTGCTTATCATAATCAGCACGTGTGTGCCGGGACCCGCTATATCGATGTAATATCAGGATAGTCAATCAATAGCAGTCACGTGCTCATAGGCTCCGCTAATATAGAGACGCCAAGCTCACAATCGACAATCGACAATCTCAATCCCCCCGACGATAACCTTCGGAGTACGTGACCACTCTACGCTCCCTGTCCATACACCCCGGTGGGTTTGAGAGGTTCACAATGCTCAAAGCAACAGCTCGCCTTGCAAGCCCCAGGAGCTCATCACCAGTATCCATACCATCCATACCACCATCATACCCTGTGCCTGCAGCAGTTGGTAGGTACTTAAGGTACACACATAGCGGGGCGGGACTCTACCCAGGATCCTGCAGCAGCAGCCTTTTCTTTCCTCAAGTATGCAAGTACTCCGCGCTATATATGCATCTGCTGGCGAACTGAGGAAGTGTAATCCGAACAAACGGGGCAGAAAAGTAACCTGCCTGTCGTTGATAACCCCCGGAGTGCCAGCGGCTTCTCGTGGCCGTCTTTAGCTTCTTCGCCCGCCTCGGCATCCCTTGCTTTTTCGTCTCGGTGTCTCGGTGTCCGCAGCATCGTCATCTAAAGACGACAGCTGTTCTAGAAGCGCTGCAGAAAGCAATATCGCAGGAAAGAGGTGTGATGGTGTTAGTGTGAATGTGAGTGTGTGCATGCGTGTGTGGCGCAGGATGATCACTACAACACATCCAACCGACGATTTGGCCGGACGCAAAAAAAGGAACGAAGCTCAGGTAAGGTATTTGTGATCTGGAAAAGCCTATGCATGAAATTAAGGTGTTATTGCATGGACCGGACATATTTTTATCAACAGTTCTCCATCTACGCATCGGAGTCGCCTGCCTGAACGACGTATAATGTCTTCGCAATGGCAGCAGTAGGCGTGTCTAGGTCGTTCTGGAGCTCCTCAACGACGATCGTTCGGAGAGTGACCCGAACTAATCCATACCAAAGCCCCACCGGTTTTCTCAACTTAAGTCTTAACCGTTGCCGGGGGCGGGCATGTTCCGATTGTGCATAGTGGGTGGAGTCCTTAGCCTTGTTACGTTCTTGTGAATGTAACTATTTTATACTTTTTATACAAATATCCGCTTCCTGCCAGAGCTTTACTACACTAGACTGAAGGGGTCGGTGTTGTAGCGAGATTAGCGCAGAAGGCTTGTTATTAGTTAGAGGAAAAACCCAGGTGTTTGGTGTACCGCGGCGTCAAGGGAAACCAAGTCAAACCTTAGATGGTCGTGCTGCAGAATGTCCGACAATGATGCAGGTGCTTCCTCCTGCTGCTGCTGCTGCTGCAATCCTTCATTTCCCCACGTCAGCTGGGGTTGGTGAGAAGGAAGGGTGGTGAGGTCTGCCCCGTTGATGCTGCTGCTGACCAGCGGCACGGGTAATGCGGATGTCAGATTTGGCATCCCTCGTTCATGCAGACGAATGAGATGGAATTGTTTGGTTATTATTCCCATCTGGTGCTTGTCCTGTCCACTTGTCGATGATGTGCTATCTGCTAGGGCATCAGGGCATCAGGGATCGTATGCATTTGCAGGAACCGGGAGTAAGTGGATGCTCTCCCTAACATCTACTCGAACCTCGAGAGATATCCCTTCTGAATATTACGTTACCTAGGCAATAATACAGATTTAAAGGTGGCGATCGACAACGGCGTGTTTGTCACGCTGACGAAGAGTTCGCTTCTGCGTGCTGGGGGGAAGCAATCCCTGTTGGGGAAGGGGCGGGGGGTTTAGCGAGAAGGATGAAGAGAAAGTGAGGTCAGTAACAATATACTTGAACAATACCTGGTGGTGGGGTCTCGTGCAGTTTAAGCGTTATCGATTGTTATCGGTCATGGACAAGGCAAGGATTCTAGTAGGGGTGAAGGAAGGTCTGTGGTTCGCTCGTCTATTTCCTGTCCTCTTGTGATTCTGCGTCAGACGGCGTCTCGGTAGAGTGGATCAACGGACTTCCGTATACAAGTGACGTGCAAGCGGGTCGTTCTGAATCCTGCTGGTCTTGATGACGCTTCTTCTAACCCAGCTCCTGTGCTTGAAGGATGAGAATGGATCACTTTAGATACGGCGACAAATTTGCTAGAAAGGCTCTGCAAGCGTGATATTCAGTCCGGCTGTGTTGTCCGTACGTGACTTTATTGCTGAAGCTCTGCCATATATGCTCGATTGAACCCAGAGGATCCAGCTCCTCGTGTTGCAAGCCTAGAATGACCTCTAAACAGAGATTCCCGATCGCCGTCATACCCATCATCCGTAACCCGTAGAAACACATGCCGTAAGAAAGATATATAAGTACAAATGGCAAGAAAGAAAAAAAGGGAGCCCGATGACTCCGTTCCTATGCCCGAAAGCCGTTTTTATACCTGTGCGTGTCCGTGTATAAGTACGTGGGGCCTGGGTATTGAAATATTACATTCAAATATCAAAACATGATCCACTCCACATCAATGCCAGGCCCTCCAATACATTTCGTCCAGTTGAATGGGCCTCGCCGCAGACTCAGCTTGCTGCCGGGGCTCATCTCGAAACTGTCGCGGTACTCGCCAGCCCACAGGCGCTCAAGCACTTCAATGGCCGATAAGTTGTTCATGTAACCGGACCTGGACATAATCTCGTGGCATTTGTTGCGCACAATGTTCTGTTGCAGCTCGTTCACACACTCGCTCCCGGCAACGAACAACGGCCACAGGAGAAATTTCTCGGCGCTGCTGCCAGCTTCAAGTGAAGTGGCGTAGTAGACTACCTGGCTCACCAGGTTGCGGAAATTGTTGTGATTCGAGGAGACATTGGGTGATGCGAGACGTTCCGTGTACAGCAGTGCTGCGTAACGAAACGCCTCTGAGAGAGATCCGAGGTCACGGATCTCATTGGACGTGGAGTTGGTGGGCAATGACGCCAGCAGCCGTTGAGGCTCAAATTCCCAGTTCTGTAGGGCCATCCGGGCGTCTTTCCATTCCCGCCAAAACGTTGAGCGGTGATCATCGTAAGACGGCGAGGAGCAAAGCCCAGAGGAAAACATCTCTTCTTCATCCAGCTGTGTCGCGAAACCATTGCCATCGAACCGATGCGCCATGCTGAAGAAATCACCAAGCCGCGAGTTCGGTTGGAACGAATTTGCCAACGGCGACTTCAGCGGGGATGATGAGGGTGGAGTTCCGACTCGCCCAGCGGGAGTGGGTACGGCGCTCTGCACCGGCCGAAGCTGAGAGAGAAGGTTCAAGCGCCCAAGTTTGGTAATTGTCTTGAATAATTCTCTGTCGCATCCGATCCAGTTCTCAGCCCCTGGCGGAAGCAGGTGTGCATCACCCGATACGCCGTAGAATGAGTGGTTCAACTGAGCTTCTCGATCATTGATGCTAGCTGATATTGCGTCAAAGTAGGTGAAAATGGCTTCCATCCACGAAGACTCGCTGGAAGCTTGATACGGAGCGGAATCCCGCATGGCAAGAATTTTCTTGACGCCGGCAAACTGAGTCTGGAATTTGGCAACTCCAGACTCAACCATGCGGTAGTGAGACAGGAGAAGTATGGTGGCCAAGACTGAGTCGTGGCAGGATTTGGCGGGGTCGTTGAGTTGCTGGTTCAGGAGGTGAACAGCAAGGTTGCGGTGCTGATACTCTTCCGATAGGGGAAGATCGTCGGGCTGAGCTTCCGCCTGCTCAGACTTGAAAATTTCGGGTGAATCTCTGTTGTGTTGCCCGAGGCTCAGTCTTCTTTTCATCCTCAAATTACAGGCGGACAGGGCGCAGATGGCATGCTGCAGACTGCGACTACTGGAGGCCAGTCGCAGGATGTGATCCCTGAAAGGATTGTTGGGACCGTCGATGAGAACCATGGACGGACACATGATGTTCTCGTAGTAGTCCATAAAGAAGGGCATCTTAGCAATGAGATCGGAGCTAACTTGTAATGAGTGCCCTTCATAAGGCGCAGACGGCGCGCTTGCAGCTTGATCCAGCACATGCGGGGTGGCGTCGTCGTCTCTCGGGACGGAAGGCATCCAGTAGGGGCTGGTGGAGTTCGGGCTCGTGCTGTACGAGTCGCCATCCGGCACACCTGGATTTCAAGGTAAGCCGGATTCAACACGTGGTGACGAGCGGGAAGGCTCACTGAGAGTGTCGCAGTCTGCAAGCAGCCTAGGCCCAGGAATCTGAGATTCGAAGACATCTTGGCGAGAGCTGAGGCTCGAGCCATGCTCTGACGGCGCATATATCAGGCCGGGACATGACGTCGGCGCTCGCTGGTCGATCATGATGGCAGACGCAGGACTTTGCGGGACAGGGGAGTTGTGGCCAGTATAGCTTTCATACATGAGACTCGGGCTGTGCATAAAAGGGAGGTCCTCCCTGGGAAAGGAATGGGTCATGGGCGACAATGTATACTCGACGTCACTAAGCGAGTCGACCGAGGAGGAGAGCGCATCCCCAAGCACAGGAAAGTGGCCCAAGGACGTGTTGAGTCTGTGTATTTTCGGGGGATGGTCATGATGGGCCGACAAGCTTGTGCCATACGGATTCCACCGTGTCGACGTCGCTGCCGGTGTCATCTCGCCCTGGGAAAACCGAGGGAACTCGTTGTATGTCGCGAATGGTGTCGTCGGGACAGAGTGAATCTCGACATCGTCCCGGTGACCCCGCCGAGACCCCTCATCGTGATCGCCCCAGTGGGATATGGCGCTCGAATTTGCTTTTGATCGAGAGACCGTCTTCTTGCCAACGGGAGCAACAGCAACGGGTGGTGACTTTGCTATGGGTAGGGAGAGACCACGAAGCTTGCCGCGACTCGCAACACCCACTCCCCACGTCAACTGCGTCTTGTAGCCCGAGCACTCGTTCCCGACCTCGAGGCACTGGGAGCAGTACGGCCGCCGCCGATCGCACTTTGCGTTCCTCTTGATGCAGGCGAAGCAGTCGTCTGCAGCTCCTCCAGCAGGTGCCCGTCTGCGACGTTTGCGGGCAGCCTGCGTATCCTTGGGTTGTGGTGGTACGTTGACCGTCATGTTTCAAGTATGGACTATAGTAGCTACAGTAGCGGAGGCTCTGATGCGATGCTCTTTCGAGGAAGGCGCGCACACACAGGACGAAGTTCGTATTCTAAGCACGACACGGTCTGAGACCTCTAGCCATCAAAGAGACAACCTTTGACTGGCGTGGGTAAATGGGATTAATATGGAAAAGCTGGAATGCCAAAGCAAGAGGTCGTTGGCGTACAAGCGGAGCAGATGACGGAGAACGAATGAAGACGAGGTGGATATAAGTCGAGACGTGCTCTATTAAGAGGGGCCCTCTCCAAGCGACGCCATCCCGCCAGCTCCTATGAAGGGTACATGGTGGGTGTATGATGTACAACCCAAGTACATCGGACGAGCAAGGGCCATTTCCTGCTCAAGGTCTGCCGCCTTTGGTTCGCAAGGACAGGGAGGCGATAGCATTTGCTGGGGGGTAGGGACAGCCAGTGCAATAGCAGACGGGAGAGGTGCGCGATGGGGGATCATGGTCCATCATGGAGGGGAGCGACTTCGACGAGTAAGTGGAACAACACCTTAGAGATCAGCGGGATATACCCTAGCACGCTAGCTCGGCCGGGGCCAAGTAGGGGGTGCTAGACCAACGACGGTCACCTGCAGGGAAGGGGAGCAGGTACATAGACGTGGTATTGAGAACAGAACTAGGTTGAGCAGGGTCATGGATGACACTGAGAAAGTAGCGGGGCCTTGTCTGGGGCGGTCACTCGATGAAGATGCACTGGCACACAACCGCCGTCGCCTATTGCTGGCATCTGGTTCATGCCGCCACGGGGGAGGCTCGGGTTGAGGTTTTTTTTTTTTTTTTTTTTTTTTTTTTTGGGGGGTGGGGGGGGGGTCTCGGAGCCGTGCGGGTGTAACAGGGTGCTTTGATTCGCGAACAGAGGTCCGGCGAGTGGCTTGACGATTTGAATTGGTCAGATCAAATGGGATGTGCCAAGGCTCGAGCTCACCTGTCGAAGTGAGGTCGGGCCATCAGAAATTGCGTGAACTTTTGAGCAGTCCGGCCTCATCTGGGGGACGCCTTGGGAGCGCGGTGGTATGTCGTCACCCGAGCATTCTCAATGGCGGATTTATTTGCACTTCGTGCGGTTCGGTTGAAAAAGTCGAAGAAGCAAGCGCCTGGCTCCATCGCGAGGAGACGACTTAAACCAGCAAGTTGAGCTTTTGAACTTGGCAGGGGACGAGGGACGTTATTAGCGGGGGAAAGAGCAGAGCGCTATCAAGGATACTCTGTGCCAAGCTAGCGCGCTTCTGGGATTGTCACTGTCTGGAGCTCAAGTGTGCAAACCGCTAACCATGGGTTCTAGGGCCGCTATCCATCGTATTTTTTCGGGGCATGAAACCTTTCACATTTGGTATTATTATCCGTGTTCGTTCAGCGTTGTGCACTCATGTGCAAGAATTTCATGACTCCAGGTTTAGAATAGCCTGTTCTCCGTCTTATTAGAGTTCAGGCTTCCGAAAGCACAAGTAGGATGCTGGGATATGGTTGGCCTGTGTTGAAGCGGCGCCAAATTTGCCAATATTTAATTGGAATCAACCACCGATCATGACATGAGTAATGGAGTACCTATATCATTTAAATCTCTATTAGTCAACGTTAGTACTATATAGCAAAATGAAAGAGGAAATCGGGTCACACGGCTATTGAGGAACGTTGGGTGCCATTACTCCATTACTTGCATCAACGAACGGACTTCAAGGCTTGATACATCGGCAGGCCTGTCCATAATAGCGGTACGTTATGTCAATACGGGCACTGGACCCGCCTATTCAGTGTTCCCTGGATTCTGGTATCGGACATTCCAGGGTCAAAAAAACTGTATTGCATTGGTCTGAAGTGGGTTCATGAGCACGGAGGACAGTCCCAGGACGCTGGGCAGCCAAGTTCATACGAAGAAAAGCAACTCAACTGAGTCGTTAGGCTGCCCCGTTTCGGTGAAACCTGAGCTTGTTGGCATGGGCACAGCGCACTTCAGCATGTGAGAATGGATCTTGTCCCAAAAGTCCATCGTATGCCGGCGGCGAAGAGTTGACAACTTGCAACTAGCTTCCGAAGCTATTTCTGGTTCATCTGACCCCGACCGCATTTAGATGTATACCGGCAAGGATGGGCTTGGCTTTTTGCGTGGAGATACCATTGCAACCCTACCAAATTAGCAAAAATACTACTTCGGCGCACGAAATATTGGGTGGGTTCTGACTGCAGCCTATGTGATGGCGAGCCTCGAGGCAGACGCAGGCGTGATCCTGGACTATATGCTGTCATCGTGGATGGAAGGAGGGGGCCTACTTCATTCAGCCTTGTACGACAGCTACTGCCAAGATCCATTGGAGGAGGTCGCCCTAATCTCAACGCATAACGAGAAATGCCGAGCAAATGCAGAGCCTCGATCACAATCACAGCTGGCCATCATGTCTCAAATTTGCAGCGGTGGACATGTTATTTTTTGGCATTATCCAGCAACTGGTCATTGGCCCTCTTATCTGGCTTGTCCACAGTCGATTCCGAATAACGGGCGAAGGATGGGATTAGACTGGCCCAAGAAAGCAGGTTTCCCGACTCGTTGAGAAGCCCTGGGGCCAAGGCTCACCGAGAAGCCCGAAGACGTGATTTAAGTAACGCATCTTGCAGTCTGCTGCAGGTCGAGGAGCTGTGACGCATCCAACGTCGGCTGGCGCATATGCACGGCACAGTGATATGAGGCCTTCCATTGTCCTTCTATCGAGATTCCACCCATTATCTCTGACCCCCGCCAATGTCTTCTGTGCAGCTCCCCCATTCGGGCTGGCCTGAAGCCATTTCTTGGTGAGCCGTTCGGGGGAGCCAGTAACATCGGTTGGAAAGGAGCCGGCTGCAATTGCTCTTGGAGTCAAGTGTCAATGAAGAGAGAGCATTGGCTTGAAATGCTGCAACTTCAACCAACCGCGGGGAAAACATGAGATCATCGGGTTGAGAACCATCGGCCGTTTTGCCGGGACAGTGCACCAGCCTCTGCCCGCAATTAATTGGCATCGGAGACGTGATGCTTGAATCCATGTTATGCCTCTAACGCTTTGTATGTCCAAGTCGCTTGGGAAGAGAAAGACAGAGGATAATGATAGCAGCGCATAATTGTAATCTGCCAGTCGGGCAGTTGCACAATATTCGGCCTAACTTTACCCATCGTGGGTCCCACGATGCTGCATGCCAATTATAGGAAAAGGTGGGATTCCAAGTGTACTTTGCCGTCGTGTGCAATCCCAAAAACGACTTCTGTTGTGGTGCAGGATGGATCAAATCTTATCCACCGTGGCGATCCCTTTCGCCGCTCTCTTCAGCTCGGACTGCCGCCGCCCCGCCGATGGGCCGATGGCTCATGCACAAGAAGAAGAATCTCACTTGCAGAAATGCTGCCGTCTACTCCTGTCATGGGGAGTTGCGATCTTACTTTGGTTCCACATTTCGAGCCTCGGTTGCCAGAGAAGCTTTGATCTGCCTGCCTTCCCGCCTGCCCACAGCTATGCTTGAAAAGACCCGATTCTCGGCAGCGCCTATCTTCACGGTGCAATATGGGCCACTCACCCATTCAGCAATACGGCCGACTTCTGTCTCAACGCCAATGCTCTAGGCTATGCAATCTCATGAACATACCTACCCAAACGGTAATTACCATTGCTGCCATGCGCACTACTAACTTCGGCCTTGCATTGGTGCCTCGCTTTGTGCCTTGCTGCTTTCAAGTCGTTGCAACTCCAAAATTACGAGCAGGCGCTAACAAGTGGTCGCCGACTCAGTCCGAACCGTTCCAAGATTGATCAAACCTGCCGATGCACCTCGCTCCATAGCGACTCTTGGCGATGCTGCTGTTCTGTCGACCTCGTTAGCTATGCCGCAGGTCAAGCATTATCAAGAAGCCAAGTGGCTCGCATGCATGCGACTCTGCTTGGCTCAGAGAATCCGTCTCGCAGGGCTACCACTATTCGGAGGAGGTCAGTTGAGGACCCCGAGGATTTTGTCCGGCCTTCTCGTCTGTCGCTCTATTCAAATCATGGGGCTTGTTAGTCAGTCGGGCTTGGCAAGTCATTCTGGATGGTCTGTCCTGTCAATACCGACAATCCCCCTCTTAAGAGGGTGTTTTAATTCGCGTAAGACCCATCTCATTGGGGGTTGGCAGGCAATTCATTGGAAACTGCCGTGAGCCCCATGCTGACGTCCATGCATTCAAGATTCTCGCAAGTCCATAACTTGATGGTGGCACTTCTCAATGCTTATTGGAATTCCCAAGAGCTGGTCATAATCCATGACCTGAGTATGTGCTGTTACTGCTGTGACCACCACTTGGCCGTGGCCCAATGATCGCGCGATTCTTCAATGCTGCCTCGGCCCATACGGAAGATCGCCCAATTTCCCTTATCTTCGTCAGTTCGAGACGTATCTGCTTGACCGCATCGTTAGATCCGGTCGCAAGTCACGATGACCGCCAAATCTATCTCCGGTGGACATGATCGAAACAGGAGGGGTAAAAAACAGAAAACGTCTCTGATTATTTTCCACGAACGACATGTGGCTGGCCCACGCACAGGACGATACAGACCTGGACCTGGATCTGGACGCTAGAAGGACCGAAGAACTTGCATAGAAGAAGCTTCGTCGCGAACGAAGCCAACGGTCGAGTTGAAGAGCAACGCCGCTCGCGTCCGTCTGTTCCGCTCTGTTCGATTCGCTGAAAGTCGACCTAGGCTCTCAATGAACAAGCCTGCATGCAGCACGCCCAAAAGTGTAAGTATTCGGTTCGTTCAGCCACCCGACCGCTGCCGCTAAGTTCGACCCCTGACCAACTCTATCGACACGGACAATTTTCATTGGCCGACCGCTACCACGCCGTCTCCGGGTTGTTAATCACCGAGTCCCCCCCCCATGCTTTGCAAGCGCAAGTCATGATGAATACGCGACGATCGTGCAAGCTGCCACGATTTGGTGGGATAACGAA